TAACCGCTCATTAGCATAACAGGCAGAAATGGGAAGGGAAAGCAGGCAACTGGCTGCTTGCATTCGGTGTCGGCGCTCGGTGATGTATCCGGAAGGACTTTTCGAACTTTGCATGTCCTTGTCCCGTTCTCCATTTTCGTCCCAGTCGGACCCGTGGTGCTGGCCAAGCTAATGTAGTGTGCACGACGGGTACTTGTACAAGGCGGCGTTGTACATGACTTGGACCGGGCGGTTGTTCTAATGTAGGAACGGGGCCGAGAGGGTCCTGAGTGGGAGTGGGCAGTCAAGTGACGGCTGCTAGTTTCTTTGGGGGCCTCCCGCTACCTTCAAGCTCCTGCAGTGGAGCATGATCCTGTCATATTTACAGACGGCGGTATCCCGAGATGTTACAGAAAAGGATCGTGGCGGCTGCTGATATTACTACTGCTGCTGCGTCTCGGGAAGCGATTGTGGCTGCCCAACGGCGGCGCCCCTCCACGCTCCCACCTATGCTTTCTGAACTGCTGCTGTCAGTCTCTGCAAAGAATGTCGGCCGGATGATGTCGACGGAGAATGGCGACGAAGAGAGCAATCATCTCATGATCACGATATGATGCTGGTAGTGTGAAACCTGTCATATGCTACGGAGTCATCAACGTGTCCATTACACGAAAAGTCGAAGAAACGGTTGGACGGGACGGTTGATCGATCATGAAAGGAGCACAAAGGCCCCCCACCCATAACCTTGTGCTCCACGCGCCGATACAAAAAAGCGTGAGGTTGCCTGCACCCACAGTGGTTTTTGGGCGAAACAAAAAGTGACTGGGCTCCGGAAATGAGGGGCGGTGGTTCAAGATGGAAGGCAAGATGGGAATCGGACTCCGCTCGAGACTGGGCATAATATCACGATGACCCTTTGCCCTCGCTCGTTCTTGTTCAACGTGGTAGGGTCGGTCAGAAACATGAGGGGAGGGGACTGAGAGACTAAGAGGGGCGTCAAGGCCGCCAAACCGGCTGGTGTCTGCCGGGAGTGGGCAGCGGAGAGGTCGCGCGCCAGTCAGAAGTCAGGCGGCAGACTTGGCGGCAGAAGGACGACTCCTCTTAGCTCCCGAGTTCACCTCAAGTTTCCCAAGTTCCCGCTTGTTTTGTCACGGCGGGTGGAGATCGGGGGATCCTAGTCTTGACCATGTAAGGTATGGCGTCACAGGCGCTGATCAGCTAATTTTCTCGTAGACAGGGTGGTCTGTAGGGTTGGTGTTGCAGCTCCTGGTGCTATGTACTAGCGTGTATCTGTGAAGCTGCGGCAAGGTACAACCTGCAGCTTTGATGATTGGGTGACCGTGTCGTGTGGTACGGTGCGGTTGCGCGAAGTGTAGATTCAGGGGTTCCCTTGAGAAAGGAGGGGAAGTTCCGCTATCCTGTACACGTGGAGTGGAGGTGAGCCTGAGTGGTGAGGTCAGCACAAACATTGCTTTTGTCCCGCCATGGGCTTTCCTTTTGCCATCATGGCAGAGGTCATTTCATGCGTGATGCGGTTTGGAGGGGCAAGGCAGGAGCAAGAGGATCGCCAACCGTCGTAAAGCGCCAAAAAGGGACGATCGAGATGGTGGATTGATGAGAATCAAGATTGGCAGAAGGGTATGAATAGAAAATCGGTGGTCGAAGAAAATTGTAGAAGCAAAAGAAAGAGAGAAAAAAAAGATAGTGTGCCAAATGGAGCCTTGTCGGGAAAACTCCGAGTCACCTACCTTAGTGTTAGTTTCCCACCCTACTAGTATAGGCATAAGAATTCGCAAGTGGTATAGGTATCGTGAGTTTTCTTGAGTTGAACAAGGGGGCGGAGGAGGAGAGGGAAGAGGGGAGCAAGAACGTCAACACTAGGAAGGGAAATTGAGAGAGTCAGAACGGCCGACTAAGGAAGTAAAAAAAAAAAAAAAAGAAAAAAAAGAAAGGATACGTACTACATTCTCTACACTGTAGTATACACACAGTTCAGCGTCGCTTTCTGTGGGGAAAAGAAAAAGAGTGACATGTGGGCAGAATTGTGCAGGTCAATGCCTAAGGCGCATGTGCCAAATTAGGCCCAAGAGTCCGAATTAAAGGATCCGCTAAATGAGTACGTACCTCTACGTAGTGCCCGCCACTAATGCTCCTTCCTGCCTCGTCAAGGCATCGGCGCCCTGTCAGCGTCACCGGGGAGGAAAGGTGTAATTCAGGTTCTATCTGTCTTGGGGAAGGAAAGCGCTAGTTCCCTGTGTTATTCCTATCGGGGCCTTCCTTGTTTTCTCACATCATCTCCTTCCCTTCTGCCAACTTCGGAAGTTGCTCTATTTTAACCTGGCACTTGTCATTTTTAGCAAGGTTGACTGGAGAGACTCGGGACCAATTAGCGAGGGGGACCGGGCTGTTACCTGTGAGTTGCACGGGTTGTAGGCAGAAATCACTGTACCGGTACAATATGCCTCTCCTTTGGGGGATGCTATGCACAATTTTACTTACTCACTGTGGCAAGTGCTTTTTCCTTCCCTCTATACCCCATACGTACAGGTACAGGCACAGCAACGCTGTAGACAAGTGCTACTGCCTGCACAGATGGGTAGGCATATCCGTAGGCACTGACTTGGGATTTGGTGTACGCTGGTTGGCATCCGTCCGTTTCAGGCGCAAACATCACAAACCCACCGTCGATGATTGATTTGTGCATGGTTTTGTATAGATTTACACAACGCAACGAGCCGAATCAAGGTCCTTACATCGCCAACTTCAATTCCAGCCGCAATCCAGCTGTGGTCTTGGGTGTGTTGCCGTGTCTCTCATACACATGGCAAGGGCATGGAATTGCCCTCTGTGCTGCCGCAAACAACACCAACAAGCTCCAGCAACACACCATCCTGACATTGTCAATTCTCAATTCGGACTTATCAACAACACAAGAACCGCCATCTTGCCTGCTTGCATAAGGCAAATCCTTCTTTCCGGGTTTCCAGCCACCTAACCTTGTCCCTTTCAAGACTTGACGATCCGCCGCCTGCATCCCAAAGGTCGTCCCAAGCTGCTGTCTCAACCATCCCTCTATCGTACCTCAGCTTTCAGCAATCGCCATCCGTCATATCAAGTTCCTCTCTCAACCCAAAGCAAGAATCCAGCACGTGTTGGGGCCTTTGATGACCGTTCGTACCGTACAAGACAAAGAATCCACTTCCAGTTCGGCATCGCCAACCTTTTCTCCCTCCTTCTATCCTCATCAGGATACCCTACAACGCCCAGCCTTGGGGGATCTCTGTCTTCGGGTTAACACCATCCCTCCTGACTCCTCTGCCTCTAGCGCTCGAGTCGCCTCATCACGACTAGTGATCCATCCGCTACTTCGCCCAGCACCGCTTTGAAGCGCACCGACCAACCAGCGCTCTAAACAATCTCTACCAAATACGCAATTTACCCTGGGAAACTGCCCGAGAAAAGAAGCAGAGTTGCACAGCCAAAACGGCCAACGACACAGGTATCGCGGCAAAACGGTTGCGATAACATCATTCTTCTCCACACCGCTTGAGTGAGAGAGTCTGACCGGCCAGTTACCAACCCGTTACGGATTCCCTGCGCTGTCCATGTCCACTCGAACCTCCCTGTCGCGCCCATCATCACACTCCACCACCCTGAACCCGAGCACACACTCAAGGCCCCCAAGCCCTCGACACCCTTGAGGATCACCCCCGTCTTACCATACCGCCCGTCTTCCAACAGTGGACGAGGGCAACCAAATTCGATCGACACCAAATAGGTCCAACAGCAGCCATCTCAGACGTCGCCCCAGCCATTGCGTCTGTCCCGAGTACCGCAGATCGCGACGACCCGGCCGACTGTAAACGTCAACGTCGAACCAAACCCACCCAGCCAAGCCAGCCATCTTTGACCATTTCCCCTCCCGCTCTCCCATTCGCCATCCACAAATCCCAATCCCAATTCTTTCTGTTGTACTTCGGCCTTGGCTCCAACTTTCTCTGCCTAGGAACTCACTCTTTTGCTAGTACTGTACACTACTTACTGTACGTACGCTACTTTGCACCTCTATACACACGAGACCGTCGACGCAACCGCCTCGGTCTCTCGGTCGCAATCCCGTATTACTCCCACGGCAATTCCCACTCGCATCACCTATTCACTGGGGCTCTCTTCTCTTTTCTCTCGCTCCTCAAATTCCGATAGACCTTCAGACCACCCCCACCCATCAAGGGCCAGCATTTGCCAGTAAAAAAGGTACTTTACAAGCAACCGGAAAGTAGCAATCGGCGCGAGGCGAACACCTCCACGCTTCCTAGGGACCCAGGGCTCCAGCACGAGAAAGGCAAGGGGGAAGAGGGACAAGAAAAAAAAAAATCAAAGCGATTCCTTGACGACTCTGCCCAACCCAAAAACCCACCCACACCCACGAGACCTCCCCCCCATTCATACCCTTCTGCGGCCCACCGCGCGTTTTTTTTTCCTGCTTCCCGTCTTCTCGGGCTGTTTCTTTTCATCTCCTCTTCTTCCCTCTCCCGTCCTCCGGCTCCTGTTCCTGTCTGAGAGACCGGTAGGACCCTACTTGCTTCCGGAATACAACCGCCAATACCCCTACATTCCATAATACTTTACGCCCCATATACACCACCACCACCACCATCACTGTTACCACCACCTGACTCTTTCTCCCGCCATCCTCGACTGCTCCCCTCCGCCACTCTTCTTACGCTCCACGGGCCCTGACCCTGTTTGCATGGTGGCAAGACCCCGTTTCCCAACTCGGATCTGGTGACGGAGTACCATTCAATTCAACCACATTTGCCTTTTGAGCCGCCCTTTCGCACTCTTGCAGCCTGTTTTCCTGTAGCACATCTTGGCACAGAACAGACTTGTCGCCCACCAAATACCTATCATACCAACCTCTATCTACACCGATATTCGACAAAAGAATCAAATAGTAAAACACATTTCAACTGCCTCCTGCGACGACGACGACAATATCAACAACGTCAGACAGCGGCAACATGGATAACGAACATCAAGCACAGCACAGCGAGGAATCGCATCTCCCTCCTCACATCGAGCGCTCCCAATCGAGTTCTTCGTCCTCATCAGTCGACCACGACCACGACGAGCCACAGATTCACCAGCCTACACCAATCCGTCCTCGCCTGCCTAGTCGAAAGAGCAGCGGACCGCTGGTCGTACCCAGAGACAGCTCCGCCGTTGGCCCTATTGATACTGAGTTTGGACCCGACGATGTTAGAGCGATGAGCCCGCGCAGGACGAGTGAGGATATTGAGGCACTTGGCAGAGAGGCGAGGGAAGAACTGAAGAGGTGAGGAACTGAACACTTACGCGAATTTTGTGGACCTGTGTTCGCTAACAGACGCTGCTTTAGACACGCAAAGGCTCTGCAAGAGTCCCTCCTTACGATCTTCAACCGCATCGAGGCGGTTCGTGAGGAACACGACAAGCTTGACAGCAACAACAAGTTCCTCCAAAAATACATTGGTGATCTAATGACGACAAGCAAAATCACCGCACCGCCAAGCAAGGGCAAGAAGTAAACGCACACCCAGCCCTTATGGTTTGGCGAACGAGAAGGATATATCCAGCTTAGGCTGGTCCGCGTGAATCATCCGTTTCGGACGGATTGGGGCGCGCGCGACGTGCAAGGACATGACCATTAAATTCTGGTCACCATCGGCCTGGCCAACCGACGTCACGGCACTTTGGCTATCCAAAGGGAAAACACCACAACCCGAAGACTGTTCTCGGGGCATTCTCTACATACAGCATAATCGGACACCGCTCTCAGGATTCGAGGGCATGATACCCCTTGTGGCCGAGTTGGCCTACAGCGTTATAGTCATTTCGTTTACGGCTCCCGGCACGGATACGGTATTGGAGTGGAAAACAAAAAACTTGCATCGGTTCGCGACTTGTACACTAACGATTATCATCATCATCATCGGGGGTTTTCAACACCCACAAATGACACATTGGGCATCGGATAGCATCAGGCGTTTTAAGGTTTTGGTAAGAGGCCATTGGCCTTGGGGTTAAGTGTTGGCATTCTCGTGTATATACCTCATTGTAGGAGGGGAAGGCATCGACCTTCAATTCAACCATGATTCCTGGCAGACACCTTCAAACGGGGTGGTCGATGTGCAACCGCGGCAACAAGTTGGTGACTAGATTGAAGCCTGTTTCTAACGCTCATTCTCCTGCCATTAACCTACTCACTTGGGTTGTTAGCAAGCATAGCATTTCGACGTCGAAAAATCTCCAACGCCACCCGATGATCCACCGGTACGACTTATCCTCCCTGCAACGACGTCATTCGCCACCCAGGGCCGATTGCGCTGGGAATGGACACCAACCACCCGAAAGAATGAAGGTGGAATTTTGCACGAGGACACGAAATGTTGGATGGTCTCAGTCACATGGAGTAGGGAGTAAACGACGCTTGTTCGAATACCGAGTGTCACCCCTCCGATGCGATTTGTTCCAGAAGGTCTTGGAGCGGCGCCTTGAAATGGCGGACGACAACACAACAATGCGTACATGGACGATAGAGCAAGTCGGGGATGAAGATGGATGCGCGAACCAGCATGGAAATGTCACTACGACGGGATCTGCCAGACACATGCATGTCCACCCACAGGGAGAACTCGCCTTTGGACTCGAGAAGATGGAGTGTCGATTATCATTCGCTGGACTGAGAGAATCGGTGACGACATGCAGAGGATCAACTAGACTGAAGCGGTGATCGGGACTCGGATGCGGGAGGGAAATGTCGGGGATTGGTCGGTCGGTAGTGTTTGAACGGCCGCCGTGCAGCGACGTACCGCCCTGTGCCGAGGGACTACCCAGGATGACGGGCGCTGAGTGGCTGTGGGGATGAGCATGTCCTCGGCGGCGCTGTATCGCTTTTTGCTATCTTGGATACATTTGTGATCTTCCCACGGGGCATGTCGACCGGCGATCTCTAAACTGAGCCATCACAACGGGAGTTGCAGTTACCGATGCCGCGTCTTCGTCTCTGGTCCTTTGGTTTCTGGGTTCTGATGCGGTCCGCACTTAACCTCCCCCATCGACTTGACGCGTTTTCCCTCTTACTGTTCTTGTTGATGCATGGTGTCCTGCCCATTGAAATGAGTGGCTGATGAGTACCTCTCTTCACTACCTAGGCTAGGATGCCCGCGGCTTGCTCGGCAGTGATCATCAGGCGGCTGGCGTTATGCGGCGAGTGAGGACTTGCGATGCCTGTCTTGGATAACTGCTTTGGCTTACTTCCTCTCGGCTATGGGCATTCCGGATTTTGGTTCCGCCTTGGTGATGGGGAAGAACTTATTGAAGCGAACTGAACCCGAGAAAGTTCAACTGGTGGTAAAGGGGACTTCTCAGGCCGGTGTGTTAGCTCTTCGCATAGCGGCAACGTATTTCCTTTCAAGGGTTATGCATCTGCTTTGATGACTGGTTACTTGTCCGGAGCTAGGTCCGGTCCTCCATGAACTTGGACAAGTATGCTCACAACTTGTTATCCCCTTCATGAGCTATGACTCTTTGTCCCCTTGCAGATGAATGTTGTGTTTATTACATTCATCATTCTTATGTCTAGCCGTCTGGGATACAGTTAGAGCAAGCTTTTATACTTTTATTTCCGCATGAGTTGCCAAGAACATCCCAAGCTGCAGTCAATTCTATTACGCAATACATCCACACCAACATCCACTGCCTAGAGGTTTTAGAACTCAGCTACAGGACCATACAGTTCTAAAGAGCATACTTTACTTTCGTAAATCCGATTTCAAAGCCGCGTGCGCTTTCCACGGCTTCCTTTGTTTTCTCTAGCCCAGCTTTAAGACAATGATAACTAAGCAGCTCCGCACATTGAGGAACATAGATTCCGCGATGAATGACGTACATAGTTGGGACGATTTGAACGACCATTTGCGGCCACAGCTCCATGTATATATTAGTCACATTCTAATACCGGAATCTCGAACCTCATGAACGCATTCCGCATCCAACGTAAACCATTTCCTAAATCTAGTACCCGTCAGCAAATAAAATGTCTCACCTCCGCTACTACGCTTACGAAGGTGTCGGCCAGAGGAATTTGAAGAACTTTGGCTACAACCAAGCCGTTCGTGTGGGCGACAAGATTGAATGCGCCGGCCAAGGTGCGAATTCCCCTCTTTTTTTCGTTCTGGCTCGGACGTAAGTAACCGCGGATACTGACGTGGGGGGACACCAGGCGGATGGGACCCCAAGACTGGCGAGTTCTACAGGGAAATCAACGCGCAGATCGACAGGGCCTTTGAAAATGTCGAACTCAACCTCAAGGACGCCGGCGGCAAGGGCTGGGAGCAGGTTTACAGGGTCAATTCTTACCACGTGCCGATCAACGACGAGGCGTTGCAGGCCATGGTGAGGAATTTCAACAAGTGGATGCCCAACCACAAACCGATCTGGACGTGTGTCGGAGTGACGCGGCTCGGGGAGGACGACATGAGGGTTGAGATTGAGGTTGTCGCGCATGACCCAGAGGGAGCGGCCAAGGCGGCGGCGTCTTCATGAGCAGTGAATGCGCAATCTGGCGTCGAGAGAGGCTCTCTTTACTTTCACTCCCGAGTCATAGACAAAAGTTCGGCCGAAGTAGGGATAACGGAATTTAAAGTGGCATCAGACATCACTACTAAACTGGACAAAAGACATTGTGAGTTCTCCAATATGTTCTCATTATTGTATAGTCTTATCTACTAGACAAGATGTCAATTTCCAATATAACGCCATGTCGTACCAATTTCGCTCTTTCCAACGGCCCGAGAATCAGGTCAAGCCAATTGGGGTATAATCCGCAATCATCGCATGCAAATCTATGCCTTGCCGGCCTGGACGAGGAGGACCTCGTGCTGGCCCGGGTGGGTCTTCTCGACGTTGCTCTTGGCCATCTTCTTCATGAGAACGTTGGCGTCGATGTCGACCTGCTCGCGGAGGACGAGGCCGGTGGCCTCCTCGACGACGCGCCAGTTGCCCTTGATGACGAGGGTGCCGACGGGGGGCTTGGCGTTGACGAGGGTGTCGACGCCGTCCTCGAGGTTGGTGATGCTCAGCTGGTAGGTGGTCTGGCCGATGGGCTTCTTGTCGGTGACGGAGTAGACGGCGGTCTGGCCGATGGCCTCGGAGCCGGACTCGAGCTTGTGGGAGATGAGGTCGGGGCAGAGGGTCTTGACCATGAGCTCGTGGTTGTGGATGGTGGCGAGGACGCGGGCCTTGTCAACGCCGGCAGGGACGGGGGTAGAGACGACGGTGGTGGTCATTTTGGGTGGTTGTGTGTAAAGAGATGGGGAGTGTTGTTGAAGGTTTTTGTCTGTGTGAAGCTGTTGAGAGTGAGGATGGAGAGATATGCACTATGAGCAAAGACCAACCGCGAGGTTCTTATAGATGTCCCTCCGAGTCCGCTCAGGCTCCTATATCCCCGTGTAAATCAGGGACGTCTTGGAAGTTTGATACCCCCTTCTCCCATTACAACTCTGGAGGATTGCTTCGCCACGGCAACCCCCCCAAGAGAGACATACTAACTGTTGCGCCGCTGACGGTCGAAGAGTTGAGAGTCCGCGGATGGCAGTGGGGGGGCGAGTTGCAGGAGACGCAGGTAGGGAGGCTAAAGTGGCACCGGACCGGCCGTGCCCCGGCCGTGCTCCCGCCGAGCCGGACGTTGGGGCATGGAGCTAAGAGACGTGAGGCTTCACGCTAGCGGGCTCCTCTTGTGGGTTGGGAGCCCACGGTGGGAGCCGAGGACGGGCATCCGTGGAGAAGTCCGCTGGTGAGAATGGGAGATGCTGCATGCCGGCGAAGGATTTTTTCGGGGGAAATTTCCACGAAACTGGGTGTATTGGCGGGTCAAACAAGCCAAAAAAGACTCTTGCCAGGACATATTATTGTGCCAAAGATTCGAAACAAATCAAAGGAGTGAATCCTCTTCAAAAACCATGTTCCCTCTGTCTCTGATCAATCTGTTTCAACCCAAACACATGGTTCCAATCTACTCGGTCCTATGCATGTCAAAGCCGCCGTCGGCGGACCGAGACTGCGGGATTGGGCCAACCATGTGCCGTCCCGACCAAAATAATGTTCGTCCGAGGATACATGAACGCAGCGGGCTACGGCACTCTTACGCGTGTTCTTGGTCCGCCGTCTTTACATAGATCAAAAGTAGCCACGCGACATGGGCCCTTTGGTAGTCCCCGAGGGGGGGGTCTTGGCCACCTGCAGGAGCTTTGAGTTGTCTGTGGCTCTTTGAACCCCTAATTTCATCTCAATTGCCATTGGGCATCGGCTAGGTGCGGTAGGTAGTAGTAGCGTAGATCTTGACTGCTTGATCTAGATTCCCTACCTACCTAGGTACACTTGGGTTCAGATCTTTTGTTCTTTACTATGAACATGGTAGTAGCTCAGGAAAAGGCCACTTGGTCTGGGTTGGTGCTTATCATACGTTGTTTACTTTTGCAGAGAACAATGTGTAGTTTGCGAATTGATCACAATTTTGTTAAATCCCAAGGCTGCTGCCTTTCATCACAGAAGCCGGCAGACAAGAACAGGTCCAATCAGCGCAAGACGGATTTGAAGCTCTCAGACACAAGTCTGGGTACCTGCATAGGGCCAGACGGGCCTTGGGCAACAATGGCTTGTGCCGGAGCTGTTTTTGGGGGTATTGTCGGTGCGCTTGCTTTTCCTGCGCTAGACAAGAAGGCCCGCTGTCTGTCCGTGTCTTTCGGTGCATGGCGTCGCAGTTGGGGGCGCCTCATGGGGTTTTTGGTCGTGGTGATGGGACGTCAATCTCGGGGCTTCGCTGTTGGGGTAACCGCGTGCTAAGAGTCGCGTTGGAGTGAAGATGGGATTCAAGTCAGGGACTCAGACGTGGGGAGATGAATGATGGTCAAGATATTGGGTAGTGGGTGGAATTCAGCTCGGCTAAGACCACCAAGGCTAGTCTCTCCTCCACTATAAAACCAGATGGCACTGTCAAGGTTTCACTTTGAAGGGATGTAGAGAAAAGAGAAAGGCCGTCTTGGAAGGGTTGGGCTCATCCAGGCATGCGAATGCTATTTTCTCTTCAACACGAAAAGCCAATGAATTTGCGACGCGGCGATGTAGTGTCCATGAACCGTCTCGGCCTTGATCCGCACAGATGTCTATCTTGATGCTCAGTTTCTATTTTGGACTCACTTGTGCAGTGCCAAGGCCGGACTCAGTTCAAGTCCGGGAGTACCTACGAGCAGATACTGTTATATTCTGTTGTTGCCTAGCAGTCAAGGTAGAGGGATTTAATAAGTAGTCTGGCCAGTTCTCTCACTTGGAAGAATACCTCAGGTCTAATCAAGTCTTTCACTTTGACCAATCGTTGTGATCACCCGTTGTCAAGGTTGCTGAAACAGGTAAATAACAGACAGCATCCAACTTTGACCAAACTCAAGCATAAATTGACGTAACAATCTATAATTCTTCAACTTCCCACAACATGCCTAGATTTGATTCCTTCTAACAATATTCGATCAATCATTCTTAGTGTCTTCCTTATTTGGCTTCTCGCAGACCAGTTTCTTATTCCCTGAAGGTTAGCGTAACTTGTAAGCCAATAGGCAGCGTGAACCAATGACGCAGAGGGCAAGCGGCGGAATATGAATTCCTCCCCCCCGCTTCTTCTTAAACTTCGCCCAACTCCATGTGATTGGCCCCACACGTGCTTCTCATTCTACAGCTGCCATACGACGATACAGCAGCACACCGTCCGGAGGCTCTGGCTGCCGTGCTACAACTCCGGCTTTTTGAAATTCAGGAATCTGTTTTCCGCTCCGTGCTCCAGTTCGGCACCTTCAATCGGCCGTGTAATTAGACCCTTGCCCACAGTCAAGGACCGATCCGGCCCATTCTGTAAATCTTGGCCGCCATGCCCCAGCCTTCCACGGAGCGGGCTGCAAGCCAACCGAAGCGCAGATACACTTCAAAGGCCTGCGAGGAGTGCAGACGCCGAAGGGCCAAGGTGGGTGGATTCTTATTCCGGGTGTTCCGTTTTTGACGATCTTAGCCTAATTTTTACCCTCTCCTGGACGTTTGAGCACCTGTTGACATCATAACTCCCTTTACAGTGCGATGGGCAACGCCCAGTGTGTTCTCGGTGTTCAGAGCGCTCCATCAACTGTTTGTACAGGAGTGAAGAGGATGGGCGCAAACCGGCTTCAAAATCTTATGTACAACTCCTGAGGAACAGAATCGACTTGCTAGAAGCCGTGCTGCAGGCTCATTCTATCGACATTGAAGCATCTGTTACCAAGCTCACCGCAGGTGGTAGTGCACCGCCGTTGAATCCTGTCGCGAGTTCTTCGGCAGCAGGGAATGAGTCAGCATTTGCTGGCTTGAGCCCAACGGCATTTGATGATCTTTGTGCGACTTTTGAGGGAGCCTTGTCGTTAGACGAGTCTGTCAACTATGACCAAGATGGAGAGATGCGTTACTTCGGCCCATCCAGTGGCCGCTTGGAGTTCCAGCAAGGTGAGGGAATTCCTTGGATCTCTATAGGTTGACTTTGTCGCTAACCCTTTCAAGAAAGTACACCAGAGGCCGACGACCAAGGCAGCAGCCCGGCGACTACTAAGTCTGTCGAATACAATCGCTACATCCTTCCAATAGAGAGTGAAGTTTACCCGGAAGACTTGCAAAATGAGTTGGTCGACTTGTTCTTTGAGTATCAGAGCCCGTGGTGTCAAGTGGTCGATGAAAGGTTGTTCCGCGAAAGCATGAAGACCCAAGGGCGATATTACAGCCCTTTACTACTCAATTGCATCCTTGCTTTAGGATCTCGGTATTCGGATAGGATTGATGTGCGGTCCGTGCCGGGAGACCAAAATACGGCCGGGAAACCGTTTTTGCAGAAAGCAGAAGTGCTTCTGCACTACGACATGAAGCGGCCGACATTAACTACGATCCAATCAATGTCAATCTTGGTCGGAGTTCATGTTGTGAGTAACACCAGCCATTGAAATTGGCCTTTAAGAGAGAATACTAAGAATGAAAAGGCCTACGGCTGCGATGCTGCTGGGTGGCTTCACCAAGGCATGGCCAATCGGTTAGCTCTTGATATGGGACTCAACCTGGATGCGGCATCTCTAGCCGGCTCAAACCTCATGCCCATTGAAGAGATTGAGTTACGGAGGCAGATTTACTGGGCCTTGTACTGCGACGATAAGCTCGCTGCCATCTACACCGGCCGTGTTTGTAATTTTTTGGTAAGCGCTGGCCTCTGCAGCACAAGAAATTGGTGACAACGGGTAGCCATGACTGACAAGGTTTTAGGACGTTCAAGGCGCCGTCAACCTCCCGTCGATAATACCGCCGGAACAAGTGACAGACGGGAAACGCGATGCACAAGATATTGCACAGTGCAATAAGAAGATTCTAGTTCACCGAGCGCTCATCAAGCTCTGCCAGATATTGGAGAATATCCTACTCGCGCTGTACGGAGCACTCCATATCCATACTATTGAAAGTCCTTGCTAATGAGTCTCTTTAGATATGCCCCAAAGCCCCTGTACAAAGGACCGCAGAGGATATCTTTTCTCCAATCGTGCACATTAGAGCTCAAGACGTGGTTCTATGAGCTTCCCGCCGAGCTTCGCATCGACCGCCCCAATAACAGCCCGCAGGTGTATACTCTCAACATGGTATACCACACGTGCTGCATCCTCCTCTTCAAACCCTTCCTTCTCCGTCCGAAACAGGCAACCGTTACTCCCAAGACGGACGCTATCAAACGCGCCGAGGTTCTCTGCGTCGAGTCAGCCAAGAGGATATGCCTGGCCTGCAAGAAATACCGACAGGTTTTTGGCGGCTTCCGCAAGAGCCCCATCTCAGCGACGCACTGCATCCTCACGGCGTCCCTGGTGCTGATCCAGTATGCAAACCCGGACCCGGACATGAGCAACAGCGGACGGCCGTGCTGCACGCCGTACATTGAGCTGTGCCTGGAAGTCCTCGGAGAGCTGTCCACGTCGTGGAACCCAGCGGGCAGAATGAGGGCCGACCTGATTAAGCTCCTGTACCAGAAATACCCCGAAAGGATCCCGCATTCTATGCTTCAGCAGTTCAACGCCGACAGGAACGACGTCGCTGCCGGCGGCGTGCTGAGGGAAACCCCGTCAGCAGCGCAGACGCACCCGATGCAGACGCACCCTACTCTGGAACAAAACCTGTGCCCGCTGATGAACATGCTCGACCCGGACTTTAGCTTGGATGGCATGAACCAAGAACCCCAGGCCAATCTGTTTGTCGACGCTTCTGATTCTGTTTACAACACGCAGTTCGCTCTGGCAGATTCAATCATGGACGTGGGCGACCTGAGCAGCCAGAACCTGATGGATGATGCGTTTTGGGCGGGGGTGAATTTCGACTTCAGTTATGAGGCGCAGACGTGAGATGTATTTGTAAGTATATTAGAGCGCTTTTTCTCTTTAGTTTAGATTACACAAAAGAGCATGTTGCAAATCAGCGGGGGGTTTGGCAGCGAATTATAGTCGGCTTATATTGATGCTTCCTCGTCAACTTGAGTTGGTCAACTAGACTATGATTATGATGTGATGAGTGATGATTTCATGTTGAATCTTAATATGCTGACAGTGACAACTTTGTGTTACCAACATTTTGAGTTTGTCAGAATGCAGGAAGTTTTATTATCAACTACTTGTTTATATGGAAACGTTGATGAACTAGTGGCCTGAGAGATTGGATTCGACTGCAGCACATCCTCATATCAGAAACCGAGACTAATCTTGGGTGAGACTGGGCCCAGCTATATGAATCGTCTCCTCAGCGGCAGTAACTTTTTGCATTGTTTTTGTGATAATCACGGCCGAAACCACAACGGCAGTTACAGCCATATCTCTAGTCCACGGCGTCGTACCACGCGGTTTGAAGGACCAAAGGATACATACTTCCTAACAAATGAAACAACAAAACTCAAGAAAGGCAAAGCGGTTGACCAAGGCGCATGAGCCTAGTCGACAAGTCTGTGCATGTACCAGCAACGACCCAAATATAAACCTCAAAGAAGTGATTTCGGATGGTTTCACCTATGACAGCTGCAGGCGCTGACAATTCCCTATAAATGGAACAATCGAAACGAAACTGTGACTATGATCCATTCACTGCAACTTTTTTGCCCAAACAAAATAATTGTTCTACAATCTCCCGGAAGAAGAAAAAGAAAGAAAAAAAAAAAAGAAAAAGAAATTCAAAAGTTGCGCGCCTGCAAGCAGACACACACACATATGGAGACGCGGCGAATCGAACGCCGGACCTCATCCATGCTAAGGATGCATTATACCACTAAACCACGCCCCCCAAAGTCAATGAAGAGTTTATGCGTGAGAGAGGCATACGAGCCTTGGTCGGCGGGTCTGGTTGAAGGGGCGCAGAGAAAGTAGCGGGGTGGGTGACGATGTGATGTGTAACTGTTGTACTACAATGGTCAACTGAGGACCCATACATATTTCACAACAGTATATGACCAAGACCAGAGAGATCTGTCCGAATCACGGAGACGAAAGGTAGAAACTAGTTCAGCAGTAACGGAACCAAAAGTAGCCCGAAGAATAAGTTCTGATTGTGGGTGGGGAGATGTCCCTGTAGTTAAGATGTAGAAAAAAACCCGCCCGATGCACCGTTAACCCCAAAACAGCAGTACAAATACTAGTTGTCGTTCGTCTCGTTCCTTTTAGAAAGGAAGACGTTTGATAATAAAAAAAAATATAACACGATAATCCCAAACGCTGATATCCACGCCAGTTATTTCCTCCCCCCCTTTCTTGGTGTCTCTCTCTCTCGTTCTTTCTCGACTCTGTCTCGCTGTTGTCTCGATTCTCTCTCATCTTTTTTTGGTTCTACAAAAAGCGTGCAATAAGAAAAGAAAAAAAGGAACGAAGAAGGCGCCTCATATCCGCTATTGAGTCTCCTTCTCCTTACCCTTCTCGTTTGCTGCCGTGTCGTCTTCTTGGTAGAGACCGTGCTCGTCAATGTACTTGATGACTTCGGAGGGGATGAGCTGTGTCGCGTTAGCTGGAAAACTCTTATCAACTGAAAGGTGAAGAACATACGTAGTCAATGCTCATGTTCCTCCTCAGCAAAAGACGGATCTTGGTACTCGAGACGTCGTTGGGGACGACCTGAGGGATGTAGTAGATCTGGTCCTCCCATTCCTTCAAGTTCGTCAGGGCCTCGTCGATGTTGACGCCGGCGCGCTCCAGCACGAAGGCGCCAAAGTCGCCGAGGATGTGTCGCAAATCGGCAGGCGACCAGACGCCAGGCTGGCTCATGGTGTTGATCAGGTCGGCGCCGGCGAGAACGGCAATCCTCACGCGCTTACCACCGCAGCCGCCGCGCTTGACGTTAATCTCGTACTCGAAGTGGTCAAGGACAACGGCGGTCGGGACGTAGGCGGTCTGCTCGGCCTCCCAAGGGTCGACCATGAGGAACTTGGAGGTCTGCTCGGCGGCGATCTCGCACATGCGGCGGCGGTGGCAGGCAGGAGCCAGACCGCGCTTCTTGTAGGCGTCGGAGACGGGGGAGAGGTAGGAGCCGACGAGTTCAAAGTTTGTATTGTAGCGGACGTAGTCGGCGGCCATGACGGCCATGCGGAGGTGGAGAAAGGTGATGGGGCTGTAGGAACCCGGGGCGACGAGGACGAGGGGCTCGCGGTCGGGTTCGGATTGCTGAAGCCGAAGCCGGTGGTCCGGGAAGGAGTAGCCGGGAGGCGTCATGGCCTCGATGGTCTCCGGGCTGGCCACCATTATTGCGGTTTGTGGGAAGAGATTTTGTGCGGCGCACGGAGACGCCGATGACTGTTCGCTAGCTGCGGTGATTTGAAGAAAGCGATGGGGGAGGGTAGAGATCTAGGAGGGGAGATTTGCCGGTCGGTTGTGTGGGTGTGGATGTGTGTGTGTGTGGTGTTGCGTGAGTGTGTCAGGGTGACAGTCTCGGAATGCGGCGGTTATCGGTGCCTAGCGAGGATGCGGGAGAGGACGGGATCTGGCTATGTGAATGAAAGGGGACTTTGTCAGCCTTGCGCCATCGACGTCATGCGAAACAGGTTGGTCGATCAATAGCGAAAGAAAAAATAAGGAAACATACTACTTGAGTGTGGCGAAGACCAAATTCGATATGGATGGGCGGGATATTGTTGCGGCGATTGATTTGTCTCTGGGTGAACAATGGGGGGTTTGACAGAGTTGTGAGAAGCAAATGTTGGGGCGGGAATTGCGTGACTAAGGTTCGAGATGACACTGAGACTTGGGTTTTGGGGGGTAAAATATCTCGCTTTGGTCTAACCTAACTCCGATGGGTTGGTGAGGGGTGGAACCGGCGGTGTTTTGGCGCTTCATGGTTGACTTCGCATCGAGGGGTTAGTGGGGCAAGAGTGTGTTTAGTCAGCGGAACCCCGCAAGGGGTCAAGGAATAACGTGCCGCTTCACCGGGAGTTGTTAGACAGTCTTTTTTCCTCTACAATGTAACTCGCATAAATTCTAACATTTCTACAATAGACTCCAATCATATATTTAATTACTTACTCTCATATTTTTCGTCTTTTTTGGCTTTGATGTTGATGACTTCGTCGACAGTATTGCTTCTGATGGCGGCACATTAATCTTTCACCGACGGCCCCACCGCGGGATGTCTTCTAATTGGAGGGGGTAGTTTTCGGGGTTGTACCTGTGAGTGCCCCGGTTCATCGTCAAGGGGCTAACAGAATCGATCGGAGGAAAACCGGAGTTCCAGTCTTTGGGCTTCACGAAGATTGAACCTGAAAGGATGGATTTGAACGACTCCTTTATTTGGCGCAATCTCAAACAAGGTTGATTTGTCTCTGAATTTCCGTTCAAAACAAGTATAAATACACCATAGTTGATGAGTCTTTTTGTCATCCACATCGAAAGCCATGTGGAGTCTGAGTTTCCACGCAGGCACTCCGCTCAGTGGTCGGCATTAGCCCGGTCAATCACAAGTCAATTGAGAATCTCAAACCCACGTGAATAAACATTATAAATCCAACCATTATACCACCAGTCCAAATACCAGAGCTTGAATGCATCACGTTTCTGCCTCAGCTCTGGTGTCTCTCGGTACTCCCGCCAGTTCTTTTGAAGTATTCTATGGCTGTGGTTCGTTATTCTCATAGTTTGTTGGCTGACAATGATGGCCGGTGTCTTCTGTGGTCCAAAACTCTCATCTTGCGCATGGCAACCTCATTAGAGGAGCTCCATCACATCGTTGGATGTTTTGAGGCTGAACACAGCTTACTTTCGACTGTGTGCAGATCGAATGGCTTCACTGATGTCTTCGATCGGAAGACAGCATATGATTATTGTGACGAACTGGGCACATTGCAAAAGAGTGACTCAAATAAGGCGTCGAACAAAATTAAACAACCCATGTGTTCTAGTCACTGTTTCACAGAGAGTAAATTGAAATTTTTTTTAAACATGTATTTGTGCCGTGAACTCGGTTAATAGTTAGATTTATACGATTTGTAATTTTGCCATCTGGATGGCGAAGAAGTCTTTCAATCACCCGGGGCGAGAGTGCCCCCGTTCATCGTCAAGGGGCTAACAGAATCGATCGGTGGAAAACCCGAGTACGCGACAGAAACAGATAGGGACAATTTTGTATCTTTTGATCGCTTACAATAAACACTAGTAAGCGAGAGAGCAATTCCCAGTTGAACCTCAGAGAGACATAATACAGACGACGATGAGGAAATGCAGGCACTAGATTCAAAAAACAACACTTCCAGGTATGGGCACAAACCGCTGGGAACTTGTACCCTTGCAATCAAACTTTTATTATCATACTTATTGCTATGGATACTCTCCGCTGTCGCGTTTAATCCCTTAGCTGACCCTCCAAATTTGTTTATTGATCAGTCAAACTTGGTTCACTCCCTGCCGCCGCTGTTATTTCAGCGTGAGTTGAAGTCACGATCTCGTTCGGAATGACCCTGACGGCCCCGGTAGTTTCTGTTGTTACTACCACCGGAACGGTCTTGACGGCCACGGTGGTCTCTATGATTACCACGACCGGAACGGCCTTGGGAACCCCAAAAGTAGCTATCGTTGAAACTTTCCCGGCGACTTGTGTCATTGCTGTGACGTTGATTTGATGATTGAAAGGGACGCCTTCCCTCTTGATTGTTACCGCCACGAGAACTGCCTCGGGGGCTGCCGCGGAAATAGCCTCGGGAGCTGGAAGATGGACCCGTTTCCTGATTCTGGTGGCTGCTCGTGACGGGGGCTTCGGCAAGGCGTTGAGTTGAACTACCACTAAAAAAACCGCGGGTAAAGGAACGCCCACCACGCATGGTCTGTTGAATTGAATTCTGCTCGGTGAGGTCGGCGGCAAAGAATTGGGCCCACAGTTCTTCTTTTTCTGGTGTTTGCTTCCCAATATGAGCATCTGTATAAGTGCCTGGGGGGCTGCCATCTGGGCCAGGATTATCCCAAGCATTATGCGGGACAGAAATCGCTTGCGTGGATTTCATCAATTGCTGTACCCTCTCACTCCTCAAGCATCTCGCGTAGTTTTTCTGCATGGAAGCGGCGTTGTTGGCGACATAAAACAACATGTACGAGTGACCGCCCTGGCCGATCGTGTCGGGTGAACGCGCCGTGCATTTGTTGGCAACGACGGGGAAAACATCTGCCATATTCAGAGAGTACATGTGCACAAAGTCCAAATTGTCTTCATTGTCAACTGGTGCCGTGTTGTCGCTTCGGAGCCAGACTGCAACAAGCAATGTGTAACACTGGCCATTGGAAAATTCGAGACGCAACAGGTCCTTCTCTGAGCGTTGGCATTCAGCCGGGGCTCGGTATAGAACTCGAATGACGGCCGGCATTTTTTCTGGGGGTGTGAGACGATAAAGCGTACCGTCTTTGCCCTGGCTATGGTACCAAATCTGTCTTGTTTTCTCGACCAAGTCCAACTCACCATCCCAAGTGACCAAGCTTAGCTTTGAGAGGAAGTCCGCGCCTATCATCTGGTGAGGCATCCATTTCTCCTCCTCTTCTTCTGTTTCTTTCCGCAGGATCTCTAGTGGCCCACAAAGAAGGAGGGTCGGGTGCTTCCATAAAGTCTCCAGCATTGTGGGTGACTCGCACAGTGAGGCGAACGACGCGTCAGGCAGACGGCCGTCGGAAGTCATGAGATCAATAATTTCTTCTTTGATAGCCTCGACACTGGCCTTGTATTCACTGCTTTCCATGTCCTTCCATGCCAATTCCAAGATCGGGTTGGAATCAGTCTCGATAGAGCGGCCGTCTGGGTGCGTGATGAGGATATACCTCGCGACGATGAGAAGGACGTCCAGACCTCGATGCTTTCTGTGGAGCGATCCAGCTGGCTGCCCATTGTCTTTTTCGCCAGGCCATTTCTCTAGAACCTGCTTGTACGCAACGTTCTTGGGCTGTGCTCGGAGATCTGGCAAAGCCCGGATCTTGTCGATGGTGGTGCTGCCTTGGGCTTCTGATGACATCTTTAGCTTCTTGTCAACCTTGTAATTGAGTAGAATCAAAACTGTTCGTAGAGATTGAGGGAAGTGATAGTTGTGATGGCTTTCTTGTTTTGTTTGTGGAAGAAAGGTTTTTGGCGAGTGTGACTTTGGTGGGTTTGCTGATATTGAATAGGAAAGGAAGGGACGATGTCGACAGAAAAGGAGGGGACCAAAAATATGACAAGACTCAGCTCAAAAGTTACAAAAGCATGATATTGGTGTGTTTTTCTTATAAGAAAAAAAACCCACTTTAACATAGTCTCGCATATTAGAGTTCTCTGGCAATATGCCAACAAGTTTTCCTTAGGTATGTTGCACAATTGTGAATATCGAGCTTGGCCACATTGCTGTGCATGTAATTCCTATTGCTCTCAACGGGAAACACGATTTACAAGACTAGTAAGCACAGGCCACTTTTGCTGAGGCCTCGAATATCTCATTTATTAGAGCCACCTTTCCTTCGCACCAAGATTAATACACAAATAATACGTTCATATCTCTATGTTCTTCGATTTGCTGATGTGATGTTATAAAATAACTAAAATTCCTCATCTTTAGTAAATAGATCTACTGTAAGTTTCAGCCTATGGATCTCATAAAACTTCACAGAGCCGTAAGTGTTGAAAACAAGTTATCATACCAGGTCACAATCTATTTTTTGCTGTCCCTCCCGGCATTAGCAGTTGAGCTTTGACTCTGACTTGCGTTTTGTGAATTCCAAGTACCTTCTTTGAAGGTTCTGGAGTGAACTGAATGATGTCCTTTTTTGGTTCTCGCCCTCGTCCCACTTGTCGTCTTCTGAATCTGTTTGTACACCTATGTCTTACTACCGGTCTGAGTATGAATAGGGCTTTCGGCTTGTTCGCCCTGGCACTTGGTTGCGTGTTCAGTTTTCCTCTTCCCTGGATGTGATGTCTATGGCTTTGTTGCCCTTCATGCTGGTGTGGGCAGGTAACTATCAAGGCTCAAGTTCAAGCCCTTGTTCTTGGAATGCTTTCAAATTGTCTAGAATGAACTTGGGGAGGTGTGTATAAGACTTCCCTTTGGAAATGCTGACGATGTTGAATGGCCTATAGCCATATGGCAATCGACGATGCGTTGCAACGTACGTGGTTGACCAAAGTCATTCTCTGTTAATTCCGTGATGATTCCTCTAAGTTCTATCAAAGGGGTGAAACGACAGCTATTCCTATCATACGTGAACAATTGTGAGACACCCAGAGGTTATCCCTTACATGAGGTAACCTAGCCTCATGGCTTAGTCATCTTGGTCGTACGGTCATGTCAGAGTGTTATTCCAACAGACTGTTACGGCCAGCTAACTGACAGTGGGTTTGTGTTAACAGTAAGTCAGGGATTGAGAGTAGTAACAGTCGTTCCGTGGTCCTGGTCGAATAGATCGTAGATCTTCAAAGGTCTTGGTGATCAGTCAAGGCCTCAACAAGAGTCGTAGAGTAGTCGTCACTTAGGATAGCTGAAAGTACCGGTGAGGGTAGTCACGAAGTTGATTGCTGAAGAACTAGGAAAGGTAGGACTCGAGAGGACTCGAGTCCCAACTATATACAAGTCTGGTTCCATGCTGAACACTTCCTGATCCTGGGGGACCGACACCCAGGACGTCGGTCCATCGCCATGGACCGCCCTTGGCACCGTCGGTCCTGCTTATCGTCACGTGACCTGTATCCTAGTTCTTCCGTTCCGTGGGGGTTGTTACGACGTAACGGCTGACGGCCGTCCCTATAACCGCTGAGCCCCTGCGGGGTCGTCGTCAGTGGTCTGTTAACTGTCGGGTCGTAACACAGACGACCTTATTGTAGCTTTGTCTCGATGACAGTCCTGCATCTATGTTTCATATTATGCTTGTCTGCAGGGAAGATTTCAAGAATACTTATAGACTTCTAGCATGCACTGTTAATGTAGTGTTATTAACTGTGTGCGGATGTTCGCCTGCTGTGGGGCTACATACAGTTGGGTCGCACAAGCTTCAGAGGCCCCAATGGGCCATGACGCCTCCTGTATAGATGTAGATTAGATTATTATCTTATTAATAAACCTAGCGGTATGCTATGTTAGCCTGCCTGTAGCTTCTAAAATATATGCCCCTTACTTCTTTTTTATAATTAAATTATTTTAATTGTTATTTTAATTGTTATTTTAATTGTTATTTTAATTGTTATTTTAATTGTTATTTTAATTGTTATTTTAATTGTTATTTTAATTGTTATTTTAATTGTTATTTTAATTGTTATTTTAATTGTTATTTTAATTGTTATTTTAATTGTTATTTTAATTGTTATTTTAATTGTTATTTTAATTGTTATTTTAATTGTTATTTTAATTGTTATTTTAATTGTTATTTTAATTGTTATTTTAATTGTTATTTTAATTGTTATTTTAATTGTTATTTTAATTGTTATTTTAATTGTTATTTTAATTGTTATTTTAATTGTTATTTTAATTGTTATTTTAATTGTTATTTTAATTGTTATTTTAATTGTTATTTTAATCAATTTTTTAATCAATTTTTTAATCAATTTTTTAAATCGAGTTCTTAATCAGGCGCTAGGTCTATGACCACCCATAAACAATACATACTCAATCCACATAATCAGAGAGTACGCAGGGGGTTAAATGCCAACCCATAATCATATGCCCGGAGACAAGGGAAATAGTTTGTGTTAATGACTTCAACTTTTCTTAAGACTCAAACAAAACATAATACACGACGAAGCTCTAATGTTGAATACTTAATGTCCTGGTAAACGATTGCAGATAAGTAATAATCATTCTATCTACGATTCTTAGTGCTTGCCCAACAGCCTCCAGCTTCCTGTCCAACACTCCTACATTAGTGGGCCATCTCGCCCTGGAACCCGTCAGCTGCCAAGTCCCGTTTGCCCTGTCTCATGTTACGAGCAGGTCAGGGCAACCAACTGTGGCACAAAGCAAAAGCTTCGGTAATGATGACTCCGGCATCATTATCCCCTGTTCTGCACTATATAGCTACGCCGGCCAGGCACCAACTGGTTGGGCCGTAACATCTCAGTAGCAATACTCAAAGCGCGTTCCGCCTGCGTGTGCCATTGACGTAGTGTTTACAAATTCCAGCTTGCAGGCCATCAGTGCTGAACGACACAATCATAACCGCACCCATAGTGCGCTTCAGCCTCTTTGACCGGGTATCTTGAATCGCAGGCCGTGTAATGATCTATCTCCCAATGCCTCGAACAGAGCTTTGGACGATATTCGTGTTGGGTACTCAGCAACAGCAATGCCTTTAGATTGTTCCCATCTCAGGTGTCGGTAGATGAAGTAGCAGCCACTTGAGTCATGCTTGTGGTTCTTGTGCAACATCTCGAGGTCTGGCCCTAGTTGGCTCGGGTCGAAAGCGACGGAATGGTTGTTCAAAACGCTACTGTTTTGCCAATCTCCGGTCTGGGGGACCTTGTGATGAAAAATGAGATGTGTCAGCCAGTTCCGGGCTAGCATAACCTCAAGGTGATGAAGCTTTTTGGGGTTGAGCAGTGGAAGCTTGTCTTCTACTTTCACTGCCTCGAGACCCAGGAATTCTTCAACCTGGCGTACTTGTTTCCAAATTTTGTCGGCCGTTCTTGAATACACTTGAAATGTTTTGTCCAGAAGAGGGAAGTGATCCTCATTCTGTGAGGCAAAGGTATGAAGTGACAGCGTGAAGTTGTCGGTATGAACTCGGTAAAATTCCCAGAACCCCAGGAGCAGCCACAAAGCTCCTTGATCATACATCAACCTTGTGATGCCATGAAAAAACTTGCCAAGGTTTTGGTGGTTTTTCAGAGTAAACACCTCACCTTTTTCCATGAATTCGATCAGGTCAAGGTGACTGTGGCTGGGCCAGTGTATTCCTACAGATGAAATGATCGCCATACGGATGAGAATTCTCGCTTCATCCTCTTCAATATCTTCCTCTCTGAAAGAATGGCAGACATCTGCTAGCAGGAGAGCTGCGTTGAAGAAGACTCCCTCAGGTATGATCTGACCACCTTTGAGGAAGTTATGGACAAGTTCTGCCCAACCTTTCTTCACTCTGAAGCTATCGAGGTTCAGCCCCACATCGATAACTTTGAGCCATTCGAGCCTTGAGAGAGCCTCCCATAGTTCACAGTTGCCGAAAGGGGGGGCGACCGGCCAGTGACAAAGTGGCTTATCTGGCCATCTGGAAATGCATTTATAAATCCATTCGTAAACCGACTCGTGCTCCGTCACGGGCTCTGGGTTCCATGGCCTGGTCTTCAATGCTGCAGTGATGTCAAAGTCGCAATGTATGATGACATCCGATGCTCTCTGGCACTTTTTAGAGTAGCCAATTTGATTGTAGAGTTCTTTCCTCGACATTGAGACCATTTGTTCCATAAGCTGGCCCATGACCGGGTCGTACACTATCCTCCGAGAGGACTCCGCAAGCACGACGTGTTTCAGATTGGGCAATGCCACGCTACAGGCTGTGAGCTGCGGTGTCTGTTGGCTAAATATGAGAGCCGATGTCGTCTCCGGGCTATTTTCATTGTCTTTCGCATAGCACCATGCCTGGAGTTTTATCACGTCATTGGGTGTTTCGAGGTTGAACACAGCCCACTGCCGACTGAGTGCGGTTCGGAAGGTTTCGAAGACATCTTCGGTCGGAAGGAAGCATATGATTGTAGAAGGCTCGTTCTCTCGATCTAAGTCTGTGATTAGCCGCAGCATGTAACTGTCCCAGTTTTCTTGTGGATCAGGGTTGGCAAGTTTGATGGGAAGCTGCGATTCAATGGATTCACAGGCTTTGAGATTGGGTCCTAAGACTGTGGAGGGGAGTTCGAGGTTGCCGAGGATGTGGCAAGGAGGGATGTCGAATGAAGACAAAACAACCAGGCTGAACGTCCATTCTGAATTCTTTTCAATTTGTTCGAGAATGATGTCCCGGATGAAAGCTTGCGCAAAGTCGGAATCCAATGTTCGTTGGCTGTCTAGCTTGACAATCATAGTGTTGCCTGCCTTTATGTTCTCCGCGAGAATGTTCCGAATGTTTGTATCTGCGAGCATAGCCCAAGTCAGGGATTGAGCAGGCATTTTGGTCCTACCGTCTTCACAGAAAAGGAAATGGTACTCGAGATCGGTGGGTACAATGAAAAAGGGTATTGTCCCAGGCTTCTGTTCTCGAGCTGCTTTGGCGACATGTGCTGCGATTAGTATTTTCTCAGATGCAGAAGGTCCTGTCACCTTGAAATAGGAAAAGCCGCTGTTCATGGTTTCGCATATTTGCTCGATTTCTTCATCCCACGAGACTAGTCTCGCAGGTGTCTCGGAAACGTCTTCCATGGCTTGGAAGATATGAGTAGTAAGTTGAACAAAATTTGAAAAGGCCTATGGTGAAAGAAAGTTTTGTGGCAAAGGAGGTGAGGTGAATAGGTGAAGTGGACATGGAAGAAGGCGGCGGTGGGGGAGGAAGACAGGACTCGGAGGGAAGTCCAGAGCCTAAAACGTTTGAGGAAACTGAACAAGCCCACGTGGATTAGTCACAATTTCACAGATAGAAAATTATTGATAAGCATTTATGCCACAACTCGGTTGTAATTACGATTTATTACTTTACTGTCTGAATGGCGAAGAGTTTTCCCTACCTCTAATGTCTACTGCAGCACAACTGTCACATTACACAAGCTCAGGGCATTATGAAGTCAGCAAAAAGCGATGTATTGATTACTCTAGCACACTAAACCAAAGTTGTAGGGATTCCCAAACATCTTTAATGTGTACCGATGCTACCGCTCATATCTACGTCTTCGGTGTTTTCTTGCGGCGCCGCTTTTTCTTTGGAGGCGATTTCGTGCAACTTATCTAGCACAATGTTGAACCCCTTGGGCTCATAACTCTTAATATTGTTAAAAAAAAGTGGAAGCCCAGGAAGCGCTCTTTGTCGCGAAGTCCTCAATGTAATTATCAATAATGCGCTGAACGGCCCACTTGATCTTTTTGGACTCTCTCTGCTCCCTGGATTTGCTCCTCTCTAGGAGCTTGGCTACTTCATCGAATGTCAAGGACGAACCACTCATCTTCTTCAGAGCTTCGTCAAGACTATCATCCGAGATGAAATCCTCTTCAAGGAGGTTGTGCTTGACGTAGCCCTTCCCAACATTTGAGGGCACAAGGAACATGGTATTGGATGAAATGGCTTGGAGGTTCTTTGTTCGGGGATCCTCCAGGTCCGAAACCCAGACACCATCAGTGTACGTGATCTGCTTGACGTTTTCTATGTGCAGCACGTGGTTCTTGTCAGCCGACATGCGGCGTACCTCCGACTCGGACAGAGGATAGCCTTGGGGCTTGCCATTTGGATTGTTCAAGGTTATGCCCTGCTCTTCGAAGCCCAAGACGAGAAGCCAAATGGGGACCATGTCGGTCCGAATCATAGGCAGGCCTGGACGCTGCCTTACGAGATATTGGAAGTGATCCTCGAGTGTCACTTTGGTTCCATTCCTTTCTTCATACCCCTTGCAGCAAGCATCATACGTGTGACTCTTGGTATTGCAAAAGGGACAGCCACGGATGTCTCCTCGATCACGCGTAACTGGTCCAACACAGTTGGCCAGTTGATGACCCGGCTTCCCGCAGTTTCCACAGGCATTCTCCCCTTTACCGCCGTCCACATTGCCCTGGGACGCTGTTGTGGGTTGCTCAGTAGTGGTGGGTAGTGTCGAGATACGCCCCCGTCTTCGGTGGGCTGCAGCGCCCAAAACGCCTTTCAGGCTAGAAGGCAAGCCTTGAAGCGCGAAAACACTGACCTCGGCGTTTGGATCCATCTTCATTCGCTTGTTCATCCACGAGTTGGCGGTGGCGTTGGTCCCGAAATGGCAGTCCAATTTCTTGTTTGTGCCTGGGACAATGCCTGTAGTCGAAAAGCCATCTCTGGACCTTTTTATGCCCTGGATTGCCTTACTGCCAACATTGGACAAGTCCACTTTCACCTCGCCCTGTGATGTGCTGATTGGTATGTTCTCGTACAGTTCCAAGACATACTTTCTCGCACCGCCTTTGGACTTGCCGGTGCTCATGTTCATTTGAGCTCCGGGAAAAGAAGAGTTATTGCCAGAGCGTCCTCCGGAGTTGGCCTGGGTGGCGGTCGCGCCCCGAGTCACCAAGCTGAGGGATGCGGCGGGATTAGACGTTATGTCTGACTGTACGGCGCTGTTTCGCGAATTGCCAGGGGCAAAGATGCTGTCATTGATACCGGCCCGAGCATTGTTATTTTGCTCTGTACCAGCAGCGAGGTTGCTGCGGTTGCTATTTCGCATTGGGAGGGCGACATGGCGGCCCCTACCAGGAATGCCCACACCACGCTGACTGCTGCCATTGCCCTGATCATTGGTGGTTTGATCGTTAGGGGCTTTGGATAATGAATTGTCTGACATTTTGGCTTGCAGACTTGAAGTTACCAGAGATGAAAATGTTCGATAGCGATCCTTTCAAGTCTTTTTCTACGCTTGAGAAGACAGGGAAATTGTCGTGTTGTGCCGATGGAAGAAAACTTTGAAATGAAAATTTTCTCAGTTTTCTCAATCACTTTGTAGTGTGAAATTTGGTAGGAGAAGAAAAGGAAGTGAGGTTGAGAGGTCAAGATGGTAGGCAACAGACTTGGACGATAAAAGGAAGGCACAACTGAACGCGTGCTTACGTGATTTCACAAAAACAAAAAACAAAAATAACAAAGAATACAGTAAGATTCAAAGGCTGATGTTGCCTATTTTCTTTTCGATTTGCTTGAGGTTTAAAGTGTTAGAGACTAATAGCTGGTTATTGTCACTGCACTGCATGGTTGAGTCGCTGGTATGTTCCAGAACACTTCTGGACATCGTATAGAAGTTGCCCCTTCCCTTTTTCTTTCTGCCTCTGCCTAGCTACCTTCTCAGACCAAAAGTGCGGAAAGGTAGAACTATGTTCGCTAGCTAACCTGATGTCCAGAGGCCAGTCACTCTTCACTGCTTCCCACAGCATGACAGATGCGTCTGATTTTCTGCATCCCCACATAATCGCGATTCGAGTTCAACCATACATCGACCACAGAGAGTCTCGTCAGAATGGAAGGAGATAAGACAACAGAAACAGGGACAGGGACGGCGCCAGAAAGTCCCAAGCAAAAACGTGGCCGCCCAAAGCTTCCAGAAGAGGACAAAAAGAAGCCTCAACGTCCATACGGGAACCAACGCGGTCGTCCCAAACTTGCCGAAGAGGACAAAAAGAAGCCCCAACGCGCCTACGGGGCTCAACGCGGCCGCCCGTCCAAGGAAGCAGTTGCAGCTAAAACTGCGTCGACAGAAGCAGATGGCCAATCAAGTGCTACCGCTCAAGGCTATCATAACTTGCTTGACCAAGAAGATGAAGACTCTTTGCCGCAACAAGATGAAGGGCTTGAGGTCGATCTCGAAGCAGGAAATCTTACCGCCCAGGCCTCTCAAGAAATGCCACTGCTTGGCCAACACCATCAAGGTCTTGTATCAGAAAAAGAAAAAGGGAAAGGGTCTGGTTCCCAAATTGAACCCAAGAAACATCAGTTGTCATCTCAGTCGGTAATGCGCTCTATATTTGACGATGTCACAGAGTATTCCGGCATTGAAGCTCTGCTTAATGTTGAGAGATCACTAAAACTTTTTCTGCAAGATGGAAACACATTCGATCGGGACCTCCATCGACATTTAGGCGCGATAGAAGCCTCAGCAAAGTGGTGGGAGAGTGCACGTCTCGTCCAGAACGAATGGGTACGTCTGACGTGGCGATTGATCCCCCGAACCATGGGCTGTCTTCCAACACAACTCATATCCAAATCAAAAGGATTGTGTTGGGACCTTGATGAAGGTGACCATACCCGGGATATTCCCTTGCGATGGTCGACGGCCTTTATGGACTATCTTTGCCGCATCGCATCTATTGTGGTTTTCTTTTACAACCCAACACTTGTTCGAGTTGCTCTTCAACTTGCTGCCATTTGTCGGACAAATGATCGTCGCCCATGGGTATTCGACGACCCCAGCGCTGACCTTTTTATCACACAATTCTCTGACATTGCTCGGAAAAACAAACGCGGCATGTCGGCGAGTGAAATTTATTCGCAAGTTGATAGTGATCTCCAGCGTGCGGGCTACCTTCCTTCAACGACAATGATCTTGTTTGAGAATATCATTGCAGATGCCAAAGTTGTAGGAGAACCAATCAAGGGAGAGGAGCCGCCGGATATGTATTTCATCAAAGTCAAGGATCTGCAAGTCGTAGCAAGGGCTGCGGAATACCTTCATCGTTCCGGTTATGAGGAGCTTAAGGACCAGCTCTTACAGCCACAATCGGAGCCAACTGATGAGCAGCTCCCAGATCTCATCCGCCGAGCTCATATAGCCGAGATTCTCAAAGTGCGACGGAATCCTCGCGCTAATCGAGTAAATCCGCTGTGCAAAAACACAGAGTTGCTCGCAGAAAAGCCTCGCGACACGGATGAAGTGCTTGTAGAAAAGCCTTGCGAAGTCATCAAGTCTGGAAGCAAAAGACCGCGCTCGGATTCATCCCCACAACAGACGCCGCCTGCTAGAAAGAAGCGTTGTCTTATACCGCCGGGTATCAATGCACAGGAATTTGCAGATTTCAGCATTGTACATCCAAACCACCCGCATGACATCGAAGCACATATTCTTCAAGCTCCCGATGCAGTTCGATTCGGCTCAGATAACACAACTACATAGACCAATAAACTAGGCTTTTCGGTTATTAATATGATTCCACTTGTAATGATCCAGTACTGATGTTGATTTGTCATCAGACTCGACAACTGGCTCCCAATAGGTTCACGGGTACCCGTGCGTGTAAAATTTCACGGGTACCCGTGGAAATGACTAAGCAACTCTGATATGGGGCTCATGAGCCAATGAGAGGCACGGCCTGCATCAAACTTATCCGGAAAGTTTACGACTTTACTACGATGCACTCTTCGGGCTTACTACCAGCGTATAACGCCTCCTGCTCTGCCTTATCTTGCTCGACTCGTTTCCAGACTTCGCTCATACCTCTCTCACTGTTTTTAAAGGGGTTTTGTCCATCTTCCGCAATAATCAGCTCATCGACCCGTTTGTGTTCAGCCCTATCCCAGTCCAGATAAGCCATCATCTCCTCCTTCGTCCAATCCCTTGACCCGTGTGAGGTAGTGCAGCGTCCTTTCATCTGCTTATAGTCAAGACACTACTTATAACACTTTTTGTCATAACGTAGCGGAAGTCCTATTGCCCTTCGATACTCCTGGTTTGTTTTGACACTCCCACGAGGTTGAGCACCGTACCAGGCGCTTCTTGCTGCACAGTACCGTCCGTATATCGCCTGAGGTGAATCGTATCCTGGCAGCGAAGGTGAATGCGAATGCGCAAATGGTGATAATACCCGAGGTGGTGATATACTGGTCTCTACCACTATAGCAATAGTCGGTTGAACCAACTCTAGTACGTCCTGCACGGCGTTTGAAGGAGGTTCTTGTGTATCTGTCGTCGTCCCGGTAAATATCGCAGTTGATACTGTAGCTGGATCTGGAGTAGGTGTCGGTTCAGGCAATAAATGCGTGTATCGCAGAGGGCACGCCTTTGAAGTCATAGTATGGCCAACTGTATGACACCTACTGCATTTGCTTGGGGCCCGTGAAGCAACTTCAACAACTTCGAACCTGCTAGGCTCTCGTCTAGTGCTTGATTTGGGAATACTGGGATTCTCTAATTGCAACCTGGGCTCTATGCGCTGGCGAGGCTCCAGCAATAGCTGCGGCGCTCCATCACGCCTCAAATGCCAATGTGCATGGAAGTGCTCACGTAGAAGAACAAGATTCTGTTCTTGTAAAGTCTTCAATTTGTGTAAGCATGGGAGACCATATACTCGAGAAAACGTCCCCGTACAGGCTGTGGAAGGATTTGTGTCTTTCTTCGTGAGCAGCTTCCGTTGCTCTTCTACTTTGCGCAAGGCTTCATGCGATACCCAGCCAAGCACTGCGCCGTACATTGACCCTGAAAGCTCAACTGGTATCCGTATTTGCTGTTTAACTTGATTTGACTTTAGATCCGATAGCTGATTTAGTAAAGCATGCTTCATTGCTCGCCAAGCTTCAAAAAGGTCTAATGTAGATCGTTTCAAGTGCGATTTAAGTAGTGTATGAATACCCTCAACTCGCGAAGTAGCTACATTGCCAAAATGGGTATGCTGATCGACCCAGGCTTTCACTAGCTTCTCCTTGTATGGTTTCAACCAAACGGACGTAACATAGCCGACTTCTTCGAGATGGTCCAGAAGATAGCGTTCCTCAAACTGGGAAACGCGCTCCTCAAAAACCACCTCAGATGGCGAGCTGATGATCGAATGCCAGGAGTTATAGAATTCTTCCCAGCTCTGAGTTGAAGGTTTGAGCGCTGCAGGATTGTTGACTGTCTTTGGCTTAGTAGAGTCAAAAGCTGGATTACAATGTTGAAGAACGGCCTTGTTCGCATGCCAGAGGCAAAGCAAAGATGCAGAAGAGGGGAAGATGGTTGCAACAGCGTTAATGCATGCTAAGCAGCGATCTGTGAGGATAACCGCAGGTAGGCTAGCGTTGTACTGACTATACAAGGATTTGACCCGCTCCAAAGCCCAGGTATAGTCATCTTCTGCCTCGCCGCTAAGAAATGCAAACGCAATACAGAACGACCGTTGGCAAGCATCGACGCCAACTATATCAAGAAGTGGCATACTATACTTATTAGTCTTATAGGTACAGTCTAGTAACATGATGTCTGGGTAGGCTTGGAGAAGGGCTAAGGAATCTGGATGAGCGAACAAGACAGCCGTAACTCGGCCATCTGGTGCAAACTGCATGCGACTCCAGAAGCCTTCCTCATCAAGTTGATTGGCAAGTGCATGGATCGAGGTCTGCCCTTCACGAACATCTCGTTTAGCGGCTGCAATATGATTGTAGATATCCTGCTAGGTCGCTATAGAGTCTGTCGTTTGTCGTATGTATGTTCTGATGTCCCTGGGTGCGACGCCAGCGTTTGAAAGACCGGCCACCTTGGCTTGATCCTCCTCAGATAGCTTGCGATGCGTTGGGTGAGCAGACGGATGTTGGCTTGGGGGATGATTATGAGAAGAAAAACGCTTATCGGGCCGGTGTCTCAAGCTCCATGTGCTCTTATCCAAAGATTCCTTAGCAAGGACGGAAAATTGACAACCAGTCCCCCTACTAGTAGTTTGCCTTTGCCGCGCTATTGATGTGCTTGGCGGATGACACGACCTATCGCATGAATATGTAATCGTCCGTCGTCCGCTTTTCTCCTTTGTTGATCTCCCGGTAACGTCGCACACCCACTTCTCGCACACCCCCACATTTCGCACACCTATAAATTGGGTCATCATGAGGTATTCATCAACTTCATAACTATAAGTCTGATTCGTCTCCTGCAACTGTGATACTATCGCCAGTTTTAATAGGTAATTCAGGCTCGCTAGATTCATCTGAGCTATCCTCAATTTCGCCAGCCTCAATTTGGGCTTTGTGAATTGCCTCAATGTTGGCAAACTTCGAATTTGGGCTCATTTGGACCTTACGCCGCTTCCGTACCATTCCAGCCTCAACTTCTGCTTCCAACATTGCAATCTTCTTCTCTGCTGTAGCCAATTGATAGTCCTTTTCATCAAATCCCTTTTGAACCTTCCGAAACAACAGTCGCTGCGTTTGCTGATCTTTATCCAACTTGCTGAATAAGCTAAGTTGATCATATAGATCAACTGTCTTCTTGGGCGTTGACCAGGCTACTATGGATGTAGCAGATGCCCAGTTTTCGTCTTTTCCACCATCAGAGGCCCTCATAGGCGTAGAATAGCCTGGCTTTGAGGGCTTGGAAGCATTCTCAAGCAGTAGAGGGCTCATGAGCGGTCGAGCTATCGAAATGGGCCATAGTCCTGTTGCTTTCCAGCCGCTTCTGATATTCTTGCTTGAAAATGCCATCTGGCGTGCTTTTCCATAGCAGGTAAGAAAGTTCCGTTTGCCTACAACTGTAGAATCGTTGTGTTGAATGAGGTATCCAAGCTCTTTTCGATAGGTCGCCTTGAGAGGCCCAAAGACTGCTTGGTCTAGAGGTTGGAGAACGTGGGATGTATGTGGCGGTAGGAAAAGGAGATATATCTTGTGTTTATAACAGAGATACATAAATTCTGTTGTTTCATGACTGCCATGACCGTCTAGGATCAATAGTCTCTGCTCAGAGGGATGATCAGGCTTAGTCAGAGGGATAAAGATGTTCTCAAGCCATTCCACAGCTGTAGAGTCTGAAGTCCAGCCATTCTCAGTTGCTGTGAACTTCCAACCACTGTAAATATCACGTTTATGGATATCAAGAGGAAACCATTGTTGTTGAACCGATTTCCCTCGATAAATAACAAGTGGAGGAAGCGCCTGACCAGTTGCAGAGACACACTCAAGCATAGTTGTCCAAGCCCGAGACCCAGGCTGTTTTTTTCGCATTGATGAGCTTTCTGATGATCCCAGTACTAAGCCATTTGATCCTCTGCCTTCTAGGATACCAGTTTCATCCATGTTATAGCGATGATGTGGTTTGATCGCCTTGATCTCTGGAAGGGCGAGTTGTTGAAACCATTGCCTGATTACATTAGTTGAGGCCCCATTGACACGCTTAGAATCGATGGCTCTAGCTCTATGAACCTTGATTGATGGATTTCTCTTAATAAAGAACTGAATCCAGTGTTACGGCCAGCTAACTGACAGTGGGTTTGTGTTAACAGTAAGCCAGGGATTGAGAGTAGTAACAGTCGTTCCGTGGTCCTGGTCGAATAGATCGTAGATCTTCAAAGGTCTTGGTGATCAGTCAAGGCCTTAACAAGAGTCGTAGAGTAGTCGTCACTTAGGTATAGCTGAAAGTACCGGTTAGGGTAATCACGAAGTTGATTGCTGAAGAACTAGGAAAGGTAGGACTCGAGAGGACTCGAGTCCCAACTATATACAAGTCTGGTTCCATGCTGAACACTTCCTGATCCTGGGGGACCGACACCCAGGACGTCGGTCCATCGCCATGGACCGCCCTTGGCACCGTCGGTCCTGTCCCAGGACCGCTTATCGTCCGTCGGTCCTGCTTATCGTCACGTGACCTGTATCCTAGTTCTTCCGTTCCGTGGGGGTTGTTACGACGTAACGGCTGACGGCCGTCCCTATAACCGCTGAAAAAAACATCAACAACAGCGAGAACGAAATTTTTGAAAATCGGAGCAAAAACGGCCCCAAATACGCGTGCTCGCGGCCACAGAGCCCCCTTCGATGCAATGCCATCCTCGGCCTTGATTCTACGTCCCAAAGGGGCCCAAGATGGCCGCAGAGCACGCCCCGACTACAATGAAAAACTTGAGAGCAAGCCGCAAAATACGACATATCAATAGACAACACTGTTACCACCACCACAGGCGAGCCACAAGCCGCTACACGAAGCACTAAGACTGCGCCCAAACAATCAACTTCAACACAACAGCCGCCGACAGGTTTTGGGTCACCTGTCACCCCCGACAAAGTTTGCAACGTCCCACAACGACGAAGATGAGTCCGACAGAACAGTATCACCTTCCGCACGGAGAAAGCACCAGGCATTAGGCATGCTACGATCGATGCCACACAATACTACAGACCACAGACAGACTGGTCCCCTGTCGCCCCTTTTGCGAAGAAGGATTGGTGTCCCTTCAACGCGCGACAATGTCTGCGGAATCTGTGCGGGAGCTCTCATACCCAGTAATCGAACATGTCGGAGTCAGTGGAGCATTGTGCTTCGTGGAAGACCCTTGGGCCAATGTGGTGGAGGGCAATAGTGGTCAACAGGCAAGAAACAAGAGGCCACATAGGAACCCGGCAGGAGGCAACAAAGAATTTACAGATGCAACTGAGAAAACGGCACATACAAGTCCGGGAGGATACGGACAAAACAAAGAGACAAAGCTGAGCGCTGGGGGGAGACTGTAGGTACAAAGAACCAGATACGGTGCTACCAGCACCAACTGAACCGAAGCAGGAGGACGCAAAACAAGCATTCTAGAGAGCAACACAAAAGCGAGAAAGCAGACAGGAGAGCAACACACTTCTTCAACAGAGGGCACAAACACACAGAATAGAGAACATAGTGGGGAGCTTGGGGATAGCTGGCCCTGATGCAACATCAGGGCGAAGTGGGGCGTCGCTGTTCATTGTCGACGCTTCGGCTACCTGCCAAACCCCGCTTTCCGGGCATAGCTGCTGGCATAAGAGCGGCTTCATAACCGAGTAGGAATAAATCAATCAATCAATCAAACCCTATAACCGCTGAGCCCCTGCGGGGTCGTCGTCAGTGGTCTGTTAACTGTCGGGTCGTAACATCCAGTTTCTCCCAAGTGGCTGGGTAGTGCCTCTGATGTCTAGGATTCGCTGGGCAAATTCCTTGAGTTGTTGATGTGTTGGCGGCAGCCCTAACGCCGCCTGGATACGCACCCATTCAGCTAAGTGACTTTCCTGTGCTGGAGATAGCTTCTGGAAGCTAGAGAAAGCTACATTTCTTGCCTGTGAACCCTTTAATCGAGACTGGAGGGTTGATGGTGGAATTCCAGCATCATGAGCTGCCTTTCGGACACTCTGCCCACTTGCAACTGCATTGAGAGCTTGATTGACTTCTGTTTCCGTATACTGGCCCATTAAGCGTATAAGAGTAACTATTCAAAGAACTATAATAATCGCTGTAAAAGTGGTGAAGATATTAAAGAATGTTGAAGAGGGTAAAATTCTACATGAGCGATTTATGGGTGTGCGAAATGTGGGGGTGTGCGAGAAGTGGGTGTGCGACGTTAGTGAATGCGTATCCCTTTGTCGCCGCCCAGTTGTTGATTGACATAAAAAGCTCATCGCGAGATTTATGATCGCTTTCAGGGGGGAGACTGTCGTCTGGGAATGTGAGTATTGAGTCTTTGAGAGCTATTTTCATTTTTAAGAATATATGACTGAAGTGCTGGATGCAAATAACGCGTGAAAGGTGTATGACACAAGACGCGTTCATTGACGTGGGCAGGTTGCTTAGTCATTTCCACGGGTACCCGTGAAATTTTACACGCACGGGTACCCGTGAACCTATTGGGAGCCCATCAGCCTTTGCGGCATTTCTGGCTGCAATTTGGTGAGGTTGAAATTGGATTATGTGGCCAATCAAGTGCCAAAGTTCTCGTCCCTACCTTGCGAACTGGGTTATCGTCCCGTCAGATGGAAACAGAATCTCCAGCTCACCTCAAGACCTCACTGATCAGAGGTCTTCCCCTAACCAGAGCTGTTTGAAGTCCGCCGATACGCTGAGGATTCGCGCACCTTGCTGTATATCGTTTTCGCTCCTCTGATCGTGACGGATGAGAGGCTCCTGCGTGTAATAGTGTGGCTTCAGTCAATTAAAGTCGATAGCTCTGGTGAGGAAGAATTACGGCCCAAACGAACGAGTGAATGGTATTTATTAAGTGCTTGTCTGCCAATCTGCCAGTCTGATCGTCGTTTTTGCAATTGCTAATGTCTGCCATCCGCGATATACAAGCAAAGATAAAAAGGAAGAAGTCCTATATGAGATCCCTACCCTTAGGGCCATGATTAGGAAAACTACCAAGCTAAATCTTTTATCATACGCGCGTGTCGGGATACGAAATCTTGACTATATTATAAGATAGATAATTATTATTTAAAGGTTTATTTGAAAGTCGATTAAAAAGTCGATTAAAAAGTCGATTAAAAATTCGATTAAAAATTCGATTAAAAAGTCGATTATAAATTCGATTTAAAATTCAACTTAAACATCGGCTAGCTAAAGACCTTGCCTGGGTAGGTTTCTACGAGACATCTAGATATTACTAATACTGTATAGACTTCTGCCTACCTTGTCGATAAGCAACCTTCCCCCTGTTATAAAAGGCGTAATGGAAGTAATCTTATGGAATGGGTTTAGGCAGGCAACCCTAATGTTTGTAGTAACTGTAGTACTCCCCGGCCAGCTGATGACCGCGACTGGATTGGTATCTGTGAGGCTTCTAGATGCTTGACATGCTATTTGTGGCAGATCAACCATGCAGGTGAAGAGCGCCCATTTTGTCTTTGGACGACGGAGGAAGACATGATCGTAGCGCATCCAGAAACAAACAAACCGCAACATGAGTTTGCGAGAATAAATAACCCTTACTTGATAAAATTAAATCAAGAGGGCCATTTGTATCTAGGCCTTGCGCCTGGTATGGAAGGCTCTCGCTGTTATTATTCTCAGCCTCATTTAATCTCAAAGAAAAGATTTGCAAGGTCGTACGGTGCCATTGTAATGTGACTTCGATTATCGTAGGATCTTGTCTTTAGGTGCCTTGATGTTTGTAGATCGGAGTAGGAACTTGATGGCATCTGCGATGACTTCAGATTGTGAGATTAGCACAGGATCATCAGACGGCAGGCTTAATATTACTTATCGCCTCAATTTATTTATTTAACGTGAATCCGCGTGAACTTCGATGAAAGTGTAAATACAGTGAAGTCTGTCGTCTTTGGCGTCGCTAATGCCTGGTTGTTCTGATTCGTGAGCTGTGTGGTGAATATTTTGCTGCTTACGATGCGAATCTCGTTGCGCTGCCACCTCCGCTGTCCTTGGTGATGTGCTGGAGGTAGGCAGGGTTACGTACCTTCAAAGAAGTTAACTACGTTTGCGCCCATCGCGGACGCTAAAAGCAGTTGCTCCTTGTGTCATGAGTGGCTGATTGTTCCATTTCCCACCTTTGACGACTGTGGTGCATCGGGCGTGGTTCCTCGGTACTGTTATGGAGACAAGCGATTACTGGATAGCATTGATGTCTGGAGATTGTCACTGTTAGCGTAGGTTATCTTTAATGATGGGCCGATATGTTATGAGTCGCGATAACTGAGTTCTGGTGGGTTAATTGTTGTTGTGGGCCGGACGAGCTCGGCAAGGTCATCTTTAACAGGTTTAAGGTGGGAGGCGTAGCAATGGTCGCGGCCAGCGGTAAAGCCAAGAAGGACATTCATGGGGATGATGCTCCCGCCGAGTCACGTCGCACGAAAACCTTATGCTCCACATGCATCACGACGTGTATGTAACTAGAAGACTCAGTAGCCAGGGGGTTTACACTGTTTTGATCAGAAGCTTAGACGTAAAATGACCTTTTCTTGAGATCTTCTCAACTGAACAAACACAAACACATTGAATCACTGTATTTATCCTCGGTTGAAGATTACCAGGCATCACCAACACCACAAGTGTCATCGTTTGACACAGGGAACTCGGGGACTTCCTAGGACAACGAATTCTCTGGCCGCACTCAACAAACGCAGAACAGTCAACAAGGCTATTGGAATCATATGATAGGCTGATATCTTTAAGAAATGTAGGTAAAAGAAAACAGTGAAAGGTGAAATGATGTTGAAGGGGATGAGGTGCGTAGATACGTATCACTCCCGTTTATCTACCTTGGTGAACCTCACGACACACAAACATCAGCAATGAATCATTACGAAATGAAACACTTGTTAAGAACTAGAAAGTCCAATTTGTGGTTGATTAAATCCTAAGCTATAGTGAAGTCGTCTAAGCTCTTGCAATCAGGAGACTTGGGAAGACGCGTCACGCGCTTGAGCTTCGCGCTACTTAGCTTCCCGCGAGGGGTATACGATTTCCAGCTCAAGAAACTCCTTAGCAGTAATACCCGGCAGGATAGGGCGTTTGTTTTTAACAGTAGGCTTGGTCGTGTCACGATGCTCGCCATGGGCATCCAAGCCGATACTGGCAAAATGATGAGTGACTTGAGCGGTGGCACTTGCTTGGCCACCTGCAAATCCCTCAGACTTGCCACCCTTAGGCCAACCAGTCTTTGTGTTCAACTGGCCAGCGCCGGCGTTTTGTTTGCCATCGCCATTCTGCTGACCAGGGATGGTCTTCTCTGGAGCATCGTCGGTATGAAGGCCCGACTCTGCATCTTTCGCTGCCATACTTTTGGCTTCAACTTCCTGCTTGGGCAGGTTGGCTCGCTGGTGCTCATAGGTATCTTGAGGGCTTTTTTGCTGCTCCTCCGGAAGCTTTGGGTAACCACGTTCTGGCTGCTCCATTCCTGGCGCTGTGTCACCTTCTGGCGGGATACTTGTTGCGATTCTGATGAGGATCTTCTGTAGTTGATTTTGAGTTTGATGATGGTAAACTTGGGTTGTGATTGTGTAGGAGTGCACAAATTAAGCGGTACAAGAGAGAAAAGTAGACCCAACGAGGCAAGAAGGTAGCGAATGTTGAAGGAGGAAGGTGTGTAGGTACGTATCTCTTCCGACTTACTGCTCCCACCTTGTCCTGAGGCTGCCCTTTGTGCCTCCACCTGCTTTGAATGCAGAAAGGCTCTTGGGATACCGAAGAACAAATCAAACTACAGGAAAGACACAACAGACTCGAGAACGCTTTTAGCACACCAATGCCTCTTCCCAACTTCTGAATAGTGTTTTCGCTGAATACTTCCCGTCTGGTATATTTCATGGCCTTTCGTTGCCAGCACGTAAGATAATGCGAAAGCCGAATCCTCTTCTCAATTCCTGATCTGACCACTTTTACACCTCTCAGTCATCAATTCCCCCGCCTTACCTACTAACACTTCGTAGGCTTCGCCCCTATACCTGATCACTCCTCACTGCCTTACATGACAGCGGTTGTTGACAAAATTGCCTATCTTCGGGGAAAGGAACGCACCCTGGAACGGTCAGTCCTCACAAGACTGCCAAAAGAGGACGACTAACCTGATCAGTGAGAGCTGTGCACTCTCCTGGTCCTCGCCTTGGGATGTTCACCTCGCAGGCCCAGATTCTCCGATCCAACCACCTCACACCATCAAATTTCTTTTCCCAGGTAACCACTCACAACTCTGGCACGCCTAACTCTGCCGTTCATTCGCGGTTCACTCCAAATGACCTTCCTTTTCCGATGTGTTTTCTGCAACAACAAGAAAACACGCGCAAGAAGACTAAATCGAGCATTTACCCTCCCGCTAGCCCGCCAACCGCGAAACGTTCCTGAAGCGACCTTTTCCATCAACGGCTATACCTCCAGCGTCACCATCTCCGACTCCATCATCGCTCAGGGCCAAGAGACGCACTATTGTGGCGGTCTTACGCAGACGGATGGCGGAGTAAGCCTCTTCAAGAGACAGCTAGATACCAGTGAAGTCGGTCACTTTTGGCGTCACTCACCATGCCTAGCTGTTCTGGTTTGTGAGCCGTGTGGTTGAATATTTTGATCACTGAACGAATCGATGCGATTCTTCTTGTGTTGCTACGTCCGCTATCATTGAGGGTGTTACTGGAGGCGTATACCGTACCTGCAAGGAAGTTAGCCGTCCTCCCGTTCCATGACTGCTTTGCATTGCACCACCTACACTGAAAATTGACTGCTCCTCGTGCTTTGAATGGTTGATCTTTTCTGTTCCATCGTTGGTGACTGTGTTGCATCGAACGTGACTCTTCAATATTCTTAAGCAGGCTGGGTATGTAATTACTGAAAAATGTTGATTATTCTTTTGTTGGATATTGTTCGCCCAGGTTGTTTTTATTCATGTAGCTATTACATCATGAATCGATTTCAGGTCGTTTGTTTGTTTGTTATTGAAGGTCGGTGTGAGTTCAGCAAGGTCATCTCCAACAAGCTCGAGATGGGCGACCGGCGGCATCAGGAAGGAGAACAATGATGATATTGATCCCGCAAAGATGCGTGCCGTCATGGGCACGTGTGTTTAGCCAAGATCGTGGGTTTGTCATGGAAAAGTCCCTCTCAATTTTGTTTGCTATTTAACGGAGGAGGATATGAGGCGGTGCTCAAATAATATCTCTTTTGACTTTTATTCTTTGTGTATGCTCTGTTTGTTCAAGTGATGTGCATGATGAGTTCAGACACATGTTTGGATCGTAACTAGCTACGGTACAGTTATGCCAATCAGAGGGTACATCCGCTACTGACGAGCATTGTCAGTTTTTGTTCAAAGCTAGTCTACAAAGCCGTCTCATTGTCTCTTCCATCCATGGAGATCTGCTCTTCAAACGTCTTCTCAAGGCTCTAAGACGTGATGCTTTGCGCTGGCAGCTTAGGTATGAGATCTTCCGAACCGCAGCATCTAGGAAGTATGGCAGATCTACTGGGCTAAATGTGCTCGTAACTGGATTTGCGAGGGACAATCTGGACCTTGCTTTTGCTTGACGGGCATGACTGGAGTTGTTGACTTCTGCTCTGAAGGCTGCCTCGCAGTAGTAGCGCGAGTCTCGACGTTTGAATCGACTACTTCCTGTCCAACTTCGATCCGAAATTCCTTTTTAGACTTCTCGCTGACGGCGTTCTGTATGTTTTCCGGTCGCTCCTTGATCATTCGCAGGATATCGAAAAACTTACTCGAGCCGTACCTTGATTGCCTAAGAGTTAAACCATTCTTATTAGTTTTCCTGGACATTCTGTTCCGCTTTGGAAGTTCGTTGCAATTGACCTAGGTAGTGTATCGGACGCGATTTCAGTAGAAGTGTACGATAGTAGTTAAGCGGTGGCATCTGATCGTAATGGCGTCATGGGTAAGGATGTGAGAGTGTGATGTGAACAAAAAGAATGTATCTCTCGAGCTGGCCGCCGAGAGCTGGACCCTAGGACAGAAGACCGGACGCCGACCGATACTAGTACTAACCCACTCAAGTAGAAATCTTGGCTTGCCTTCCTTGACACTTGGCTGTCTGTCCTGCCTCTATCTAGCGTCTTTCTTGGCTCTAACGTCGCACACCCACTTCTCGCACACCCCCACATTTCGCACACCCATAAATTGGGTCATCATGAGGTATTCATCAACTTCATAACTATAAGTCTGATTCGTCTCCTGCAACTGTGATACTATCGCCAGTTTTAATAGGTAATTCAGGCTCGCTAGATTCATCTGAGCTATCCTCAATTTCGCCAGCCTCAATTTGGGCTTTGTGAATTGCCTCAATGTTGGCAAACTTCGAATTTGGGCTCATTTGGACCTTACGCCGCTTCCGTACCATTCCAGCCTCAACTTCTGCTTCCAACATTGCAATCTTCTTCTCTGCTGTAGCCAATTGATAGTCCTTTTCATCAAATCCCTTTTGAACCTTCCGAAACAACAGTCGCTGCGTTTGCTGATCTTTATCCAACTTGCTGAATAAGCTAAGTTGATCATATAGATCAACTGTCTTCTTGGGCGTTGACCAGGCTACTATGGATGTAGCAGATGCCCAGTTTTCGTCTTTTCCACCATCAGAGGCCCTCATAGGCGTAGAATAGCCTGGCTTTGAGGGCTTGGAAGCATTCTCAAGCAGTAGAGGGCTCATGAGCGGTCGAGCTATCGAAATGGGCCATAGTCCTGTTGCTTTCCAGCCGCTTCTGATATTCTTGCTTGAAAATGCCATCTGGCGTGCTTTTCCATAGCAGGTAAGAAAGTTCCGTTTGCCTACAACTGTAGAATCGTTGTGTTGAATGAGGTATCCAAGCTCTTTTCGATAGGTCGCCTTGAGAGGCCCAAAGACTGCTTGGTCTAGAGGTTGGAGAACGTGGGATGTATGTGGCGGTAGGAAAAGGAGATATATCTTGTGTTTATAACAGAGATACATAAATTCTGTTGTTTCATGACTGCCATGACCGTCTAGGATCAATAGTCTCTGCTCAGAGGGATGATCAGGCTTAGTCAGAGGGATAAAGATGTTCTCAAGCCATTCCACAGCTGTAGAGTCTGAAGTCCAGCCATTCTCAGTTGCTGTGAACTTCCAACCACTGTAAATATCACGTTTATGGATATCAAGAGGAAACCATTGTTGTTGAACCGATTTCCCTCGATAAATAACAAGTGGAGGAAGCGCCTGACCAGTTGCAGAGACACACTCAAGCATAGTTGTCCAAGCCCGAGACCCAGGCTGTTTTTTTCGCATTGATGAGCTTTCTGATGATCCCAGTACTAAGCCATTTGATCCTCTGCCTTCTAGGATACCAGTTTCATCCATGTTATAGCGATGATGTGGTTTGATCGCCTTGATCTCTGGAAGGGCGAGTTGTTGAAACCATTGCCTGATTACATTAGTTGAGGCCCCATTGACACGCTTAGAATCGATGGCTCTAGCTCTATGAACCTTGATTGATGGATTTCTCTTAATAAAGAACTGAATCCAGTTTCTCCCAAGTGGCTGGGTAGTGCCTCTGATGTCTAGGATTCGCTGGGCAAATTCCTTGAGTTGTTGATGTGTTGGCGGCAGCCCTAACGCCGCCTGGATACGCACCCATTCAGCTAAGTGACTTTCCTGTGCTGGAGATAGCTTCTGGAAGCTAGAGAAAGCTACATTTCTTGCCTGTGAACCCTTTAATCGAGACTGGAGGGTTGATGGTGGAATTCCAGCATCATGAGCTGCCTTTCGGACACTCTGCCCACTTGCAACTGCATTGAGAGCTTGATTGACTTCTGTTTCCGTATACTGGCCCATTAAGCGTATAAGAGTAACTATTCAAAGAACTATAATAATCGCTGTAAAAGTGGTGAAGATATTAAAGAATGTTGAAGAGGGTAAAATTCTACATGAGCGATTTATGGGTGTGCGAAATGTGGGGGTGTGCGAGAAGTGGGTGTGCGACGTTAAGGTCTGTGGCTTTGTTGTCCTAATTGTTGGTGTGGGCGGGAAACCCATCAGAGCTCGACGCTGGATCCTTGTTTTCGAAGTGTTTTGGTTTGTCCGCTAAGATCCTAAGGGGAGGCGCGCCAGGAATTACTTTTGATATCGTCAACGACCTCATGACAGCTTGGTTGTCGATGTGGGCGGAGGCATTTGCTCCTGTGGTTCCCATTTTCCCTGTCTGTGTAGACGATCTCAGAATGGTGCCTTGAAGATATCTCCGTCGCACACTGTCGACGCTATTTAATGTAGCGCGTGGTTCGGGGATTGCTACTTTCCCCCCATCCAATGCGGTCTTGGGGTGGCAGTTTAGGTGTTTGCGAGGTAGCTCAGCCTGATTGTTATTGCGATGTGTGTTAACTTGCTCACGGTTTTTAAGAGGGCTATTGACTGATATGCTAAACTGCATAGTGGTCTTTTCCTGACATTTTCAATACTGATCACCCATCAACGCCTATGCGATCTGTCCAAGTGATGTGTATGACTACTTATCTCATTTTTATTGTATTTACAGACAAAATCTCGGTAAGATACAGTTCCATAGCTGTCAAGCAGTACTCGTACTCCTCATGAAAGTTGACCTTTGTTTGTTCAAATCTAACCTTCCAAGTTGTCTCAGTTCCACTCTCAACCCAGGCGGAAGGTTTTCCCGGCATCTGTATTAGATCAGAGGACCTAGTTCTTCGCAAATGTTGGGTTGGTCGAAAGGAATTTCCGGACTTCAGCATCAAGAAGTCATGTGAAGTGTGACAGGTCTCTCGAGCCGAGTGTGCCTGACTGGAGTGATGTAGGGGCGCCGCGCCATTTCGGTCTTGCTTTTGCTTGATAGGTGTAGCTGTAACGACTAGCTGGTCTCCTGAAGGCCGGCTCAAGCTGCACCTTGGTTCTCGACCCTCCATATCACCTTGTCTTGCTCCAACTTGGTCTTGAACTCTTCCATAAACTTCTCACGTGGCTGTCATAGCTTCTTGTTGAGAGTGTTTCGCATCTTGTCAGATTGCTTCGTGATCGCTCCTTGATTGTTCACTGAATGTTCAAAGGCTGGCTCGGGGCCATTTCTTGACGATCGGTCTTCTAGATGTGCTTTGTTCCTCCAAAATTCTGTTTCATCTTCCGAGCACATAACACCTGACTTTGCTGTTGATTTGAAAGGCGGTTGCCGCATAGGTGGCTAGCCGGACGGCCCTCTTATGGAAAACGGGGTTCTATTAGACGTGATCGACTTCGCCGCTGTGAAACTTTGCGCCAGATGCTGTTCTCAGTTTGGTGTTAGCAGGAGCACCTTCCAGGCGTAGAGTATGAAACGTGGAATTGTAACCATCGATGCCTTGGTTGATACTGCGATTCTTGAAACACAGATACATGGAACTGATACCGAGACCTGTTGTTGAGAATCATGAATGCTTATTTACCAACCTTCGGCGTTGGCTCGGTAGCTGATAATTTGACAGTCCTGCTACTGAATTTGTTAGTCTGTGTCATGGCAAGATGTCTGGACGTACAATCAGTGTAAGTTTCACGTGGTGAAAGCCCATGTGCGGGCAAAAGTAAACAAACGGTAACGTGATTCTCATGATGTGTGAAAGTACAGCAGAAGTGGTGGTTGAGGAGTGAAAGTGGGAGGTGCGGTCTCCCAGCCGTCACGTGAAAAGAGAAAAAGGCTGCGATCCATTTTAGCCACACGTGCTGGGCGTCTGGTGGCGGTGCCTGGCTGGTGCCGCCACACGGCTCCGTTTGATGATATTGCGACAACCAGGTTAGAGATGTGCTCGAAACCTCAACAAGCGCAACTTGAATGGAAAGGACTCGTGACATCACGGAACAGACAAACGAACATTGACCCGCCCAGTATCAGCTGCGCAACTGTAGATACAAGGATTATTTACTAACAAGCACAACTATATATCATTCAGAAGAGATAAAAACGAAGCCACCACAACAATCCTGCTATTTACTGAATACCAACGAGTCCACACACTCAGTAGACAGAAGGAACCAGTGAGTTGACGTAGATCTCAAGGTTCGTGTAACCGCCGGCCCCAATCTTCATACCATCAGACGCGTCGTTAGGGTTGAGACCGTTCGCAGACTCATACTCGTCAGGAATACCGTCGCCGTCAGTATCCTTCTTGGCCGTGCCGGCCGCAATGGTTCCGACGCCTCCCATTTCAGACTCATTGGAGATAAGCTTGCCAGACTTTCCGTACGACTCGAGCTCCTTGATAAGGGCGATGTCGACACTGTCGCGGGTGATAGAAGCACCAGCCTTAGCAATGACGTGTTTTACTGCGTCAGCAGCAGAAAGGAGCTTGGCAGGCCCAGGGTAATTGAAGGGGCTAGTCTGAATAGCCATGTCCGAGTAGCAGGTACTGGAGACGCAGAGGGGAACGCCATCAAGGACGCCGTCACGGTTGGCGTCGTAGAAGTTGTCCTTGACATACCCCCGAAAGTTCGCGTTTCCGCGTGTCACAGGTTTGCCCGACGTAGCACTTCCTGAAATAAAGTAGTTGTTCTGAATGTTCGCATAGCTGGCACCTGCGCTGTCTCCAGCAATGTAGGCTGCGACTCCCCAGTTATAAACCACGTTGTTTTGGAAGTCGTTGACGCCTTTGACTTTAGCATTGCGAGTGTTATTGTCGATGTAGGCATTCCTGAATAGCGAGACGCCTTTATCTGTCTGTATTAGACCGCCACAAGAGTGCGTCTGGAGGCCCTGGGCAATAATAGAGTCGGTGATGCTGATATTTTGCGCGTTGTCTCCATTGATAGAGAACACCTCATCTCGGCCCCAGCTGGCGGACACATGATCGAATATCATGTTTTTGCCTTCGGCGATGCCGATAGCGTCCTTACCGCTGTCTCCGCCTCTGCCCATGCGAATACGGATGTAGCGGACGATGGCATCGTTGGCATTGGAAAAGCTCCAGCCGTTGCCGTAGACGGTAATCTGAGTTTTTGTTAGTTAGACGAATGTGTATTGAAAGTCCAAAAAGCAAACCATTGCGAGGGCAGACCAGATTTCCTCTCGAGTCGCTTTAGGCGTCTTAGGACCCCAACAATATATGAAATACAGCAACCACTTACACTTGAGGGCGATGTTTGCCCAGCTATATAGATGTTCTTTGAAACCACGATGCGAGAAGAGATTTTGATGACACCACCAACGTCAAAGACGACGATGCGGTTGGGCTGGGAGACGGCGTCACGGAGGGACCCGGCACCGGAATCGCTGTGGGGCCGGATGTTAGCGTGGCGCTAACGGAGATAAGCACACACCCATTTCCTCCCTTATCAAAACCACGCCGTCTGCATCATGAAGTCCTCAACAATGTGTCTGGGCTAGTTCGAAGAAGATGTGAATGCAACTTACTTGAGATTGACGACCTTGTAGACCTGGCCAGTACGGCCCCCGACTGCATATTTGCCAAAGCCTTCTGCCCCAGGAAATGCGGACGGGACGGCGTTCTGACGAGCGACCTTTGTGCCGGTCCAGCCGGCGACACCACAATCCGCCCTGTTGATTGATGTTTAAGCCGAGGAAAGATCAGACGGAAACGGGTATCTTACGATGGGTCCTTGCACGGGAGAGCCACAGTATTCTGGAAGAGGAGGGCCGGAGCGGCCAGCAGAATAGCGGATGCTTTCATAATAAGAGAACGAAACAAAGAGTGTACCAGACAAGTTCAAACTAAAGGGGAAAGAAAAAAAGACCAAAAGGGAGTATTTGGGGTCTTGAGGAATGGCAGGTACAGCAGGAAGCAAAGGGAAAGAATTAAGCTCCAGACTATGTAGGTCCCGCGTTGTTTTTGAAGGCTGCGAAGGTGCAACACCAGAGAAGGGGGTTATATCAACAGCTCTAGTCCACTGGACTGGGATACTTTCAGCGACCGGACTTGTCATCAGGCTGTGACAGAAAAGGATATTAGAGGATGATACGGGCAGGTTGTATGGCTTGTTCGGGTGCTTTTGCCCGGTATGTACCCTGACGCTGACGGGCGACAAGTCCCACTCTCCTTCCCAATTTGTATTGATGCCCTGATCAAGCAACGAAAAGGTAAAAAAGGGAGTGTATATCGGAGTGATCCCAAAACCATTGGTGGGAATGAGTTTGTAGCCAATCCAGTATGGTTCGGGGGCAGAGGCGAGAGGATGCCTGTTTAGGAAGTACCGTGCGGGGAACCCTTGCGGCGTCGTAGCGTTTTGTTGATATTGAAGGGCGCCAGGATCCACTCACGGTCGGGGGTTGATAGCACGAGGCAGGATTTCGTGTTTTCAGATTAATGAGGTACATGCAAGAGGTTCAAACTTGGGTAGTATTTAGGAGAATCGCAGCTGCTCAGTATTGAAAAGTTATGCTTGGCTTTTTGATCAGTCGGTCGAGAGCTTTCCCACCTGTCAAAGGTCATTCTCTTTTCCAACGGTCAGAAGTCGTCGCACATCGAGAGGTACATTGACAGAACAAGCTACCGAACTAAATCAAAAACAGTCAATAAGAGCAAAAAGCGAGGCGACTCGTTTCTGACAAAGGCGAATTTTTTCTCCAAGGTGACTCACGTTACCATTCATACTCGTTCAGAGGTTCACCTGTGCGGCCAGAACAGTTGAAAAGATTGAAGCGACGCTATGGTGGTTCACTGCAAGGCAGGCAAGGCGTCTGCCAAATTTGCTACGACTTACATATGTGAGATTGGTCAATTGCATACCTAGGCATGATTCGTCATAAGCTGAGTGCAACTTCAATCTCGACCGCAGCGCTGAGATTAGTACCAAATCCATGAAAGGTACAACAGGAGCTGCATGAGTATATACATTTACATATTTGCCTAATCTTCAGTCCGTGCAATGGCGTGTAGAGCCGGTAGTGTGCTTCCTAAGATCGCTATGGAATGTGGGGAAAGGCATCATGAATGGTGTTCACGCTGTAGATGTAAGGTTAGAAGAAAGGCAAGTCGATTCAACGAGGAAAGGAGGCTGCGAAAAAAACAAAAGAAAGTTCAGAGAAAGAAAGGGAAAAAAAAAGAGTAAAATCATGGGTTCCTTCTTTTGAGTCAGGTCTCCCGCAGCTTTTTCTGACACTCTTGCCTCCACTCAACTCCTTCAGTCAAATTTGATAAAGCCCGTCTATCCCAATTCTGCAGATACATTTAAATTTTGGGAAATACAAGAGCTTTCTATGGATCCAGCAACTTACCATGCATGCAGAAAGTCTCTGTCGCTCTCTTTCGAAGACTTACCTTATCCTCTGACTTTTGCAGGTTAGCTGGCTTGGGCCAAGGCGAACAAAAATACGTTCTTCGCTAATTATCCTGACTTGTCGGCCCAGATTAACAGAGAATTAGAAAAAACAAGCTGGCTTGAGCCAAGGCGAACAAAAACATGGCCTTTGCCAATTATCCTGACTTGTCAGTCCAGATTGACAGAGAGTTAGAAAGAATTAGCTGGCTTGGGCCAAGTTGACAGAGAGTTAGAAAAAGGATGTAAGTAAACTACTACTCTCTTTCGAAGATTTGCCTTATCCCCTGACTTTTTGTCAGGGACGCGAGCGCTACGGAAGGGGAGACCGGGCTCGGGGCTGGGGGATCACCGGCGGGGCGCCGGTGGGACACCGACAGGAACTACGATAAACCACATGAGGGATGAAGGGACGCGGCCAGGAAGGTTTAGAGGAGGCAGATTCGAGTGATAGTATAATCTACCCCCTACGTTGTGTTATTATTAATCTTTCATTCCGTGCAACACCCAGCCTGACACACACCTCCTCTCTCCCAGAGAGTGGGCTGGACGAGAAATGAAAAGCTATTTGCGGAGTAGAGAGAGAGAGAGAGAGAGAGAGAGAGAGAGAGAGAGAGAGAAAACCCTAACAGCCTACCGTGTCAAATCATTAAACTATGCTACCGCTATCTTATATCGTCTTTCTCAGTAGTCCCACAGCTAGCTCCCCAACCCTTAACCAGCTTTGACGTTGCTTCTATTGCATTCTCTCACCTATATACTTTCGTAAGATGAGATAACAGCTCAAGGATGAGACCTGACGAACACGTAAACTTTGCAGTCCCTCAGTGCTCCCTTTACTGGCCAGTGAGCAGGTATTCAAGTGGCAGCAATACAAAAAATACCCTGCCAGCAGGGCGAGCAACTTTTCTCATGAACACCGCCTGGTTGCTTCGGTCAAGAATCTGGGAGTGGAAGACAGATGACGCACGTGGGCAAAAATGCGACATAAAAACGCCCCAGGCTACGACTCTTGCAGGTTGGCTGGCTTGGGCCAAGGCGAGCAAAAACACGGCCTCCGCTAATAATATGTAACGTGATATGCCCGGAAGTAAGCGTGGGCTGGGCCCCACGCCGGCGAACGGACCACGGAGGCGGGACTCGGGGCGGATCTGCCAAACACTGACCGCTTTTCGCGCATAAACCGCGAAACGTCTGGCGAAAATACCGCAAATCCAGGTTCATCTCCTTAAAGTTTAGAGTCTCATAGTAGAAGCACTCATAGGTTGAATAAACCGTGGGCACAGCCCTTCAAATTATCCTCCTGACTTGGCGGTCCAGATTGACAGAGAGTTAGAAAAATGGATGTGGGTAAACTATTATATGACTTTACACCTGACCCTGCTTAGATAAGTCTTAAAACTGTTTGGCTCAAGGGTCCAGGACTTCCAAATGAGGCGCCTTCATTCGGGGGAACAAATGAATAGAGATCAAAGGTTAGAGTACCAACCGTAGCTATCTCCCTTAGGTCTTTGTGGCCCCCATGAAAAGACAGCGCCGACCCAGCGAAGAAGTTCCATGCGCCCTACGTACTCTACCCAGGGTCTTTCACGATAATGGAGTCAACTGGCACTCGATGTTGATATTGATTTATTGAAGCCTCTGTGACCCTACATCACATACTTTCCCACAATAAAGCGGGAATACACTCCATTGACATGTTTTTTTACCGACAGGCATTTGCACCTGTTACTAGCTGAGAGAAATACATGGAACACGTGCGCAATCGCCGTGTAATCGTAGATTATACAAGCCTCAACAACCCCCCAACGTGACCTGCTATGTCTCAAAAGTAACCGCCTTCGCGCTCTCCATCTCGTCCAAAATAAGTTGTATTGACATCCTGACCCTCAGAAAGAATCCATCATCTCTTATGTACCTCAATTCAGAGAAGCGCAATTAATCAAATACTGAATGATCCCCGCATCGCACGAATGTTCCTAACTGCCGGGGAAGTATTCAGCTCAAACTCGCTGGTCTGGTCGCTACCAACGGCCTTTGTGTGCCCACAGTGGCTGGTGCTGTGCCAGGTTCGTCTTTCATCGCGAATGACTTCGATTCTCCTCCCGTCAAGGTGGCTGTCGGCGCTGCTTCCGAGTCGACGACCTTGATGTCGATATCGCATCTCGGTCCATTCTTTCTTAAAAGTTGACCAACTGGTTATGAAGAAAATGAAAGCGTTCCAGACACCTTGAAGTGGAAGTACTGCGGCGCTGGCGACATTTAAACCGAAGCTGATTTCGCCGGGTCTAATAAGGTTGTACACTCGGTTGATAGAGCTCGGAGTCCAGGTCACAAATACGGAGATGGCGAATATGAAACTTGTTCGGAGGTACGCAAGTTTAATAGGGTCTATGCTCTTCAAGCGAGCTGAGAATTTTCCCTTGACAGAGCTGACACGTTCGAGAAGAGAGCGGCGTGGCTCCGGTGGAGGAGGACTAGAAGTGCATGTTGTTTCAAAACGTGGACTGCTTGGAGGCCCCTCAAGTTCATCGCTCGTACGCCACGACCGTTGATTTCGGGCTTGCTGATCAATAAAGTTTCTGGACATCGCAGAAGATGGGGCCTGAGGCGGTGAGTAGAACCTTGGAGTGCTTATGGTGACTTGCACCTCTGTCAAAGCAGTACCGTAGGATTCGGTCCGGGTGGTGAGGTTCTGAGATGTGTCAACGAGGGGCCAGTCATCCGGGATGGCTTCGAGTGACAGGGTATGTACCTTTTCTGCAGAATCACGACCGTCCCCACACGAGTTGTCTCTGCCGTCTTTCGTGGGGTTGCTGAAAGTCACGTTTCGAAGTTGATTGCGTTGATGAAATACATGATAGCCGACGGCGAAATAAATGACGCAAGAGCCAAATATGCAGCACCAAATGGGTATATAGTAGGTATAGATGCGAAGGGCACTCCATTTTGAGTTGATCCAGCACCATAGCTGTGATAATCAGAAAGGCGAATTAAATCGCAACGCACGCTGGGGGATTGGGGTATAAACTTACAGTAGCATCACCATAAATCAAATCATGGGGCCCATCAGGTCGGACAAGGAGTAAACAGATGGCAGGTATGAAGGGGAAACCAAAGCATATCACACAGTAAACCCAGACATGTTGGCGAAATGAGGACGGATTGGCGCCAGCAAAGAAAACAAGGTAGACGTTGATGGCCATGGCAAAAGACCACCAGGGATCGGACTGCATGAACCTGAGAAATGTTAGCTATGTCCAACAATGGAAAGTTTCTGCAGTCAACAGACATTTCAAGGAGGAACGCCTGAACCTGGCACAAAGCTGAGGCCTCACCGATACGGAGTCCATCATATCCTATGGCACAGGCGATGCTCGCACCGATGTTGGCAATGGAGGCAAAAAGTATAAAAAGATTCGGTACAGTTCGAATTGGCTTGAAGGCCCAATAAATGATGAATATCAAAGTGACGCCTATCAATGACAAGCTAGCGCCGACTCTCTCAAGGGCGATGACGATATCGATCTGGCGTTGGGAAAGAGACTCCGAAGTCGCTCTTGCGACGGGGGCACTACGTCCGTCTGCCATGGCCCTTGGCATATGTTGAGTTGACGGATTTTTGTCACCGGGCTCTGTACACAAAAGAATTGCTAAGGGATGAAATACGTTGATTGATCTGGATTGCTCGGTCAGTCTTGATCATTCTCGAACTTTTGGCGAAGAACCTGATGGGGGACCGTGTGAAGGGCATAATTATGTCCGTACCTAGTTGGGACTGTTGAAGCTGAAATGGAAGCCGGAAGGTCGCAACTCGACCAGCCTGATGCAGAGTATATGCCGATAGGGCCGATATAGGAAGCGCAAAGAGCGATGGGAACCGACGACAGACGTAGTACAAGGTACGAAGGTTGAAAAAAAGGTATCCGTAAGGCCCGGGGAGCAGGCGACTGAGAGGTTGCGCCGGAACAGCAGAATAGGTTCCGAATGCGCAGGGCTCAAGTAAGAGGTTGTGTTGCTAGATGGCAGCTTTGTACGACGAGCCGTTGGTCACTGCGGTTTGAAGGGGAGAAACGAAAAGGAGGATCGGTGTGCGTGAGTGGCGATCAGCTGGCTAACCATAGGCCGAAGAACGATGAAGAGGATGGAGAAATCGAACGGCAGGTCAAGTCGTGTATTAATCTTGAGTAGTCCAGGCTAGAAGCCAGAGGTTGTCGAGCAGCTGCATGGCAGTCGGTTGGCTCTGAAGGAAAGGCCAAGTAGGGAGCGGTTACACGGACGAGAAGACTTGAAGCAGACTCTTCATGGGTGGATAGGCGGACGGGGGTTGATGGTGGCTGACTTGGTGGGTGGAGGGGGAGAGAATGTTCAGGATGTGGAAGCCGAGAAGGAAAGTAAAGGAGGTTCAATCAAAGTCAGGCGGCGTTTTTGCTAAAGCAGGGGAAAGAACAAGAGCCAGGCAGTATCTGGAAGACGAGAATGGCGTAAATCCTATCGGAACACGAGGAAGGGCCGACTGCAGGGTGGTTGCTATCCTTCTAGAAGGAGAAATTCACGCAAGGGGGAGAGGAAGGAACAGGTGGTGGCCAAGAGGCGAGGTCAAAATTAGGACACTGTGAGCCAGAAAGGTAGGATCGGATAGATGGAGACGGAGATGGAGATGAGAAGCCACGGCCCTTGGGTGGCACTGATGGCAAGGCTGGCTACCGTTATGGAAGGAGGGTGTGTGATGGCTCGAGTCTTTTGACTCGAGAGCAGGCACTGGTGAACCACGACTTCTACGGAACAACATGTGGAAGAGGAGAAGAAAAAGGAAGAACATGCATAACAAGGGTCTATGGAGGAGGGGGTGATGGGAGGATGGGAGAGACGGCACAAATGAAAGTGCAGAAGCTCTAGGCAAGCAAAAGGCAAACGAGACAAGACAGATTTGACTCGCATCAGCTCAAGCAATCAGCGCCGCAATGTTGGTGAGAATATGGCGTAGTTGCATCTGCAGATCCCCATGCGTGGCTTCTCTGCGGGGGGAGCTGGGCGAGGCTGGGCAGTTGGTATACCCAACCAGGAGGCGAGTGAAGCAAACAAAGTGAGTTGAAATGGGGAGACGTTTGTGGCACACATGCCAGTAGGAAGATGGAAAGGGAATCGGATATTCAACTACGAGGTGTAAGATGAGCAGACAATGATCAATCAGTAAGCAATTGTCACTCCCTGGTGAGTGAATGGGAGTATTTACCCTTTCCCTCCACCATTCCCCTCTCTCGTCTTTTCTTATTGGACGATGAGGCGGAATCACGGGAGACGGAGACAGAAGGCAGGAACCGGCCAAGATATTCCGCATCATAAGGCAAAGAACGATACAAAAACGATTGAGGAATGAACGACGGAGCTAGGGGGTTTAGGAGAAGGACAAGACACCGAATATGCCTTCTAGTAAAACCCAACCTATCAAGAAAGAGCCGTTGGCCTAGTTGCGTGTAGTACTCAGTTGTGCTTACTCTGCCTTCCCCGCCCCCAATCTGCCTTCTACTGCATACCTCATTCAGAGCGCCACAGGCTCCCAAAGTATGCCTCAGCATATTCCAGTCATCACTCCTTTACTCTGACCGCCATTTCCAAGACTCCTTCGTGCCTTAATTGGCGGCTGCATACTGTTTCTTTCCATATTTGAATTTTCATCACGCAAGTCGCCGTTTTATCGGTCGTAATGAGACGACGAGAGCCCTTGTCCGCCGCCTTCATCCAAAGCACAGTTTAAAATGAAGGATTTACGCCGCTGTCAATGATCGACCCGCCTCGATAGTCGAGATGCAGACCACCGCGGGGGCGAAAAAGAAACCAATTCCCGCCCACGTTCCGCCCATGGTCCGATCTTACACTTACGAGCCCAAGGCTTCCCCCCTTGCTTTGTCTGGTCACCTGTCTTTCATTGCCAAGCCTTCCCCAACGTGGAGATGCATCCCCAGCAACGTCCCGAAAGCCATCAGAATTTTTGCCATGGCTGCATAACCTACGTCGGCCTACATTTGATCATCAATCATGGTCCCCAAGATGGACAATGACAGATGAAGGAGTCTGGTTGGGGTCAGGCATCAGACACACAAATGCAGCCTCAATAACGAACAGCATGTGGTAGGGCTAGCAGCAAACTTCACACCCTCCTCTACGATGATGCAACCAAGATGACCTCCCTCCCCGTGGAGATAAGCGTGGAGAAAGCGAGAGAACGGCACGGTGTGACAAACAAGCAGCCGCCCTATCGACCAGAGCCCTTGTCACCAACCTCGTTTATTGTTTGTCACCCATACACCCACGAATCACATCTGCTGCCACGATTGTTTGTCCCTCCACGTCACACTGCCACAGCTATTGTCAATTTGAGATCCAAATGCCTGCTAAATCATTCCACACACTGGTGATAAATCAATCGACATTTCGACTCTTTCTCGAATCAGCGGAAGCGTCTGTCGCCCATTTCGATAATTTTCAACAACTAAACATTTTCCCTCATAGTATAGAACCTTCAGCGAACTACAAGATTTATGTTCGAACAAGAAAAGTCTGAGTGATGGTACAAATTATCGGTCGTTGAAGCATCTCGTATGTCTTGCGGCTGCATGCAGCCTGGCCGCATGCCATTTACGTCCGAGAAGGAAGCATCACCTACGTCCCAGGTTATCGCAAGAAGCGAGGTAAACCTTCTCAATCTCAAGTTCCTTTGGGAAGCAGCTATACAGAACACTTGATAGTCTTGCTCATCTGGCGAATAGGTTAAACTAAATTGAAATCGATGTCATGTTTCTCTTCGGAAGATGGACCGAACCAAATCTCAAGAGGATTTCGTACAGATGTTTGTCTCATCTTTGGTTTGGGATAGGTTCCTCGCGCCCTCGAAGATCCGCTTACAAGGAAGTCCTGTTGTTGATTATGGTGCTACACCCTAATTTACCTCGTTCACCAACCGACATCGCCAAAGCCACCAGTCTTCTTTGAGAAACAAGCAAAGTCTACCTAGATTGCTGTTAGGAATTATGCCATGTTCATATGTATCATTTATCCGACCCTGAACCGGGCTACGATGTGGCGTCTGCGGTTTGCTACCAAAAGACATGTGGCCGCGACTGGACGCCCCGATGTTGATTGCATTTTAGACTCGTCACATCCCTTCGTCCTTTCTCGAACTTTACTGCATCTTGTTTGCTTACGCCACTGAATGCAGCTGGTTTGAAAAGGAAGTTTCCGTGAAGTCCGCACCGTTGCGAACCGCGCGATCAAGGGGAAGCCGTTCTTCAGGATCAATCAGAAATGGCATGCCTTTCAGAAATTAGACCGCGGGCCGTCTTCAAGCCCGCGATCCTGTATCAAGGATGCCAAACGGTTTAATCTTTCATCCGTACAGAGTTGAGTGGGCTAAAGCCAGTGTTAATTTAGCCCAGGACGGGTAACAACGTTTTAGATTCGAGTTGCTTTGATGCAGTAGGCACTGTGGAATGTCCGCTCCAGATAAAGTTTCTGTACTACAGTACAACAAAGACGATGTTTCGATCTCGGCTGATAGAACACGACGCAATCAAAATGATTTGAATAAAAATGATATTATCATTTAAGTGGTATTCATTGTGTCCCGCGAACCCAACATTCTGGGACTGCAGCCCATCACCAAAACGCCTGGTGTCCCATTGGCCACCGCGTCGGAAGGGGACAATTTCTCATCCCCTAAATCATCGAAACTGAGTCCTGTACATCAAACCCGCAAAATAGTTTGAAGTGAACACAAATTACAGGCTTGCTGCTTCCACCCCGAGTCCGAAGCCAGACTCGGAAGTCAGCTTGAGCATCTTCTCTGCCACCCACCGCCCGTTATGGGGGCCAGCAAAACACGAAGTTCGAACCATCACCATTGGCCAGAACATCGTCATCGTACGATATGGTAGTCCATCTTTAGGCGCCTCTTTTCCCTCCAAGCCGAACACCGTACAAATATCATCCAGCACTTCTTCAACGACAGATACGCCGTCAGACCAAGTCGGTATCTGCCCCATTTCAGGGCCAATCTTCGTTGAAGTCTCTTTCAATATGCCTCTGAGTTCAATGATCTTCTCCAGGACAAAAATTCTCAAACAGCGGTAGTGACTTCTCGCAAGGGCAACGGAAGTGTCCGTGGAAAGCGAAAATAACCCATTGAACACTTTTTGCTGTTGACCCGCAAATGACGATGCACCAGAGAAGTCAAGTAATGTAGCAGCTGCCTGGAGATCATTACACACGCTGACTCCGCTTTGGAGCAGCTTCAACAGGTCTTCGGCTGCATCAGAAGTGATCTTTGAAATGTCGGCTTGGACTTGAACTTTAAAGTCCACCGCTTTCTTATAATCTACTACCTGGCGAATGAGAGGTTCTAGAATCGGACCCTTGCCCCAAGGCGTATCGACGTTTTCCAGAGCAGACCAGATTCCTGTCAGGTGCTCGCGTTGGATGAACATCTCCATCAACTGTAGTCCTCGTCAAATTTGAGGCTAGTAAAGTAAGAGAGAAAACTTACCGCCGCATGGCAGAAGAACATGAAGGTTCCTTTATCGACATCATTCGCTATACCTTGCTCGACACGGAACCTCAGCAGCTGTAAGCCCCCGTCGCCGTGAGGGAATACATTTTGTTCTAGATCTATAGCCTTTGGGCTTCGTTGCCCGACCACAACCTTGGTCCATCAGCGAGTGAAACCGGTAACAAGGATGAACAGCCAGCGATTACCTCGAACATCCCGAACAAGAATAAAGTCACCATATTGGAGTCGTCTCTAACTCTGACAGGATCTTTCAGGGCCTGACTCAGAGTAGCAATCGCCTTTCCGTAATGCTGTCGGGCTTTTAACATGAGTCCCGGCTGACAAAGCTGCCGAGACGCACTGGCTAGTGCCACTGCATGCGTAGCATGTCGAGTGTGATTTGCGTCTGAAAGATCTTTCTGATAGTGCACAGGGAGGTTGTTGAAAAACACGATGCTAGCATTAGTGGCGTAGTTCATGTAGAAACGATTCAGTGTGTAGATTTCAGGGCCGATAACGATGGTTTGAGGGAGAATGAGCTCCGGTTCTATCTTTTCATCCGGTGTATTCGGCGGTGTGCTTCGTCGTGTAAGTGCTGTCGATTGTTCTTCTTGCGGGGGAGTTGAGCAAGGTACTGTGTGTTGCGGACGATGCTTCCACCTGGATACCCAGGAGACAGGATAACCGGGAGCTTTTCGTTGACGAGGTGGGGAAGGCGGCCTTCGACGTTGCTTCGGTCCATCGCGCTATCAAGTTGTAAGTAAGAGAGCCGTGATAGCCGCACGATAGAATGAGGCGGCGAGGCCACAACAAACCTTGACACGCTTCTCTTCGAAGCGCGACCTGCTCCTAATTGGCCTGGCCAGGCTGGCCATGGCGACTAGGTCGTGTCAATACTGCGGTGGTGAAAGCTCGACATTCGAGCTTCTGTGTGCGGTTGTCAGTGGCGAAAGCTCCGGTAGTAGGAGACAGCTCCGTCGAGGTATGTATAAGCTGAGCGAGCTCAAACCTCGACGACTACCTTATAATATGGGAATTTTGGATAATGCCTGAAGCTGGCTGATCCCCGTTAATATCCTTTAGGAACAGAGACATGTTCCTTGTCTAGTTCCCATGCCATGCGTGAACGCACCAAGATGGAGGAAAGCATTTTACCCGTAGGCGCATAGAGTAGCCTAGTTATGAGAGGGAAGGGCCTGGCGAACCGAGGCAAAAATAAAGCTTGTTACCTCCCAACCACATCTCAGTGGCGGGTTGTGTGTGAGACGTCACTTTGACCCTTCACAATCCGTTCAAACTCTAAATGCGAGCAGACGGCGCGGACGGCGCCATCTATAGTGCGCTTCGTATTCTAAAAACGCACGCACCAGCCTTCTACGGCGGAGATCCGGTGCTACCCGTCGATTCAGGTCCAGTCATGTCGGCGTTTCGAATGAGATCTAGACTGAATTGAAGAATCTTTGCAGTTGATTGTAATCGAACCCTTTGACTAGTGCCCAGCAAGTGACTAAACATAACCATATCATTCATTACCTTTTCACTAGCTTTGACTGCAGGCGCTATTGGTCCAAAATTGAAGTAGTGCTGAGTTCAGGATTGAAACTTGAGAGCTCCTACATGAGGCTTATGTTGCACGGACGACACCATAATCTTGCAATCTTTACGTAGTAGGCAGTGCCTACGAGGCAATCTACTGGACGGCCTGGATTCCGACGGGGTCTGTTCTCCGTCCACAAGATGCTCCAGGCCCTTATGGAAGACTCGGTGCACCACATGTGCACCGATTGCGAGGGATGCGATGTCCGCGAGAGACCTGCGTCATCCAATCTCTTTCGTCACGTCCTACGTAGTAAAGAGGAAAAAATAGGCAAAGGTGCCGAGCGTTACATCTGTTTTCGGTTCAGTTGACTATTGAACACAACAACACACTCGCTCAAACTCACGCCATTATCCCAAGGGCCAGGTTTGACCTAAAACCCTCTTTACGATGATTTTGGAACTATAGCCTAGCCGGATGCTGAGAATCAGGACAGCACAAAGGTTAGTTGCCTAGCACATGCCAGAAAAAGATGAACGCTACTTCAATGTTCATCTTTTTCCAGCATCGGTATATCTGCGTCTACATCTATATTCTGCAGCTCAAGATTATATTTACTGACGTACTAACAAACCCAACACTTTGACTCTGATACCACTGCTACCCATTGCGCCTCAAGCGATTTGGATGCCCGTTTGGCTTACACCCTCATTTTTCTTCGTTGTGTTGGACGCGCATCCTGACGTCAGAAACCCTCCATTTCGCCCTTCCGATAAGAGATCAATCATCGCGCCGGGAAGAGGGGCACGGGAGCTTGGATCTGTTGTTGAACATGTTCTCATACCACACACACCTTCTCTCTGCCTCGTCAGCCATGAGTTTACTTCCTCTAAGCTTCCCCCCCCCCCCCAACCCCCAATGCTTACCACCAGTCTTCCGGAGACGATTTCGGAGAAAAGCTTGGATCAAAACAAGGCCCGGGACGATGCGGAGAAGACAAATATTCGACAGAGTTACCGACGGGCAATGTTCGAGCGGGATCCGTACCAACGGTTCCGACAAACACCCGCCATGTTTGTGACTGTGTACTGCATGACGGGGCAAGCCTGGCAAAGCAAGCTCTCCTGCAACACAACACCATTGGTCAGAGGCGGCAACCATACCGCCGCCCGGCGGGATGCCGTTTTGATCGCCCGCTATTCTTCCGACTCGCTCCTCGAAGCGCCGCTTACCCCTCCCCGCACAGTCCAGAGTGCCGTATGCGACGGCGTCTGGATTGGAGAATTTCTCCATGTGTGCGGCGGGAGGGGGGGTTTTACCCGCGATCCATCCCAACGATGAACGGCTGTGTCGCAGCCAACTTAATCGTACGCGCCAAAACAATGTGCCCAGATTTGGAGGGGGTTGGCTCGACCACCAAGTAATACTCGGTGTATCGGTGTTTACGCAGTACCCGTGAAACTAAACGCCGTCCGTCGGCACACAGCCTGCGACACCGAGAGCGAACGCCGCGGCGACGGCGGCGGCGGCGGCAGCAGTGACCAGCGACAGACTGAACAGGGCAGAGGCAATCTTTTCATCCTGTCTTTTCGACATGACTTGACCCTGTCTTGCCGTACTCCGCGCAAACACTATGACTAGTTTGGAATAGATTGCACCTATTCCGTGAGGTTCCCGATTACCTGTAAATTCCGTATATTTAGGCCCATTGCAATTAACTTTGAGATGTCCTCTTTACTCCTAAGTTTATCAACAAACAAAGCCCGAACTAGCGATCCTCGCGGGCTCGGTGCGGCCCTTGCGTCGGACAAACCACGCTCTCTAACAACTGCCGACTGCCGAATAACCGCGGAATCACGCGGTGCGGTTACCCTAATCATTCGGCAGTCTTCACCGGCAGCACGCCGACCTTGCTCAACCACCTCTCCAGGTGCGCGTTGAACTCCTCGCTCTCGAGCTGATGAAACCAGTGCCCCTTGCCCCCGATCATCACAATCTCGTCCAACTTTTCGTCCGCCTTGGGCATGTACTTGAGGTCCGTCTCGATATACCAATCCGTCGATCCGAACGTCAGACGCGGACACTTGATCCTTCCGCCAAACAACGCAACGGCATTCTCCCTGCTTCCGATGCGGTCTTTCGGGTCGCCCGTTCCGCCCCAGAGAATCGCGAACGCGACGTTGTCGTCAAGCTGCCGCATGCGGCGGATATGCCAGGTCTTTTGCCAGGCCGGGCTCGCGGGGGTGTACTGGTGAGTGTTGAAGTGGTCGGCGACGCCAGAGAGGATGGTCTCCGCGCTGTCGAACATGGCGTCGCCCTGTTCATGCATCTCGGTGGTGAAGGCGTGGATCGGGTCGAGGGCTACCAAGGCGACGGCCAGACCCGGGCGTTCCGCCGCGATGAAATAAGCTGCGGCGGTGCCTAGCGAGTGTGCCATGACTACGAGGTTTTTCGAAATGCCGAGGTGGTCTAAGAGTGCGATCAAGTCGAGGGCCGTGGACTGAGGGTAGTAGTCGATCACGTCGGGGTCGGCGGAGCCTTCGGGGCCTGGCCAGGACCCGGGTGGGAGGCGGTGCGGGTTGGTGGGTTGCGGAGCGGAAGACCTGCCCTGGCCACGGGGATCGATGGATATTACGCGTAGGTTGAGGGAGAGGAGGAAGGGTACCTGCCAGCTCCAGTCGTGCATATCACAGGAGAAACCCGGGATGAGGAGGACTGTTGCTGGCGCGTCGGATGGGCCTTCGTCCATGTAGAAGATGGAGAAGGCTTTGTGGCGGGAAAAGAAGGGCATCGTGACGGCTTGGCAGGCAGAAATCAGTGGAGAGCTTGTCGAAGAGGGAACATGTCTTTTGTGGAAAATATGGTGGCGGTAGTGTATATTTATGCCATGGATTTGACGTGAAGTCTCGTCTGGTGGTAATCTCTCACATGCCGTGAGCAGCTTATTCTTAGGTTCCACATGTCCTATAGACTACTGCAGCTTACTTCTCATGAGAGGAAACCATAGGTACTCAACCCATGTTAGTTGATCCAACAGGATGATGAGTACACCAAGGAAGACACGGAAAGGAAGGGAGGTCTCAAGTTCCATTCAGAAGTTCATTCATGGTCCACATAACGAAGGAGGTTTGTTAAGCGAAAAGTCTTTGTCATAATAGGTGAAGACTTTTATATGGCTACTATTTGATAGGAGCTCACTGCACCGCGCTAACTCAGGCAGCGCTATGCTAGAAGTAGAAGGACACTGGAAAAGAGGCTCTCTTCGCCAAGTTTCTGACGTGAGATGCTGAACAATAGACGTCGTCATATAAAGCGGATCCAGAAAGGTGAGTGCTGATAGGTTCTGACATTGAAACATGGGTAGTAGTACTTAGGAGAGCTACTAAAGACGGGATTCTTGTGTATCAAATCGACTGCTGATGGACCTCGGTCTTTCATTTCAAAAGCCACTTTTCCCGCGTCTCTTCATTGGAAAACGCTTGTTCCTGTCACTGTCACTGCATATTCGGTGGCCATGATGAGCCGCCAGAGTTGGTGGGAAATGTTAAAAGGGGTCACAGCCAGTTCTGATAGGGTTAGGACTGTACCTGACGTTAGTAAAAAGCAGTCAAAAAGGCCGAGAGTATGTACTAGAAGCGAGCACTCTATAGATTAAGTGTGCCAATGTTCCCCCACATATTGTCTAGTAACATCTGTTGAGATTAAATGTTTACGCACAAGCATCAGTAAAGTCTGTATTAAGTCACAGCAGCAATTGGTAACATACGACGTGTTACTGATGATTTTAGTGTACTAGGATGAACAGCTAACTGCGCAATGTACTGACTGAATTGAATTATTTATCGCACAACAGTTTACGCTTGTAGGTATATCAACCTCTCCCCTAAACAGTGCACCAAGAGATAGATCAGAAAGACGGCTCCTCTTTGAGAATATCATGACTCGGCCTTATCCAGACTTCTGTTGCTGGATTAAACCACCTTTTTCTGACCTTTTTGTGAACACTCCTCACACAGCCGCCTGATCACGCTTCAAGATAACCCGCCTATAACTGGTCAGTTCCATGTCTCGATCATCCTCAACCGAAAGTATAATATGCATGTCCTATCTCCAATTAGTGGTATTCTAGGACAGGAGATGTTTCTTACTTACAAGGTCGGCAAGCGGTGTCACACGCACGATACTTCCCTTTTCATTGAGAGCTTCGATCGTCACATTCTTGGAAACCGGATCGATCTTCCTCCTCAAGTTCATGGTGATCTCGCGATAATGCTCCCACTTGAAGACGAGCTCGTCATTGTCGGGATCCCAACTCTCTGACGCATCGAGCACGACGGAGTTGCCAAAGGTGTAGTCGACCTCGAACGGCTCTGGTCCACATGTGCTATTCAGAACAGCAACCGGATTATGGTTCGCGCCAGTATAGTTTCTGTTGACTGTCCACTGCATTCTAGCGGCAAAGTCGTGTTGGAATGCTCGACGCCATCGCCAGATGGGCACAAACATGCTCTGATATCCCCTACCGTCAGCACCAGGATGGTAGTCAGCCACGGTGCTGTAGACTTGGCTCCGCCCGGATCTGTCCACAAGCTTGTTGCGGCCGCCCCAGCCACCCCAGTCCGGGCGGTTCGGGTCACCAAGGCCATTCTGGATAAGACCCAAGAACGATGGCGTGTCTCCCTCCATGGTAAATAGGAATTGCGGGTAGACCTTGCCCAGTTCTCCGATCCGAATGTACTCGTCCAACCACTCGTTGGTCTGCAGTTCCGTTGGGGGTCCTCCAATGTCGTAGTTGCGGAAAAGCTCTCCAGAAATACCGTTCCAGGCTGCGACCGTGTATTCGCCGAACGCGTGAAGCGCCACAATGTAGAATAGCTTAGGGTACTGCTCACGCAGCCACGAACCAGTGTCGTCTTGGTCGGAGATGGAGTACACGCGAACTTTTTCCACAAAGGAGTCAGCTTCGGTCTTCGCCCGGGTTTTGGAAACATGATGCAACGACTCGGCCAGAATGTTGCAGCCGCCCCAGCACAAAAACCACACTGGATCAGCCTTTTCAGCTTTATCGACAGCTGCGATGAATGCCTCCGCCGCCTCGCTGAGATTTTCCATTTCCAACGCCTTCAGCCCATACACAGTGTGACCGCGGTACGTCTTGTTATGGAGCTCATCGGGGGTAGGATACTGAGCGTACTCCGGGACATGCAGATTGAGGTTGTCGACGACTTTGGCGTAATGGTCGATGACCTTGTGGATAGTGTCGGAGTCAACCTTGTCCTGCAGATGTTGCGAGGTAGCACCACTGATGCCCTGGACATTCCACTCGTTGCTATAAGTCAGGAACCGCACTAGGCTCATTTGATCGTCTGGTTCGTTGCTGATGTCCGTCGTAGCAAAGACACGTGGTCTCCGCTTGTAGCGAGCACTTTCGCATTTCTTGCAAGCTGCTGACACCAACCAAGGCGAGGCCAGTCCGGCCAGAAGCAGGGCGGATTGAAATTTCATCTCGGCTGTTTTCTCCCGTTTGAACTCCCTTCAAGGGGACGCAGAAAGTATGCCGCTGAGAATCTATCAAGAATTGGGAGGCAAACTTGGCCGAGCTTTGCAACGAGGTTCTTACGTCTTTTATGATATTTTGATCCGTGCGAGGAATACAATCCTTAATAGCGTGCGTAAAGTTGCCATGTTTGATCAATGCCACATATCGACTGCATTTGGTCGATGGCATTGAGGAGTTGAGTACATCCTACAGACCGGTTCAACATCGTATTCAAGGACAAACGTCTGGATTGCCGTATTCGATGCTTGGAGCTGCTACTGATTGGTGGATCTGAGAAAGGCCGCCAAGCATGAGGAATTTAGCAGCGTCCTGACGTCGTTGGCCTTCCGATTTGGCAATCCTAAGCACCCCCTCACATTGCTGAAAACTCGTAGACCATCCTCTCTGAGTAAGTTTAAGCCCAATGCTATCACAGAAGCGGCAATGTAGTGAGTAATCACGATCAGGCTTGCTATACCTGTCTAGTTTCACGCACGATAACTGCCACGTCGTTGCCAAGAGTTCGCTACAGCTGTATTACGGTTAAGATCCAGACCAGGTACACAGAGATATGCCTGTGAAGTGGAGGTTCGATTGACCATGTTCAGAGTTGACCTCCACGGTTTTAAACGTGTTAAAACGGCATTTATTTCTGCTGTGATATATACATGAAGTTTCTTGTATCTTGACAGAACGGCATGCCGGGGAGGAAATCCATATTGTCCTTTGTGCGGCACTCTTGACGTTCTGATTGGGGAAAAATCTTACATTTGGGCAGCCATGGACAGGCTTGAGGCGTACATGGGTGATTTTGAGGAATTACATGAATTGAATCGCTTCCTAGGCTGGTTCGAGAGAAGATGTCGACAAGTCGCGCAAGATTGAGCCCGAGAGCAATGATATAAAGAGGCTAAAATCCAAATCCTCTATTACAAGTTCTTCTTGGTTGCACCACTCTTCAAATCCCAGTTGTTCAGATATCCAGTACCTGCAGAGAGATAGGTGGCAAAGCTCAGCCACGCCAAGTAGGGTACCTGGCACCAAGCAGAGACCTCGTCAACAGAGCTCCAGACATAAGTCAGATAACCGTTAAGACCAAGCAAGGCAATAATGTCAACAGTAGCCTCCTTGGGGCGGTTTGCGCTGAAGAAGAGGGGCTGCCAGACGAGATTGAGGACAAGTTGAAGCGTGTAGAGAGTCATGCCTTGCTTGGCCGATGCAGCCTGCTCAGGCGAAGCGAGGAGAGAGAGGCCAGTGGTGGTAGCGCGGTAAGCGGAGTAGCCCATGAGGCTGCGATGCATGTCAGCGACAGTAGATTGAAGCGGGAAGCGGAGTAGTGTGAGGCCTACCCGTAAAGGACGGTCCAAACAGGGGCGAAGATCCATGGCGGAGGCCGCAGAGGAGGCAACCTCAGAGACCGATAGGTGTTTTGAGTCTGAGAGCCTATATATGAGAGAGACATGATCGGTTAGCCATCTATACTACTTCACCATGACCCTGCCCGCAAGATGAGGAGCTCTTACGACCAGTGGAGTACCCAACAGCTAGACCCAGCGTCACCGGGAGAAGGATTGATGCGGCAGGGCTTTGAAAGACCGCTGTCGGGATAGTGATGGATGGGATGTAGGTCGTCATTTTGGCGTTGAGAATAAATGACAGTGTTTAACACAGTTGTTTTGCTTCGCTCATTGATCTTTGAATCGGATGAGCGCGGTTACGAGGGAACCGTACGTCACTCTGGTGCCACGGAACCGGTTATCCGGGGTCAAGCCACGCACAAGCCACAGTTGAGCTTGATGAATTTCGCGGTCCGTCGCGTCCACAAACGCGTTCAGCCACGTTCTCCTGCTTGGTTTAACAACGCAAACAGCATGCGGAAACAAGTACTGGATTCATTTTAACAATAATGCTTGATTTAGCCTATACGAGAATTACTTTATCGTAAATATCCGCTACGTCAACCTAGAGTACTCGACGATATACCTCTCAACGAGCCTAAAAGCGATGACCCGTAAGAGTCTTACACCTCACCCGTTCTTCAAAGATGGAACATCTATCCACAGGTGGGGCCACGGACATAGGCGTGGTTTTGTGAACCGCCAGCCGAGTTGCCATCAGCAGGACCTTGGTATGAACTGAGCAGACTGCATGTTGTGCTTGCGCCCTGGTAGAACGAAGCAGCAACACAAGCCGAGTTGGCGGCACATTTGGAGATGCATTCACCAAAATTCTTAACATCAGCGTAACCAATGTAATCTCCTGTGGCCAGCCTGCCACAAGTGATTTGAAACTTCTTGGAGCTGAGTGTCCAGCAGTAGTTGTTGTTGGCAGAGCATATCGGGTTGCCTGTGATCGTACCAGCGCATTTTTCTCCAGGGCAAGCCGTGCAAGTTGCAGCAGAGAAAGCAGATTGGCAACCGAAGCCGCAAAAGTCGCTCGTGGTGCCACACCAGCCTCTCCTCGAACTGTACAAAAGGGTAAATTAGCGCTGCTACTGCTGGTAAACTGCAATCACGTATAACATGTTGACTCACCAACACTGGCCAGTAGGACACTTGTAACCATTGGTGCCGCCACAGCTACCGTCCGGGCTCGCTTTGCCGCTGGTAGATGGAGGATTCGGTGCTGCGGAAGTGGCCGCGGTGCCGCCTCCACCTGAACCATTACATTTTCCAAACGAGGTTTGACAGTCGGTGCCGCAATGATCGTTGCTCGAGCCACAGTATCCCCATTTACTGCAGCAGTCACCAAAGGTGCTTCCTTGGCATGTACGGCCGTTGGTGCCGCCACATGCTCCATCCTGACTCACATCTTTCCCCCCTACGGTGATGGAGCTGCAATCGCCGAAACTGGATTGACAATCGTTAAGACAGTGCCCATCCGTACTACCGCAGTATCCCCATTTGCTGCAGCAATTGCCGAAAGTGCCGCCCGTACAGGTATACTTGTTGATGCCTCCGCAGGTTCCATCAGGCGTGATCTTGCCCGAACCAGCCGGGGTGGTGGTACATCTCCCAAACTTGGTCTGACAACCTGCTCCGCAGTGTGCATCACTCACACCACTATAGGAGTGTTTAGCTTTGAATTCCTCACAATGTCGCAATCAAGACATATAATTCAAGACTTACCACCAATTATATTGGCTACAGCATAGTGAACCGGGACATGTTAAAGCTTTGGTGCCTCCGCAGCTGTTGTCTGTAGATACTGCAGCCGCTGCAATTCCTATGAGGAAAGACAGCCCAAGAAAGTGAACCTTGACCATCTTTAAAAGATGCAATGGAGCGTTCTTAAAAGATTTCTTAACCAAGCAAAAGTGGTGGGCTTCCAAACAAGGTCAATACAGTAGGATGGAGAGAAGACTCGTGATGGTGGGATCTATTTCAATAAATACTATTTCAATCCTTAGTGCTTCCACTTGCGGGGGGCCAAAGATCGGCCCCTTGCACTAGTCAATCTTTTGACTTTTAGATCAGGTCGAGCATGTCATTCCTGCTGTTCGCGGTGGACAGACCCCGATTTCGTATAGTCTAAAAGTTTGAGTGTGCTCACAATCGTCTAGCGAACTGAGACATACCAGAGAGCTCTAGTTTCGTTACTTCATAAAACCGTTTACCGCATGCATTGAGTTGGCACGTTCCCTCAAATTGCCAAAAGAATTTATGTGTTGAATTGATCGGATCATCGTTTGATGTTCCATCGTGCCCTAAAGGCCAAGCATCTGGCATTGAGAGTGACATATGTGGGTAGCCAGATCCGTCCCAGCTATGCCCTTGACATTGTAAGCGACCTTACTCTGCCTATCTCGGCCAAAGCCTGATGCACTCTCGCCTGGACCTAAACAGGGGCATCTTTCCTGTGCTTACAGTATTGGCCCGCCGTTCTTTGGTTGTGGCATTAACCTGAAATAGCCACCGCCTCCAACTTCTAGTTTACCCTTTAATATTGAGATGACCTTCGAGAAACTTTTGAGGAAGAATCCATGCAATCTTAATGCCAAGCCTTTTGTTTCGGGACTCGAAGCCATCCGTGCTTACTCTGACCTAAACCCCGCAATTACTATGATGGCTGCACTAAATGCAAGCCACTCACCTGCACTAGATCGGGAGAAGGCCGCCACATTCGTAGGCAATGGCTGGACCGCAGCAAGAAAGGTCAAAGTGGAAATGCAGGTGCATGATCTTCTCTTTCAGCTCATGTAGCGTACCCGCTAGTCTTGCCTCGTATATGCTACAAACAGGTCAGAGAAGCCAGCTATGGCACAAAGCAGAAGCGTTGGCTATGACGATTTCGCGTCATTATGTCTTGTGCTGCTGTGTGGAGTTGCGCGATTGGGATCATATGAGCCTAAGGAGGGTGATTCGGCTACACTTGAACCAAGTTTAATAGTCCGATAAAAAGCCTCATCTACATAACTGTGGTTATGGGGAATGATTCCTCTCAACTACCCTCCAGGACTAACAACTTAACCTCAGGAAATCATTCACATCTAGCGCAAGAACCATGGCGACGACATACTTTTATGGTTAATTCTCTTGCGGAAAAGTTAGAACAGCTTTCAAGGACATGCTGTGATTACGATAATTTCCAACATAGAGAGATTAGTGCCCCACGAAGAAAAAAAATATTGTGTGCCAGTCTTGGGCTTTATAAAAAAGCGAAAGAATGATTTGTTGTTCCTCTATGTCGAGCTAAGGTAGATACCCACTTTCAACGTTTATGCTGTTGACGAGAGTAATGAGTCAACAAATTGACTCTTCCTTGATGTGGGCGAAACCAGCACAGAACGCTCAGAATGGGAAAAGTGGTGTTGTTGGTTGGAAGAACTAACTAACTGGCTAGAGGGCTGTGGAGGCTGGCTAAGACCAGTGGTGGCGGCCGTCAGCCCACGTGACGGGCCGGCGAGGCCTGCCACCCACACTTGAAAACGGCGAACTCCAGGGGTCAAGTAAACCGAGCAACTGGCCTGTCGAGTACATCCAACCAATTGTGTGATAGTTGATAGAGTCAAACACTGGGCTGCAACTTCAACCTTAATTTTAAGCTACAAAAACAACAAATTTAGACCCAGTTGCACTAGAAACTCATGTGCTTTTCCGCAATGCCCGGCGAGTGGAGTTTGACGGAAGCCGTCAGATCCGAAAGATCCACTTCGCCGTGCGAATCATTTCCCAAATGTCTCCACATCATCCCTTTAACTCAATCTTCTCTTTTCATTTGACTCCATATGTTGTGTTCTTCGTGGTCTTCTTCTAGAAGGAATCTGACTTTAACGTTTGAGGACTACCAATTACCAATTGAATCAGGAATGACTTCATAAATACAACACATCGATCCTTAACCTAGTTTCTATCCGTTTGCCCATTTCATATCAACGGCTGAGCTCGTTTGTGCGACCGCCAAATGAACGGAGCAACGGATAAGATCGCCACGCGGCTGCTTGCCTGGCTCATCCTAATCATCACACCGGTTAGCTCCACGTTTTTACAATGGCAGCTTTGTGATGATAGCCGTGGGAGCGGAGCTATTCCTTTTGGGATGAGCGCGAGTCTCATCAGCTCAAGCGATTCAGCGTCCTCACAGCTGGTGCTCGGTTTGGCACGGCATCAGAGTGGAATAACCTGTCGCGATACCCAGGGCGCCATCAGTGACGACGAAGCCCTGGCGGTGACAGTAAAGCTGGATTGGATAGGGCTACGGCAACCCAAGACTTTCAAAAAAGACAGGATGCGGCTTGAATGCAAGGATTTTACTGAGAACAACCGTCCCGCTTTCCTGCCTAATAACTCGAGCCGCGTTGAGATCACGCTCCTAGACGACGATATCGGCGTGCTGCCCGCACTCTCGACGCTCCGTGCCGAAGCTTAAATCGACTCACCCATATTCGCTGGGGCTAGATGCATCGCCACCTTTATGACGCCTGCCGTCCCTTCAGGTCTTTCGGCCGGCCTTCGCTATGGGTCCCTCGTATTCTTCTTCTTTGTCCTCTTCGTCTCTATTTTACGAACCATATCTGCGACAGCGAGGCTTCCAGGTGTAGAAGGGGATAGGGACAGCAGCTCCGGTGTCAATGCGGCCATCCTCCCTGAAGTTTCCGACTGTCTTCATTTCTTACAGTTCATATTCTTAACCGGCGGCCTTACCCTTTCGTATCCGGGCTTCTACTCTGCTGTAGTGGGACACCTCAACTGGTTCGTCCTCTTCTCTGACGTAGCACTACCTCTTCCGAGCTTTGTGCCTGCGCCCCCCACCGCACCGACCAGGATGGCTTCCACATACCCCGGCGTTCGTGATGGTCTCTACGAGGCCAACGGCACGTACGGCGGCTCGGAGGGGCTGGAAGTTCTTGCGCAGATGGTGGGCACACCTATGACATGCGATACATGGCTTCTCATGATACTCGTCACAGTGTGGATTGCCGCGGCTCAGGGTCTCTTTCTATGGGCGCTTGAATGGGTGAGGCCAAGAAACGTCTTGGGGCTTCCGATGACGGGCCCCGGGGCTCAGACCGGGTCCGGAACAGGGAGACAGAGTTCGAGGTCCGCCATCGCAATGCGTATTGGCAACGATGTCTTGAGGCTCGTGCTGTCCTACTTCACGTTGCCGCTCGTCACGCTGTCAACTCACCAGCTGAGCTATTTAGGAATGTTGGGTGCAGGTCACACGGCACTTGCCTTGGTCGTCCTGGTTCTCATTTTACTGTCGTTTGCTTGGCTGGTGTTTCGTCTGCCTGCGGCAAGCCTGGGTGCGCTGGTTTTTGAGGCTAAGCATCGTTACCAACGCCTCGAAGGGGGCGATGAGGATAGCGGCATGGACTTCGATGAAAAGCAAACTCGTCGGGATCGCGGGTTCATCCTGACTCTGTTCGTCCTCAACATAGCTAGAGGTCTGACCATCGGTGGACTGCAGCAATGGGGTGTGATCCAGCTCGCACTGCTCATGGCATGTGAGTTAGTCATGCTGATAGCTGCCCGAGCCTTTCGCCCGTATCCACTGTGGTCACGCGGCTTTGCGGTAATTATGGTGAGGATGGCTATCCTGGCCTGCTTCATACCTTTTACCTTCCGCCCGTCCAGGCTGTTTGGCCTCAAGAATATTTTTGCTTATTCTGTCCTGTCTTTGCACATGGCATCGCTGGTCGGCTTCTTCTTTATACCATCGTGTTGGCATCTATACCGGCTCTCTCGCCAGTTGTTCTGTCAATCTAGTCGTCACGATACTTTGGGAAACGTGAGCCATGGTTTCTTCCGTCATATCTTATTTTTTTTTTTTTTTTGGCCGTTTTCTTTTCTCAGAAAGACGTAACCTTGCTAACTCTGCTTTTCTCCTCAAGGATGTACAAGTGTTTGGCTTGCGCCAGCTACAGCGTCGTCAAGCTCCTCCACCTAGCCGGAACGATGACCTTCATTTGACCGTTCCCCCGCCGTTATCTACCAGAAACACACCCACCCCGCACAATTTTTACTCTGTCAATGACAGAGAGAAGCCCAACCATCATGTCACGTCACGTTCCGTGTCCACTCGGTCCGATGTTTCAGAAGCCTCCTCCCGCTTCTACCGTCCTTCGAGGTCCCCAGTTTCCACAGCTCCTGGGGAGGCGTCTCGGTCCCGCGGCAATCACTCTCTAAGTTCCAGAACGCCACCCAAGTCTGTCCAATCCACACAACCTGCTTGTTCTTCATCTGAAAACGGGGTTTTACCTAGTGAAGGAACGACTTCAGATGTGAAACTGAAACCCTTGTCAGGCAAGAAGGACGAGAAGATTTCGACGAGCCGGTTTGAAAGCCATCTGCCATCTTCCACAGCAATTTACTTGCAGGATAGCGGATCTATCGCGGGGGAGTCCTCGGACTCAGCATCGACAGGGAGCGAGGCTGAGAGCTCCAGGCCTCTCGGTCCGAGGTGGAACGATTACTCTTTCCGCGAAGCAGACTTATTCTACGGCTCCTCTTCCATTCCGAACCCTAGAGATAGTACACTGTTTCCTAATTCAGCATCACCTTTGCAAACGCCTTTGAAGCAGAATCGGTCACTAAATTGGAACTGGTTAGGCGGTTGGAACTTGAGAGGTACAAGGTCGCCAACACCCGAGGAGAAGGGATTTTCAGTCGTGCGACCCAGTAGGCCTCCCTAGCTAGGGCTACCACTTAGTCGAAGAACTGTTGTTAAAAACGGGGGTGACCGAGATTTTCATGTATGGAGTCTGTAAGATAAAGCAATAATGTAGATCAGAACATGATGAATGTTCATAGTTATGCTAATTGCTACTGAATGATCGACAAAACTTCATATCTTCTTTCCTACAACAAGCTCAACATAGGCTCAAGCATCGCCAGCTGCAGCTGCACCAGATCCGCTGGAGGCGTTGTTCTTCTTTCCTCCATTCTCCTTGTTCTTGCCCTTGTCGCCACCACCGTTGTTCTTTTTGCCGTTGTCGATAGCAGTGCCATTGTTGTTGTTATTGTTGTTGTTGTTGTTGTTGTTGTTGTTGTTGTTGTTGTTGTTGTTCTTGTTGTTGTTACCAGCATTGCCATTGCCCTTGTTCTTATCCTTTCCGTCATTCTTCTTTCCGTCATTCTTCTTTCCCTCATTGTTCTTTCCCTCGTTGTTCTTTCCGTTGTTCTTGCCATTCTCCTTGCCGTTGTTCTTCTTCCCATTTTCTTTGCCTTCGTTGTTTTTCTTTCCATTTTCCTTGCCTTCGTTGTTCTTCCCCTTGTTCTTGTTCTTGTTTCCGTTGCGGCATTTGCAAGATTTGCCCTTGGCATCCTTGCCTCTCTTCTTCCCCTGGTCGCATTGGCACTTGTTTCCGCCCTTTCCCTTTCCATTCTCATTGTCCTTTCCTTTACCACCTTTTCCTTTTCCACCACCTGTGAGATAATTAGTATGGGCTTCGTTTGCTGGGAGTTAGTGGTAAGTTCTTACCCGCAGTACCGTTTCCTTGTCGGGCAATGAGCTCAACAAGTCGTGGGGTTTCCTCCGTATCACGAGTTGTCAGACCGTCTTCCTCCTCATCCTCGGAACTCCTCGCGAAATGGAAAGGTCTAGGCGTCTCCTCTTCATCTCTCTCAAGGAGATTAGAACCCTCAGTGACGGCTTCGAGATCTCGCGCAAGCTCATCGTGAGCGGCATTGAACCCCGGATCAGTAACAGCTGCTGCTGCAAGGCTGGCGAGGAAGAGGATTGATACAGCCTTCATGATGAAGAGCGAATATAGTATCAATATTTGGTGAAGTGGTGGAGTAAATGACGACTCAGTGTTCTTCCAGAGAGCAAGAGACGACAATCAATGTCTTAAGGCACAAAGTTAATAAGACGTAGGAGGACGAAGAGAACTGAAGGCGCCCGGCGCATAAATAAATCTGGTTGTTTGGAATGTTAAGTGACTAGTAACATCAAGAAAGGTGGGAATATGGCGATCTATAAGAACCTTTCCGTCACTTAAGATATACGGTGTTGAAAGAGGCTGTTTTGGAGAAAGTGCTAGGGTAGCACAAATCACAGGCAACCTTGTCCTGGCAGGTTGCCGGTCAAACCGAATATCTGGTAGAGCAATCAAACTGGCATTCCGAGACTCCGTGGGAAAATAGGCAGTGCAAGTTCCAAAGGTGCAGCAAGGCCGTGTGGTTGTGTTCATCTGGTGTCATGTATGCGCTGCCATCCCTTCACTTTGAAAGCTGGGGCGGGTTCAAAGTTCGGAGGCCGTCCCGGACAGAGCACTTTTGCGACAGTTGGGATGAAAAGTCGCCTGTTTTTACAAGTCATCTCATGTATACTACCCAACGACATACCATTAATAGCCCTATGACCTATGTAGTCGATCATCAACCCGAGTACTTGGTTTGATGTAGATCACCGGCAGGTCTGTGCCGTCCGGTCAAGCACTGCCTCTATGCTTCGAAATCTTCCATGGAAAGCTGAAGCCCTGTCAAGCTCATGTCGCTCATGTCGTGAAACGGGGCCTCCGCGGGGAAAGATTCATCGGTGTCCGAGGGAAGCGACCGGGGTATCCACTGAACGGATAACGGCTCCGTGTGACTCTCCAGCAATGTGTGTTGGCCTGTGCTGCAGAGGTCAGACGTCTTATGACAGAAGCTAGTGATCGAGATATATCTTTTTCGTGTGAGATTCCTGATTTGGAAAACTGAAACAAAACCATGCTTGACCCCTTACCAGGACTTCCTTGAGCCCAACTTGGCCATGATTTTAGAGTTAAGGTTTAAGCACTCTTGGGAGACTGGGCGTTGTGGATATAGCGAGTGGTTAGCACCCACTTGTTGCTTCGCCAAAGACCGTGGGAAATCTTGCTAGTCGGCTCCGGCTCATTCGTGTTAATTCTCTTCAGTCCTGTAGCAAACTTATGATTCTATAACAAATCCAGCTCGTTCATAGTAGAGTTAACCTCAGTTTCTTTGCGTCAGCCACTGGTGAGAGAATTCAAAGCTTCTGATCCTAGAGGTTCTTTTACCGCCCAGCGGCAAACTCGAAAGAAACGATTTTGTCTCAGGTATATTTGGCATTTGAGGCTCTTAAAGTCAAAGTTACAGTCCTCGTTGCAAGAATCATCACGTGTGCAAGCAGGGGGTTATGCTTGCTATCGTTCGATAACTCTGGAACTGGAATGTCAGCATTCCGAAATCCACCCAAAGCCTCGGTTATGGAATATTCTAGTGTCTTGTAGTGGCTTCTGTCATTGAAATGACAGAACTTTCATGAATCTTGTCAGCCGGAATTCGCCACCCGACCTTGGATATGCAATCCCTGCCTGAGTCATCGCCACGGGCACAGTGGCATCAACGGCGGGAGGGTAAAAGTCACCGGTCCCATCTCGAATTCACACGCATCAAAAAGGCCGCCCAAGCTCCTGCGGCCCCATAAGCTGCGCTTTAGTGTTTGTTATTCAAGGTCCCGGTTTTATGTGTGCAGATCCCCGTATACAAGTAAAGTGGCTGAGCACATTGTGTTGAATCTCAAGCCTTTCAAGGTCTCGAGTTACTTCCAACTCTCTGGTCACCTCAGAGACCAGGGTCTCAAGTTTGGATGTTGTCATGAGTTCTAGCAAGTGCCATTGTCCGAATGAGTCAAGCATGTGAAGTAAATCTGTTGCCAAATTTTTAAAAAGAGTTACTTCAAGCTGTTGTGAATGCTTCATTACTGCCAAGTTTGCGCAGTTCATTTCAGGGGCACTACTTGCAAGAATAAGAGCTAGCCGCCCAATTCCAAGACGAGAGAGAGGAAAGAACTTGTCGCATCCTCAAAGACTGGATATTTACTGATGCCGGGAATCAAATTCCGAACGGAGATCATCATTGAAGCACTATCGAAATGTTTGCGAAAGCCGTGCTTTTCAGAATTTACAGCACCCAGTGTCGGTTTGCTGTCGAGGTACACTATAGACTGTCGGTAATGAAATGCCGAAGGACGAAATAATTCAACCTCTAATCCTTTCTATATCAAGCCCTGTACATTACATGACTCATTTCAACCTTGATGATAGAATCAAGGCTGCCCGTCACTGTATTCATGTTGCCTCCCAATTCGCAGACTTGGCGCTTGGTGGTAAGGCCTCAGTGGTCGATATAAATGGAGGAAGGACCTATCATACTGGCCTTTCTCCGTCGGGCACAAAAACAACTACAAGACTGGAAGGATTTGGAGTGTTTGAAGGTTCACATTCCGTTTTCTGTGTTAGCAGTCCATGTAAAGTGATGCATAATAACAGTATCCAAAACGAAGAATCTGCGCTTTAAGACGAAGAGATGATACACTATTTTCACCTTAGAGCCAAACTTCATGAGTTGTGACAGTCATGCCAGTTTGCTGCTTAGGCATGTAGGCATTAATGACACTGCATCACCGCAACGCAGTATGTGAGTTGAGGTAGTCAAGCATCATATGAGGCGTGGGGCAGTAGCCTATTACAAATTTCTCTGGTTTCCCATAGAACCAAGGCTTCACACATGGGTACCTCGTATTACATCAAACAATACATGTATTCTCGATTTCGTTCGATTTCTTCGACGTGGAGTAAGATCAAACATTCTCACTCGGAAGCCTCGGGATTTTAATCTCCAAAAGAAGGATGCACAGTCATGAAGACCTTCAAATGGCAGATCATAACCTCACTAGACTGACGCTAATAACGACATGGCCCGTTGCCAATATAATTGCAAGAGACAAATGCAACTCGGTTCAAAGACTGTGAGGCCCTACTAAATTGCGATGTGGCGGTCTGCTATGCTAATGAGGAATGAGGAGTAATGTCGCCACACGTTGCAACAAGGTGACAAAGTGCTCAAGCACTAAACACAAACGGCAAGTCGCATCACTTCGTATAGTGCCTGCATGACTTCCTGCAACGGTTTCTGTGATGCAGGAGAGTGTGACATACACATGCAACCTAGGCGAAGGTAATCCAGTAAACATGCAATTCATCCATGTTCAACCATTCAATATAGTGTTGCCGTCCGGATTTGAGTAAAGATATTTGCCGTGTTTTGGGTAATTGGGAAAAAAATCGTTCTGAATGAGACCACAGGTAGAAAGAAAGTATGGAGAAAACAGGTTCTAAATTCAAAGGTGACTTGATTCAAAGTAACAACTTGCCAAGGCTGCAAATACGCTAATCATCAGAATCTGGATGGATCACTAGGCAATCCGCAACATTCGGATGACTCCAATCCAGGATGATTGCAAGACCAAACCTCCAGGACTTGCATCCAGTTTAACAAAAGTTGAGATTACAGTTTCAATCGGTCAGAAGGCGAAATTTCACGCGCACTTTGCGAGGAGAGCTGCGGTGTGTGATCACGGACATGAGACATTTTCCAGGTTGTCAGAAGTATGCTCAACCGCTGAGTGATATCAAATTTACCCCTGTAGATGAGGAAGATATGCAATTTTCAGGGGTGGTGCGCTGTTTGTCAAAGTCTTCTTGGCGTGAACTAGGTTCTTTGCGGGGGATCGCAGCCGTCGGAGGAGGACACTTAGCCGACATGTTCTCATCCGAGTCGTATGTGAGTGGCACCTCAATGATCCCAACCATGGCGCTACTTCACACGGTTGGAGAGAGCACCTATGCACCACAGTGGTTTACTTTCCGAGGCTTTGGTAAGGTAAAAAAGAATACTTTTGAGCTTCTCAAAGGTGTTACAAGATAATATGCAATGTGACAAAACAGGTATCTGGAATAGCTTTTTGTGTCCGACCACCAAACTCAACACATGCTTCTTGATCCGGTTTCTTATCAATACAACCCTTCGGATAACGGCTAAGGAATTCATCTGGTCCGGACCTGCAGGATGCATCGGGTTATAACCCAAGTTAGACTGTTAGGATGCATGCCCTTCCGAAAGTCAGTCCATCATGGGTCTCATGAGCGACTGCTTGCCAAACAAGGCATGATTGGCCGCTCTTCAACACCATTATTGAGCCAAACATGGGATATCTCGCCTTTAACCTTGTTTATCCCAGCAAGTTCTACAAGTCATACTATTGGCGAGAACGCGCCAAGAGCTGGCCAAATACCACCTCGGTAGGAATGCAGACACCACCGACTATCGCCGAGAGAAAACCTACCATCTAATCTAATCAATTCCATCTAATCAGGCCCACCCCGATGATACCGAGCCAATGGGTACTACGGTGGCATGATGTCGAGCACCATGCATGCAGAAGGAATACCCTCGTGTGGAGAGTGACTGCGACTTCGCTCATTGTGAAATGAATGGCCAAATTACTTCGTTTCTGTTGAGCCAGACTGTATATAAAGGTCATTTTCGGTGCAAGCCGTTTGTATTGTTATCCTACCAGTTAGACGCAGATACGCTCTATTCTGACATTCGTTTTCGTCCCCATTACGGCACAGCCAACGCCAGGCGTGAAAGTTCACAATGAGAATCAAGGTCCTTGCAGGTTTTGGCCTGTTGTGGTTCTCAGGAGCTGCTGCCCAGACTTCTGCAGACGATCCTGAATCTGTTCTTGGACCCATCACTCCAGTTACTGGGGACAGCGGCAGATACATTGTCAAGTTCTCCGAAGTTGGTTCAGCCAAGTTCAGAAAACGTGACGGGCAGCCGGTGAGAAACTCTCAGCCTTAAAAAATACCCTTGTTTCCTAACTTCATTTTCAGGATACTGAGGGCTTCTTCAACACCCTTGTGGATTCTGGAAAGGACGCTTCTCCAGCTATCAGTTTCAACTCCCAACTCTTCCATGGCGCTTCATTCGATTTGAAGAATGCATCCAATGGGACGTTTGAAGAGATTCAGGCTTTGCCTGAAGTAGAGAAGATCTGGCCCGCTGCGCTTTTTACCATTCCCATCACTGGCAAAGCTGTTGTGCAGTCGGAAATTCCTACCTGGAACCCACACAACGACACCAACGTTGCTCTCGCGCACGCTAGAGGCCATCTTGGCGAAGGTGTAACGATTGCAATCGTTGATTCCGGAATCGACTATAACCATCCTGCTCTTGGTGGTGGTTTTGGCCAAGGTTTCAAAGTCGAAAGTGGTTATGATTTTGTTGGTGATAATTATGAACCGGGAGATATATACATCCCGGACGAGGATCCGTCTGATTGTAATGGCCATGGCACTCATGTTGCTGGAATCATTGGTAGTAGCAATGAGTTTTTGCCAGGGGTTGCTCCATCTGCCAAGCTTCGCGCGTACAAGGTCTTTGGATGCGGTGGCAGCACTTACGAAGATGTGATTGTTGCTGGCTTCCTTCGAGCACACGAAGAAGGCGCTGACATCATTAGCGCTTCCCTCGGGTCCAACCGAGGGTTTTCTGACACGCCTCTGGCAGAGGTTGCTACCTCTATTCAGGCTGCCGGAACATTTGTCTCTATTGCGGCAGGAAACGCCGGTGAAACCAGTACGTAAGATCATTGTGAAAACTATTCATGATCTACTCTAATCTAAGCCCTATAGACGGTCCGTGGTATACCAGCAGTGGCGGTAATGGAATAGGGAGCACTGCGGTTGGGAGTGTGGAACATGACGAGTTGATCGCCTTCACGACTATAGCCCGATCCAGCAGCGGTGACACTAGAGAAATTGTGAGTATTCTGTCCTTTCCGTGGTTCGCATGTCTGACCAGAATATTTAGGTCTATCTGGCAGACAATGGAGTTCAATGGAATATCAATGGAACATTGCCTGCATCATGGACCTCTACTCCTAGGGATCACAGCATATGTGACTCCGAGTCAGCCATTCCGGATACAAACGTCTTAATCATTCCGTATGTGTCATTCGTCCCCTTCTAATTGCATGATATTGACAAATGAAGTCGTGCGGACTGTGGTTGGCAGAGGACAGACAGCAACTGGATGCGCAAGGTTGACTGGATCTTTATTTACAACTACCATGGCTCAGAGTGGGAGATTCCTGCTCGAGTGCGCTACAGCCCAGACGAACAATCAAAAGGATGTGAGTATGCAATTCGCGTCGATAACGAAAAGACTCTACTCTAATATCAACTCCAGTTGCTCTAATCACCTACGAGGACGGCGATTGGCTTGTCAGCCAGCATGAAAGTAACCACACTGTGACGTTTGACTTTGTGAACGACAGCAAACCTGCAGCCATTGGTCGCCCTTCTTTCGCAGGGGGAAGAATCGATCAATTCACGTCCTGGGGACCTACTCTTGATGCCCGAATGGTTCCCCAAATCTCAGCACCAGGTACGTTCATTTGGTTGGTTAAATATTGCAGGATCTGACTTTTAAGGTGGTTCGATCTTTTCAACTTTCCCTCTTGGTTCAGGAGGCTGGGCAACTCTTTCGGGAACTAGTATGGCAACACCATACGTAAGTATCCCTGTTTTGATATCACCGTTGACAACTGACTAATAGTTTTCAGATTTCTGGTGTGGCTGCCCTGTTCTTTTCTTCCCACGGTGGTAAGGCTACGCTGGGTAACGGTGGGGCTAAGCTGGCCCATGAGAAGATTGTTGCGAGTGGAAAACCAATCCATCACTACGATGACACTGATAACTTGGCGTATGTCTCCTGTCCGCTCCTCTTAGTTTGACATATCTGACTTTGAATGTCTTTTAGATCTGTTGCCCACCAGGGAGCAGGCTTGGTTGACGCTTTCAAGGTCATCGACTACACTACACTGGTTAGCCCAGCTGTTCTTAATCTCAACGATACAGACCATTTCCAAAGTACCCATGATATTAAGATCACTAACTCCGGCAACGAAACTGTGACATATCATTTTCAACATGAGGCTGGCACTACCATCTTCTCCAAGGGTTCTGGAGATGCGTGGACTTCCATATCACCGCCTTACGCGACCGACGAAGGAAACGTTGCAACTGCCAAGTTCTCTGTATCTGAAGTGGTCCTGGGTGCGGGAGAGAGTAACACGTTTTCCATAACCTTTAGTGAGCCATCCGCTTCCGACGCCGCCAAGCTACCAGTCTATGGGGGATCGATCTTGGTTGTGGGATCTCATGGTGAAACTGTTCGGGTTACATACATGGGTAAGTACTTGCACTTAATCAAGAACTCGGGCCACACAGAAGCTTACATAGAACAGGAGTAAAAGGATCAATATATGCTAGCGACATCTGGGAAATGCACCGCGGTGTCCCCATGCTACTCAGTGGATACGGCGGTCTTATGGAGGAGGGTCACAACTACACTTTCGAAGCAGGCGGCGACGTTATGCAACCTTACTTTAACGTACTGTGGTCCACACGAGAGATTAGTTTTGATGTGAGTAAAACATCCCTCGCGATGTCAAAAACTCGCTAATAATTTCTCAGTATGTTGCCCGCGACTGGAATGAGTCAGATTGGGTTTATCCGCCAGTGCCCGGACAGCACAAGTATTTTGGTTCATTCATTACCGAGCCTGCAGGTCTCTCGGATACGATCACAAGTTTCCCTTTCAAGAACTACCCGCGGAATGCCGGAGGTGTTTATGCCAAGCCTCAGAATAAGTTCGCCCACGGAGACGACATCCCTGTTGGCGAATACAAAATTCTTTGTCGCGCTCTCCGCACTTTCGGCGACCCGAACAACTTGAATGACTGGCAATACAAGGTATCCCCCTGGTTCCGAGTCACCAGAGAAAAGCCCCCCGTCACTGAGACGTCGACAACTACCACGGTTGGAACAAACCCCACCCCGACATCAACGGTCAGCCTCCCAGAGCCATGCGATGCGACGGCAACTCCCATCAGCATTAAGGCGTCGCTCGCATCCGGTGATGGATCCTACAACCTCTACCTCTACTCTGATTTTGCCGCCATCGACCTGACGAACACGAAAACTCCCCTTAACTTCACTCTTACGAACGACAATCACGTCAAAGCTTGGTACGACTCGTCCTATAAGTTCTTCTCAGTACACACCAATGCCAATAGCTTGATCTACGTCTACTCGGAGGGTAGGGTCTCTGGAAGTTATTCCTTCCTCGAATGTGTTGTTGTAGATGGTGCACTTCAGTGCGAATCAAACGGAAAAAAGGCCCTGTATGTTTGCGATAACAACAGTGGTCTTCTTCGGCATGGTGCAGAGCAGCTGGACGGCTGTCAGGCTGTCACATTAAGTGTTGGCTCTAGAGCGAATACTAACTGTGCTACTACCACAATCCCTGCCAGCGCCACAGAGATAACGGCTGTGCCCACTACTATCATAACATCTGTAGTCGCCACTCCCACATCCCAGGCGTCGACTTAGGCTAGATCGGCATGGAACAGATCTCTGACGTGTTGGTTGTAGATCTTAAATAGGAGAAAACCAGATGTCAACCTCTTCTTTGTCTGAGCATCCGCATAAGTTCTACATGCTTCATACGATCACCCGGGAACCCTAGACATCAATGTGTACTTTGACACATGCTAACCGCGATTAACTTTGTCAAATGTATTGCAAAATTTGTGAAGCACATCAAATAATGGAACTAGTGGCCTCGACTATTTCTACGTGAATAAGTCATAACAAATCGCCTCTTGCTATTCCCGATGCAGCTGGACAGTATGAAAGTTAATTTGTAGTACAGTCAATAAAACTATGATACAGAGAAGTTATGAAATGGTACAAATGAGTTCCCCAGTCCATCATTTTGCTGGTACTCAGAACCAGCTGCTGCCACAGGACCCGAAAGAACCTGGTATGGAAGCCCTCCGTCGCCAGAAAAGTCTCTCACGTTATCCCAACTCCTCTGTACACTCCCTATTCCCTTTCCTTCCTGGAATATAGGGGAGGTCAAGTGAATTGATGAATCCAACATTGGAGAGCTGTGGGTTGGCCCTTGCCTGGGGGTATCGTCCTGGAAGCTTGGCCATACTAGGGATGGCCTTTGCATCAAAGGGCTTGTTGTATCAAATGCATATGATTGACTTAAAGGTAGGCTATCCGAAAAAGACCTTTGATGGCCGTTGTGGTGTGAGCTTGCGAGCCCCATGCTAGGCCGGGTGTTGATGAACGGTAGTTTGCCACTGTGGTGTATTTGATTCGTATTCCACACCATTGTGGAATCCTTTTCTTTCAGAATGCTGTCGTCATGTGTCATTGATACCGGTGATTGCGTGAGAGCTGATTTAGGGTTGCTGACATGCGTTTCTTCGATGTGAAACCCCTGAATCATTTGCAAAAGTGTTGCAGAGTATTTCCGAAAGAACCTGTTGGAATGATTGGGAGATAAACCAGCCAAAGTCCCTTTCAAGAGCCCAATGTGCTCAGCTTTGAGTTCTTCGAGCCTAACTCTGAATAACCGTGCCGAAACAAAATTCTCGCTGAGCAATGACAGCTCGTTTAAGCAACGGCTGAAAAGGTCCGGAGACGACGTAAAATGACTTGGCGACATTGGGGAACCAGCAAATGACGCTAAACAAACACCAAGCCCCTGTGGGTTTTGCTCCTCAGCATAGTATACACCATGATTGAGTATCGTTGCCGCCGTGAAAATGCAGAAACCGACTAGGGGCGGCATTGGCAAGTCGCTGGTTTCCCTTACCTGTCCCACAAGCTCAACAATTGCTGTAGCATGTCGGAAGGCTGTCTCTGTTGCTTCAACGACCCAATGTTGTATCATCTTTATTCCAGATGATTCGCTCAAGCGTAACGGTAGAATGGGACGATGAATGAGGCAATGGATGAGATGAAAAACTAGTCGACAAATGAAAGAAGCATTGTCGCCCGGGCCATCCAATACTTGATCCGATGTTTTTGCGCTGTTGCTAGCATCCGATGCCCATAGATCCAGGTCATGCAGAATCTTGTGTCGACGGCAATACGCAGCTTGCGATGTGGCATCGCTAAGCAGAAGGTATCTGTTTGCTTCTGACAGTATTTGTGTGACCCAAACCAGGCTCTGAAGGCCATGCACTCTTCTTTTGGAAATCCCAGAGGCCTTCTGAGGATGAATATTAGGGTTTTGACCGATGTCTCCGGTTTGCATGAAGCCGTTCTGGCCTGGTTGCCTGGATAATAAAATGTCGGCCTTGATGAAAGAGTCATCCATCAATGAAGGACGCTCAAGCCACGTTGAAACAAAAGTGTTGATGATATAACAGGTCCAGAAAACCTTTCTTCTTGTCTCATCCACATGTTGAATCTGATTCTCGTGGTTATCTGTCTGAGAGTATAGCTCCAGTGCCATGACCATGCCGACTGCTTGGGCTACCCGATACTGTCAGCCAACACATCATATTCAAATGAGAACTGGTAGTTCAGTTAATACTTACACATGATAAAATGCGCTTTCTTCCCATTTCCCATCGCTGTATAAGCCGTCACTAACAGCAGTAAAGCTTGGCAGGAGTCAATCGAGACCTCGTAAGGGTCGATCTCTTTTTGGGACCAAGCAGTATAAGTCTCCGCTGTGACATGGCTGCTAGGAACTTTGCCAGAGCCTTCTGAAAAGCTGATGAAGTGTCAGAATAGAATACGTGGGTTTTAGGTCTGTTTCTTACCCAGTGGCTACCGCACAAATAGCATATAGAACTGACTTGGGGAGCTGATTTGTATTTAATCTTTGCCTAGTGGCTGATTCATCAAGAATCTCATAAGGATTGCAGTGGAAGTTGTTGAAATAAATGTCTACCAACCCTTCTGCGTTTAGAGTTGCAGAAAACTCGCTACAACCTGCTCAACATCAAATCCTCTAGATATTGGTTCAATGTAAACTTACGAATTTATTTCAAAGTTTCCTCCTCTCAGTAAACTGACTGGGCTGGTGTCGGATGAAGTGGTGCCACTAGGTTCACAAGTTCCACTTCTGTACGAGCGCAGCTCGTTGTAGTCCGCGGCAAGTGTGTCTGACCCAGGCGGGGTTGGTGTCTTTTCGGACTTGAGAAGCTCCTCAAGGCCATCAATCCTTTTGATCAAGGCACTTAAGGATTCTTTCTTCGGGCCTCTTTTTTTCGGCACTCCGTCTGTGGAATAGTCAGCTTCTATGAATTGTCTGGCGTGAGTACATGAGGGGCATAGGAATATTTCACACACCGTAGAAACAAGATCGTTGATATAAGTGGCATACTCCGCAAACAGGCAAAGCTCTGTCACACTTGATCTACCCGCATACAACGTCGATCAGAAACCAATCTTAATAATCAACCTATGATCACCAACCTTGCGGATCTGGCATGGCTTGCAGTTCATAAGGCCTCTCGGGGCTTTGGTTCCCGGACTACTCTGCGGACTTTGGGGGCTTCCATTTGCAGTCGACATTGTTAATCGTGGCGCGTTGCGAATTTGAAGTTCTCGTCTTGAGTTTGACCACAATGATTTTCAAATGTGCCAACATGTTGATATTAAGTGCGGCTCATGTTTGGCTTTTTTTTCAAGCGTGCGGGTCGACTCGAATGCCGGCCGGGCCCATGTGCTGTGTCCCGGCAGCTTCTTTTCCGTGCGGGACTTGCGTTTTGATTGATTGATTCCCCATCTCTGTTTGCGGGATATCTAATGTTGATACTTAACCCCTCGCTGTGACACTGCTTCCACGTAAGAAACATCAGATGGACTTGCCCCTCTACTGAGGATATCTTGTTGAAACTGGTCCCACCTAAACGGCTGAGCGGGGGTGGGCTTAGAAAACAAACATCTTCGTGATAGGCGTCAACGCCCAATATGAAGGCTAGGTGGGTCACTAATGAGGATATTGTACAATTAGTGTGCGGTTTAATGTCGGGGAAGATGTCCGACGTGCTGACGCTAGTGACAGCGGGGTAAGAGCTGTAGATGTCACCTGTGACAATTGACGTCTTGTGGCATGGTGGCGAAGTGTCAAACCATTGTAGTTGAGATGAATCAGACTGAGACAAATGGACGGCAAAGGACTTCTGTAAGTCTTTCGGTGCCTGAAAGGATGCCAGGGTGCGTATTAATTCCAGCAGGGACAACCTTGCTGCAGACGGCAAGGATATCTTGATCAAACCAAAAGGCGTCAAGAACCTGGGTGATCATCTCCGCATATTCTGTAGATCATAAATTTCCATCACCATGAAGCCAAAGTAAACCTCTTAAGGGGCGGAGATTCCCGTATGCCGCTGATTTGAGGCAGTTACCTTCTTGGCCGGTTGTCACAACATATCCCTGTGTCAATTTGTCATAACCAATAGCCGTGGTTTGTAGTGTGTTGTTAGCAGCTGGAAGGTTTAGGAATTCGACGGAAGATTTTCAAAAGAATTACCATCATTCGGCTCTCCGCGGCTTGGCGGTTGTCTCAGTTCTGAATTGATACTATACGCCAGTCATACAGGATGATATCCTCGGAGAAGGCTTCCACGCCTAAGCACAGACTCTATCCATATGCAAGGTGAATGTTAGCTATGATCCGGTCGGTAACTTACGACCCAGCTGTATGGTTCAAAGATGCGATCTGCGTGCATTTGCTAGTAGGGCTGAAAGACTCCAACTGAGCATCAGCCGCAGGCTAGTTGATGTGCAGTTTCAGCTTTGCTGGTCGAATAACATATTGAGTCGTGTCACCCTTCGTCGGCTACTTTCTTGGCTTTCAAAGCATCAGTCGCGTTGTTTCTCATTGTGTGATTGGTATAGGCAAAAGAAATCATGTCACCTGCCATCTTAAACTCCTGGCAGGTCGGCGCATCACTTTCCGAGACGCCTTGGCGGATGCTGACCCGGTTGCCATGAGCCAAATAAGCTTCACGCTATAGCTTTCAAGGGTATGCATGTCAACTTTTAATGCATCGAGAGAGAAAACGTATGTCATTGGAGGACGCACGTATCATGGCCTCTAGGATTGCGAGTCTTCAATCGGCACGCAAGGAAGCCGATCCTCCCCGGTTTTTTGTATACTAGTATGAGCCTCCACTTACAACGCCCTCAAACTTCGGGAGGCCTCGGCAGTATGTAAAACATGCTCATCCGGAAAATAAGGCAACACTGGAAACAGGCTATCTACAGGTCTACAACGCCGGCCACCGGGAAAGATTAAGTCTAGTGTTTTAGCTGCCGCCGCCACTGAGACAAGCCTATTAGACTGTAGTTGACCTTCTTTAAATCATGAACAGATGATTTAGAGTATTCTTTAAATTATACCGCTCGGCCTAGTCCATAGATGAATGGAGGAGGCCTAATACTGATTTCAGGATTTTAGAAAATACTGCCATTAACTATGAATCATATTCCCCCAAAATTGAAAGTTTGTTCCAAACATTCCCTACTTCAACGAATTATATCGTTCCGATTTAAAGGCTATGCTTAAAAGTCTAATCCCTATGCTGCATTTTAGTCTGAGAATTGGGTACGCTGCAGTATTACAAGAGGAACTGGGTTTGCTTTTACCCCAGCATTTAGCCACATTTTACACTGCCCCAAATTTCATCTCGTCAAGTCACCAATTGTGGTCAAGTGTTGTTCAACATCTTCGCATGTTCAGTTTGCCGTGTGGCATATCCCAGTCTGTCCAGGGTCCAACAATGATAGGTATCACTATCTATTGTAATAGTTAGAATACGGCCTTGTGTAGCCGCCTGATGAGCCAGCCATCCGGCCGGCCAGACACCCGTCACATGGAGACTAACCACATCCCAGTAAAAGACCAGCAGGTTCCCTATCATGTGTGACCTTCGTGTTCCTCCGCCCGTAGGGTTATTCGCAAGCTTTTATTCTTGGGATTGATGATCTTGTCCATGGCCTCGGCCAATTCCCCTGCAAACAATCGAATACCGAAAGCTTGTGGTCAACGACATTCTCACGTTGGCCCAGAAATGTACTTTAAAAACGAATTGTATTTGTTTTACATCAAGAGAAAAAAAGGCTCTGTGTGGAGAAAGCCGGCTTCTCGCGGATTTTGTTTTGTCTTACGACACTATGGAGGATAGGAAGTCAATATCTCTAACGGAAGCCGGTTTCTTCGCACAAGTAGCCACAAAATAAAGGGGCGTTCTGGGTCCATTAAAAATCTGTCTCCTCACGAAGATAGAATGCACACTTGATCAGCTCCTAAGCCGATTAACCTCCCTATCATACGGCAAAACCAGTAAAATATTCAGCAGCGCCTCTGTAGGATCACGGTAATCTAACACAGCACAATACAGCCAGCGCAGAGACAAACAGGAATCCGGCCGCTATGAACGGTAAACCAATCCAAACACCGTCCAAACGCAGGCCTGACTGGAAAGAAACCACAAGCAAAGGACCGGAGATCAACGAGCCGAGTGTTTCGAGCATTCCTACGCAGTTAAAGAGTGCGGCGCTATGCTTGCTGTCTACTAAAGATGCCAGCAGACTGCGAAGAATAAGATTATAGGCTGAGCCAAGACAGTAAACAATCAGACCTGGTTATATTTAGCAAAGCATACTACATGCACGGTTTAGTCTTACCTATAATCATTGTGGCTGATATATTTGAAAGTCCTGTTATAAAAACCCCAAGCGCGAGCAAGAAACAGCTCGTTCGCGCCATCCAGAGGTCCTTGAGCTTTACTGGGATGGAAAATTTCTTGGTTACCAAAAAGCTTGTCACGGGCAGTATGGCACCATAAAGCGAAAGAGCAATGAGAGCCTGCAGTGTGACGAGATACCCAGCCTTTTTAATGGTTAGAACGCCAATTACTCATATCTCAGCGAACGAGAGATGGACTCACCTGCGACCAAGACCAGCCATACTTCTTTCTTGCGAACTGCAGTAAAATATCTTGGCTGTGGGTTCCCAGTGACGTAGCCAGTAAAGTGAGCAGCAGCATCACTACGTGCTTGTTTCCGTGGGCGAAAAAAGCGATGGAGCTTTTAGATTGTGAAATACGATTCTTCAAGCGACTCCAGATATTTGTCTTCGTAGCGTCAGAACTATGCTCTGCGGACTCCTCCGTGTTTCCGGAATGCGTTGTTGCTTCACCACCAGACTTTGAAGAGAGTGTCTCAGGGACGAAGGCAGCAATGATTAAACAACAACACAGTCCAACGAATCCAATCCAAATTGGAAGCCACACGTCAATGCTCATGAGCCAGGATGCCAAGAAGCTCATGAGAACCCCTGAGACAAGGGTGACCGCCCCGAGAGAGAAGAATACAGTTGATCTACGCAGGGACTTAGCATCATTCCGATAGAGAGAAACCTGCTCATACTCACCGATACTCCTCCGTACATAGGTTACTGAGCATGGAAAATATCATGCCGGTAAACACTGCGGGCCCTCCTCCTATAAGGGTGAAAACAGGCGCCACCCAAATCAAACGGATTGGGAAAACGTCCGGCCACTGACCTAGGATAGCGGTAAGTAAGCAGTGAGGCTTTTACATCAGATACCAAACATACAAACTATAAGGCTAACACCAGTAGAAAGTATAATCCCGAAAACAGAGAGGAATAGAATGACTTTATGGCCATACTTGTCCGCCGCAAACCCATACGGAACCGCCACCAAAAGACCTAGATATACAGAATCCCGTTAGTAGATTCTGACGTTGAAGTTGGAAGTGAATAGAAGGATTATGCGTACCCGGTAGAAGCCCAATCGTGCCGCCCCAGCCCTTTAAGAGTGTGAGTTCGGCCTGAACCGCCTTGTCATCGCCGCATGAGCCAGGGTCCTGCAACGCAGACCTTTCGCGGAATTTGCGACAGATAATGTCCTCAAAGACCTGATTAAGTGGGATAGCTTGGAGGATACCGCCGCCTTCCAAGAACGCTATCAGAAGTAGGAGGAGAGCGATATACAACAGGGCTCTGGGAGGTGGTTCCGTGCCACGTATCGAGTCTTCCGAGGACGAACTGTCCATATTGTCTTCTCGGGCTTCCAAAAGAGGAGACCGCTCATCTTGATCATGAGCACTTGGCCTATGAGAGCCAGGGCCCATATTTCGTGTATCCATTTGGTGTGTGTTGATGTTGGGCTAATGCGACGCAAGATAGGTGGTTAGACAGCCGTACATCTGGTGTGTGCGGCGGCAGTATTGTACTAAGGTATGTAGAAGAAAAGGTGGCTGCAGAAGGCGGAATGCGGAATCAGCTGTAGCGGTTTTAATCAGAAGAGGGTGTCTCGTATGGAAGTGGAATGGCGTAATCAGGAACAGCCAAGACAGACCAAATCAGGTCTATTGGCCTGCATGGTCGCTGCCTTCGGTAACCAGCTGGCGAAAGGTGGGGGTCCTGTTCAACCCCCGTAAGCTGCATGAACGAAAGTCCCTTAAGCCACCAACAATCATATGTCAGATCTCAACAGGATGCGTAGATTCCACTTGCACAGCTTCTTCATGTGGGGTTTCAGGAGGCCCGCTTGATGGAAAACACTGGATACGCATTGTATTGAAATAGTAAAACGGCTCAAACAGAGATTCCGTGTGTTTTAGGGTTTACAGTTACTGCTTGCCAGATTCTGCATTTTGACTACATACTACTTTTCCATTTGCATTCATTTGCCATCCCTGATTGAGGCACAGATAGAAGGATCTCTGGAGCTTGTCAGTTGGTTCGCCTTGACTAGTAAGCCATAGGAAGTGCTCTTAAGGAGTTCTATACCCCGCACATAAGCAATTAATTTGTTGCCTATATTGATTTGAGTTTGGTTTCTAACAAGGTCGGTGTAGATTCTTCAATACTTCAGGTTTGTTTGCTTTGTCTGTGAGATGCCTATCAACGTTTTGTTTATTTAGCACCATCAACTGAACAGTTGATGCGGGTGGGAAGTGTTGGCGCACTGCTTGCAGGTATTTGCCTTGCCTAACTTCACCCTGTAGCCATTGAATGCGAACAAGAATATTCAGCTTGGTTCATCTGTTGAGAAGTTGGTCAGGCTAAAAGCTTTGTTGACTCCAAAGCTGCAGCGGGACATTGACGGAGTGGTTTACAACAGCCTTCCTCGACATGCGACCACACGTCTCGCTTGCATGCCCCATGTCACGAGACCTTGCTATACTATGTAGATACCACCAAAGCTCTTTAAAATGGCTATTAATACTCATAGGGAAATCGCCTCGTCAAACTGTTGTAAATGCTTGTCACTTGTGTTGGTCATATATTGCCTTAAATGCTAGCCACTGGTGCTGTCTTGGAATTCTCGGTCGACTGGCAGGTCTTTTCGGCTAATTTGGTAACTGCAAAGTAGCTGCCAACGTCTCTGTCGTATGATTTGACAATGCTGGCGCAAGAAGAAGCTCCGATTGTGGCCTCGACGATATTGTTGCATTTTGAAGGAAGTTTGTATCAACCTTGCTACAGATGTCGGTCTCAGGGGTAACAGCGCGCCTATCTCTAGATGTGCCGCCAACCGTCAGTCGTCGAATGGATCTCGATAACTTGACACACAGGTTATCAAAGTGTATGCCTACTCACAGGTCTAAACATAATCTACCGTCATGTTCCGCTCCATATGAGAAGACGTTGGTTTTTTCGTGTCTCGTTTAAGACATGTGACTATAAGCCGAATGAAAGCTAGAAAATAGTATCCGGAGACAACTCTGGCTATGCGAATTGAGAAGCACAGAGGTGACGATAACACGGGTATGATGTTGCTATATAAGTCTCCATGAAAAGGCATTTAGGTAGAGAATGCAGTGTAGCTTATCCTCAGATCATTCTAATGAATGAATCCCTCCGGTTTGACTTTCGACAAAAGGCCTTGGATGCATCTTAGACTGACAGGTTTATAGTCTTTGTATTTTCAGTTCCCGGGCCGCCCCTATAAACTATAAAAACCTCACATAGACAGGGACAGTTTTCAATCTGACTGTCAGTGACGTCAGCTCAATCGCCTACGGAAGGTAAAGTTTAAGGGAAAGCCGGAAGAATAAAGCGGCTGACAGCATTTAATGGAATACATTGGTCAACGTCAAAAGGCAAGGGCGACTTTGAGTTTGCTTCACCTAAATTGTGGTTTTAGCGGTCTTTACTACATTGTGATATTCCAATTGTTTTCTGAAATTGGCAATCGAAATAAAATAGAGTTTCGAAAGCTGCTATAAGAACCACATTACAGGCTGAGCACGGCATATTAAACACAATTATTACTGCGCCCAGCAGTGTAGCCAAGATGAAACCCAGTTTTGCCAAGTAGGCTCGGACGAGGAGCTGGCAAGTCCGTGGGCGGTTTTCTTCCCTTGTCAGCTATGCAGACTAGGATCATAATGACAGCCTCAGACTTTATTTAGGAAAATCGATACCACGGATTGGCCGTAGGTAGGAACTTGAGTTTCGCATCAGCAGGGCATAGCCTGTTTCAGATAAGCAGTATCCCTTCTAGAAGTCCCAAGAAAGGAAACTTGTCGAGTCATTGAAATGGCCTAGGTCAGCATCGACCAGCAAAGGACAATGAAAGATCGGCAGCCGAAAGGCAAGGCGGTGTCAGCGACAATAAGAAACGTTGAAGTGGAAAATAATACAAGCCGGTAAGATGATAAATCAATAACTCCCGCATAACTATTAAAAGTCCTCGTTTATCAGCAAACTGCGCGTCCTCCCACTGAACTACCTACACAGAACACATTCTCTTGTGCCATCACCACCTCAGAGGTACTACGAAACCTTATCCGATATCGTCACGAAAATTGCACATTTCCTCCAGCCCAAAACCATTTGTCACAATGAAAGCTAGTGTGATCGCACTTCCTATGGCCTTTATCGGGTATGTCGAGTCCCTGTGCACCGATTAAAAAGTATTTACTAACAACTCAAAGCACTGCCTTTTCTCAGGAGATTTTCAGATGCATGTGTGTCGATAACACTAGTGACCCAGGCAGAACCGGTCTCTCAGGCATCGACAGCTTGTGCACATCCAAGGGCGGTGAAGTCGAGCGACCAGATCTCTGCATCAAGTCGACATCACGATTCACAGATGCGGAATGTGCCAAAGTAAAGCAAGGTGCCAGAGGGATCTGCATTGTTGATGAAATTTCCAACGGCGGAGGATCGACGGCTGTTGTTACAGCTACTGCAGCGCCATAGAGGGTTGGAGCGACGCCGAGAGAGCTCTAAGCTGGCAAGTTCACTGCCCATTGAATATGACAGAGGTTGATGAATCTGGGGGTGTTCCAATATGAGAAGCAATTGCCGGCACATGTCGTCGGCAATCTTTTGTGCTTCTAGCCCTTCAGGATATAGCGAAAGTTCAGATCAATTTTCAAAGTTTGTAAAAAAAGTCTGCGAGCAAGCTTGTTAGCCTCTGGCATTTCCTTGTGTACACATTCCTCGGGATATCATCTGCTGTTGAAGTTTCTTGTACAATAGAAACTTTGCACCCCACGGTTAGGCAGGTTTTCCGAATACGCGCATAGTATACGGTTGTGCGATGGCATATTGACGGAAGAGCACGCTGTTTCTAAGTGGGATTGACTATTTGTTTAATCCGGAGGCAAACTTAGTCGCGAAAGCGGGCTGGGTCCCAAAGCTTGGAATACAGCCGAGACAAGCTCCGTTTCTGAACATCTTTGACCATGATTTCAAGAATTCACTTGGGTCGTGAGCAGTGTCCGACTAACAAAGGTTCTTGACTGTACAGTATGGCTTAAACTGTCGAAAGACTAAATGCTTTTTCTGTGAAGCTGTTTATTGATTTTCTTGGGTGGACGCGAGAGCACGTCATTTTTCTGCCAGCCAAGCTCCGTTAGAAGCTGAGGAGTAGTGCTGTCCACGTCTATATCAAATTATAAGTCTTATATAGCGTCTAATATCTTATTCTTAATTGCTCTTCCATCATCTGTTCATATTCTCTGCCGCCAAAGAATCGTTGATAAAGAGTACTTACTTCGAGATTGGCATTGGTGAGAAGCAACGTCTGAGTGCCCTAAAGTTCTGCATTCTCTGCTGATTTCACAGCTGCCTCTCCCTCAAACTTTTGGAAAGCCAATTGAGAGATTTGAAATTAGCATGACTGGCAGCTGGATAGTAATTCAATGGAATTTTCGGTTGCGTTAAACTTCTTGCCGCAAGACTTGGATAAACAACTGGAGGGGCTGTGGAATGTGCTTGACCGTCACCCAAGGGTATTTATCAATGCAAAATAAGTATCATTCCATAAAACTTTCAGCAGGTATCACTTGATTCATGAATAGACCCAGTGCCTTGTCGCCGCTAGACTTTGGTGCCCGGCGTGACTTATACGATGACAAAATTATTATCAACTAAAGAGACATATCCGAGCAATTTTCACGTTAGGTTAAGTGAGCCCGTCAATCGTTCGGGTCGGAAGCAAACCAGAGTGCTTATTTACAAATACACAGCTCTTGTGACCGCTCACACTAAAGTACCGTCTGTGCCACTTGAGTGCAGGTCGCGTCTGGGTAGCCACAACGCTACCAAAAACAAAAGCTCTTATGGAAGTCGGCGCACTTTGAGTCCGTAGTCCGGCCGTTTCGCTGGACTTACAGAATTTTTGGGACACTCATTAGGCAGACACACGTTTATTGATATACATTAGCAACATGAAGACTGTGGTTGAATGCCACCATGAATATTCCTTCACTTCCGCCCAACCGACCTTCTTACAATTTGAGAACAGTTACAAAATACTGTCTTCAGGATTTAAGTCTAGTTGTCTGACCACCATGGACGCATCTTTAAAAAACCAAGCTAGCCTTGTGTTGTATCACGGCTTCCCAGTCTCCAACGCCTACGTCTGGTCACCATTCGTCACTAAGCTTGAGGCACGACTTCGCTTTGCCAGCCAGTGGTACCGCGTTGAACAGGGTTCTATGTCGAAAGCTCCACAAGGCAAGATCCCATATGTTGAGATTAGCCACGAGGGACAAGAGGTTCCCACCGCGTTGGGTGATTCGACTCTCATAACTCAGCGACTTATCGACGATGGCGCCTGCGAAGATCTGAACGCAGCATTGTCCCCAGTCAGCAAAGCTTACGATTTGGCTATCCGTGCTCTGTTGGAGGGTAAGCTTTGTTTCTACCAGGTAAACAGCTGTTACTCACCTAAACTAAACTGAATAATACAAATGAATCTAATCTTTCGACAGAATCACGAACGTTGGCATGAAAACTATGAAACCATGCGGTCTGGCGTACTAGGAGCTATCCCCTGGCCAATCCAGCCACTCATCGGTCTGCTGGCTTATCGCGGCGTAACGCGCACCCTGTATGGCCAGGGCACTGGCCGATTCACAAGCGACGAAATTGCAAGTTTTCGACGCCAGGTATGGGGAAAACATTAATGCCCTGTTGGCGGAGGCTCGTACTACTGCCCCTGATAACAAAACACCCTTCTGGATATTGGGCGGTTCAAGGCCTTCGGAGGCTGATGCAACTGTTTTTGGCAAGATTTCTTGAAACATGATATTCCACGGTTTAAACAATATAGCTTCAATCTTATTCGGTGTTCTCTTTGTCTGGCTTTCAAGTTTCTCGCCTAGGAATCGCTCTCTTTATGCACACTTTTAAGCCCATTTGTTGGTCATGGTGACTTGTCGAACTTTCCTTCTTCAAGCAACTCACTTCCGCAAACTATGAAATGTGCTTTATGTACAGATTCAAAACTAAGTCTCCATTCCTTTCGCTGCGGGCTTTTTTCTAGAACAAATATAATCATCGAAGAAGAAAGCAGTGGATTTGGCTTGTGAGAAGACCGATGTAATCATCGTAGGCGTTGGGCTTGCAAGAGATTGCTCAGAAGGGTATCGAGACTAATGTGAATCAAGTGGCAGCTGGAATTACATCGAAGTGACTAGCAGACTTAAATTGAGGAGTTAAGTGATGCCGATTCTTCTACTGTTATTCCTGCTTCCACCTTATTTCTTCATGTTATTGTAGACGTGCCGTGGAGGAGCTTTTGGAACAGGTCTGTTATGGAATCGACCACTAACAGTCTGAGAAGTGGAGGTCCACTCTCCGATCATTCCGTGAGACCCTCTCTAGTTTTGAACAAGCAACCAATTATAATTTATCCAAATAGCATCGTTGTACTCGTGATTAAAGTTGGGTTCTTCTCTCTCTATTTTCCTTTTACGCGTTTTCCATCGTAATCCCTAACATGCTTTAATATTCATAAAAAGGCTGCTTGAGGAAGGCTTCCAAGGTTAACACAATATACATAATATCTATTAAGGTTTTTCAGTAGCAAGCGGTAATATTTCGTTTCTTCCCTCTTTGGAAGAAACTCTCGTATTGTAAATTATTTCTAAACTTGCTAAACTTACTAAAATGATCCTTCCATAATCAACCGCGTTCTCCGCCTTGAACTGGCATATAAAAACCTTCATGTCTCTGAAGATACTTATTCAGAATGATGGTGTGAATTACAACATAATCTGTTTCATTGAGCTCTTCGCATAGATCATTTTCTACTTTTATCGCAACCTATTCACAATGGTCAGATTTCTGCTTCCTCTCTTTCAACTGCTCTCTGCAGTGCTTTTCTTCCAGGTTGTGCACGCTGGAGAATACACATGTGCTCCGGCCCCACTGAGTGAGGAATCATTTCCTTTACTTACTTCTTATACGTGGCTAGAGCGTCAACCAAACGGGGTCTACTACGCTGATCTTCAGGTTGGAGCTGCTAAGGGGCAACCGCCGAGGGCGAAGGTCTTTTACGCCCCACCGGGCATCTCCAACAAGAAGGGTGTTCTCCGGTTTGAGAACCACGCCAATTTCCGGATGCTCATGTGTGTCTCACAAGATGAACACGGTGGAGCTCACAGACAATGTTTTTGGCTTAACGCTGGTGACAACTGCACTACCAACCACATCGCCTATAGCCTCTACTTTATTGTAAGTCCGCCTGAAGCAGTTGGAAGTTCACCATTAATGAATTCTAGGCTGGCCCCAAGCTCTGAAGAGCGATAAGTGACCGACAGACGCTGGGTCGTTTTGCTATTTCTCAGAAACACGTCTGAAATATTTGGCTTTCTATTCCATGCTCGCTCGACATCATGTTTCAATAACTTCTGACCGAAAAGAAACGAATCATCAGATATAAAAAAAGCTTTACTTGGCATGACGTATAACCAATGCTTCAGAAACGTTTCTGATCAATAATTATTGATTTATTTTCGCTTTTCGCTTGGAAAATGCCGCTGAAAGCGTTCAACTATCTTACATAGGCGTTCATCTTCATAGAAAGCAATGAAAGTTCTCTTTCGAGAAGTAATTCGGTTGAAGGTCAAGAGCAACTGTTCTTATATTCTAGCATTCGATGAATTCTGAAAGGCAGTTCTTTCAGAATCTTTCTCGTTTGGCGATACAATACTGGACAAACAGAAACAAAGCCCATGGTTAGAAGGCGCTTCAGTATTATTTCAACCTCAATTTTCTAATCAATCTTCCGGTATAAAAGAAAATCACAAGTGCTTTGACGATTCGATAGCGTAGTTGCCAAGGAAGTTCAAAGATCAATTAACTTATCATGGCGTCCAGTTTGAATAACAATCAGACTTGATAGAGGCGTTCACTCTCAAGTCATTCTTAGCTTTGATATTTATTATGACGTATGTTCTCATTGCTGTTATCTGGAAACTTCACGGAAATTTTGGTCTTTTCGTCCTGATTCGTGTGGACTCTTCCGCATGAACCGTCAAGTAACCTCTCTCGTGACACAGAGATTTGAGTCATGAAATTTAGTGTTCGAGTCAAAATAACGCTCTCTGAAGGTTAATCCTGTTATGTTCGGAGTTCGGGTAAGACGGCTTGCAAAAGATCCGTGCCAACAAGGCACGCCGACGCTTTATTTGGGCAGGAGTCTGTAACTGATAACAATCCTGAAGATGAAAATAATTAATACGCTAGTCCCGTAGCCATTGCTCCTCGATATTTGGCGGGCACCCAGTAGTTGATATGATTCACGTTGGAAACTTCTCAGACTGAAGAAGTGTAACCCGAGTCATCTTGCTCACGCGTGTCACTACTAGCTGCTGTAAAAGCCGCAATTTGGGTTTGAAACGGTTGCCGGCCTCCCGGGCCTCACGTGGGTAGGCAATTTTAACAACTAAAGTGACAGGCAACTGGGAGGGATGAAACTTTTTTCACTTCAAACTACCTCGTACAGCTTTTTCTTTCATATCGCAAGCTTTCATCACAACTTGAGAAGAACGCCCTTTACATCGGTGCAACTATCCTGTGAAACAATCATAGGCGTGTTCTCCTATGAATAACACTAAAAGGCTGGGTCGCTGTGTCTTGCTGGCTGAAAGTGCCATTTCACTAGTTGAGTCCGGTGACTACTATTGAGTTTCGCGTGCCCAATTATGCCTTTCATCAACATACGCACAGGACGCTTAATAAACACTCCACACACACCTTAGCAGACCTACCATGCGTACACAAATCAACGTCCGGTTAGTAAAAAGAAGAGAACTATGAGAGCGCTCTACTGATAAAATAAACAATTTGTGATCGAAAATTAGTAGAGATAGGTCCCCAAGGCGCTTTACGCTTAGATACAAGATAGGTCGGCTCAATCGAATATCGGAACAAAAGTAAAGGGCCCTAACCAGGGATCGAACCTGGGACCTCTCCCAGAAGTGGGTTGTTAAGCCCTAAGGGAGAATCATACCGCTAGACCATCAGGGCTTGAGACATGATTGGATGTCAGATCGTTGTGGTGGAGCTTGAAATGGTTGCTTGAATATGCTGTGCAATTTTGAAAATCTTCCTGAAGCATCAACGTTCCATCTCCATCAATCCAGAAAAAGACCAAGCGTTTCTAAGGCCTTGCCTAAAGAGACTTTGTAAATATGGGACGATAGGTTATTTTGCTAAGATAAAGTTAAACAGTAGGGAGAATGGAGGGGCATGAACTATTTTTCTATTCACGAATGAAAATTAGTTGAGATGAATTTGCCTCTTGCGTTATGGATTCGGAATGACTAGTAAACAATCATTGAAATACTACTGTAACAAAGGTAGAGTGCCACTGCAACTACTGAAAATTCTTGGAAGCAAGACTGGGACTGTTATCTACGAAGCCAAGGCAACTGAGTCGGACAAAGGGCGAAGACGGTTAAAGAAACCGGCGTTACAATTAGTAGTAGCACTCTGAATGAAGCTCGGTATGTCTGAATAATTAAGAGTCTTCTGAAACTTTTTCCAATTCAAGTCCTCTATTGTGTACCGTGGGACGACCTTTCCTGTTGGCAGCCCGGCATAAGCTACTGAACAACCAGAGCATTGCGGATACCATTGCAAGAAGGTAAAGTAGTATTTTCCAGCTCTAAAAAAGCAGAAAATAGAATTCTGAACTGCATTCGTCAGAGCACTTCGTCATTCAGAAGTCACAGCTTTTTCTCCAACTTGTCATATATGACCAGGTAGTCATAGAGTATACTGAAACCTCGGTCTCATGTCTCCGAGTGCCTCAATCTCCTTTTCAGTTTTCCCAACAGCCCAATGATCCCTTTTGCCTTGCTTCCGCTTCGCATTCTCCACCTTCAATGAGACAGTCATGAGTAGACTGCCTAAGCACAAACAAAGAGACAAGTAAGCCAGCACAACGCCATGACCCTCGGTGAACTGAGGTCCGTTGAAATAGATATTCGAACTTATGATTCCACTTAGATTTCCCCAGCCGATGACAAATCCCAACACTACTCCCCGCTTGTATACGCCTTCAGTATTATTGGCAACCCACGTAATTGTATTGCTGATGCAAGGATACAGTGCCATGGCGCCGAGAAAGGTTCCTGCGTACTTGACCTTCGGGCTCTCCGTAGTAATGAGTATCACAAAGCCAGCAATGCCAATCAAGCTGACAAAGACGTTACAAAGGCCACGCTGGCGGGTCTTGTCGGCCACCCACCCAACGATTATCGTAAATACTGCGGCAACAGCATAAGGTGGAACGGTCATGAGCTGAGATCGAACGGTACTAGTATTCCAGCCAAGGTCGTTGATAATGGTTGGTAAAAACAAGCTGAAGGCGTATAGTGGCATGTCGCAACCCATATAGATAACCATCGCCATCCACATTTTCCAGTCGGCCATAGCTTGCCAAAAATACTTCATCTTGAACTCTTCGTAGACGGCAGAGGCCTGCTGGTCCGCTTTCAATCGGCGAATGACGCGGGCGCGGTCGTCCGGAGACAGAAACTTGGCCTCGTCCGGGAAATCATGAACCATCCAAAAAGAAGCAACGCCGAAGACGACAGTCAGTAGGCCCTCGAGAATAAATATCCACGACCATCCAGCCAGGTTCCCGATTCCGTTCATCTGCTCAAGCCCTGCGGCGAGCGCGCCTCCGAATGAGCCTGACAACGCGGCCGCTGAGAAGAAGACAGCCTAGGGGTGCGAGTCAGCTTGGTAACACGTAGCCCATGCCTAAGCAAGAACATACAGCCCTAATTCCGAACTCTGACCGTCTGTACCAGCAGGAGAGGTAATAATTGACTCCCGGAAATAATCCGGCTTCGGTAAGGCCTAGAAACCATCGCGCTACCATTAATCCTTCCCAGTTGTGCACGAAACCCATGCTGACCATACATGTTCCCCACAGGATCCTAAATAGTCAGCTCGTCTTTCAAAATAGTGGAAGCTGGTTAGTATAGAACTTCGACATACATGATGACAGGGATAAAGATCGATGGCCGCAATCGTTTGAGCAGGATGTTTGTCAAGGGCTCGAACACAGCATATGAGACGAAGAAGATGGTAAGAGTTGCATTATACTGCCTCTGCGTCAAATGCAGGTCTTCATTCAAACCGGCAATCTTAGCATTCCCAATGTTTGTTCTGTCAAGGAAAGCAAGAAGATAAAGGATACAAAGCTGTGCTTAATGTTAGCAGGCAAAGCAGTACTCAAGTGCTGCCGCAAATCCGACCATACCCAGGGAATGAGGGTCCAGTCTAACTTTTTGACCAGCCTGTGCTCCTGTTTCTGTGTAAGTACGTTTTGAGAGAGTAAGTCAAGACCAGACAAAAGACTCACCAACTTCGCCCTCTCCTCCTCGCTCAAATGTGCATCGGGATCAGTAAACATTTCCCCACGTATCTCCAATCCATGAGTGGCTGTGGCCTTCCCAGGGTCGCTCATATCGTCGTGAAATGGTCTTTGAGCATGATTAGCGGAAGCTTCGAAACCTTCCGAGGGTTATATCGGAATGTAGAAATGAAGATGTTAATTCGGCTTCTAGCTTTGAACAAGTTGGCACTTCGAGGACTTACTGAATACTGATGCCGTGATTATACAGATATCAGGGTTGCAATGACCGCGATACAATGTTGGTGACGCAGTGTGGCTGACCGACTGAACAGAAGTGTATTCACTTCATCCTCAGGAACTTGGCTTCATTGTTTCATTTAAGTAATAATTGTTAGATTGCTATTATGACAAGTCCTCTCCCAGGACGGCATATTGAACGCAGGTTAGACGGCCCTTGCAGGTAGCATCTATCAAGCCATTCATTTTGGCAACAACCTTGAAAGCTTTCAGTAGACTGGTGACGCTGCTGAAGTTGAAGAAAAATTCACCATGGTCATTGGGGTGGTTGTTTACAGAAATGACAAATGGGACACAGATGGTGTAATGACGGCGTATCTTACAGCAGATTTATGTCTCATGTATGCTAAACTTTCCATCAAGGTCTTAATCATGGTTGCAGGGAAAATGACGTAAACATCGTGACTGAGGCTGAAAACTCGGATTTAAAAGGGGAATTTACTTTGGCTTGTGACAATAGAGGTCGGCACATACAAAAACATTGTCCTGACACCATCTCGCTTCCTAGCGTGCACTGTTAGCTTGAATACATGAACATTGACCGAGATCCAACTGAAGACATAGATACTGCAACAGCTAGTGAAAACTCAATATGTGTGGCAGAAAAACTGCGTGTTTCTTTCTGGTAATATAATGCAACGGGAAATTCATCCATCAAGTCATTTTTCGAGTACTCGGGTATGGAGAGACCTTTGTGGGTTCTCCTTTACATGATGCAATTGAGATGACCAGCTGTTGCCGAGCCGATAAAGCAGTCTGACAGCTGGCTGCGGATCATCAGTTGCGGCGGGGCCGTTCATGAAGACCTGCTGACTAAGACAATTGGGCTTCTAACGGCGAGAAGCTCATGACCGCTAACTCGCAAAAAGGGGTGAGATGTTTTCAGCTGTCGTATCTGGTGTGAGAACGTCCTCTCTCGTCCAAACCAATAAACACACGCCGAATTCTACTAATCGGTTTGATTGTGTTACTTTGAGGCGGACAAACCAAAGGAAACATCTCCACTCACCCTCAATTTCAACCTCTGGGTCCTCCAACAGGGATATTGCGCAAAAGTGAGGGGCACCACTTCATCCCACATTTCATCCCTCCTCAACCCTCCCTTGCCCACGCTTTCTCACCACCATGGCCAAACGCGTGTGCATCGTCGGTACAAACCCTTTGAACCTCCCCCTCTTCCGTGCCACCGCCTGCCGTGCTGATGGCTTACTCACTGCGTTCTAGGCGCCGGCCCCTCCGGTCTCGTGGCGGCCAAGACTCTCCTATACAACGCCCCTGCCGGCGCTTTTACGGTGACAATCTACGACGCCCAGAAGCGTGTCGGTGGTCTTTGGCCCACCAGTCGCGATGATGACGGCGGCCTCGTGCACCCTCTCATGGTCGCCAACCAGAGTAGGCACTCGGTTCAGTTCAGCGACTTTGCCTGGGGCGCTGACGAGCCCGACTTACCGCGCGCGTGGATGATTGGTCGCTACCTGGAGCGTTATCTTGACCGTTACAAAGGCGCCGAGTTAAAACTTGGCCACCGCGTCGTGAAGACCGATCTGGCTGATGACGGAACTTGGAGCGTCACCGTTAAATCCGACGGTGGTGAGGAGACGAGCGTTTTTGATTATCTACTCGTCGCGACTGGGTTCTTTGGGAAGCCCGTCATCCCGGACCTCGGAACCGAGCAGGCTACTGTGCCCGTTCTTCACAGCAGCAAGTACAGAGACCTCAAAGCGTTGTTCCCAGAGGGCGTGAAGGAGGGCGACAAGATCTTGGTCGTGGGCGGTCAGATGTCCGGCGTGGAAATCTCCGGCACTATCGCAACCCACGTCTCCGCCGCCGTCAATGCTCCCGGCCCGAACACCGTGCCAAACGCAGACAAGCTCTCAATCCACCACCTTGTCCAACGCCCTACTTGGGTATTCCCACTCTACACTACCCCAAAGGTATGGTATTACCGTCCGTATTTGTTGGACGTACGGTTGACGTTGGACAGCCCGTTTCGGCAGCAGCCCCCTTCCTCCCGTTGGATCTCACATCCTACAACCTCGCCAACAGGCCTCAGCCTCTGCAAAATACTTCAGGTAACATCTCAGTTGAGGCTGCAAGGGCCACACATGGTATCTACGCCACTGCGCTAGGCCAAGACCAGTCTGAATATTCCGAGTCTGTCGCCATCCGGTCGTCCATGCGCTCCGACCCGCCCTACCTCGCCGTCAGCGAGAACTACATGGAATTCGTCCGGTCTGGCTTGGTTTCTGTCTCTCAAGGCAAACTCGCATCTATCAACGGCAAGATCGCAACTACAGAGGCATCTTTACGCGTCGAGAATGTCGCGGCTGTAGTCTTGGCCACCGGCTTCGACGCCTCTCCCTCACTCTCCTTCCTCCCCTCCTCCGTGCTCACAACTCTCCAGCACTCCCCCGAACACCTGAACATGCCCCTTTCCCTAGCTTTCCACGGTACCCACGTCAAGGACCTCCCGACCTTGGGTTTTGTGGGCTTCTACAGGTCGCCGTACTGGGGCGTGATGGAGATGCAAGCCCGCTTCCTCGCAGCGCTGTGGACGCCCACCTCTCTCGCCCCCAAGCCGCGGAATCTGGCACAGGCGCTCGCCGACGACGCTTCACAATCTCTATCAACATCCCTCCGCGGCGACCCCCGCGGCACGCAGTTCCCGATGGGCGACTACATGTTCCTGATGCAGGAGTTCTCCTCGGCGCTGGACATACCCATCGGCCCCTTCCCCGGCCCGCCGACGCCGGCGCTGCCGCACAACAGCAAGCCCATGGACATCCTCACCCCGGCACGCTACATCTCGCCCTTGGCGGACGAGCAGGCGAAAGCGGAAGCAGCAAAGTCTCTCTCGATGACGCACGCCACTGCCGTCGCGGGCCTGACGACCAGCCGCTTCGTCGCCAAGGCCGTCTTCCGCAGCTTACTGGGAACGTGGAAACTCGAGCGCGACCTCACGAGCAAACTCCCCACGCACCCCAGCGGCCACTTCAGCGGCACCGCTCAGTTCCTCCTCCGCGACAAGACGGCCGACGGGCTCAAGTGCGTCGCCGGCTCCGCCGCTCCCCCCGGCCAAGACGAAAACCCGCTGGACGAGGACCTGGCGACGGAGTACCTCTACATCGAAGACGGCGAGTTCCGCGCCGACAACGGCCTGGTCTTTAGAGCGACGCGCCGCTACGTCTGGCGGTACGACGAGAACAAGGACCGCATCAGCGTCTGGTTTGTAAAGACCGACGACGCCAAGAGAGCGGATTACCTCTTCCACGAGATCGAGTTCCTTCCGCCGCCGGCAAATGATTTGAAGGGTTGGCAGGCCAAGGCGGGCCATCTCTGCATCGATGATTACTACAATGTCAACTACGGTTTCACTTTCAAGGCTGTGAATCTTAAGGAATGGAATATTGGATACACTGTGAATGGACCGAAGAAGGATTACACGATACATGGCGTATATAGACGGTAGCGGTGAACCACTGATGAGCAGTACTTGAATATCCACTAAGGAGAGTTTGCATAGGGAAATCTCGAAGACAGCTAGGTGGGGTCTTTTATTCTTAGGTGACTAAGGATTCAGTGATGGAATAATCTGCTGATGTTTTTTTAAGTCTGTTTTTGAGCGTCTGGCTTCCTGTCCTCTGGTTCGAGAGCCCTGACCATCTCAGCGAAGTTCGATATCAATCCTTGCAACTCCTTGTACTTCCTCCACGTGCCCAAGGTTGACCGTTTCGCTCACATTTGCTTGTTCCCGGCCAGTCGTCAAGCGGTAAAATCTCTGGATCAAAGGACAGTCCGGAGACGGGCGAGCAGATTTGCCCACGACTATAGTGTCGGGTTTGCATGCTGTTGTCAAAGTGGACGCAGTGTTGTCAACCTGCTAAGTAGCATATCCAACGTCTGGGATCATCACGTCTCCGTCCCCGTCAATTCTCCGCAAGCTGCCATCTTGCTGAACTGAGCTTCTTATCATCTGTTTTCCTTGGCCGGTGTTGAGCGCCCAGCAACGTCCCCAGCCATCAACGCTAAAAGCCCATACAATCAAGTCAGGGCCGGCGTCTATGGAAAGCTCAAAGACACCCGAACAGGCTGTAACAACTTGGCATTGAACATCCAGTGGATATGAAAGTCCTGTCACAGGCCTGGTAGTCTCCAGGTTATTGCTACCCTTGACAGTTAAAGTAGGCCACCACTGCGCCCAGTCTGCAACCGGTCGATCGGCGTTATCCAAATTCCCGAAAAAGGATATGTCTTGAAACATGTCGGGAGGAATAGTGTAAAAGACAATGAGTTGCTTTTCTGACTTGTATCCAGCTCCTTCAGTCCATTGCGTGGTTGGAAACACAGCCGCAATCCGCACACCGTGCTTCAGATCAGCTCCCACGACGTATGTTGTGGGGGCGTCCGAAGTTGCGGCAGAAGGTGGTCGAAATTGTACTTTTCTTTGTAGACGAGTCAAAGATCCAAAGGGTGCATCAGCTCCAAGGCATAAATACCCTGTCTGCGGGTCAGTGAACAGGATGTGGTAACCGTCACTGAGCGGCACGGCTCGATAGTTATCCGTCGGGATTGTTGAAATTGAGCGAGGCCGACGTCTGACCCAGGCAGTTCGATAAGAAGGAATCGCGGTTGGACCACCGACAAGTTGCTCTGTGATTGTGTACACGTTTGAAATATTGTTCTCGCGTCCAGCAACAGAGGTTTCCAGGCGTGAGATGACAGCAGGAATCTCCTGTGGATATCCCCTGGACGCATGGCTGAAAGCCCTCACGCTGTTTTGTGTCTGGTCAGATGTAGACTCTACGACCGTTGCTGAGCTGATGAGCCGGAGCTTCTTTGATGAATCGATGGCGAGCCGGGGTGGAAGGAAATACAGGAAATCGCTTGGGGTCGATAACGGGAAGCGACGGACAAGGTCCTCGCCAGTGGGCCCGTCTACCCAGTGAATCTCAATGGCAGATGCGCTGCCAAAGGCCACACATTCGCGCTAAGGACATATGGCCACCGAGCGAGGCGGGTCGTCAACGCGTGAGATGTTGCGGTACACAGTTCTAGAGCCAGTCTCAAGAGGAGGTGGCTGCAACTCCGGCCGTATTTGACAGACGCATGTTTCTGGTGATGGACTCTTGGATGGTGAGCTGCTTTCATCGTCAATGTGACCCAATATGGATGTTTGTAACCGGCTTGCATTCCTGCTTGGTGTGCCGTAGGTGGCGAGGTTGCAGATTATCCCTGTTTGGCCTTCGAGTAGAACAGCAATCGCATACCGCCCTTGGGATGTATCCATGGCACATGATATGACTTGACTGGTGAAGGACAGCTTGGTTACAGGGTACAAGAGGCCGCGTGTATTTTTGGAGCTCTTTCTCAGGTGAGATGTGGACGAGTCGTATCGCAAGTGGTTGCAAGTGTGGTTTAACTCGTAGACCTGGATGATACATCCGTGAATGACCATCAGAAATTGACCACACACACTAACGACTAATCTGTAGGCATTGTCAGGAAGCATGCGCGCCGCGCAGTAAGTACCCAACTGCGTAAGCTTGGTTCGGCCAATCTCGACAAATGCTGGATCTGGCCTGGATGAGTAGGGACCAAGGGTGCACTCCCTTGCCAACCACTTTGACATGGTCCACCCTTCGTCTAGGAACCGCTTTCGCTGGGGATATGGAAGCTCAAGTCCGAGGATGCTCTCGATGCTCGACCACCACCCTCCTCTCTTCAGCATTCGGACTAAGATGGATCGGTTTAGGCTGGCCATGAACCAAGAGCGGCAGGTATGTCTTGCAGCATCGAAACTGTATGGGCAGAGGAGATTGAATATCTGGTGCAAGACTTCTACTGGAATCCGCATAGAAGATGGCGTCGCAAGGTTGATTGATTGCCCTGGAAGGTGTAGTACATTAGCTGGCATTAGTTCAGGAGACCCTGCAAAGTGAACGACGGAGGACGACATGGCAGGTAAGCGAGCTGGTCGCAGTGGCGCGGAAGAGTGTAACAAAAGAAGTATAAGTTGGTCGGATAGACTGCAGACCCCAAAACGACCGAGTGGATAATGTTGAGCTGAAGATCGGAGTATGGGAGAAGGTGAAGCAGAGACTGCTGTATTTGCCTAACGTCGGGATATTTACGTTCCTGTAGCCCTCTTTCCTTGTTTGCTCCTGCCGAGGCATAAGCGCCTTCCAACTAGGATAACAAGTAAAGGGTAGGACCTGCCCGGTAATAATTAAGCTGTTGCTTATGTAAACAACAGTTTTATCGAGGTCAAGATTGGCTATTGAAATAAGTGAAAGAAGCAGGAACGTTTGTAGTATCTGTATTTCTGGCGAAAGGACAAGTTAGTCCCCCTGAATCGAGCGTACAGTTGAGTCAAGGAACATATAACCAAATTATCCTTGTCTAGTCAACCAAGCGGGTCGGTTAGCTCAGTTGGTTAGAGCGTGGTACTAATACGTCATCAGCCGTGTTGAGTAATGCCAAGGTCGGGAGTTCAAGCCTCCCACTGATCATCTTTTGCTTTTGTCACTTATAATTTCATCATAGAGAATTTTTTTTTAAGTTTTGGCTATTCTTTTTTTGGATGACGCTCTTTTCTCACAAGAGATGAGGCGAATGGTCCTGGTATCCCGAAACTTAGTACTACTTGGTTGCTTCTCATCCAGTCAATTGTAATTAAGGTATCAATTAACTCTGTTTCTCATAACGTTTAGGTTTGCTCAAAATACTTCTCTCTGACAATTCTCATCCGACCGCTCGGATGCTTTCGCTGGGTCAATCTCTGGCCGACCCCGAGCCGGAAGGGCCCCACATCACGGCCGTCCAGCCGGCAACCCGGAATCACCTCTAAAAACAAGCTTGTTTTAATGCGCTTGCTAGCTAATACAAAGTGATGCGAAGGTAGCTTAATAGCTTAAAATCATACTCACTTCTAGCAGGTCAACGTTCGCGTGGTCCTGTGCACTTACACATATCACCGGTGTCGCGTCATTGAGGAGCGCAAAGATGCCACCGCGTCCCCTACCAGGCTTGGCCCCCTGACCCAAACAGCTGGGCGAGAGAAGGCATTTTCCAAAGCGAACATGTGAGCTGTCGTTCACTCTCACAACAGCTAACACTGCAGAGGTAACGGCAGTGAGAACCGGCAATGTTATATCGGCACCAGGGGATAACGAGCACCGCCCTCGATGCCAGGGCCAACAATACTGCTTTCGCCATCGGTCGTTCGCGACGGAGGTCGGGCAGACTGATTGAAAAGATACAAGCGACTGTCGGCTCTTTTGACACATTGGCTGCGGTACGTTGACCAACGAAACTTTCACTGCTTCCTAAGCTAGGCGGCGCCATCCGTCATCGAACCCGACTGGCTCACCAAGGCCGCCAGCGATGAAGCCAAGATGCCACCTCGGCTAAGTAGTCTGGGCATTAGCATCAAGATAAGCTTGTCGGGGATGATCAAGGTCGCCAGCACGCGCAACGGGACTATCGACGCCGACCACGAGCGCACCAAACGCGGGGCTCGCAAGACGCGAGGTCCGACTTTTAAACACGGCCGATCCACCCGCCCGCAGCGATAGTCAACCCCCCCATCCCAAAACGTCAAAACTCATGACCTGCAAAAGCCCAAGGGTGATCGATATCCGCGACAACGGCGTATTTTTTTTTTCTTCTTCTTGGGCATCAAGGAGGACCCTCTCAGCACGAAGTTATCCCACATCATCCACTCGCAAACACACGTAACCCCTTGACCAGTTTCGCTCGAGTCACTCCCCTCCCCTTCTTGAACGACATGCTTTCATACCCAGGCATCTCCCACCATCTTGGCTCATCTCGCAGGGAGCGCGCTGGACCCTGGCTCATCGTAAGATGCTCTGTCATCGCGTGCACCTTGACAGATACGACAGCCCCTTATCCCCGCCTGTCCGTTGCGACCTTGACTTACTGCTCATCTGTAGGCTGCCTCAAGCGATATCGGTGCCGTAGGGAACTGTTTCGAGAGGATTGGAAACATCTCCAACCAACCTCCTAGACTCTCGTGAACTAAGGCGACGTGGAATACCTGTCCCAAGCCATAGCAATGCGCAAAGCACATGTCCAACACCGAGCTCGAGCTCGCTGATAACGATGAACGAGCCAGTGGTGAGAATACATCCCCACTTGGCTCGGCCGGGAATAATCACAAAAACAGTAGCGCAATTTAAAAAACACCAAAAACCAAACCAAATCCTTGAAAACCTTTTTCTTCAGTCTCCACTTACCGAAGCTTCGTGCACCGTCGACGCAGTCTCGCTAGTATTGGCGTCGCGACCTTGGCATGGGAATAAACACAAGTCAGACAGACCCGTGGATCGGCGTCGAACTAGCAGACGGGAAATGCCATAAGAGATAACTAGGGACTGCGTGGTTAGTAACAGAAAACTGAGTCAAACGACCAGGGGGGGTTTTTTGCAAAAATCTTTTGCGGCCACCGCCGTGGTGGATCCCCCTCCGTCCGGGACCCCATCTTAGGCCGGCTTCTGCCGCTGTGCTTCCCGGGCGAAAGGGGACTTGGGCTTTGCATACTGGCAGATGGGTTTACCGATGAAGACAGCGTCATCCCAGGACTCAGCCGCCAACCCCAAACATGAGTAGAAATAGACTTTCTCGGAATTGGGATGAGATGATGGGGGATAGGATGGGAATTATTTTGAGTTTCCTTTCTTTGTGTGTGTGAAAAGAGAATGGGGGGAACAGGCTTAGTAAACTCCTGGCAAAGACAGAGAAAGAGAAAAAAAAACGAGACACCACAGCAGCAAAATATGACGACACTCCGAGCTCATCCCGAGATTTCTCCCCCCTGTTCAGCCCTGAGATGGAGACACCCCCAAAACACCCGGGACCCCCGTCGAACCAAGCAACCGCCAAGAGGCCCCAAAGTCATTCCCTCTTATTCCCAGACCCGTTTTCCTTCGTTCCTCTGTTCCTCGAAAGGGCCTGGAATCCAAAACCGGGCAGAGCCGCAATAGCAGACACACAGAAAAAAGAGAACGCGGCGCCAAGCCGGTCGCCTAGGACGGGACATGTCGGGTTCCCTACCCATGCGCACGCATTGCATCAGCCATTTTGGCGCTGGAATCTATACGATTGGGTCCCAAGTCATCAAAGTGGCCAAAAACACTAAAGCCACGAGCGAAGCTTTTTTCTTCTTCCTCCTCGTTGTTGCGATGTATTGGCCAAAGAGGAAACTTGTCCTTGTCTAACCCCGGAATAGCCTCGACTAGGCGACGGTCCGTCACCGATTCCATCGACGTACACTACAAAAAAAAACCTCGCGTCTGAAGAAAAAGCAAGGTCGGGATGCTCGTGTCAGACATGCCCCGACCACGTTTTCCGGTACGTATTCGTCATCAATAGAGTACCGGTATCCCTACGCCCCCTATCACGAGCCTTTGTCAGAGCCCAAGTTGCGTCCTTTTTTTTTTTTTTTTTTTCCCTTCCCCTTCCATTTTCCTCACCCCCTCTCCCTTGTCCCGTGATGACAGAGATCTTCCTGCAGCTGCTGCAAAGATGACATTGCATCCATGACAGCCGGAGCTCACATCTCGAATTTCTAGCCATCTCAACAGCCACGATGAATCTCTTTTCCAATCTTTCGACGATCTCCCAACACTTACCCTCCGTTCTCGCAGCCGGTACATGACAAGGTACACTGACATCAGTGGGGAATCACAATTGGCAAAACCTGACGTGGTGTGCGTGAACCGTTCTCGGGGGATTAGATGGGTTTGCTGGCTGGCTGGTTCCAGACCCCTCCCCATCAAATGATAACGAAACGCCCCCTTCATTACCTCACGGGGCTACTGTGGTAAGTCTACAGAAGGCACAGGTGGGTAATGAAGGGGGATTGGACCATGCGGACGGGAAAAGCGGGTCTCCGCCCATACGGTGGGTCCTCCGAATGCCGCGCCGAATGCCCACACCATAGGCCGAATTGCGACCGGATCCCAGGCCCTGTTCGCCAGAGCAGAATACCAGCAGATAAGTATCTAAAAAAGAGTGAGTCAAATTTTACATTGGGAGTATAAAGTAAAGGGCGATGCCCACCCTCCTTTCCCCTGGGAAACAGTCGAAAAGACGATTCATCTCGCTGAGCATTACCACACCAACCCAAACCCGGGTCTTTATCCTCACAAACCCGGTAGCCTATTCTTTGCAATCTTTACAGTGATCTCCCCATTCCATCGTTCCCCTATTTCAATAGTATCACCTAATACAATACACACCCTTTGAAGAAAAAACCACAAAGATGGATCCAACATCACGGACATCCTCAAACACCCTCCCACCAGGCTCCGGCTCAGACACCGACGCACCTCACTTCGCCTCAGTAGTCTCCCACAACCGCACGCCTTCAAATACGAACCGCCGCTCCTCGATCGCCTCAAACGTCCTCCACCCAGTCGTCACGAAAGAATCAGTCGACCCGGACCTGGACGTCAACCTGCCCTACCGCACTCTCTCGCCCAACGCGAACCTGGACGAGTACCGCGTCGAGACCAACGATGGCCAGATCCCCGGACCCCCGGCCGCGGCAGACGGCACGGCAGGCAACTACAAGCTCGTCACCTTCACGCCGGGCGACAAGCAGAACCCCAAGAACTGGAGCAAGGCCTACAAGTGGTACTGCACAATGGTCGTCGCGCTGACCTGCTTCGTCGTCGCCTTCTGCTCCAGCGTCATCACCGCAGACATCGCCGGCGTCGCCAAGGAGTTCAACGTCAGCGAGGAGGCGGCGCTGGTGACTATTACTGTCTTCGTCATCGGCTTCGGCGTCGGTCCCATGGCTTTCGCGCCGCTTTCGGAAATCTACGGTCGCCAGGTCATCTACGGCTCGACGCTGCTCATCGCCGTCGTCTTCATCATCCCCTGCGCAGTGGCCAAGAACTTGGGAACCCTCATCGTCTGCCGCGCAATCGACGGCATCGCCTTCTCCGCGCCCATGACGCTCGTCGGCGGAACCCTCGCCGATCTCTGGAGGAACGAGGAGCGCGGTGTTCCCATGGCTGCATTCTCTGCTGCTCCTTTCATCGGCCCAGCCAGTAAGTTGCCCTAGCTTTGATAAATATGCTACAGACGTCCATACTGACACGGAAACCCCCAGTCGGCCCCCTCGTAGGAGGCTTCCTCTCCGACGCCACAGGCTGGCGCTGGCTCTACTGGATCCAGCTCATCCTCGCCTTCGTAGTCTGGGTGCTCATCACCTTCACCGTTCCCGAGACGTACGCGCCGACGATCCTCGCCCGCCGCGCGGCGAAGCTGCGCAAGTCCACGGGCGACGCGTCCCACGTCACCGAGCAGGACATCGACATGCGGCCGCTCTCCGAGCGTCTCGGCATCTTTCTGATCCGGCCCTTCCAGCTGCTCTTCCGCGAGCTCATCGTCTTCCTCATCTCCATCTACATGTCGGTCCTGTACGGCCTGCTGTACATGTTCTTCGTCGCCTTCCCAATCATCTACCAGAAGCGCAAGGGGTACTCGGCCTCCTCCACCGGCCTCATGTTCATCCCGCTCGCCGTCGGCGTCCTGCTCTCCGCCGCCTGCTCCCCCTGGGTGAACAAGCACTACCTCAAGATGGTCAAGAAGCACAACGGCAACCCGCCCGCCGAGATGCGTCTCATCCCCATGATGCTGAGCTGCTGGTTCATCCCCATGGGCCTCTTCATCTTCGCATGGACCTCCTACCCGCACCTGCACTGGGCCGGCCCCGCCTTTGGTGGTTTCCCCGTCGGTTTCGGCTTCATCTTCCTCTACAACTCCGCCAACAACTACCTCGTCGACTCGTACCAGCACCAGGCAGCCTCGGCCCTGGCCGCCAAGACGTGTATCCGTTCCTTCTGGGGCGCGGGCGTCGTGCTCTTCACCGAACAAATGTACGATCGCCTGGGTGATCAGTGGGCGTCGACGCTTCTCGCCTTCATCGGCCTGGCGTGCTGCGCCATTCCCTTCCTGTTCTGGGTCTACGGTGCCAGGATTCGCGCGAAGAGCAAGTACGCTTACTCCGGCGACGACGATACCTCAGGATCCGACGTGGAGAAGGCCAAGCCGCAGAAGAATGCGCTGGCGCCTACTCGTACCTTTGAGGCCGCTTAAGCAAATCACCATCTAGTAATTAACACTGAAAGCATTTCACATGCATTCACAAAGAAACCCCCCGGTTTCTCAAAACCATTTCATTGGATACCTCCTGATTCTATGGTCACTTTTGGTTCATTTCGGCGTAAGGATTGGCGTTTGGGGGTGGAAGCTCAGGAGCATGCCGACATATCAGACCATAGATGCATATAGACCCCTAGACGGCGGTGCCGCATATAATATTTGGAATAAAGTAAAGTTGAAATCATAATCAGGCAGATTATAAGCAAAGTGACTGTTGTCCAATCCTTCCTTCAGAATCTCAACGATGCAATTAGAGAATGACGTGGGACTGACGAGTGGGGTGTCATCATAGGGGATTGTTTATTCATAATTCGTACTCTGTAGCTATCTATGCATCCCAGGCAACCAACTTGGTCGCGGGTCACAACTTGTCGATCAATTCCAGGGTGTTCCGTTAACCCACCAAGCCGAAGCTATCTTGGAGAACCGCTTACACGATGCGCACTGGCAAGGATTCTCTGCGAGCCAGCGCGAACTCCTCCCTTACCAACGAATTTTGACACTTGCGTCCAAGGATGAAGTCCTCGAGGTTGCGGAACGTGCACTCCGAAATCTCCTGCAGCGCCTCCTCTGTGAAGAAGCCTTGGTGACCACAGATCAGCACGTTCGGGAACGTCATCAGCCGTGTGAGAACGTCATCGTCAATAATGTGGCCCGAATGGTCGTTATAGAAGAGGTCTCCCTCGCCCTCATACACGTCCAGGGCCAAACCACCCAGGTGCTTACTCTTCAGGGCATGGGTTACGGCCTTGGTATCGATGAGCCCGCCACGAGACGTGTTGACCAGCATAGACCCGGGCTTCATCAGCTTCAGTGTCTTTTCGTTAATGATGTGCTTCGTCTTTTCCATCAAGGGGCAATGCAGGCTGATAAAGTCGCACTTGGGAAGCAGCTCCTCAAGGGGTAGGTACTCGCCCAGCTCCTTGAATGCATCCGACTCGTAAGGATCGAAGGCGTATAGTTTGCAGCCGAAGCCCTTCATGATGCGAGCCATAGACACACCAATCCTTCCCGTGCCGATAATACCAACCGTCTTGCCGTGTACGGTCTTTCCCAATAGACCATCGAGGTTGAAGTTGCCTTCGCGGGTACGATTGTAGGCTCGGTGGGTGCGTCGATTGAGCGTCTGCAGCAGGGATACGGCGAACTCGGCGACGGCTTCGGGAGAATACGAAGGGACGTTGGCGACGAAGATTCCTAGCTTCTCGGCCTCCTTTAGGTCGACGTTATTGAAGCCGGCACATCGTAGCAGGATTGCCTTGACTCCCGTCTTGTGCAGCTCGGAGAGCACATTGGCATTGAGGACGTCGTTGACAAAGACGCAGACGGCGTCAACATCCTTAACGAGGGAGACGGTATCGGAGGAGAGGGAGAAGTCGTGATATATGACCTCGAGGTCTGGGCTGCCAACCTTGCTCGCAAAGTGTTCCTTGAACTCGTCCTTCTTGGCTTCGTGAGCGGCATTTAGGTATTTCTTGTCGTACGGCTTGGCGCTGAAGACGGCGAGCTTCATGATGGGCGATTAGGGTTCGTTATCGATGCAATTGAATAGTGAAACGCCGGCTTAGGAATCAATGAGAACAAAAATCGATGGCCTCAAGTTGGGGGGAGAGAAAGACAAGGAGCTGCGAATGAGTGAAGATGATGATGATAGAAGCGAAAGAGGGAGGCCGAGGGAATTTTGAAAGGTGGAAGCCAAGGCCAAGATCTGAGGTTTCCCCCTCCCCCGCCTTCCTTCCAAGTCTAGGCCTTGGCTGTGACTACTTTTTGAGCCTGCGATGCCTCCAGCTCCTCAGCACCCAGGGAACACAAGCTCAGCTGGAATGACGTGGACTGCCCCAGTAGGGACCTGCCGTACTTTTTTTTAAGCTTGTCCTCCGGCGCAAATGGCCTGAGCCAAGAGCTACCCCGCCATGCCTTTCCTTCTGGAGCTTGGGGCACTTTGCTAACCGAAACGGGGTTAGAGGTCCTTTTTAGTGGATACTTGCCTGCCCTGTGTATACTAGTAATAAATTATGATTTTAACACATATCATTGAGCAAACCTCTATACCACTATATAGACATGTATAGAATTCGATTGTTGTGTAGACTAGGTAGCTTCAGCCTACGTATTTAATTAACCTACCAATTCAAAGTTCTAATTCAATTCTCAATCATAGTGGCCTTAAATTCTCTTCCGAGGCCGATATTAAATCATACGTTCGGCAACTTGTTTGGTCTGTCTTGACGGAGTCTCGGCCGAACGACGGACAGAACTCCTGCTAGCAAGCCAGCCTTGGGATATGAGTTTACCCCTTCCGGAAGCCGGGAAAACCCTCCTATTTCTCATCTATAATAGAGATCGCGAATAGCCTAGGGCTTCGGGATTATCTGACGGGCAGATTAAGAGACAACGTGCAAAGGCGAGGTAACACAGGCTCTCTTTTGGGGGCAGAGCCCCTTGAAGACAATGAAGCACTATTAAGCGCGATCGAATCAGTTGATACTAGGAGCTACGTCGAATGTTCCGGCAGCCTTCTAGAACATAATGAGGAATGAGACTTATTATTTGCTATATCGAACAGGTAAGTTGCACTGGGCGACGAATCTTTTGGGTCTTCAACAATACCGGACGAATCAAATTCCTTAGTGTCCGATGAACCTTTAACTAGGTATCCCCCAAAGCCCCCAGGTAGCAGACTGGATCATGGGTGACTGTGCCTCGGGTTGTCTCCCGGTCATTTTACACATCAGCAGATTTGCTGGGCCATACCTCTCGGTTGTCGGCAGTGCTAAGCAACCTCCTCACGAGGCCGTGGGTTGGCATACCTCGTTTAGATTCTTCTTGAAACTTGAGTACGTCATACTTGTTGTGAGTATAGTTCCCGCTTTCCAAGCCTCAGCCCCTCTACCACTGTTCACGCTTTGATGAGAACCAGATTCTGCGGTAGCCCTGGGTCCTCATTTGTCCAGATGAGAATGTGGAAAACTCTGTTTACAGTCTGTTGAAAGATGCTTCTCAAATTGAGCGTTAAAATGCAATCTATACTACACAAGCACAATAGAGGTTAATGTATATCATCATTCAGTCCAGCCCGAAGATGACATTTTGGATATTGGATGTGATAGGACGTGCATAAGTCACCGGACAAACAGAAAAAAAGAACACGGATAATATTTGTTTGTCGTCAAAAACCAGTTAACTACCTTATGTTACATATATACTGAATTTAGATCGCAAAGTTTGTTTAGGTGGCCATAATATTGCTGAAGGCGTCCTGCGGATACTAATAAAAAAAGAAAGAGTATTGATTTAGGCTGTTAAGAAGCTTCGTAGTACCATGAGTACGCCGCAAGGCAGTCACATCGACCAACAGAGGGCAACCTACAGAACATGCCCCCAGAACATAAAGTTTATGATTATGATATAAAATAACACTTGGTCGTAATCTCATGTTCTAACTAACCACCATGCTATCCAAGTCCAGCTTCTGGTCTGCCCGCAATCTCCTACCAACAAACGACACACACTCATCCCGCCATTCACCATTCCAACGCATCCGTCATCCCTATAGCATTCATACAGTTCTAGAAACGGCCGTGATATTGATATTATTGGTGGCGACAAGTATCCTATGCGGCCCGCTCGTTCTTGGTCACCTCGTAGTGGGTTCTCGATAGGCCGTACGCGTCCTTGGCAGCCAAAGTGTAGAGCAACGCCAAGACGATGAAGACGGCCCAGGTGTAGATCAGAACGTCGAAGATGTCAATGTACGGCATGGACATGCCGTACGAAGCAAAATTCCTGACGATAGTGTCTACCAGGGCCCAGGTAAAAGATGTGAGCCAGATGAATGCAGCGAAGCCCAAGAGAGAGCCGGCCTAGAAGAAGAACATTCTAAAGTCAGTGATGCAAGACCTTGCCGAAAAGTTTCATGCGTAGATTATACGAGACCCCAACTTACCTTGTGCACCGGGCTATTCTTGGCCTCCTTCCGGGCCTTGAAGACACAACAGACGATGCCGAAGGAGGCAATAGCCCAGATAATGGCCTTGGCAAGGTAAATGTATGAACCGACTTGGTTCCACTTCAGGACCTTGTCCCAATCGGAATATGTGCTCCTGTGCCCCAATCCGCTGTTCATGACATTGAAGACCATCATAACAGCAAAGACTGCGAGGCCCAGAAGGGCGATGAGGACGGACACGCCGAAGACGGCCTTCCGGCCGTTGCGGTAGGCCTTGGACTCGTCCGCCACGGCGCCGGTACGGAGCTGAGTCAAGGCGTGGCCGAGGTGGAACAGGGCGAGGAAGATGCCGATCTCGCTAAAGACATAGAACAGCGAGGCGACGGCATGAAGGTAGGGGACGGCGTCGTATTCCCGCGGGCGGCGCACCGAACCCTGCCTCTGGCGGGCCACCATGACGATGCTGATGACATGGGCGATGAAGATGAGCAAGTAGGATCTGGGACGGTCAAAACCGGACGAGGTCAGCATTCCGTAATTCCCAAGTCTTTGCCCGGGAAAGCTCCTTTGAAGGGGTCCTCCAGACGCAGGTTTTGGTCACGACAGAAGAAAAAACCCGAGATGCACTCACAAGCTCCAAAGCCCCAGAGCGATCTTGGTGAAGTCTACCCATCGGCGGGTGTGATCATGTTTGGCGCCCGGCTTGCGGTAGATGAGTGCGGTGAGTATGATGGCCGGGAGGAGTGCTATACCGATGAGGACGGTCCGGACTATTTGGGCGACCTCCCAGGTGTGCAGATTCATGATGAAGCTCGACGATCCCTCTCGTGTTTTATTCGGATGATGTTAAGGTAGGCTGAAAAAATAAGTTTAAACGACGTTGTATGTATCTGAGTATAGTCGATCGACGCTTTAAATTCCCCTCTTGAGATATTGCGATGATGCCGGGGAACAAGAACGCCACAACCATACTCGGCCGGGAGGAGGCTATTCAAGGACTTTTTTCCATGCTTCTTTTCTGGCCGTTCTTGGCGATGCAGGATTCTCTCTCGCGATGCCGAGTGGGAGTCGTCAACCCCCAAGCGGTCGACCCCGGCCGGGCGATGCTGTGCCGCAAAAACCCCCGGCACGTCTGTCCGTAATTGGTAAAACCAAGTCGCCCCGGCGTGTGGTTGGTCCGTCTACTCACTTGGCCTACCGACTCCGCCGCTGCGCCACTCCAGAGACCATTCAAATTTCACGCTTGTTTGCGCCCGGTAGCTAGATTAGTCACGCAGTGTCCAGGTCTCCAAGGAAACACCCCTTGTAGTTTGAGACAGCAGATGGGCTGATTGTGCCGTGTGATGCGGCGGCTAAGCCCACTTAACCTTAACTGTAAAGTTGTTATATATCCTGTCCCAACCTCGACCTCGGCCGACCAATGATAGCAGGCATGGGAGGCCTCCGCCGAGAGGACGAAATGTTGCCGTATGTGAAGCGTACAAAAAAACTGCCAAAGCCTCTCACGGTTGCATGCCCAAGTGGTATCGAGCCTACGAGTCCCCGTGTGCACCGCCCCCTTTGCGGATATCAGACTCATCGTGACCCGGAAGTCGGGCCACCTCACAACGCCCGGAAACAGTACGACTACCAAGGTAACAAACAGGAGAAGCGCTCGAACCGGTGGTGATGAAGGGGAGGATGGAAGGTTTATGACGGACACCGATGGTTCGTTGGAAGACTTGGTGAGATGCACAGGTGCAGATAACGACAATTCAACATGCAAGCCTTCAATAGCGCCACCTAGAAGCCAAGCACAGGGTTTGAATTCGTTCATTTTCCCCTCGCTAACTGAACACAGCCCATTCCGTACTCACTCTTAGGCTCAATTTTCCGTTTACTCCATAATTCACTCACCCACTCTTGGATTCAACCTCACAAGCACAACCAAGACCATTGTACGCGCCGAGCCAAAGTAAACGAGACCTCGATTCGAATTCCACTGCTACACCTCCTCATCCTTCCTCATCACATCCATATCCGACTATAAAGAAAAAAGATTATTTAAACACCTTCAAATCATACGACTCATGGTTGTGGAGATGATAGAAATCGTTTCAAAACACAATATGCATTCGTTCTCTATTATTGATGCCCTCATGCCATCTCATCTGATGATGAAATGCTTTGCCCCAACGCGCTATCCCTATCAGAATTGTTCGATAAACTCAAACTGGTGTTTGGTTGCTTGTACAAACCCGAGCATTTATCTTGTTTCTTATCAACCACACATGCCCGGTATTTTCCTATGTGAGAAGTCTTCCCAAAACTTCTGGAACTCTTCCCAAATATCACTGCCCCTCCTCGTTCTAACTTTCCCGGTGGGACAACAGCTGTAACATTGAATCTTGGTACAATCTCTTGCACTCTGTCACAGGAACACTGGAAAGACTTGGGTTCTGCGCAGGATTCGAACAAACTTGTACCTCTGTGCCAGGAAAGATGTGTTGATGTAAGATAATCGTGACTGAGCCTACACCCTGCCTCATTATAGAGGTCAAGAAGAAGTTCGACTTTGGTGGCGAGGTAATCCTTCTCTTTTGGTAAGGTGCGCCAGGTGTGACATAGACCGTTGGCATCCTCTGCTGGGCAGATCAAATCCTTGAACCCACTCGCGAGAAGGACCAAAGCATCGCTGTCTTCCACAAGCTTGATCCACCCGCCACTCGTCTTTGAGAGGGTGTATTTCTTGAGATGTCCGGTCATGCGCCTATCTACGACGGCCATGAACTCATAACCAAGCAGATCATCTTGGAAAGGTATACCGACAGGTGTCTGTGGCTGTTGTCTCTTCTCCACATTTAGGGCTAAAAGATACTCTAAAATGTCGAAGTATCTGGAGGCCATTGATCGCAATGTCTCGGGCTTTTCATCATCGTCTATGAGCACCAACTTTCTATTTCGTAACAAGCTTTGCTCTGCGGAGTCTGCGCATGGTATTCTGACCTTTTCACCGTTCACAATGAAAGGCTTCATGGAACCTCGCTTCCTGATGATGTGTAGGATAACTTCGTCACCACTTACAAGCCAAGCCCTCTTTTCACCAGTGTCGTAGAGCAAGATTCTCATGTTCTTTGCTGCAATAAGCATATCTTCGTATGCGCCGGCCCATTTCATGTGAAATCGGAAATCCTTTCGGCCGAGCACAAATTCTATCTGTGCGGTACCGAATTGCTGGAAACCGGCTGAAATATTGGAGATCTTAACAGCGGGGGCGTAGTCTTTTGCCGTTGAGTAGTCGATACCTTCGTAATCAACATCTTCGTCTCCTAGCCTCGTTCTCGCCTGTCTCCACCATCCAACAATAGCGCGACTGCTGTACAACGCCTCGAGGCTGACTTGGTCGACCAGCGCACGATGCCTGCACTGACTTACGCCTTCTGCGTAAGAAAGTCTTTGTCGGTGATTTGGAGACGAAACCAGGTGCCATTGGATAATGTCGGCATTGCGGCTGATAGGGACCAGCATTGACGTGGGGCCTTTCATGACGAAACCACCCATGAACTCAACTGCGTGCTGAATTCCAGCCATTTGAGCCAATACCGCAAGCGGTATTTCGATTCCCTTCTCTTCTTGCCGTTGCGGAACCGGAAAGCCCTTGGCAATGACAGCATCAAAACTGACAAGATTGAGCCAGCAGCTGCTTTCACGCTCTCTGAAGGGGATATCCTCAAACTGACAAGTAATAAGAAATTTTCGAGAAAAATTTGGAGCTCCTTCAATGCCTTTGTTACTATCTTCCTGAAAAACTGCTTTGCAATACTGATGTGTGGTCTCATCGTCATCTTGGCTTGGTGGCGATCGCATTGCTGAACATATCCACGCCGTTTGTTGGGCAATTTGGACTAGAAAGTCTTTAGTTCCAGATGCCTGAATAGATACTTTACCTGAATTGGAAAGGACAACATTAATTTTGGATGCCTTTGAACTACCTAGAAGTTTGTCAGTGAGTTAAAAATTCCTGGAAGGCGATGCAGTTCCAGTCATACCGTTCCCTTGAAAAGTTCTTTCGTCACCGACGTTAAAAACGTCATCAGATATTCCTCGTTCTACTGCACGGAGGAGTTCCGTACCGCTAGTTGGCCAGTTCAGCTTCAAGTATTCTGAACATGTTGTAGCGAACGCCGAGGAGGCAAGCCCAGTGTACGTAATGATAGATCGCAACGGCTGCATCTTGTCTCCAAACTGAATCTGAAGGAATTTAAGAGGTCTCCAGTCCGTTTCAATCAAAATAGAAAACGGCTCTGTGTGATCATTGCAAGGCGTCTTGTCCTCAGAAGATTGTTCGTTGCTTGATGAACAGTCCGTGCATACTTTTGGTGGGCTCTGTGTCAACGATTCTTTTACCAGCAAACCAATGTTGCTCATTATCGGAGAATGAAGATCATACAACGATCTGCGCAGACTGGAACAGAACTCGACAAAAGCACAACCTCCAAAAATAAATTCGGTGACTGGGCCTAAGTCAGGAAGAGCATCCGTGTCATCTTCGTCGTCGCTCTCCACGGCCTCGTCGAAAACCTCATTTTCAATGGGATCTTTGTCGAGAAGTGCGATCCTCTCGGCCAAAGACAGCTGGTCGTCACCTGTAAGACTAATGGCTTTTTGACTGTCGACGAAGAACTGAGCACTATCCCGAATTTGACGAATAATACGCGGTCGATAACGCCGAATGAATCGCCCTGCATGGGCTACCAGTGAGCTACGGTGTGGTGGCTGCGAGGGATCTTCGGTGGAAAGTTGTCGAGAAAATGTTTTCAGAGTCTTGTTGAATACCTCTTCGACGAATGATTGGGAATGATACTGCATTGCATCTTGAAACCAATTTGATTCTCCGATTACACAAGTAATGTAGTTTCCAATGAGAGATATGTAACCTTGCAAAGTCTCGGCGGGTAGGCCTAGAGAGCTCGTAGTCGATGCATTCGAACAGACAGAAACAGCTTTTGACGGACAGTTGCTGTCCGTGGTTCGGCTGTAGTAACCTGAGTCTGCTGATAAGTTGATTGACTGTGGAACAGCGGGGTGTGAGCTCGACATGCTGTCAACCGCTGTACCGGGAATTTCAACAGAGCCCTTCGAGATGCTTCTCTCGCTATTAGCAGCAGATTTCCCATGCTCTGAAGTCTGGAAACTGGTTTCATCCACGGTTGAAGGTGAGGTTTCCTTGCTTGTTTCATTCCTCTCGTTATCAGCTGATGTTTCAAATCTAGTGTCTTTGGGACTCTTCGTCTCTACATTAGACTCGTTTAAGGCTTCCGTAAAACGGTCGTGCTTCCTCTCGCAGTGTTCAACGGAGTTTTTGAACCTTTCAATGTGTTCATTGATCACAGAACCAATGATGAAAACCTTGACGTTCATTTCGAACCTGGATTGCTCTGCGTAGTTAATGCGGCATTCTTTTTGTAGTATTTCTCCTTCAACTGTAAGTCGTACGCATACGGGTTCAAATCCGAGATGCGGTTCTGCTCTTATTTTGTGCGGATGTTTGGGGTGGTGATAGACAACTCCGTGATCTTTTGGATTGACGCCAAACTTGCTGCAGCCTCTGCCGCCGTATGTCAAAACTGGGCTGTGTGAAGGCAAGAGTTAATCATTACCACGGATCCATGGAAAAACGAAAGGGAAAAAAGAGAAACACTCTTAGCTCTAAAAACATCCACATTAGAACAAAAAATATCGGGGTTACTAACACACAAACAATGTCTCCTTCATCAACAGCCGCTACAATAAATCGACGAATACCAACATAATACGGATGATCTCTTCGATCTTTTGTTTCGCTTAGGGCATGTGACTGCGGACGAAAACGATCATATTCGTATAACTCTGACCATAAAATTTTGAAAATCTTAAGAGTTGTCAACCAACTGTCATACTGGTATTATGTTGGTAAACTGACCGTCCCAGGTTGGAACGTGTTTGATGGCTGGACGCGGTAACCTTTAATAGGTTAGAATTGCTCCTCAGTAACCAAAATTGAACCGATAATGACTGCACATACTTGGGTCTACTTCTGAAAACCAGAGGGTATCAACTTCGGGACGCACTAAGAGATACACGTTAGTTTAAATTTGAACCTGGAATATTACTCATACCTGCGTCTACATAAGATACTTGGGGCCTCTTATCATTGCTATCGTTACCGTCTAGAACGCCACCGATAGTCGCACGTGTTGACGCAGGCAAACCAGGAATTTCAGACCAATGGTTCGGGGAATTTATAGAACTTGCTTCGCGTTCGCGCTCAGTCTCCAGAGAGTCTTTTTCACTCGACACAGGAGCCTCCTCAATGGATCCACTTCCCTGGGATGAGCGGCTAAGTATAGGCTTCTGGTGAACGCTCTCTTCGGCTGAAAATATGTTGATAATATCAGAAAATGCTTTTAGAATATTAAGTCTTAGTGTTCGTCTTACCTTTCTCAGCCTGATCCAATGGAGTGCGAACTTCGTCTTCTGTCATGGAGTCCCATTGATATTCCACGACTGTTCAGTGAACCAATTGTCAGTTTACTGTTTCTCTTGCCTCATTCAAGAACAATTCTCCAGTACTTTTGAAGAATGAAACAGATAAACCAACCTCCTTCAAGCGAACGGTAGCAGTAGTACCTGCCATGCTCTGGAGACCATATCCATTCGCTCCACGCATTGTCCGCCAGAGAGGGATCCTCAGAATGCTGGTCGTTATCATTTAGAGGCATGGTTTGAGGGGAAAAACGCGGTATAGGCATCGGAAGGATTAATTTTCATTCGCGGCAATTTCACATACTTGAGTCGATAGGCGAAGAAAAGGTTTGGTTTATAGATGTTACGGCCAGCTAGTGACAGTAGGGTTTCTGCTAACAGAAGTTGAGGCTACGATACTAACAATAGGTCTTGCGTCGTATACAGGTATGTCGTACTGGTAGATCGAGGGTTAGGGTAAGGTGATCAGTCTTACACTAGGTAACGAGGTATAGTAATATCACAAACTGTGAGCTAAGCTGAAAGTCATCGAGGATGAATTACAAGTTGATTGCTGAAGAACTATCTAGAGGGCTTGAGCAGGTGCTCAAGTCCTGGTCTATATACAAGTCCCGTTTCCCAAGGCCGACGTCCGCGTCGTCGCTTGCCGATATCTCGATTGTCGGCAGCCGACATGCCAAGAGTCGTATCTCTTATTCCTTTCTTATCATCACGTGACTTGAACATAGTTCTTCCTTTTCCGGCGGGGCGACCCTTGTCCCTTCCGTCGCCTGCATATATCTTGTCTCTAGCCGCTGTCCTCGAGTGGGGCTAGTTTCTCTGTTAGGCATACTTAACGGGTCGTAACAATAGAAAGGGGTTCGGGATCAACGGAGGAAAAGTCAAGGTTGTATGGGGGCCAACAAACAATTAGCTCTCCTACACCTGTCGAAGAAGCAGAACCTGGCTTCAACGCCACAATCTCACTCGTGCAACACTATCAAACACGTGCGCCTAGATTAGAGGTTGTAGAAGAGTGCTTTTGGGGCAGACTGTGGGCACCCCGCATCCAGCTCTAGGGAACATTGGGTACGAGGCGGAAGCCTAGACGATCTATAAGGCGACGGCTGCCTGGATGCCTGTTTGAGGTGGTTGCATAGTTACACCTCCATGCATGGCTTACTGCTCCTCATCAGGCTGACCAATGCAAAGGGCAACACGCTACTATCTAACCCAGTTCATGCTAGTGCTTACACATTTTTACTAACCTGGTGCCGCATAACCTACAGATTGTGTTACCATCCTCTTACAAGGGCGATTGGAAGGCCTAAACAAGACAAACTGGGTTCATATTTCGGTGTGTAAGGTGACAGCCTTTTACATCTCCCTCAACAAAATCAATTGTTTCCAATTCGCCTAAGCTAGGCAGTGGACACGTTACTTCTAAATGACGGATGTAAAGCTATTAGCAGCTCTGTACCCGCCACCCGCCACCCGCCACCAGGAAATGGGTACCCAAGTTCCTCCTAAGGTCTCGACTATCCCATCCTACTTGTTTATCAAGGGAAGCTGAACTAAAGTGTTTGAATGGCTAGGTAGGTAGCGCCTTAACCTATTCATGAGCAGCTTCTCATTTTCAAGGAAATTAGATTTTTTCTAGTGCCATGAAACTAGCCAAGGTTGGTTCATGGACGTAAAGTGTCGCAAAACGCTAAATCCTGCTGTAGCTTATCCAAATAGCATTCTTGCAATAATCAACATATCACTCAAAGTTGTTGTGTTCCAGCATCCATTAACATCTCATACTTGCTAAGGCACCGTGTGCTGATAAAATGCGCAAACATAACTAAGACATTGGAATCGGCTGCCCAATCACTTCTGCTTTCTGACATGTTGAAGCTGTACCCTCACATGTTCATTAAGAGAAACAGGACCCTATTATTAACTTAACGTAGATGTTCAGGCCTATCGCTTGATCATGAGCTGAACAATCAGAAAACTGGCTCACCATCGCCAACACATACATAACAGTAAAAGCTACGGAGTACTGCGCCGCAAGATAAGTAATTTCCTTTTAGTAGCATACATTCATTACCTGTATAAATACCACGAAGAAATAACGGACTGAATTATTACTCAGCTGAGCAAGGTTCTGATCTACAAAGTTTCTCGTACTGACGTGAACGGGGGGCAGCACTGATTCTGGTGAAAACCGACTGCTTGGTCCGATCTTCTGCAAAGTGTCCGAAAAGGGCACCAATGTGGTCATGAAAAGCTTTACCATTTCGTGTTAGGCATAATGACAGAGACAGGTGAGTAGAGTGTAATCAAGCTTTCCAGGGGTTCAAGGCTCAAACTTAGCGGACAATACCTTCTTCTCGGGTGTGATTCTAGATCGGCCTTGACAACCCCAGTCAGTTTAATACACCCCTTTCCAACTGTGTGCCAAATCTTATTCATTGCCACGATTCATGCAAAAACGGTCGTGGAACTGTCACCACAAAGGACGAACGTCCTGACTAGAGCGCAATCCCTGCTTTCGAGATAAAGCTTGACTTTTATATTTAACTGGGAAGCTTGCCTCCCAGCTTGGTAAGAATGCCCGGAACCAACCCTATACACCAATACATATCTCATCGTTGCTTCATTAGTCATCATGGCTGGCACGATATTGCAAGCCATCAAAAGCGTAGGTTTCGATAGGGCACTCCTTTTGCTGACTCTTTTGCAAATAGCAATTGTCCTGTATGTATTTTGCAAAAGAACGCGGCCATTCCCGAACATTCCGGTAAGCGGTTTTGAAGGGGGTGTCAAAAAGGCTAGAGAACGGTTTATCAGCAATAGCGTTGCTGTGATTGACGAGGCTGTCAAGCGTGTAAGCCAAGAAATCTCCCTTCTTACCGTCGAGAACTTCTCACCCGGCGGAAGAGACTTCCTCGATTGCCTTACTAACCTAGTGCTAGAATGGGCAGAATGTGTGTCAGATTTTCACCGATAACGAGTTCGTCGTCCTCCTACCGCCGTGGGCCATGGAGGAGGTACAGAGCGACAAGAACTTCAATTTCGAAGAGATAGTCAAACGGGTAAGATCCTGGGACGCCATCATTATGCAACCTGCTGACACACCCTGGGGCTTAAGGACTTCATGGGCGACTGGCCGGCGTTTGGACAGATGCACAAACTTTTCGCACATGGCGTCTTTCAAGAAACCATCCGTGTTAAACTCACCCGAGCAATCCGTACGTCGCAAAAACGCAGATCCAATTGAGTCTTCCTTGGCTGACGCCACCAAAAAGCAAAGCTTATGGAACCGCTGTCGAGTGAGGCCCGCACGATGCTGACTGAGTTGTTTCCTCACACCCAGGGTAAGAGAGCAGCGGCTTCCTCAGCTTGTTGCTGCGCTGACAACCGTCTGCAGAATGGACAGTTACGGAGAAGCCCATGTGGGACACTACTCTTCTCCTCGTCTCTCACTTATCCTCTCGGGCGTTTTTGGGCGAGCCACTTTGCCATAATCGCGAATGGCTGGACATGTCCATAATCTATGCGCGTGAGATGATTCAAGCAGTTCTCTCGTTTCGCCGCTGGCCGCGTCTCCTCCGACCCATCGTCTACTACACGGGCCTACTCTGCCCCGAGATCAAGGTCATGGAGCGACGTCAGAGGCAGGTGTACGCCTTCATCGAGCCGGAGCTTCACCGGCGGCGGGCACTTTGGGGCACTTGGAACAAGAATTCAAAGCCACACACCAACAAAGAAGAGGATAACAAGCCGCTTGACACCTTGCGGTGGCTAGACGAAGTTGCCGCCGAGAAAGGTCAGCCGATAGACGTGGTGCTAGGGCAGCTGGCCATCAATCTAGCCGCCGTGCACACATCATCGTCTCTGCTTGCCAACGTCTTGTTCAATATTGCGGCTAGACCAGACTTGGCAGAGGAACTGCGCGCGGAGATCGTTCGTAATATGGGTAGCGGCGAGCTGCGCTGGAGTGAGGTCGACAAAAAGGACCAGCTGCGCAGGCTCCAGCTCATGGATTCAGTGCTCAAGGAGACGCAGCGCTTCCACACGCCAAATGTCATCGTCATGAAGCGCGCCACCGTAGGACCCGCCACGCTATCGGACGGAACCCGTATTCCCGCCGGGGCTACCGTGGGTGTTCCCGTCTCATGGATGGCGCACCCATCCGTTTGCGAGCGCGGTGACGAGTTCGACGGACACCGTTACCTGCGGTTGCAGGAGGAGGACCCAAACAGTAGCGGCCGCTGGAACTTTGCGACGACAAGCAGTGCGCACTGGGGCTTCGGCCATGGTACCCATGCTTGCCCGGGGCGCTTCTTCGCCAGCGTTGAGTTGAAGATTGCACTGGCACATTTGCTGATGGGCTACGAATGGCGGTTGGAAGGAGGCAAGACGGGCGCCGAGAACATGCCCAAGACAAGCTTGCTAGTGGACCAAATAATGCCGGATATGACGGCGAGGTTGGAGTTCAAATCTAGAGCCAAGGTATAAGAGCCGATGCGTTGAGTTCTCCTGCTCCAGTATTGTTTGCATCACCTGCTTCACTCTCTAGGACTAGTTGATGGCTTGGTTGTATTGTTTTATCACGATTCAGATTTGGTGTAGACGTGAGGAAGACAGTGCATGGCACTGAGGTGTCACATAAAGACTGTGCTTGGCATTAAGTAGTCAACATACTCCGTCAAGTTGCGGTTTATGAAGTGCGTGGTCTACATAATAGTCCATTCATTCCACTAATATCCATTGAATAGCTGTGTGGAGTTGGTGAGGTAGCATTTCAATGACTAACCACGTTAACACAAATCTAACAAGCCTACTTCAGAACACCGCTTCTATTTCTTGACCCGCCTCACCATAATGCTTTTGGTAGGATCAGGAAAGCTCATCTGGCCCATCTCTAAGTTTGGATAGCGACCTTTGACACCGGAATCATCGGGCATCTTCATGTCGTAATCAAGCAACAAAGAAGCCAGAATCAACTTGATCTCATTGGCGGCAAAGAATCGGCCAGGGCAAGCATGCTTCCCCCAGCCGAACCACATGTTCTCTCGCGTGACACTGACGAATTGATATGCGGCCTCCTTGCCGCTCTCCATGCCCAGAGGGTCCGGCTGACGATTCATCCGCCAGTCCACGAAGCGGTACGGGTTGTAGTGCTCCGGGTCAGGTCCGACGTAGGCCTGTTTCGTAAACGTGTCGAGCACGTTGACGGCCACCATAGCGTGCTTGGGTAGCTTCGTGCCATCGGAAAGGACGAAGTTCCTCTTCATGCGGCGGATGAAGCGGTGCGGCACGCCGGGAGACATACGCTGGGACTCGCGCATCACGCTGTCTAGTAGCTTCATCTGGTACAGTCCTTGCACCGACATTGTCACGCCCATCTGCGCGTCAGTTTGCTGACGGATTTCGTCGCGCAGCTCGGGGATAACCTCGGGGCAGTGGCCGACTAGATCGTATATGATGTGTGCCGCTGTGTTGGTGGTGGTGTGGATGGCGCCGAGCGACAGTTCGAGCTGCAGAAAGGCGAGTTCCTCGTCGTTGTCCATACCGAACTCGTCCGCTTTGTTGATCGCCCACTGAAGGACGTCATCAGGCAACCGGAGCTGGGCGTCTTTGTCACCGGACCTTGCCAGGTCTCGCAGTCTCTTGCGCTCGCGGACAATGGGGCGCAGGAATTCGATAGCGCGGCGCTTGTGTTCCCGCAGCGTCCTAAGTTCCGGGATCTTGTATTGCATAAAGGGCCGCAGGGTAACGGGCCAGCGCTTAAGGGCCAGCGAAGCGTTGCCTACGTCCATTGTGAAGTTGATGGCCGAGTGTATGTAGCCCTCATCGCGGCAGAGCTCGGGACCCATGAAGACGAAACCCGACACAATGGCCACAACCCGCTGCAGAACGTCGATGATGTTGACCGGCGTCCAAACACCGGTATCAGGCAGTTCGGCCGTGATTGTGCGTTGCACCTCGGCCGACAGCTTCTGATTGATACGCCCCAGATTGCGGGTCAGGTCAGCCTTCACAATGTGCGTCAAAAGCGGCGACGTGACGCTCACGCCAGTGTATCTGGTTTCTAACAGGTTTTCGATTGACGGTGTGCGGTCAAAGACTTCCTCATTCTGGCGAAGCTCATCGGCGAACTTATGCGGGACGACGATGAGCTCGCCAGAATCAGACGTGACCCGCCAGGTCTTGTCTGGAAACTGGGACAAACAATGTTAGAGAGGTCACTGAATCCCCGCTGATGAAAAGACTTACCATGCGAGACCCGGCGCGGAACAAGTCCCAGGCATGTGTCATAAAATGCTGCCTTCTTTTGTATTCGGGGCCAATCTCACTGCCCACGAGTGGAAACTTGGAGGCACCGAGCTTGTCGACCCAGGCATAGTAGCCGAAGACGACAACTGATAGCATCACCGCAGCAACAACTGTCCACGGCCATGATGTGATCAGATGCCTGGGGTTTGCGACTAGAGGTTTCAAGTGTGCCGTTTGCACTGGAGAGTTGCTGGAAGGATGCGTGTCCATTGTGACGTGTCTGTGACCGGAAAGCATAGAAGCCACAATCAAGGTCAAGGCGATAATATTAAAGCCATCTACAGATGTGTGATACCTTGAAAGTAGTAAGAAAACCAGTGTACGAGGCAACTTTCTCTGACAAATGACTTATCCGCTGAACTTGAATGACTGTTAATTGCAACTTTTCAATTGCTGCTAAATGCTATTTGTACATAAGTTTTTCCTCATTTACCAAAATAAAGGAAAAGAAAATGCATTAATCGGGCCACGTCCTAACCTTTGGGAAAGAAAGTTTTACCGTTGGGCGTAACTCATTCGACAAGTTTGATTCGATCGTCTTCGGTCGGACAAAATTTGAAGAACCTTAGTTGAAGGTATATAGCAGACAATGCACGAGTCACAATAAATTGGAGTTATGAAATGAAATAAGGATGGAGAGCTGCTAGGAAACGCACAATACACGGTGCCACATTACACCTTAAGACGGATCCAGATGCATGACAGAGGCAGGCTTAGAGAGCAAACAAGCAAATCCATCACCGATAGACGCATCCAAGAGCCAAAGTACCTGTACGGGACGATACCTGGAGTTGCTAGGTAGGTACCTTCTCCGGTGCAAACCGTCGACACGAGTTGTCTTCAACTCAGACCTGACGATCACAACTTGCCAGACTTTCGTCCCATCAGAAATCTTAGCGTTTGTGCTGGCAGTGAGTCTAATTCTTTAAAATGTTAATTTAACTTTGTAGCCATTTTACAATTCTTTCTTTCCTAGTTCACGCCCCTAGGGTTGATCAAGGGATTCTTCGCATACCTTATTCCCGAACAAATGGGGTCTGCAAAGGACAGGGGCCCGAGATCGTCACTGACAAGCCTTCACTTATCAAGGGTGCGTAGGCAATCTTATGAGTCTCGGTCAGTGCTACCGTGAGACTTCGGACTTCTAAACTTGTCGTCTGAACTAACATCACCATACACACCTACCTTACACAACGGACTCCAACTTTACTTTCGGCGCATCGGAACTGTGTATACCTTAGGAAGTGTTACATCTCAAATGAAGCCTCGTCTTGGCACACTCTGAGTTCGCTGACTTTTCTTTGCATGAGGCTAATGCCGGGAATAGTGGCCGGCGCGCGACCTTGACTAGTTGTCCGAGATACCGCTACAATTCGTGGGCGTCTTGGCATTGTAAAGTCTATTAGCAAGCCTGGTCCCCACGTTTACTCGTCATTATAACCAGTAAAAGCCAAAATTCATTGGTCCTTACGCAAATAAACTAACTCGAATCTTGTTCATGAAACCTTGTTCTGGATCAACGTAGTTTCTCCGTATGCAACTCAAGTCCATTGCGGCTACAGATTCCTCCTGAGTCAGTTTTGGACGATAGCTTCCAGTGGAAGTCATCGACGCTCCCAAAGGAGAGAGACACAATTGGTATAAACTAAGAGTAAGTTATAGTTTCCAATCTCCAGCCAGTCTACTACTCTGACCAATCTGTCTCAGTCACTCACGCACTACCTACATGGAGTCAGAAACAGACCTGACCCTATCCTTGCCACGCATTCTCTGCCTCCATGGAGGCGGGACCAATGGCTCCATCTTTCAGGAACAATCCCGAGGGCTTATCCGGGCGCTCAGATCTCGATTTCGTCTTGTTTTCGCCGACGGCCCCTTTGTATGTGACCCGCACCCGGACATTATCGAGACGTACGGTGGTTACGGACCTTTCCGCCGGTGGTTACGATGGCAATCTTCCGACAGGCATGTCGATTCAGAGACTGTGATACGACTCATTCGTCGTCAGATCACATCGGCGATGGTCGCAGATGACCTGCTCGGCGGCATGGGGGAGTGGGTTGGTCTGTTGGGCTTCAGTCAAGGGGCCAATATCGCAGCAAGTCTCCTGTGGACCCAGCAGGCCATGTCGACCAGGCCGGTTTCTGCGCCCACGAGATGGCGTTTCGGTGTAATTCTCGCGGGGCGACCACCGCTAGTGGCCCTGGATGATGGGATTGCGCTGCCACCGGGAATCAACCATGCGGGCGCAGCATCATCAGAATTTAGAGATTGGCCGAACGAGTCAACACAGGGCCATGTCCTCGATATACCGACACTGCATGTTCATGGAACGGCAGACCCTGGACTGGAACAACATCGTCGTCTGCTGGACGTGTACTGCAACGCGAGCACCGCCTGTGTCGTAGAGTGGGACGGCGCTCATCGTGTTCCACTCAAGAAATCTGATGTTAATCGTATCGTTCATAAAATGATTGAGCTCACTAAAGAAGTCAACATCATCTGTTAAGAAAGGACTCAATGTTTGTTATCACTGGGAAATCACGTTGGTTGAAGAGCAATTCTGTATAGATATAGTTCAAAGCTGAACTATTCTTTGAATACAACACAATTGCCATACAAAACTTCATGATGAAAACGTCCAGAGTTTCCTGTTTTTTGAAGAGTATCTATTGACATCTCTTTTCGAAATTCAGCATACATATTTTCATCCAATATCACGTTTACAACGTCTAGTATAGTAGCATCTACAGCAACCTTCTGAGAAACAAAGACCACATATACCGAGTCTCACTCTAGTTTTCAGGAAAAAGCCCCGTCACAATCTTATCCACCAGCTTGCTGAGAGGCACCGGGGCAATCAGATTAAATATAGTGACCTCGGCCTTGATCTCCCTAAATATCCAGTTTCGAATCTCGATCGCCACCAGTGAGTTAATGCCGTACGACGGCAGGCTCTTGGCTGGGTCCACCTCATCTTCAGCGACCTTCAAGCACTGTGCCACCTTATAAGTCAACATCTCACTGACGACAGTCCGCGCCTCTGCCACAGACTTGGAAACCTTGGCCGCGTCAAGCCTGTGCTGGAACGAGGGCGCCGCCTGCTGCTGCTGCTGGCCACCTACTGACCCTTGGTCGGTGAGACGGCCGTCGGCAGCCAGTATGGCGAAGCGTGTGTCGCTTAGGTAGGACGGCCTCGGGATGCCGGCTGCGTTGGCGGCCCGAAGAGATGCAAATCCTGTGGGGATCTGAGCCTCAACCACTCCGGCCCCAGTGATCTGATCCTGGATGGCTATGCGGATGAGATTCTGCAGCTGTTGCTCCCGTATGCCGAAGCTGGCGGCCCAGTCGCGGAGGTTATCTGTCATGCCAGTCTCCGCAAGGACGCCCACATCGTGGATGATGCCAAGGTCCAAAGAGACGGCAGGCAACCCTTTAGAGCGGCGGTATTGAGCCAGAGCATCCTGGAACGTACAGCCGGCGCCGTAGTTGCTCTGACCGGCGTTACCAAAATAGCCCGCAAACGATGCCAGCATGACGAAGAAGTCAACTTCGCTGTCCTTGAGCTGCGAGTGAATGTTCCAGCTGGCCTGGACTTTAGGCCGTACCGCCTCTGTCCACTGTGTATAATCCATGTTGGCAAAAGTGCAATCTCGCAGCACCATTGCGCATTGAAGAACGCCCCGAATCGGCGGCATTTCTTTGCGGCAACGATAGATTGTCTGCTCAAATTGAGCAGCATCGGAGGCGTCGCACTCGTACGCGTTGACGGTGACATCTTTCGCTTCGAGCTCGGCGGCCAGCTTGCGGGCTGCATCCGTACGCATACCGGAGCGGGATACGAAGCAGAGGTTTTGCGCACCCATGTTGACAAGCATGAGAGCCACACTGCGTCCGATGCCTCCAAGACCACCAACAAGGAGATACGTAGCGTTGGGATGAAGGCGGAGAGCAGAGGGGGAGGAGGCTATGGTGTCAAAAGTGTTGGGGCGTAGCAGCGGGACTGCAACATCGTCGGTCCACGAGAAGACGAGTTTGCCGGTATGACGGCCCGTCTGCATAAGGCGAAAAGCCTTGTGGACATCGCTGATGGGAACCTGGCGGCACGGGCTGACGGACTTTGTGATGCCGCGCCGGACGTAGTCGAGCGCGCCGTCAAGGAGCCTCCCGGTCAGTCGGTCATCCCCGCGAATAATATGTTCGATGTCGAAGACGGTGTAAGTGACGCCGACCTCGTTACCTGGCGGTCGCACGCTCTCTACGACCGCCTTGCCCACCTCGATGAAGGTTGCCCCCGGCGCAAGGCATTGCCATGTCTGGCGCAGCATCTCCCCAGATAGTGAGTTAAGAATGAGATCAACGCCCCGCTGGCCCGTCATCCGCTTGACTGCCATGGCAAAACTAGTGTCGCGCGAGCAGAGAATGTGATCGTCGGGAATGCCGTAGAGCTTCTTCATGAGCTCACGCTTTTCCGCCGATCCCACCGTGGCGAATATTTCCATGCCGAAGTGCTGGGCGTACTGGATGGCCACCTGGCCCAAGCCGCCGGCCGCTGCGTGAATCAGTACCGTTTTGCGGACACCGGGCGTCTCGTCTGCCTCGAGGCGAGCTATTCGCACGAAGGCGTTGTACGCCGTGCAGTGTATTACAGGAAGAGACGCGGCCTCGACAAATGACATGGAGTCCGGGATTTTCCTGCAAGCCAACGCCTTGATGCGTACAACCGATGCGTGCATGCCAATGGCTAAGCATGCGACGCGATCGTGTATTTTCAGGTTGATGACACCTTTTCCTACGCGCTCGATCACACCGCTGCCCTCGGCCCCTTCCATGGTGCCTACCACGCGGCCCATGGCGATCATTATGTCTTTGAAGCTGAAATACAAGTTAGATATGTATTACCAGGACACTTCTCTTCGTCAAGAGTTGAGTAGAGGTCGAGGCCGGGATGACTCACTTTAAACCAGAGGCGTATACTCTCACTTCAACCTCGTCATCTGCCAAGTCACTTGGCAGCTCGTCTTCGTGTTGCACAAAGTGTAGAGTGTCTAGCTGACCACGCTCAGCGACGTCCAGTTTGATGCTAACCCTGGTTGGCGAAGCAGATATTTCTGGCTTGTTGTTCAACCCCTTTGCGCGACTGACCGTACTGCGAGGCTTGCCAATACTGCTAACGCGAGCCGTTTCAATCTTGGAATAATGCTTCTCTTCTACGTAATTGCTCAGCTCCTCATCATAGACAACGCGCATACAATGGGCGATGAGAACATTGCTGTCATCGTTTAGCTTCTCAACTCTGAACTCATCGTCGTGCGTCTGGTTCAGAAACAAGCGCCCAATAAGCCCGGCCAGTTCTCCGGGCTGAGGCGATGATTGATGGCAGTGAGCGATTCGGAACGAGACTCTGGCATCTTCACTCTTGATACTGCGGGAGAGGCCATCTACGGCTGCTCTGATTGGCACATGGCTGGAAACTTTCTCCTCAGGCTGACAGGTAACCCAAAGAATGTCGCTGGCTCCGGAAATGATACCTTTCAGTCTGAGAAAGTCGAATTCGTCCAAGTCACCAATCAATGTAGTGCTAACCTCCACGAGACAGATTATGCGTGCTCTGTGGACAATATTAGCCTCAGGATCGAGCTCATCCCACTTGACAATTTGAGCACTAATGCTGTGTTGCTGCAGTTCGTTTGCTAAATCTTTTGCGACGGTTGTTCCGAGTTCCGATGGCATGGTAGCTTGAAGAATTATAGTATTCTGTTCCTCCTGCTCGGATAAAGCCTGTGATGGCCTTCCTGCAGTTGAAGACACTTCGGACTCGACATTTTCAGAGGTGCATATGACTAACAAGCCGTCTTCGGATCCCGCGATGCTGATAGAGAGGAGAGGTTTGACATCAACTTTGGCGAAGGCTGTCTCAACATTACCTACGGAACCTGTGAAGCAGCACAGCCCAAGGGGATTCTGCTTTTTAGTTCTGCTGAGAATTTCTTGGACAATAGCATCAACTTGGTTCTCAGGCAATGATCCTCGCACGAGGGTAACATCAAACTGGGAACTGTCGGGGATGGACTGGAGCTCTTTGCTTCCTTTTTTTGGGAGCCCCTCGATGGCACTGCCTGTCCACACAGCGAGGGTGTGGTCTAGCACGTGATTCCAAGGAGCAGCAATGTCTTCTTTCAGTTGCTCCGCGACTGTAGTGTTCCGTTGGAGTTCTGGCTGCTCCGCAGACTGGATCCTCATCTCGAGAATCGAAGCTTCAGGGAAGTCGTGGAAGATGAGGCTCATGAACTGTAAAGATTAGTAATCGCTTATATTGCTTAAACTCAAATTTTACAAAATGCCGGGTCACAGGCTCAAGGTTTAAGTAGCTGGGAATATGCTTTTAACTTACTTCTCTGAGAAGTTTGTCGGTGACGCTGAGACTATGGACAGAAGCGTGTAAAAGATACTGGCGGAGGTGATCTGGGGAGAGCAGCAAGAGATCTAGTGCCGGCTTCCACAAGATGCGGCCACAAATCTTATGTGCGTTCTCGAGACTAGTGTCAGCTTCGCGAGGGGCCAACTGGGCTGCTTTGAAACCGCGCAGCGATAGCACGGGCCGGTCAGAAGTTTCTTCTAGAGCGTATATGTCGCTCAGTAGGTCGTGATTGGCACGAGGAACCACAGACGAGAAGACGTGAAGCCTGTCGCCCTCCTTGTAAGGCATATCGACGGAAATCAGTAGCTCGTCTATAGCTGTGGGGACCGGAGTCCGGGAAAGGAGGCCCATAGCCGGCGCGATAGTCTGGGTGATGGGATCAAAGGTGGCGGGGTGGATTATGAAGGGGCGCTCCGCTTCGTCTCCTATGCCTACAGAAGGGCCGTCTCGTTCAGATGAAGGGTTGACAACGTTAACAGTACAGTAGCTCTGCGACTCTCCCATCCAGATGGATGACATGTTGCGGAACGCTGGTCCGAACTGGAGCCCGATACGCGCAAGCTCTTTGTAGAGGGTTTCGGGTTCTTTTGTCTGGCGGCAAGCCTCCTGCGCCTCGAAGAACCGGTCACGGATCTCACGGTTCATTTCAGACAGCTCATGTGCCTCCGGCGACTCTGGGGTAGGATCGTGCTCGATAGTGATAAATCCCACGCAGGTTTTCCGAACTGTCTGTCTATCGGTGCAGGTTGATATAGTGAAGTGATACCAGCCCGGTGTTACGCTTGCCATCGCGCTAGGTCGATCCTGCGCAGTCTGACGAGCACATATTGTCATCTCAATAGGTTCGTTTTCGATAAGCTCCGTGGCCGCCAGAAACTCCACATCGCGGAGCCGGAACGCGCGGACCTTCCGCTGGCCGTCCGGCTCGTCTATCGCGGCCAGCTGCCGCGCCGCCTCGACCGCCATGGCTATGTATCCCACCGCGGGGTAGACTACGGTGTCCTGGATCTTGTGGTCTAGTAGCCAGGGTTCCTCATTGGGCCTGATGAACGCTCGCCATATGTACTCGCCTGCGACTAGAGTAGGCAGAGGAGCCCCGAGAAACCGGTAGTGCGGGTGCTTTCTATTGCGGTATTCCACCGCCATACGTGATTCACTCCAGTATGACCGCGCATGGTTCCATTGGTACGGTGGCAGATCCGTGAGTGGGCGCAGCTGGGAGCCGGGCGACCCAGGTTGCTCCGTCCCGTTTGCGGCGCCGATGTCAACACTTGCGCCCCGGGCCCACAAAGCTCCGGCAGCGGCCAGCATTGTCGCCACGGCATTTTCACCGCGGGTGAGCACTGATAAGTAGTCCAGGATGATGCCGCAGCTCGACATAGTACCCTGGCACGGGGCGGCGAGTGCTCCATGCGGTCCGACTTCGAGAAGCACATCTATACCTGCTTCTTCGGATCGCAGCATAGACTCAACCGACTGGGCGAAGAGCACTGGCGAGACCAGATTACGCACCCAGTTGGCTGGGCCAAGGTCCTGATGACTTTGTACCATTTTACCAGTAACACTGGAGAACATGACACGCCCTGGTTGTGCTGGGCGAGGCTTGATATGGCGGATGCGCATGAAGTACTCGTCTGAGACGCGGGCCTGATGAGGTGAGTGATATGCCGCGTCAACCTTCAGCCGGCGATTGAAGACGCCTGCCTCGGAGAGAAGAGCTCCGGCTGTCTCAACGGCCTTCTCGTCGCCTGACAATGTAACACTTGACGGCGAGTTAACGCAACCGACCACAACCACCCCGTCGGACCGCGGAACGCGGCTCACGAGGGCTTGTGCATCATTCTGCGACATTCCCGCGGCAAGCATGGCACCTCGAGGCTGCTTGGACCTGGAATCAAGGTTTCCACGCCAGTAGGCGGTCGTCCACGCGTCCTCCGCCGACAAGACACCCAAGGCATACGCTGCCGCGATCTCTCCGCTCGAGTGGCCCGTTACGGCGGCGGGTGTGATATTCCACGACGCCAGCAGGTCCACCAACGCCACTTGCAATACGGTACATAGCGGCTGGCTGTACTCGGCCTTGTTGATGTTGGAGTGTTCCGCGCTGGCGCTCATTTCGTTATACACCGACCATTTGCACCCGAGCGACTGGCGGAGAAAGTCGTCAGCTCTGTCGATGCTCTGCCGGAATACTTCGTACTTGAGCAGTTCCGTGCCCATTCGTGCCCACTGGGCGCCCTGGCCTGTGAAGACCATGCCAATGCGTAGCTTGCCGTCTGCCGCGGATACAGCGGCTCGGCGTACCGAGAGTTCCTGTGCCGAGTCTCCTTTGTCCTCTCTTGGCTGCTGAGGCGCAAGTTGGTTGCACAAGTCTTTGATGCTTGACACTATTGAAAAGGATCGGTAGAATAATGAAGCTCGTTTGGCCCCGAGCGTGAAGGCCAACCGTTTGAGGTATGCCGCCCCCTCATGGAGCGATGAGCGGGTTTCAGCTCGTGACTCGCGGAGATGCTTGGTCAAGCTGGCTGCCTGGCGTATGATACCCTCTTTGTCGCCGGCGCTGATAACGATGAGCTGTAGCTCAGTCTTGACAGAGTCACCTTTATACCTGCCGATGACGCCGGCTTGGAGTCTGCCATACGTATCACCGTCGTCAAGCACGGCGTGGGCGATGGTGCCGCTGGCTCCGAAGGAGCTGATGCCCACGCGTCGTACTCCTGGTCTGGATGGCCAAGGCATGAGCTCCTCTGCCACGGACATTCTCCATTCTTGCCACTTGATCTTTGGGTTCAATTGCTTGAGACCAATAGTCGGTGGTATTTGTGCCTTCTCCAACATCAAGACTGCCTTGATCAAACCGGCAATTCCGGCTGCGGCCTCCAGATGACCGATCTGCGATGCGGTCAGTTGGTTGTTGTGCATTTTCTCTGCTGCTGCAGGACGTCATTATTTCCACTCACATTCGTCTTCACAGACCCTATAAGTAGGTCATTTTTAGCGTTCATGGTATCCAGCGCCTCGGCGATGGCCTCAAGCTCCGCTGGGTCGCCAACCTTAGTACCCGTGCCGTGAGCCTCAACAAACCCGGTTTCACTCGTTGAGAGCCCTGCTTCCTTGTACAGGGAACGAATAAGGCCGGCTTGGGCTTCGGCATTAGGAAGAGTGATACCGCTGGTCCAGCCGTCTTGGCCGACACCGCTGGCTCTCAGAACGGCTCGAATAGCATCACCGTCACGCAATGCGTCAGCCAGCGGTTTCAAGATGACGGCACCAAGACCCTCACCGCGACCGAAGCCGTCACCAGCGGCATCGAAGCTCTTGCACTTGCCATCGGGTGAAAGGAACATCTGGTTGGAGTAGTAGAGGAAGTATTCGGGATTGAAGATGAGATTGGCGCCGCCGACAATGGCCATCTTGCAGTCACCTGCGATTATGGCATTTCTTGCCTCGTGCAATGCCACTAAACTAGACGAACAAGCTGTGTTGACCGTCATGCAGGGCCCCCGGAGGTTGAAGAACCATGACACTCTCCCAGATATGTATTCGGGCCCAGTGCCTGTCCAAGTGTGCAAAGGGGCTGCTTCCGGGTCACGGAACAGAGTCTCGCGCCAGTCATTACTGTTCACGCCCATCCAGACGCCGGTATCAGAGCCGTTTAACTGTGCTAGCGTGACCCCCGCGTTCTCGAACGCCTCATACGCGACCTCTAACATCAGCCGCTGCTGAGGGTCCATGGCAGAAGCCTCGTCGGCTGTAACCCCGAAGAAGTTGGCGTCCCATTGCCGAATGTCATCCGAGAGAAAATGACCTCCGTTGGTGCGAGATTTGTTAAGCCCACCTTGGGGCCCAGAGTGAAATGCACTGATGTTGAACCTGTCTCTTGGGACGGTAGAGTACGCAGCTTTGTTAATTGACAAGTGTCAGCAGAACTTTGTAGTTACTAACGGCTCTATACCCAACATAACACAACGCATGATCCATTCTTCTCGACTTGCTGCCCAGGGACGGTAGCTGATGATGTGGCCTCAGGATTGTGGTTACTTACATTTTCCTTTGCAGAGGAGCTCCCAGAAAGCACTCGGGCACTTTGAATCACCGGGAAATCTGCAGGATAGCCCAATGATGGCCATGGAACGACCATCTGTATCAATACTGCTTCCCATTGCGCTGACAGTCGCGAATGTCAACTCGATATTTGGATAGAAGACAAGGGTGTATGTAGGCTTCGAATGATGTCAGCAGTTGTGCGGCACGACCAAGGCACAGAAGAAGCGCTTGCAGAGGAAAGTAGCTAGCTTACGTCTTTTTTCTTGTGGCAAGTATGACCAAAGGTGCCTCAGAAGTGGCATGACCCAGCTGTTGTGATGGTCAGCGGGAGAAAGTTTCCTTGAAAGAAAATAGGTATTTCCTGAGAGCTTTCGGATCCAGGGGGAGAGGAAAACTCAAGGCTTTGGTGAACAATGTAGCAATTCGTTTCTGGGAGATTACCATTTTAGGTACAATCAGCGACTAGAAAACTTTGAGTTGCATACTAAGGTACATCACTAAATGTTGCCGTCGGCAAACACCAGCTGCGTTATACCTAGGTACTTAGTACATGATTATTGAGCAGTGTGGCTTTCTTTTTTTTACATTAATTGTGATGTGTTTCCACTTTGTTGCTTCCAGAACCGGAGTATGGACTAACAAGTCTATTGGTTCCAGGACCAGCCACGACGATAGATCACCCGGACTCATTATTGGTCAAAACAAAGCTTGATCATGTGGAACGAAGGGTTATTTCTTCGTCAGCGCCTAGTCGTAGTTTCTACAAAAAGTTTTCTTATTTCCGTGCAAATCCGCACACAGTAAACGCCTTACCGGGACTTCCTAACTTGGCTTGTCGCGTAACCTTTTGTCGTTTTGCTACCAAATAAGCATGAATCGGCAGCCAAACTAAAAGATACAGTCTAGTTAGACTTTATGTCATGAGTTATAGCAAGATTGAGACTTTAGTTCTGACTCGTTTCATATCAGCCGTTAGAATTTTTAAATTACGATTTTCTCAATAAAAAAAGCATGAAACAACAGAATATCAACTTCTGCCAGGTTAGCCGCGCTGGCCTTCATTTTGGGATGAACCCAAGCTTGTCTAACCTATCCAACGGTTTCTGAAATAGCTTAGGGATTCTTCATTAATTAGTAAAACCAGAGAGCGTCTCGGAGTAATTTTCGCCATATTCTACAACGTCACGAAATTCATGAGTAGCGTTCACCAAGGCAGTCAGCCCTCAGTATTGTTTACGCCCGTGAGTAGTTATACTTTTACTCATATTTTGCGTGGGAGAGAAGATTCGTCAATCTACGGATTTGCAAGCGATCAATTCTCTATGGCTCCCAATAGGTTCACGGGTACCCGTGCGTGTAAAATTTCACGGGTACCCGTGGAAATGACTAAGCAACTCTGATATGGGGCTCATGAGCCAATGAGAGGCACGGCCTGCATCAAACTTATCCGGAAAGTTTACGACTTTACTACGATGCACTCTTCGGGCTTACTACCAGCGTATAACGCCTCCTGCTCTGCCTTATCTTGCTCGACTCGTTTCCAGACTTCGCTCATACCTCTCTCACTGTTTTTAAAGGGGTTTTGTCCATCTTCCGCAATAATCAGCTCATCGACCCGTTTGTGTTCAGCCCTATCCCAGTCCAGATAAGCCATCATCTCCTCCTTCGTCCAATCCCTTGACCCGTGTAAGGTAGTGCAGCGTCCTTTTATCTGCTTATAGTCAAGACACTACTCATAATACTTTTTGTCATAACGTAGCGGAAGTCTTATTACCCTTCGATACTCCTGGTTTGTTTTGACACTCCCACGAGGTTAAGCACCGTACCAGGCGCTTCTTGCTACATAGTACCGTCCGTATATCGCCTGAGGTGAATCGTATCCTGGTAGCGAAGGTGAATGCGAATGCGCAAATGGTGATAATACCCGAGGTAGTGATATACTGGTCTCTACTACTATAGCAATAGTCGGTTGAACTAACTCTGGTACGTCCTGCACGGCGTTTGAAGGAGGTTCTTGTGTATCTGTCGTCGTCCTGGTAAATATCGCAGTTGATACTGTAGCTGGATCTGGAGTAGGTGTCGGTTTAGGCAATAAATGCGTGTATCGCAGAGGGCACGCCTTTGAAGTCATAGTATGGCCAACTGTATGACACCTACTGCATTTGCTTGGGGCCCGTGAAGCAACTTCAACAACTTCGAACCCGCTAGGCTCTCGTCTAGTGCTTGATTTGGGAATACTGGGATTCTCTAATTGCAACCTGGGCTCTATGCGCTGGCGAGGCTCCAGCAATAGCTGCGGCGCTCCATCACGCCTTAAATGCCAATGTGCATGGAAGTGCTCACGTAGAAGAACAAGATTCTGTTCTTGTAAAGTCTTCAATTTGTGTAAGCATAGGAGACCATATACTCGAGAAAACGTCCCCGTACAGGCTGTGGAAGGATTTGTGTCTTTCTTCGTGAGCAGCTTCCGTTGCTCTTCTACTTTGCGCAAGGCTTCATGCGATACCCAGCCAAGCACTGCGCCGTACATTGACCCTGAAAGCTCAACTAGTATCCGTATTTGCTGTTTAACTTGATTTGACTTTAGATCCGATAGCTGATTTAGTAAAGCATGCTTCATTGCTTGCCAAGCTTCAAAAAGGTCTAATGTGGATCGTTTCAAGTGCGATTTAAGTAGTGCATGAATACCCTCAACTCGCGAAGTAGCCACATTGCCAAAATAGGTATGCTGATCGACCCAGGCTTTCACTAGCTTCTCCTTGTATGGTTTCAACCAAACGGACGTAACATAGCCGACTTCTTCGAGATAGTCCAGAAGATAGCGTTCCTCAAACTGGGAAACGCGCTCCTCAAAAACCACCTCAGATGGCGAGCTGATGATCGAATGCCAGGAGTTATAGAATTCTTCCCAGCTCTGAGTTGAAGGTTTGAGCGCTGCAGGATTGTTGACTGTCTTTGGCTTAGTAGAGTCAAAAGCTAGATTACAATGTTGAAGAACGGCCTTGTTCGCATGCCAGAGGCAAAGCAAAGATGCAGAAGAGGGGAAGATGGTTGCAATAGCGTTAATGCATGCTAAGCAGCGATCTATGAGGATAACCGCAGGTAGGCTAGCGTTGCACTGACTATACAAGGATTTGACCTGCTCCAAAGCCTAGGTATAGTCATCTTCTGCCTCGCCGCTAAGAAATACAAACGCAATACAGAACGACCGTTGGCAAGCATCGACGCCAACTATATCAAGAAGTAGCATACCATACTTATTAGTCTTATAGGTACAGTCTAGTAACATGATGTCTGGGTAGGCTTGGAGAAGGGCTAAGGAATCTGGATGAGCGAACAAGACAGCCGTAACTCGGCCATCTGGTGCAAACTGCATGCGACTCCAGAAGCCTTCCTCATCAAGTTGATTGGCAAGTGCATGGATCGAGGTCTGCCCTTCACGAACATCTCGTTTAGCGGCTGCAATATGATTGTAGATATCCTGCTGGGTCGCTATAGAGTCTGTCGTTTGTCGTATGTATGTTCTGATGTCCCTGGGTGCGACGCCAGCGTTTGAAAGACCGGCCACCTTGGCTTGATCCTCCTCAGATAGCTTGCGATGCGTTGGGTGAGCAGACGGATGTTGGCTTGGGGGATGATTATGAGAAGAAAAACGCTTATCAGGCCGGTGTCTCAAGCTCCATGTGCTCTTATCCAAAGATTCCTTAGCAAGGACGGAAAATTGACAACCAGTCCCCCTACTAGTAGTTTGCCTTTGCCGCGCTATTGATGTGCTTGGCGGATGACACGACCTATCGCATGAATATGTAATCGTCCGTCGTCTGCTTTTCTCCTTTGTTAATCTCCCGGTAGTGAATACGTATCCCTTTGTCGCCGCCCAGTTGTTGATTGACATAAAAAGCTCATCGCGAGATTTATGATCGCTTTCAGGGGGGAGACTGTCGTCTGGGAATATGAGTATTGAGTCTTTGAGAGCTATTTCCATTTTTAAGAATATATGACTGAAGTGCTGGATGCAAATAACGCGTGAAAGGTGTATGACACAAGACGCGTTCATTGACGTGGGCAGGTTGCTTAGTCATTTCCACGGGTACCCGTGAAATTTTACACGCACGGGTACCCGTGAACCTATTGGGAGCCATTCTCTATTTAGAGTTTACCTAACCGGCAGACGATCGTATTAGATATGGCTACTAGATCTAATTAAAGTTTGACAGCCTAGCAATCTCTATAATGATGTAAGCAAGGATCTCTCGGACCCAGCGAGCTGCTAAGGTAGTTTTCACAGCAAGGGATTATCCCATCAATTGGTAGATGACTCCATTATTGTCAGGTGCGGGGTAAACCAATCAGAACTCTCTTATCCCCTGCTTTTGTTAACTCATAGACTTGAGTTCAGGGTATATGCCTTTTCTCTTGAAGCTGAAGTACCTGGCCAAAGTAACATCGATCGCTATCAATGAATGACGCTGTGTTAGAGTGGTTGAGAACTTTTAGGGGATAATTACTTATCACTCATGTGCCAGTTGTGGTGAGAAATTTTAAAAGTGGCAACTTGAAGCCTTGAATCCGGCAATCGTTGAGTTAATTCTAGGAACGGATAGAAGCGCGTCGCAGGGCTACTTCTGAGCCCATGCATGAAAAGGGGTACAAGTCTTGCTATGACATGCGAAGAGGTAGTTTAGCAAGGCCCTAGTTACTAGCCTGATGGATTCACTGTAGCAGTTGCTATAGTTCAATCAAAATTGTTACGTTTCTTTTGTGTGAAAATGAGACGGTAGTTTGAGGTATTACGCCTGATGCGGGGCTAGCTGGCCGGAACTTGAGGCCTAAAACTATCACCGAACGTCTAACTCTAATACCCGCAAAAGTGTGTCTTATTCAGTCAAACCGTAAACTAACCTCGGGGTGTGTTGGTAGTATGCTTTCCGGCTTACCCCCACTGCCCGGTTCGTCCGTGGACAACCATAGTTCCCTGGCTTTCTGATCAAATGCAACAAACAACCTAATTGAATCTTTGGTAAAGCTTGCTGAGGTGTGATGCCGAAGAGTCTGAAAAGATCAATGACAAAATGAACTTCTTGGGTTTCTCGGGCTGCGCAGTATCCAGCTCGTACCCTGGAATATCCAGAGACAAAATGCGTCGACCCGCTTCAGGAAGAGTCAGCAGTAAAGACGAGGTAACATGAAGATGTGCAACATGGAAAGCTACTTGACTCAAAGAAAGATGACTTGGTGATAGTAAAAGGCGTATGAAGTTATGAGGTTGAAACCTCGGTACATGAATAATAAATATCAACTATTTTCCAAGCTGGTCCATGCGGCATGTCTTGGAGCAAGATACCTGAAATTCAGTTTACACAAGACATAATACTACAGCACATTATACTTGATACCATCATCTTTGCCAGAAACGAACACAATTATGGCTCTTGCTCCCGTCGTAGAAGAGCTCCTGAAGCACGCTCGCAAGTATGACAGCTATGTCGCGAGCGGTAGGCAGTTCCCTAGCAACCGAAAGGACGATGAGGAATATGTCGAAGCGCGCCAAGCAGTGATCGATGGTGCGCAGCTACTTCGCATGTCGGCCATGACGACCGATCAACGACTTCATCAGTACATGACCCGTGTGAGTGCTTCTTACAAACGACGGGACTGCGGAGTCAGAAACTGATTCGTATAGGCATATGACGTCGCCGTAATGCGCGTCTTGAATGAGGTTGACATTGCCAACGCGGTACCAGTTGAGGGCATCACGTTCTCTGACCTATCCTTGGCTGTCGGGATTCATGAACGAGCTCTGGTCAAAATCATACGGAGTGCCATTTGCCACGGGATTTTCTGCGAGCCGACACCCAGCTTCGTGAAGCACACCGAAGTCTCAGAGATGTTCCGTATTCCTGGCATTCGCTCTTTGTGCAAGTTCACCATAGACACGGTGCTTCCATCTATGGAGAAACTACTTGATGCCGCCAAAAAGTGGGACGGGTCGCAAGATCCGTCGCACTCGGCTTTCAACATCGCCCACAACACCACTGGGCCTATGAACAAGTTCCCAGACGAGGCTTGCTTCAAGGCTATAATGAGCGCTGCCGATGCCAAGGGTCTCTCTTCTTACCCGCTGTGGCAAGAGATTGACAAGCCTGGCGCACTCTTTGTCGACGTAGGCGGAAATCACGGGTACGCGGCCCTGGCTATCGCCAAGGCAACGAAGCACATTAGCTTTGTGGTCGAAGATATGCCTAGCATTATCGAGACGGCGAACAAGCAAGAACACCAGCCCGGGGGTGTGCTAGTCGACCCGGAAGCTGGCCACCGCTTGAAGCTGAACCCGTACGACATATTCTCGGGACCCCAGCCTGTTACAGGCGCTGATATTTATTTCTTCCGCGCCGTCTTCCACAACTGGTCCGATATCAAGTGCCAGGAGATCCTACGGAACATACTACCGGCACTTAAACCTGGCGCACATGTCGTTATTTGCGATATTGTGCTGCCGGATCGGTGCGATATAACATATGAACAGCACTACAGCCGGTATGTCTATCTGCTGACTCCAAGAGGCCGGAGAACACGTATGAAGTTTTTGACGTAGACCTGCTGACCTGAAGGCAGAATCTCTGACTTGGCCATGTACGCGCTTCACAACGCATGGGAGCGAAGCGCGGCCGAATGGAAGGACCTATTTGCTTCTGTGGACAATGGATTCCAGGTCCAGGAGATGTACACGTTGTGGCCTGGTTCTTACCAGAAGTTCATTCATCTCATCTGGAAACCTAGCGAGCCATGAGCGCACATTTTTAGTTAGTATCGAATATTGGCTGAAGCTCATAACGATGCTAATGCGGTTCTCATCGAACCGGAGATGGAGATATATATCGAGAATCACCATGGCGCGGTGTACACATTCTATCCTACATAGTATAAACACCTCCTCTGGGGTTTCAAATGTTAGCCAGGGATAAGCTCCAAACGTATTTTTAGAGGGGATTCCTATATGTTTCTCAACTATTGCCTGCCCTTCCTCAAGTGCCTTTACATTTGAGATATTTCCGGCAGTAAGTGGACTTCAAATCCTCACCCCCTGTCAGTTAGTGTATTTTGCCTCCCAAAATACGGATAGGTACATCTTTTTAGGCAGCTGGGGCATCTCACTGGATTTCACATCTGCAGCTCTTGCATAATTGTAGGTAGACAACAACCAACTTTGTCCCTGAGAATTTGTGAGGAATAATTTAGATTCTGTCTGTTGGGGTATTGGCCCCGGAGGTTGGGAAAGGAACCGATCGAGCACGGAAGTTTCCGTTATGAAGAGGCTTTTGACTAAAACGGGCTGTGACCATTACGACGAAAGGATAGCCCAGTTTCTGTTTGGTACAGTCCGGGTGGAGCCTATAGACACATAAATGATATGCTCAAACAGGCAAAAATGGCAGTAGGGCGCGTAAGACAAGTGCTAGGCAAATGTGGTGTATTCCCGTAAAGTATCGATTGACATGACTGTTGATGTTGAGGTAGCCCTAGCATGTCCATGTATGTCCTGATCGACGCCATGGCTGACTCGCAGCGTCCAACAGCTAGGATGCCATGTCACGCCGCCCCTTAGAGCTTTTGGGTATGAGCGGGAACAGCTTGAGCTGGTAAACTGCGCGCCCTTCTTTGCGAAGACAACAATAAATCACTTTACTATTACTTTGGATTCGCATAGACCAACTAAAATCCAGCGCAGACACACCCAAAGCATCTTGTAACGTTCAGCCTTTACCATCCCACCTGACCTTTTCAGAAATGCAGTCTCCACTAGTCACGGTGTTCACAACCGCCTTAGCGGCGTTTGCTATTCTCGCTTCAGCAAAAGATAGCCAACCTATCAATCCCGTTCATGATCGTCCTGCAACTCCCACCATCACTCGTGATGTGGTTATAATCGGCGGCGGCACCACTGGTAGCTTTGCAGCCTCCTGGTTGAAAGACAATGGCTATTCCTACGTCCTGGTTGAGAAGCGAGGAAATCTCGGTGGTCATAGCCAGACTTACATTAGTCCATCCACGGGACACGCCATCGAGTACGGAAACGTATTTTTCGAAGATACAGACACAATGCGGAAATATCTTAACCGCTACCATGTTCCCTTCAAACAGGTACCGCCCGTTAATGATCCTAACCATGCCATTCAGTTTTACAATCTGCGAACTGGGAAACAAGCGAACTTCCAGCCCCCGAATCCGGTCATTGTAGAGGATGCATTGGACAGATGGACCTCGTTCTTGGCCAAGCACTTCTCATTCCTGGAAGACGGTTACTACCTCCCCGACCCCGTCCCAGCTGATCTGCTTCTCCCTTTCAACAAGTTTGTCGAAAAGTACGACTTGAATGACATGCTCAACATCGCATTCCAAGTCGGACAAGGATTTGGTGACTTCCTCAGCGTGCCTACGCTATACGCCGCCAAGATTCTAAGCCGCTCTTTGATTCAACAGTTCAAAAGTCAGTCCATGCTGGTGACACAAAACAACGGAAAGCTCTACGAACGCGCCAAGGCCGAGTTCGCCAGAGAAGAAAGCCTTCTTCTCTCCTCCACTGTCGTTCACGTCGATCGTAGCGTGAACGACGATGGCTACATGTCAGTGCTCGTCCAAACCAAAAAGGGTGGTGATACAGCAACAACCCGAGTCCGCGCGCGGCAACTCCTGGTAACCATTCCACCAAAGGAGGCTCTGGGCTCCGAGTTCTCGCTCGAGGAGAAGGAGAAAACACTCTTCTCCAAGTTTGCTTGCAACTATTATTGGGCAGGTGTGCTACGCAATGCCCAACTGCCTGCTCTCGAGATACAAAACTGTGACCCTGGCAACCCCGGCGGTGTGCCCACGCTTCCCGGAATGTACGTTTTCGAAGCCACCGCCAGTCCTGAGATTCACACGTTCTGGTATGGCGCCCCCACCGGCGCTGCTAACCAGACCGAAGAGGGCGTCAAGGCGGATGTCCTGGCGACGATTCAGAGACTGCGTGGTGCGAATGGGGCTTCTCAACAGGACATTGAGATTGCCGAAAGTGAGATAGAGTTTCTGGCCTTGGGCGACTTCAATCCATTTGCTTGCATGGTCGACGCCACATCCATCGAGGGCGGATTTTATCGCCACTTATACAATCTGCAGGGCTTTAAGAATACCTGGTGGACCGGAGCCGCCTGGCACACGCACGACGCTAGTCTGCTGCTGGACTTTACCCAGGAGGTCCTAAAGAATATGACCAGAAGCCTTACTGAAGACAGCAAGAGAAAGGAATCCGAGGAGTTGTAAGGACGAAGTTGATGAAGTACGGGCTGTTCTTTCTTTCTATGGCACTTCCGTGTATTGACTGGTATTTCTTGGAAAAGGCTCTTCGTCTTCGGCTTTGCGGCTTATTCCTGACATTCAGAACACTTATGTACCTGATGTTCGTGACGCCACCTTTTAAATAGAGGCAAAAAAGTTGTCATTTTACATCATGTTGATTTTTTCTTGATCTTTAAATCCCCACATTACATTTTTGAAAATCCCAAAAAAAGTTGCCAACTCTAAGGTATGTCTATATAATGCAATTGATTTGGAGCGGCTTAAATTATGTTACCATCTGTCAAATGCGTAAGGCGCTTCGTCAACAACAAGCTACAGATGAAAAGCCTTTCTCGTCACTAGTCATGAAGAAGTACGCGATGTGAAGCAAGTCGGCACAAATCTTGCGTCTTTGCATTAGGACTAGTGAACTCAAACTTGACAGTCATTTTGTTCGCTAGATCTATGTAATTAAGGTGTTCTGCCTTAGAAAGGCTACTACCTTGCATTGAACATCTAAACATCGTCTTAGGCCATTCAGTCGGCAATCTTTCTGAACAGAAGCTTTCGAGTCACGTCAGGCATATTCTGATATTTCCCTGTTAGCTTGAGAGACCCGTAATGATGTCTATTCCACTCACCATATTGCCAAGTTCAAAATTGGAATATCTCTTTTTGAGTCCATCAGGGCCTGCAGTAACCTCGATGTCGTAAAAGGATAAAAGATGGATCAATATCAGCTTTATCTCACTCGATGCAAAAAAGCGCCCTGGGCATGCATGCTTTCCCCAGCCAAACGCCATGGTTCCGTTAGTCACCGATGCGAACTGGAAGTGATTGCCTTCCCCGTCGTTCTGCCGTAGCTTAGTGAACCGGTACGGGTCAAACTTATCGGGATTGTCAGGAAACAAATTCCGATCGCGGCCAATGTGGTGGACGGGCACGGCAAGCATCGTCCCGGGGGGCACAGAGACCCCGTCCGAGAACTTAAAGGGCTTCATGACCCTGCGCCTGGCAGAAACTGTGGCAGTAGGGTCAACCTTTGTAGCAGAGATGACGGGGGCTGTCCTTACGCAAATCAGCTGGGTTGAGGCGTTGAGACTCTTTGCAGACAGCATCGAGCAGTTTCATGTCGAAAAGTGTCTTAGACGTGATTTTGCCATCATGTTTACGCAGGACATCTGAAATCTCGCGTCGCACATCACTGAGTATCTCGGGTTCTGCGGCAAGATCATACAGTCTGTAGCATGATAGAAGCAGAGAAAGTCAGTAAGCGTCACCAATAGAAAAACGAAGAAACTTACGTCGCAGTAGCAGTCAAGGCCGTTGTGTGAATGGCAACGGCACTCAATGATAGCTGCAGACGAGCAATGTCGCCATCCGCTTTAATCTCGGCTGGGAATCTGTGGGCATTCTTGATGATCCACTGTAACATGTCATCAGGCACTTCGTGACCAGCAAGAGCAGCGTCCCTGCGAGCTTGGATGGCCGGACCAAGCAGAGTAGTGATACGCCGATGGGCCTTCCATACTCGCCGGAGAGGCGGTAGTAGCGGGGCGACAAAGGCTCGAGACCGTTTTGGGAATATTTGGAGCAGCTTTGGGCCTCCGAAAGCGTCTGCAGCATAATTTGCTGCTAGGTCCATATACTCCTCGGTGCGGCAATACTCTGGCCCGACAAACATCCAACCTGAGACGATGGTCACGATGCGGACCAAGGCATGGTGGATGTCGACTTCGGACCAGTCTGGACAAGAAGGTAGCTCAGACAGCACGGCTTCGCGAGCAACAACACTCAATTCAGGCGTCGCTTTGCCTGTATCGCGGGTATTGTCAGTCAACAATCCATGTTCCGCAGGGTTAGTTGAAGGTTTCCATATTTTGCATACCTAAAGATGGCGTCAAGTCTTGTTTGACGGAATGAATGAGAGCTTGAGAGGTAACGTTTATTTCTGTAATGGATGCCTCGACAAACTGACATTGTCATTATGTTGAGCCTTATGGGAAGCTTGGAAACTCATACCTCTTCGAAGGGGGCGTGCGGGCTGAGCACATCCTCAGGTGCGGCAGCATAGCAGCTAAGCAGATGATATGGTACGCAAACATAATCCCCTGCAAAAGCAATAGTCAGCTACAGGTATTTTGAAGTAAACAAAAATGGACATCAATCCTGATGTATCCTAGAGCAAGAACCGGTCGACCGTTGCGGCTGAGAAGTAAGTCATAGGAAAAGGAAATCCACTTGCCTTCGGGTGATAGCACGCGATAAAGTGACTCGAACTTTCGGTAACCCTCACTGTAAAGCCTCTTTGCGTGAAACTTGTACTGCTTTAGCCTCCTTTTCTTGCTCCCTTCGCCAGAGTATGGAATGTGCTTGAGAGCATCGTCTTTGAGTGAGAAAAGCAGGTAGCCTAGCACCAGCATAAGTGCACTAGTGGCCACAAGAGACATCCAAGGCTTCTCTACAAGAAGCTCAGCGTTCCAAATCACTGCCATTTTGTGATGAGCAATCATCATCAACAGGCAGAGAAGGTTTCCGACAACTGGATGTTCATGAAAGTGCGAGGATATTCAACCAAGAAACGGATAAGTAGTGCAAGAACCGGCGCGAGCTGTTGAAGACACACAAATCTTCCCACAGATAATGTTGGAAACTGAGGAACACTCTGCGGGTACGATTCTCGTCTGTCTGTCATGGTGGAATATTCGAGAGCACGTAACTCCTGTCCAGTCATCACCAAATCAAGGTCGTTCAAGGCCGTCTACCTGACTGGCGTATACTTCGCCCAGACAGCAGAGATTGATTTCCACAACTGACCAGTAACTTCAAAACTAGCGCAACTCATTTCAACAGGAAAAAGTTAAACAACTAATATGGGGGAGGGGTGTGGTCTTCGTTGAATTACAACTCGAGACTTTCCCGCTACGCCTGTCAACTAATCTCTGACTCGAAGGTGGTTTGAGTGCAACGGCATCGACATAAATCATACCAAAAACTTTATTAATTTACTCAGTTCGTTAGTTTGAGTCAGAGCAGAATGGTGAGTTGGTTGCCTCCAGATAGTCGGATGGCCCGACAGTCTCTTGCATACACAAATGAAGAGTCTGGGACTGTGCCCACCCCTGTAACGGCAAATTAACTGCTTCGATTGCTTTCTGAAACAATACATTCCATGTCACCAGAAATACCTTGACACATGTCTCTACGAGAGGTTAGCTTTTTAAAGAGATCATCATCACAGCCATTGTTGCGGATTAGAGAGTTGATCATCGAAATGAACCTTTGTCATCCCTGTAGCAGTCTGTCACTGACCAACGAACAAGGGGCTCAGCAAAGTTAAACACATAATGGTTTCTACTAACGGCTTCAAGCATATATCCGCAAAATCATTGTTAACTTTGAAAGAAACTCAATAACAGCATATCCTTTCCGTGAATGCAAATGTACCCATACAGCACGGTACATTGGGCAGATTTCGGAATATACCCCACGGGGCGGACCCAGATGAAGCCATCTACGGTGAAGTGTTGTATCTCTCAGCTAGGTTGCCACAGTTGAGTGAAATGTTACAGATTGCATGGGTCAGCGATGATAGGTTGTATCCTTTGCATCTCTCCCCTGCCATCCCCTGATCACAGGCTCCAAAGCTCAGACAGGAACCACCTGCCACTTTGGCCATCCTGACCGACTATCTCGTCATTGGAATGTGTCCGGGACGCAAGACATTATTCAATGTGGCCCAAAGCAGCTCAGAAGGCTTATGGGGTGATTTGGCTACTCAACTTTGCTGATTGTTTTAGCTGTCGCTGGATGCAGACTATCTTCAGACTATCTTCGTCCTGTGGTTAGCGGAAATTTTCCCCTCAAAAGCTTAAATTCTGCGTCGAGGAAGCGGTGCACTTACGACGACGACATTTACATTGGCCATTGTGAAGTTAACATGACGATCCAGAAATCCCTACCCCAAAGCAAGAATACTCTAGTTGAGGTGTGCAATCCAATATGGACTGGCGTAAATGTCTTGACCCAGCTAATTTGGTTGATATGTTAGATTTTCAAGCATGCAACTCTACTTGATGTTGTTCTACTCACTGTGGCGGCTGTGGCCTCGGTCGTTCAAGGCGCACTGTTGCCAATCATGGTAAGTTCTAACTATCCGCTGTACAACACGGTGGGATTACTGACCTCGGGATTCCGTAGACGGTCCTGTATGGGTCGTTAGCAAGTGATTTCGCGGGCATATCCTCCGGAACCCTCAGTCGAGGAGCATTCCTGCGGCGCCTTTTACAAACCACGTTGTATTTTATCTATCTGGCGTTATCCGAGGCCGTTACAAGTTACGCAATGTGGATGGGACTTACCATCACGGGAGAGAGAATAACGACAAAGATCCGGTAAGTAATGGGTTTCAGAGGCAACCAGGGCATCGTGCTGACATTATTCAGAGAGCGTCTCCTAGCGGCAATTCTGGAACAAGGCGTGGGGGGTGCGATGGATATCGGTTCAGGAGAAATCACAACTCGCCTCAGTGCTGGCTGCGACCTGGTCCAAGAAGGCATCTCCAGTAAACTTGGACGCGTCTTGGCTGCTTTCGCAGGAGTGATTGCTGCATTTTGCGTGGCATACTCGAGACATTGGAAACTGGCATTGATGATGAGCAGCGGGCTCATAGCCTTCGCCTTAACAGGTGCCACAGGCGCCGGCATCATGAAGCGCTTCACGGACAGATCGACGTCAGTCCAGGGTGAAGCGTCTGGAATAGCACATGAGGCGATCAGTGGCATATCCTTCGTCATGGCAGCCTCAGCCCAAGACAGGATGGCAGAGAAATATTCTTCCACGCTAAAAGCCGGCCACAAACCCGCGATTCTTTCTAGGGCGTTAGCAGACGTGACGGTCGCAGTCATCACATGTATCGCTACCCTTCTCTTCGCTCTGGCATTTTGGCAGGGCTCCAAGTTCTTCGCCGCCGGCGAGGCAGATATTGGCGATATCATGACCGTTCTTCTGGGTGAGCAACATCTATGTAATTTGTCCAGTCTTATTTGCTAACGCTGCATCTAGCTGTTCTTCTAGGCACAGCATCTCTGGGCCTGGTCGCGCCTAACGCACAAGCTTTGACAGCTGCCGTTGCGGCGGCCTCCCACATCTTCGAGATCATCAACCACCCCAGGGTTATAGATTCCACATCTGATGAAGGGGAAAAGCCTGAAGTCGTGGAAGGGTCTATCTCTTTCAAGAACGTTAACTTCGCATACCCTACCCGGAACGATGTAGAAGTTCTGAAAGGCCTTACCGTTACCCTTCAAGCTGGTAAAACGACAGCTTTAGTTGGGGCTTCCGGTTGTGGCAAAAGTACTATCATCAACCTGATTCAAAGGTTTTATGATCCCACCTCCGGTACGATTGAACTAGACGGCAAATCTCTCAGCGGTCTTAGTGTGCGATGGCTTCGCAGCAACATGGCAGCTGTCAGTCAAGAGCCGGTGCTTTTCAACGCAACCATATATGAAAACATTGCCTTTGGCCTTCGGAAAACAATGAAAACCTACACTCTTGAGGAGGAGAAGACTTTGGTGTTTCAGGCAGCAAGAAGTGCCCATGCGCATGAGTTTATCATGGCTCAGGATAGGGGTTATGGCACCATGGTTGGTGACCGCGGCGGACTGCTGTCAGGTGGCCAGCGGCAGAGAATCGCCATTGCGCGAGCAATGGTGTCTGATCCCAAAATCCTCCTGCTGGACGAGGCCACATCCGCACTGGATACTACCTCGGAGAATTTTATCCAAGCGGCATTGACTGCCGCGCAGCGAGACAGAACTGTCGTCATGATTGCCCACCGCCTGTCCACCGCTAGAAACGCAGACTGCATAGTGGTTCTCGATGGTGATGGCGTTGCGGAGCAAGGCACGTACGATGAGTTGATGGCACTGAGAGGCGTCTTCTTCAAGCTTGCTAGCGCTCAGGGTGCTGACAAACAGCATCGAGAAGCGAAGGACTTGAATCTGACAACATCGGACTCATTCAAGCGCAGAAATGCTGCCAAGAAGTCGCAGTCCTCCTACGGCCACGACAGTGACCGCCTGTCCGCAGTGCGGAATGACGACTCGGTAAATGTGCCGTTGGGTGCTAGTGCCCCTGCTGAGCAGCTGGCAGGGGGCCAATATACACGCAACGAAGTTATAAGATTTGTTGCCCAGTACAACTCCAAGTCGCCTTATTTGTGCATCTTTGGGCTATTTTGGGCGGTCGTGTCAGGTTCGGTATCCACCATCCAGTCCTACGTCCTCGCTCAGGTGAGTCTCCCAAACCGCCCGGTTCCCTTGACGTATCTCTAGCAAACTCAGACACTCTTTGGCTAACTTAACATAACGCTACAGGCCATTACTGCTTTCAGCGAATCATCTGTTCGGCCAGGGTTTACGAGTAACATCAACCACTGGTCGCTCATGCTTGTTGTGATTGCTTTCGTACAATGCGTCTCATCAATTGCCCGAGGATTCAGTCTGGCTGTCTGCACTGAGCGGTTCGTTTTGAGACTTCGCCGTGCTGCATTTAGCCTCATAATGCAGCAGAGCATGTCTTTCTTCGACGCCGAAGGCGGCGCATCCCTCACGACGTTCCTGTCAACACTGGCCAGCGATTTAAACGGATTGGGTGCTTCTCTGATGGGAACCTTCGCAGTCGGGCTTGTCGGCCTGCTCTCTGCTGTTGGGCTGGCCATAGGAATTAACTGGAAACTCGGCCTAGCGTTCTCGGCCACGGTTCCTGCGCTCCTGGCTTCTGGATATCTATATGGCGCTTTTGCCAGCAAGAGAGAACAGCAATCCCGACAGTTCTACGCGGAGGCCGTCAGTCGTGCCAGCGAAGCTATTGACTGCATAATGACGGTGGCCTCCCTCGCTCTGGAGTCGCATGTGAAGGAAAGTTTCCACAACTCCCTTCTGGAAATGCGCCACCGCAGCATGAAGACGGCGCATAAAGCCTGTTGTGTTTACGCTGTGTCTCAGGCAGCGCAGTACTTATGCTTCGCCGGATGTTTTTACTACGGCGGCTGGCTCATGGCTGATAAGCAGGCAACAATGATGCAGTTCTTCGTCTGCTTCAACGCCGTCGTAACCAGCACCCCTGCTATGGGTAGCTGCTTTGGCTTTCTTCCCGATGTCCATAAAGCCAACCAGGCTGTAAGGATTTTGATGGGGCTGCTGCACAAACGACCGCTGATAGACGCTTCGAGCGACGGAGGTCTCGTTGTTGAAGCCTCTTCTGGGAAACTCAATCTCGACAAGGTTACTTTTTGGTATCCTAGTGCCAGCGGTTCACCAGAAAACACACTCAACGACATCAACCTGAGCGTTCATTACGGCCAGTTCATTGCTCTTGTCGGCCCCAGCGGAAGCGGCAAAAGCACTATTCTGTCACTCCTCGAGAGGTTTTACGACCCACAGGCCGGAAGCGTCTCACACGATGGAAAAGACATTCGCTTACTTCAACTGAAGTCTCTTCGGAGACACATGGCGTTTATAACGCAGGAGACTGTACTATTCTCTGGCAGCATCCGCGATAACCTTCTCCTTGCGGCGCCGGATTCTACAGCCGTAACTGAAGAGATGCTGGACAATGCCATCAGGGCAGCTGCTTTGGGCGACGTTATAGATTCACTTCCACAAGGGCTAAACACTAGGGTTGGATACCGTGGAACATCGTTATCCGGTGGTCAAAGACAGAGAATCGCGGTTGCTCGGGCATTGATAAACAATCCAAGTATTCTATTGCTTGACGAGGCTACGTCGGCGCTGGACACTGTTTCAGAGCGCATAATCCAGGACGCAATTAGCAAGGCTGGCAAGGGACGGACAACAGTAGCCGTTGCCCAGAGACTGAGCACTATCAAAGAAGCTGATTGTATCTACGTTGTAGAGCAAGGTTCCATAGTAGAGTCCGGGACTCACGACGAGCTCCTTCTCCGTGACAGATTGTATGCAAAAATGTGGTGGGATGGGCAGGGATCCACGTAAATTCCTTGAGTTAATTAGGTTTTTTGTTCAATTAGTTGATTTTTTTCAATCAAATTCACAGCATTGATTTTGGGTGTTTATGCTGTCAGTGTGTTGATCTTCTAACGGAGAATATTTACTGATGGAGATTAACTTTTGAGTTGAATGACTTCGTATAATCTGCAGCTAAGCACGAGAGAAAGCAAGAAGTAGCCACGTAAACACAAGTTCTGCGGGCAACTGTGTCTTGGTGATACTATCTGTAGGTTTGTGCAAGGGAACTGATAGTACGCCAAAAACTATCAAGACCCAGTAAGTCGCCGTGGTTTCCCTTTTCGTGTTAAACCAAGGACCAGGAGGCTAGACAGACCCTTGGAAAAAGCCAAAAAGCTGAGCTTCTTTCAGCTTCAGGTCTATCCTCCTGTGATAGCCCAGACTCTGGAACTCAATCGGCATGAAATAAATACCTTACGTATTGAACAGAATCCTTGCCAGATCTTCTGGCTAGGGAGCCTTTGATAACTAGAGGGGTGTATTGAGGGAGGGGTGGGTTCAACACGATCAGCGGCTATGCTGGTATGTAGTCAAAGTTTTAGCCGACATCTGAGTATTTGTGCCTCAAGTTACCTCGATTTCATCTCGATCGAAAGCTAGTACCTACTCAGTCATGACTTCGGTCCCAAGGATCTTGTGGGCCGGTTGCCTCTAACACACCGGAGTGAATGCGGACCACCCTTACCCACATCAATATTTACTGACTCGAACAAGTTGAACAAGCATATACGGATACTTTTTCTCCTGTCCTGCCGCCGATCCGGTTTAGGTGGTCTCGCAGCTCGGAAGTTTTGTCATGTATGAAAATCCTCATCCAAGGAGTCAGTGTGGCTATCTCATGATCAGGGAAAGAGCAAAGTCTCTCTTTAGGCTCAATCTTAAACATCTCTTAAAGGGAAGCCAAAAAGGGGCCTGCAAGATAATAAGCCGTCATTCCAACTGGCAAATAGAAATCAACTTGTATCCTTCTCCGGAAACAAACTCCTAGGTTCTCTCAAAGGCAATCTTTTGGCGCATATCGTTTTCCCATGTTGAGCTTGGCCTACTAGTTACCACCCCTTTTTATCCGCCCGATCTTTGAGTTGATCATGTCTTCCCAGCCACGTGTTCGCACAAACAAGATTTTCTTGTTCGGGGACCAGACGACCAACTTCGGCCCCTCTCTTAAAAGAGTTACCGCGAATTCAAAGCAAAGTTCACCACTTGTACGGAAGTTTCTAGCCGACGCTCTAGATGTTGTGAAGCTTGAGGCTAGAAAACTCAACCATCACGAAATATTGGATGTTGAAAGCTTCACCTCTCTCCTCGCTTCTCCAGACGATTACGAAAACTTGGAGGACAGAGCAGGGGTAATACAAACCGTTCTCACTTGCATATCTCGACTCGGAGAGCTCATATTGTGCGTTAAGTCCTTCCAATTCCCCTATTAGCCTAAAGACCCTAACATTATGTAGACATGTAGAGCGCGATCCTACAATAATAAAATGGGTACACAAAAGTTCACCTATCCAGGCCTTGGGACTGTGTACAGGCCTGCTGCCGGCGGCGGCTCTAGCGGCGGCCCAGGACATTCAAGACCTGGCGCAGTTATCTTTGCTTATGGTCGGAGTAGCGTTCCGCCTCCGAGTCGAGCTGCACCGCAGATCAACCCGCGTCGAAGTAGAGAATGGTATATGGGGGTATCTTGTAGTGGGACAAACTATTGATGAGATTGAGACAGCGCTGGATAAGTTTCACAGCACTGAAGTGAGCCATGCCCCTTTTCAACATTCACTCTCTCAGCCTAAAGACTTCCCTGACATTTCTCATCCACTAGAATGTTCTGCTACACAAAAGAGCCTATATCGCGGTTGCGGCAGACGGATGGTCCGCAGTCTTTGGCCCACCCTCGACGATGCGAAAACTGTTTAAAGAATCGTCATTTTTGGCAAAAGCATCAATCTCAGAGCTGTATCGGGCGAATGGCGCCGTTCACGCTCCTCACTTGCCCGAACTCGATATGGACGAGATCATCGGCACAAACCGAGACCTTCTAAGTCGCGAGCTGTCCCCGAATGTGCAGGTAATGTCAACTAGCCAATGTCAGCCATTTAGAGCGGCTACTTTGCGAGATTTGCTGCGGCATGTCCTTGATGACATTTTGATTCTCCGTCTTGACATGGACAACACTGCCAAAGCTGTCGCTTCGAACGTGCCGACCGACTCAGCCGTCCAGCTCGTTGTCGTTGGTGGCGCAAACGCTGTTTCAACAATGCAGAATGCGCTGGGAGAACGTAACGTAACCGTCACCGTTGTTGACGGCTTCGACTTGCGACCACAGCCGGCGCTGCGCAGCGGCTCCGGCAAGATTGCCATCGTCGGTGTAGGCGGTAGGTTCCCGGGCTCCGAGAGTGTCGATTCTTTTTGGAAGTCCCTCCTTGAGGCAAAGGAATTCCATCAACTCGTAAGTATTTCCCACAGCATTCACCCCCGAAGGTACATTTCTGTTCTTGGGGAAAGCTTCAGGCCCAACTGACCGTATGAAGGTTCCTGAAAGCCGCTTCGCATTGGACGCGTGGCAACATGCTCTTGGTCCAGATGCCTCCTTGCCATACGGATGTTTTCTAGACACACCAGGGCAGTTCGACGCTCGACTCTTCAATATCTCACCTCGCGAAGCGGCGCAGATGGAGCCCATGCATCGTCTCCTCATGCTTGTGACCTATGAAGCGCTCGAGACTGCGGGATACGCACCAAACGCTACGCCGTCGACGAACAAGACGCGTGTGAGCACCTTTTTTGGCCAAAGCTCTGACGACTGGCGCGATGTCAACCATCAGCAGGGCATTGACACGCACTACATCCCGGCGACGGCTCGGGCGTTTGGTGCTGGTCGCCTGCATCACTTTTTCAAGTGGGAAGGTCCCGCGTTCACCGTAGACGCCGCCTGTGGCTCGAGTGCCGTTGCCATAAGCCTCGCCTGCGCCGCTCTAGACAGAGAAGACTGCGATATGGCTGTTGCTGGCGGAGCCATGCTCGCATGCTCGCCGGATGCCATGGCTGGTCTGGCCAAGGGCGGCTTCTTGTCTCCTACCGGTAGTTGCAAGACGTTCAGGGCCGATGTTGATGGCTATTGCCGGGGTGAGGCCGTCGCCGCTGTTGTGCTCAAGAGACTCGAAGATGCCGAGCTGGACAATGACAACATCCTGGGTGTCATTGATGGATGGGCGCGCAATCATGCCGCCTACGCGAGTTCCATCACTCATCCGCATCAACCCAGCCAAGAAAGGGTCTTTCGCCAAGTCTTGCAGGCTGCCGGGGTGAAGCCTACGGACATCGGCTATGTCGAGGCTCACGGCACGGGCACCACGGCTGGCGACTTGTGCGAGGTGAGTTCCATCACCAATGTCCTCGGCGGCGACCGAACCTCAGAAAACCCTCTCGTCCTCGGCGCAGTGAAGGCGAACGTGGGGCATGCTGAAGCGGGCGCCGCCATTGTTGCATTGATCAAAGTAGCGATGATCCTCAAGCACAACGGACAAATACCTCCGCAACCTGGTTTTGAGAACCCCGTCAACCCTGCTCAACTCAACCCCGAGTTTCCTCCGCTCGCAAAACGACATATTCATGTGGCTAACGGCCGTCAAAATCTCAAGCCTGGCCAAAAGATTGTGCTTAACTGCTTCGATGCTACCGGAGGCAACACGAGCTTCGTTATATCTGCTGCCCCAGCCGTTAGGGCATCTTCGCTATATAGTAACTCTACCAGTATGCCGCGAGAAGAGACAGCAGACCCAAGAAAACACTACGTTGTCGTGTGCTCTGGGCATACTTTCACGGTTATGAAAAAGAACGAGCGTCGTCTGCTCGATTACATCATGGCACACAAGGAAGGCGCTTTAAGGGACCTCGCTTACACCACCACTGCTCGCCGCATGAAGCATCACTCTCACAGGACGGCGTGGGTAGTAAGCAGCATGAAAGAACTGGGTCGCAGGCTGCTCGAAGACCAGAGCAAGACGGAGCCTAATGTCAAGCGTCCTGGTTCCGTGGCCTTCACCTTCACTGGGCAAGGTTCAGCCTACCGCGGTATGGCAAACCAGCTTTTCCACTCTTCGCCCAGATTCCGCAAGTCCATCCTCGCGTCTCAGCACATTTGTGAACTGTACGGCTTCCCCTCTGTTGTGGAATATATTCAAAACGAGGACGAATCAGGTAACTCATCCCGGCCACATGTCAAGGCAGCTCAAGAGCAACTTGCAATTGTAGCGCTTCAGCTGGCCATGGTTGAGCTTTTGCAGTCCTGGGGTCTGAAACCGGATGTCATCATCGGCCACAGCCTCGGCGAGTACGCAGGACTCTGCACCGCGGGCGTTCTATCAGTGAGCGACACCATTTACCTCGTCGGCAAGCGAGCCGGCCTGCTTGGTGACCAATGCCAGGCAGACACATATGCGATGGTAGTCCTGCCCTTATCCAGTGCCGCAGTATCGTCGCTCATCGCTGCGCATCCCGGATGCTGTGTCGCCTGTAAGAATGCACCGAATATTACGGTAGTCAGCGGACCGAAAGATGCAATTTTGCTATTGCAAGATGTTGTGCGTAGAGACCAGGGTATCGAGACTAAGATGCTACCTGTTGCCTATGGTTTTCACTCCGAGCAGATGGAACAGGTGTCAGATGGCGTCAAATTACTGGCGCAGCATGTCCAATTCTCGGCTCCCAAGACGCCTGTGGCCTCCACGCTCATCGGAAAGATGGTGAAAGAGGATGGTACATTCCACGCCAAGTATCTGGCTCGTCAGACCCGTGAGTCGGTCGACTTCGCAGGTGCGCTTGAAGCTATCCGCGAAGACGGTCTTGCAGATGAGAAGACGGTGTGGATTGAAATTGGCCCTGACGCCGTTAACACCTCCATGGTGCGCAAGAATCTGGCCATTAGGGAAGCAGACCGTGTGTTGCCCACCCTGAGCTCGGGTGAGGAGGACTGGCTGGCCCTGGGCAAACTCGTCGCCTCCGTTTACATCCGGGGACTGGACATCGACTGGAGTGCTTACCATAGGGACTACGAGTCGTCGTTGCGGCTTGTTGAGCTGCAAGGATACGCATTTGATCTGAAGGAATACTGGCGATCATACGTGCATCCGAAGCCCCAGGAGACCATCGTCAATAGCAATGTTCCTGCCACCAACACGGCTGGCAAAGGGGTCCCGGATATGCCGTATTTGACGCCGTATTTGCAGTACCTCGCTGGCGAATCCGTCCAAGCCGATGGCTCTATCGTTGCCGACTTTGTGTCCAAGGTCAATCATCCGGAGATGATAGCCGCTGCCCAAGGACACCTGGTCGATGGAACACCCATCTTCCCTGGCTCAGCATTCTGCGAGATGGCCTACGCTGCAGCGGATTATCTCATACCCAAGCATCAGCGACTGAGCGGCAAGCCTCATGTCTCATCGCTGGTCATGCATGGTCTCGAAATGAACCGGCCACTTATTATCAGCACATCGACCGACGACTCGGTCGTAAAAACCGCTGCAGTCTGTGATACCCGGGGTGTTCAGGTCAAGTTCAGTGTTACTTCCGGCCCGGATACCTACCCCCTAGGGCACGTTTCGATTCGTTTTGACCGCGGCGCCGCTCTGCTCACCAAGACTGGTCCGACATCTCTTTTCCTCGTAAGGGCGCGATTGGATGCCGTTATCCAAGACGTGAAGAACGGAGAGGGTCATGCCCTGCGTAAATCAGTCATCTATCAGCTTTTCGAAAGGTACATTGGGTACGGTACCGGATTCCAGGGTATCCAGGAGTGCTTCCTGAGCCCGGACCTAACCGAGGCCGCCTGCAGTATCCGGCTTCCGGCTTGCCCATCAGCCACAGGTGACCGCGACGCTTTCAACATGTACTGGCGAGACTGTGTATTCCATCTTGCCGGGTACATGCTCAACGGCCACCCGGACGGTCCAGCAGGAGAGGCAAATATCGCTGTTGCCGTTCAGGAAATCATATTTGAGGAGGAGCTCAACGATGCAGAGACATATCAGGTGTACACCCACATGCATCCGACGGAAACAGGCTTCATTGGTGATGTATACGTGTTTCTTGGCCAAAAGTTGGTCGCGCTCTGCTCGGACATGGTCTACAAGACGGTCACTCCACGGCGAGGTGTCACCGGTGGCAAAAAGACGACTACCATGGTTTCCGGGAGAGCGCAGATCCCAGCAAGACCAAGGGTTATCTTGCCACCGTCTGAGCCCAAGAAAGATGCCGTTGCTCTTGGAACTGCCGCTGCTGAACCTAAGTCTGCTATCAAAGAAGCGGCTGAGGTTCAGGGAGTGAAATTCAACGATAAGAAGGAAACTCAGGTTAATAGTACAGCTGCGGTTCCGCCGGCCCACCAGCAGCAAGATGTTGCCAACCTGCTTCTGGAGCTCATCGCAAATGAGACTGGTTGGCCAGTCGATGTCCTCGAGGACAGCACTGAACTCGCAGATATGGGTGTAGATTCTTTGATGAACATCGTTCTCGTCTCGAAGATCAGAGCCGAAAAAGGCATTGAGATCTCAGCAACCAAATTTCGTCAGTGCTTCACTGTGGCCGACATCAGAAACCAGTTCGGCAGTAAAACCACAACGAGTAAAGCGGCTGAAGCCAGTCACAAGGACTGTGTCGCTGAGAAAGCCGACGTCGAGACTAGTCCTGCGCCTTTGCCAGACCAGCTAGATGACGACGGTTGGGGAGATGACATGGAAACCCCCTTCAGTAATGATTTATCTCCGGTGGAGATCTTGCGGCCGGATTCGACCGAAACCGACGTGTCGTTGATCAACTTCAAGGTCCCCAAGACCATGAATGCGACGCTGTCGGCAGTAAACGGTGGAGATGGCTTCAACCTGGACGGAAAGTATGTGGTCGAGGACTTTCTGATTCAGGGCGAGGAGAAGGAGGGCGTGCCTTACTTGTTCCTCGTCCCCGATGGCTCCGGTTCGGTTACTTCTTTCTTCCAACTACCGCAGCTCAGCACCAATCTCTGCGTATATGGATTGCACTCCCCATGGGTCAAGAACCCGGAAGACTTCACGTGTACCATCGAGCAAGCAACCGATTTGTACCTAGCCGCCATCCGAGCACGCCAACCGCGTGGACCCTACCTCCTCGGCGGATGGTCGTCGGGGTGCGTGTTCGCGTACGAGTCCGCACGTCTTCTGCTCGAAGCCGGCGAAGAAGTTCTCGGAATCATCATAATTGACATGCACTGCCCGCGTCCCTTGCCCGAATGGATCGACACGACGCGTGGTCTGTGGGAGTACTGGTGCGAAACCACGGGGCTCGACAACGTCTTCGCGCCGCTGCCGGACGGCGCGGACCTGGAAGCGCACCTCATCAGTAACTTCCGTGCCCTTAACAGATACCACCCGAAGCCAATGGCCCCGGGGAAACGCCCCAAGCATGGCACACTTATCATCTGGGCCAAGAAGGGCATGGGGAACGGCTTGAAGAGAGAAGACTACGGTGACTTCCCTGACCCGCTTGGGCTTGGCGAATGGTTTTGCTTTGATCGCACTGATTTTGGTCCCAATGGCTGGGACGAGTTGGTTGGTGACGACGTTGAATGTGTTGCCATTGACGGTCATCATCGGTCCCTCATGGTGCCTCCTGATGTAAGTTTACCTCAACCCTTGTTGGCAGACTTACGTCTTTTTTTGTTCCTCACTGCACAGCATAAGACAAGGTCTAACAATCTCTTACGTAGGCACACCAGCTTGTGGAAGTTATCGATAAAGCTCTTCGGAGGTTCCTTGCATGAGTGCGGTTATTAGCACTTTTTCATAGATGTATTTTACATTAACTACAGTTTAAACATCTGCTTTCTCTCATAGATGTGTTGATCTCAGACTGCTGCAATAGAGTTAGTTGAAGGCAGCGTTGCGCTTGAAAGTTTGAAATGTGATGTTGTCTCATCCAACTTTGTGACATGAGAACGGGAAAACGTCAGTATTGTTGGTCCTTTCCTCATACAGTCTACCGACTGCATGCAACATGCATTCCAATAGTGATCCAGATCGGCCCATCATTCAATGAAAGACATTGAGAGACCGTACACGTCGACAAATAAGCCTTTGACTGGAAATTGATCTAAGAACGGTGGCATTTAGGAGTATCTTTCTCTAAGAAGCACTAGACTAATAGACGTATTCTTAAGCGTGGCTCTAGTATATCAATATCTTGTAACACTAAGAATCTCAAATTGGTTGTAATAAGTAAGCTAGTACCTTGTTACAACTAAACGTAATATAGTAGCTAATAGTACTTATCACATTGAAACAAAAGAATTTTAGCTCTGTTAACATGACGTACTAGGAAAACAGATACAGGACGTAAGGTAGCTATTAATGAGAATAACCTAGTATAGTATGTTGATAATGAAGAAATAATGTCCCTTCATCAAAGCTCCAGATATCTCAAAAAGGAAAGTAGTTCGAGTCCTTAGGTTCTAAAGCCAGGTCTTAGCTTAAGTTATCCCATCGAGCGCCACAACCTCATCCTCACTAAAGGGCGTGATAAAATCATCCGGCCCTTTCATGCAACCAAGGTATTCTTACTGACGGTAGGCATACGCTACAACCTATTCCTTTCGCCTTCTCCCGTAGTACAAGATGTTCAAAGCTATTAATAGTAATTGATATTGTGTTTCCTAATATGTTATTGCTTAATCGTAAGTCTCCGTAAATAATACAACTCATTCCACATGTCTAGTGTTGTAGTGCTGTTACCCACAACCCGTTGCCCCTGTCACGATGCCCATCCCGTATACACTAGAATGCTATCTACAGTTGCCGTAGCAAAGTGACTATCTAGAGCTGGTTATTCACCGGCTGCTGTCAGTCTGTTGCCGCCAAATGTGCGTGTCGCCAAGGCTCATCGAACTATCGGATGCAGCCGACGCGGTATTCGCAGGTGCATTTGGCGTTTCCGTGTCCAGTTCGCTCTCCTCTCCTGAGTCATCAATCGGAGGGGGATCTTGGTAAATCCATGGTTGCTCGAGACTGTAGCTAGTTAGAAAGGTTCAAGTATGTAAATACCCTGAAAACTCACCGTGATACCAGGCTGGGGTTGACAAATTTCATGCCCTTCTCCTTATCTTCGTCGATGGTGCTGCCTCTTCTGAGCAAACCTTGAGATGGTCTAGGCCCCTCAAAGTCTTCGTCGAGAATGGCAGCGTCTTCGGCATCGACCTCGGCTCGAATACTTCGCAGGGAAATGTAGCGCGTCAGAGGCTCAAAGCGCCGCCGGAAATAGAAGCTGTACCATGCTGTGAAGATCATCAGGGGCAAGACTAAGATTGACTGCACAAACGCAGAGTTCAAAGCCAAGATGCTGGACAGAATGATTTCCGAGACAATCAAGCCCAGTATGATACGATATGATATCGTTCTCCACGCTGCTCCAGTAGCATGTTGCGGCTGGTCCATGGCGTATAGCAGCTGGTATTTGTAGGTGAAGTAACCGAAAGTGAAATAGATTATCCCCATTGGCAAGATGAGGGCGCCGAGCGGCAAGGTGCTGTAAATTTGGCACAGCATGAAAACCAGCAGCGCCGTTGGCAGGTAAAAGCCATAGCTGAAGACTGGGGGTTGCATGATCTCGGCAAAATCCCTTGGCGTCTTCGCTCCCATGCGGTAGATAGGGTAAAGAATGACGCTTCCCACTTCCAGTAGTCTGAAGGGAAAGAGACCGAGACCTTGCAGCATGATGAAATTGGCGTAGAACAAACCCAGGTTTTCGATTTGCGATCCAATCAATCTTGCCAGCTTTTGTGTGTCGCCCCACGAATCTTGGATGTCTTTGATAATCTCAAAAACACTGAGTGCAGTGCCAGAGATGGCAAAGACGACAAAGATATTGACAAAGGTGAAGAAAAAGTTCTTGGAGATGATGGACAGCTCCACATCGCCCTTTGAAATCATACCTTGCTGATAAGACAGATAGTCGTATAAATACGGCACAGCCACATTGAGCAACGAAACCAGCACCGTCGTCAAGGATGTTTCGATCAAGCTCTTAATGGTTGGGAAATTCTTGAGAAATTCGACGATAGAAGGGAACCAGTGCTGAAAGTTGCAGACGCTCAAGAGACCTGCAATAGCAGCCAGCACCGCGATCCAAAGTATCGATAGAGTTGAAACGAAAATCGTAACCGTCCACGATCGAAGCCTACGGATACCTCGCGGAGCATAGGTGTTGGACCATATGATGTCAGAAGGCGACGGAGCCGGCTTGGTGAGGAATTGGCCGGGACGGGGGTCAATCCGGGCTTGTATAGCCATCTGACAGGCGGTAATTGAGTCCATAGTGACAAAGGCCTGGTCGGTTGGCGTGTAATCTTTGCTTCGGGCCTCATAAATCTTTTCGTCGAGACGTCGGAGCTTTTCCTCGTAGTAATCGATCGCGTCTGTCTTGCGAGATTGCAGATTGAGGAACCCATACCAAAGTCGGACCTTGGGTCGTTCCCGCTCGACATATTCCGGGTGTAGCTCGCCATGTCCCAGGAGCCGACCATTCTCGCCAGCTTCCTCATCAACTTCATCCTCACGAGGCTCCAGAACAGAAGGTTCGGCCTCTGGGTCTCGCAAACGCTGTATGGATTTGGGCAAGGCAGCTTGCTTCCCGAGGAAAACACTCCAACTTTCTTCCAGTTTTGCTAGAATCTGGGCTCGTTGTTCCATCAAAGTGTCAATGTCTTTCCAATCGCGAACCAGGTTGACACTCTCAACGCGTCCTATGCCGAGTTTCTCGATCAAATGCTTGATTTTATCCTCGGAGCGCATCTTTTGAGGGATGCCTGACAGACGGAATGTCCTGTCGGTAATTGTTGACTGAGTACCCAAGTATTCTTGGCGTATATGGATCACTCTGAATGTCTCCTTGTTCAAGGTGTAGAGCGTGAGGCCTGAAAAAACGTAGACGAAGACGAGATATGCCCAGAGATGGCTTTTGTTGTAGTCAAAACTGTCATCTCCATCTTTAAAAATATGTGCGTCTTTGTACGGATAGTCGTAGGAGCTCTCAGCGCCAGTGATCGATGAGCCTTTGCCACCATTGGGATCGTCTGTCTTGAAACGTCTATTTATGGGCAGTAGTACAACGATGGCAAAGACAGCCATGATGACAAGGATGCGGATGGCCATTTTGAAGAACGACAGGAACTATAGTAGTCAGTATCATGAGTTACGACCCATCGAACACTATACTACTTACAACAAAGGCGTCGAGTCCCGCAGATGCAAGAACCTGTTCCTCCGTTACGCGGTACAAGCCCGGAATCCACCCAAAGAAAGTGTTGGGCAATGCTGGCAAGCCAATTTTGGGATCTAATCGACGCTTCCGCGCCGCGTAGAGAGTCGGCCATCGCGGTCGAAGAATGCAGAATGCGACAAAGGCCGAGCCGCCGAGTATTAAGGACAGGGCCAACTGGACGACCGCAGCGCGAGTGTTTGGTCGGAGCGCATCTCTGTTATTGCCGCACTTCTCCTCTGAATCCAATATCAGCGCGTCCATTTCGCGCGCAGCATAGTTTCGAGCTTCCGTAGATATGGTTCGGTGAGGACGTATCTGTTATGTCGCCAAGGGATTGCCTGTCGTATTTGGTGATGCAACTGGCGGGATCTTGGAGGTGAAGTGGGTTGAAACCGAAGCTGGAGCTCCAGGCGCAGACGGCAGGTCTCCACTTCATCTGAACCTGTGACGTGATCATGCAGCCGGAATATGAGGAATTGATTACATAACAAGAGGTCATCAGCCGCACCGCCACAGACACGTGAAGGGGAACATGCGCCAATCTTCTCTCTAGCTGTGGCTTGTATTTAGCCAGTTCAATCAGTACAGTAATGTCGACTTTGTTTCCTATTTGAAAGACTCGGAGATTTCAAGACGCTTAAAAACTGAAAAGAAAAATTAAGGAAATTTTTTTTATCTTTTTCTTAATTCGTGATGACATGTAGCATCCATGGGTCCAAGTCGGAATGCCACAAAGCTGTGCCGATATCCCAACATACGCAAAAAGCAACCTCTGAAGAAGGTTTGGCGAAAATACCACCAACACTGTCCCTCTAAGTCGACACAACCACAAAAGGGTGGACATGGTTGATTGACATGCGCCATGAATGTCAAAGCCGGGGAAAATGTCCACTTGTTAATGTGATGCGGGGATTGTAGAGCCGGTTTTACGATGCCTTGAGTTAGGTCCGCTAGAACGAATGCAGCTTCAGCTCGGCAGACTTTGAAGAATGTCACAACGGTCAACAGAGGCGCGTTGGCAAAGTAACAAGAATCTGGCTGCCCAGACTTACACCATACCAGATTCATTGGAGCCGTCAGCTACATAACGGGTATGTCCAAGAGGACGGACATGTGAACGAGACAAGCACAGCCTCCCGACAGCCATCTGACTGCTGACTAGCTAGTTGCATTTCAGCGGTCGGGCCTCCAAGCTACAGCTAAGGTGGAGGTAATGGCTACCGATACCGAAAAGCCTCACCGTGAGACAGCACAGCCTCAGGGAGGGGCCGTTGATGGGATGGGTATCAGAGTATCATATTCTTGCCTCAAACCAATTGAAGATCAAATAGGGCACTTGGACGAGAAAAGTTGGGATAAGCATCGGCCCAAAAGTTTGGAGGTTTCAAGCTCCGAGGCCCCAGAGCCATTCAGAAGGCGACGCACTGTCACGTAATGTTTTCGTCCTGCGTAAATGAACTTGCATCTCAGCATCGACGGGTTTTCGTCTGTTCATGGGAGGTTGGCTCGATTCATGCAGATTATGGAGATGCGTGGTGGTGAAAACAAAGAATAGTGGCTTCATCGTCGCCAGCCACTTGGCGTCTCTTGGCCTTCATTCTGCAGCCGTTTGCGGGTCTGAGTTCAGGGTGGCACTAAGCCCAGGGAAAATAACAACTTGCAACTATCGCAAAATGAATCGAGATCTCGCTGCAGCAAATTCCTAACCGAGTAGCTAATAAGGTCTGCCAGAGAATGAAATCTAAACATGGGACTAATTGCGTTTACCGTAGGCAGCAAACCGAATAAAACGTCGTCCTGATGATGAGACTGAGCCGAAACAATATTGCAATCCGCTAGAGGGTCAGATGCGGCCCGAGGCGGGTGCTCAGTTGAATCTAAGTACGGTACAAGGCTCAAATCAAACAAGGGCGACGGTCATCATCTTGGCAGCCAGCCTGTGCTTTCATGCATCAATTTACTAAAGAACGGAGGAAGGGAAAAAAAAGTATAGGGAAAAAAAAAACGAAGAGGGTAGGGAGAGGTTCGATGCATTCATTGGCTCAAATTCCGGCAAGATCGATCTGGCCCAACACGTCCCTGGCGCTTTTAAGACTTGGGCAGAGTTTATCAAGAAAGAGTGCAGCTCCAAGCCGCCTTCGTCTTTGTTTTGGACGGGTCTAGATCGGGCCGCCTGGGCTACTGCTGACTTCGGAACATTCCACTACTAGTAGCAATTTCAAAAAAGGGAAGTAGCGATTAACTCTTGGAGTAGGGCTCTCGTCTATTTTCAGTGTTTTATCACCCCCCGGATCCTCCCTGCCTTCCCACCGCTTTCCAGCGCACCTTCCTTCCCGCCCGTCCCTTCCCTGCCCTTTTTTTTTTTACCGGTGCCCTGGGTTGGGACCTGCCACCCCGGATTTATTTGGACCTGCCTGGACCTTTCACCTCCATTCTCATCCACTGCACCTTCTGTTCTGCGACGCTACGGCTTTTGTCGGCCCACATCTCGGCGACGTCTGCCCCTCCAGAACAAGACCAAAAAAAAAAATTAAAAAAAATCTCTCCGGCCGTCCAATTGACCACAAAAATTTCGGCATTTCAAATCTGCTCCATTTCCACCCCTCGTTGCCCCTCACCTCCGCTGATCCGCTCGACGACAACTTTATCTCGATATTCATTGAGTCGCAGCGAGGCGTCAAGATAAATCAAAATGGCCGAAGTTCAACTGACCTTTGGAAGAACCGACGACTTTGTCGTTGTTTCCAAGCCAAAGAAGGGTATCGCTTTTGTCGAGGCCCGCTTCAACGATGGCGTACGTCCTCCTCTCCGTAAGACTCGAGCTTTCGGACTCTTTCCCCACCTCGTGATAAATCTCGCTCATATTTCAATTAGTATACACACACCGACAAGGGATGCCAGCAAATTCTGGCTTTACTTCAGAGAGAGTTGAGCCCCGACAAGCTCAATGACGACACCATCATCTCCCTTGAGACCGATCTTCTGAAAGATACTCTCCGTATGTTTGGAAACAAATCTACTTTGTATACTATTCTGACTAGCAACTAGTCTACAAGGACGTCCCCCGGGATATGTTCCACTCCTTGCGCGTTGTCGAGTTCCAAGGGCTTGACCCGTCTACACGCTATGTCTCGGCGCGAGATGTTGCTATCAAGATCAACTTCTACGGTCTCAGCAACGACTCTACAATGCTGTCCGATTACGACATGGTCACTGTCCTTCCAAGCTCAAAGCTCGACGGTCTCTGGGAACTGTACGAAAACCTCTCCGATATGCATAATTATTACTGACAATATTTCGCTTTCTAGCTGCTGATCCAAGCATTCTGGAAGTAGGTCTTGGATAAGACTATTGAATCTTCGCTTTCGCAATGGGTTATGAGCTCATGTAGGTCTTGCTTTCGTTCTGATTCTGTGATAAGATTGTCTGACTCTCGCAGAGCTCATGACGTATCATATCGCTCGCAACTCGTCTCCAAACGATGTTGGCCTCAACACCTTGAGCGCCATATTTTGTCTCTGATGATTCGCACCTCCAAAATTAATCAAATTATCGGAGGAAGCTTATTTCATGCATTACGAAACAGCAGACGCGAGTGTCACTTGCGACGACATATTTCGGAAGCCACACCGCCAACATGGCTGCAGTGGAAGATGAAGACACTTCTGTCACAGGTTATTAGCCGACCTAGGCATTAGCAGGACGACAAACTTGTTCGCTCTTGGGTCAGATAATCAACCAGGCTCTGACGAGCCACCCTTTCCATCCAAGGTTCGACATCGCGGAAGCTGCGTTCATCACCTTGTACTGCCTCGAGTATCGTGCCTTCCAAAGCCTGAAAGGTTTCGACGATCAAACTCGGTCATTCATTCGAGCATGTCGACGGCTGTTACGCCCAGTTGCCCTGGATGAGGATTCCCAGGTTTGCACGGGTATCCTCCTCGAAGTCGATGCGATGTAAGATGAATTTCAGAAAGGAAGTGCCAGAAGGGCTACCCCTTTTGACTACTAGTCGAAATAACCTACGAATCAAAACGCCGCAATTACGGGCCACTGGATGTAGACCAAGTCAGAGGAGTTACTACAGGCTTTTTATAAGCTTGCGTTATGGGCTATGCCTGCACAGAGAACCCCTACTCAAGTGCAAAACATCAACAAGCTCGCACCTTGTTACATGTTTTTTGTGCTCAGCCACTAAAAGAGGCAGTTTAGCTCAATGGGCTGCTAGTATCACTGCGTTCCTCATCCCCTCAGTGTTCCAACCTACTATACTTTGGGCTTATCAACAACAGTGGCGCCAATGTCAGCTTCCTACAACGCCTCTTTTCAAGCTACACATATTCTAGGAACGCTGTTGGAGAAGACAGGCGTTGGGCATGAAACAGAGTGTTGCTGGTACCTTTCTGGTAGCTACTTTTTGTAGGGAGGAATACTGACGCGCCGGCGGCCAGACCAGGCAACAAGTTGTAGTTGTAGTTACCCTAAAACTTAATAAAATTATACCCTTAATATTCTTGTCAAATGAAACCTATAATCATGTATCGTCAGCATTTTGTTATCCTATATTAACTTCAGAATCTGCCTAAGCCCGTCATGATTGAAAGACCTAGGACAAACCCCCACGCTGGTGAAAATGTTGCAATATCCTGGTAAGAGGAAATGCTTGATTTCAACTCAATAATCTGACGTTGCGTTGGCACTACTTCATGTCACTAGAGCGGGCATATCACAGGGTCCACAAGATCCAAACGCCAATGAGCTATTTCGCCAGCACTGACGAGGCTATGTTATGGCGTGCTTCAATCTGTGTATTCATAGGCTTTATCAAACCGATTGAGGACTTATTCTTTACTATTATATTGCAAGTAGTTCGATGTTCTCTTGGGCTTTTCTTCTCTGGGGAGTAATTCGTTTAGGTTCGGCGAGATGGTTTTGGGATAGGTTGAAGTAGATATCTTGACATGTGTTCCTGAGTTTCTTTTTCTAAAAACACTCTGGCTTAACCCAGGAAGAATTTCCACTTATGCATCTCTTGCTTCGCTTAGGCACTAGGCTAGCTTTCCTTTTTTACACACATAGCTACAGAAAAACAATGTTATAAGAAACGCTTATTATTACTTGTAAACTGGGTATCTAATCACAACGCCTTTAAACCGACTGAGACATCACAGGCCTAGCCTGCTCCTCAACAACCTCCCGGAAGATCTGGTTCTTCTTGGCAACATCGGCAACACCGCTGCGATCTCCGAAAACCTCGTCCATCTGTTCGAGCGTCTTTCCGTTCGTCTCGGGAACACAGAACCAGGTCCAGACAAGTGACAACAGACAGAAAACGGCGAAGAAGACGTAGGCGCCGAAACCCGTTCCCTGGATAAGAGGCGGGGTGATGAGACCGATGATGAAGTTGTTAATCCAGTCTATCGCATGTTAGTTTCGTCACAACTTCATTGTAGAAAATCCACAGGTCAACTTACTGGAGCAGGTGGAAATTGCAACACCCTTGGCACGAAGCGAAGAGGGGAAGACTTCCGAAGGCATGGCCCAGGGCACGGGACCCCACGTCGCGCCAAAAGTCAACATGAAAATCAAGAGGAACGCAACGCTGACCCATCCCTGCGTGGTGTAGCTCGGCCAGTCGTGCGAGTAGACGCCGACGAGCGCGGCGATGACCGTGTGCGAGATGAACATGCCAAAACTTCCGACAAGCAGGATCCAGCGGCGGCCGAAGCGGTCCATCGTCCACAAGCTCGGCACGACACCAATGAGCTGCACGCAGTTGAGGACACCGGACATGATGAGCTGCATGTTGCGGTCCAGGCCCATCGTCTCGAACAACGTCGGGGAGTAGTAGATGAGGGCGTTGATGCCGACGAACTGCTGGAAAAACATGAGTCCCGCACCGACGTGCGTGCGTTTCCAGCAGCCGGGCTTGAAGCAGTCGGTCCACGACACCACCTCGAGCTTGAGGCTGTTGGAGAGGCTTCCGCCTCCGACGAGTGTGGGGTGGCGTTCGGCGAGCACTGCGGCCTGGAAACGGGCCTCGGCGATGATTTCCATCCACTCACGGCGGACTCGGGGGTCGGTGTCGGGAAGCGTGCGCAGCTTCGCAAGGTTGTGGAGGGCTTCGTCCTCGCGGCCCTTGGACGCCAACCAACGCGGGGAGTACGGCAGGAAGACGGCGCCGAAGCCCAGGAGAAGGCCAGGCAGAATTTGGATGAGAAAGGGGAGCTGCCAGGACCAGTGGTTCGGGATCCCCTTGGTGCCGTAGGTGATCCAGAAGCTGATGACGATACCAACAACGATGGAAAGCTGTTCGAAGACGAGGAGAGAGCCGCGGATTTCGGGGGGCGAGATTTCGGAAATGTAAAGTGGGACGACCATGGAGAGCCTTATGTATCGTTTAGTTTCGGACTAGTAGACGTGGGAGGATGATAGACTTACATGCCGATTCCCAAACCACCGATGAAGCGACCGCCCACAAGCATGTCGTAGTTGAGCGCGGATGTCTGGAGAGCGGAACCGATGGTGAAGATGACGACGGCAACCATGATGGAGCGCTTGCGAGAGATCCAGTCCGCGATCCAACCTTGATTTAGCGCGCCAATGAACGCACCCAGGGTGATCATGGCAGTCATGAGGCCCTTCTTGAAGCCAGAGCCAGCGGCGTGGTCAGAGACTTCGGGGAAGCGCTCGAGGAATTGGTCCATGACGAGAGTGACGGAGATGACACCTTGATCATAACCAAACAGCAGACCGCCGATGGCCGAGAAGGCGGCGCAGAGGGCTACATAGTGAGAGGAGAAGATGCCGCGAAATCCTATGCTGGAGGTGAGTGTTTGGTCGAGGAGTGCCGGTAAGAAGGGAATGTACCTGAAGGTCCATAGGGGTCGAGAGCATCGTCGGAGAGGACAGTCTCTTGCTGTTCGGCCGAAACGCCGTAGTTGGTTGACGTTTTCTCCATGTCGGAGTCTGATGGTGATCGTTGGCCCATTGTGCAAATTCTGTTTCTGATCTACGGAAATGTCTGGTTAACTCAAGATGTTCCACACGGCGGTAAAGTCGAATGTATATTCGCAGGCAGGGGGATTTCAGATGAGACTCACTTGGACAGACTTGATTTTTGAAGACTCAATGCCAACTGAATGGTGAGGGCTTCAATGCAACCTATTCGATAAAAGGAGGCTCAGCCCAGTGTGAGTGACGGGAACCGTGGACTAGATATCGAAGTAGAAGAGATGAGGAAGGAGGAGCTTTGGCCGCACTCGACTGACTCAAAAAAAAAGACGATCTTGTTTTTAAATAAAGGCACGCAACGGAAGTCTTTATAGACTTTTTCAACTTCAGACCACCTTACCTCACCTCCCTCCCTCCCCCTTGGGGCCCCAGGCCAATCCTGTGCTGTCCCGAAGACTCCCGCCCAAATTCACGGCATCGAAGGGGGTGGTATTTTGACCCACAATGCTTGGAAAGCCGTAGATGCTCTACACTCTTGTTGACACTACGTATGGGATAGCCGCAACGACCAATGACCCGGCGCTAATTTGCAAGGAACCCCAACCGCCAAATCGTGGGGGAACGAAAAAGAGGATTTCTGGGGAATGGGGGGGGGGGGGGGGGGGGGGGGGGGGGGTATCCGTGCCATCATGCGGCGTAGTGTATTAGCGGGCGCCGTCTCAATACGTCGTAAAGTCTTCCCATGTCACGGTGCCACAAAAGTCGGCCCGCCTTTGGACTATCCCACTCGGCCATCAGTCCGGGCGAGAATAGGGCCGGGGTTAAGCCCGCGGCAATTCCAGAACTTGGCAGCTGAGACTAAGGCGGCTGTATGTATGTACGTAGTAGTGGTGTAGTGTAGCTTGTGGGTTAACGTTTAGCATGTCGCGAGGAACATGTTCGAGGACAACCAAGGCCGATGAGTGTACTTGGCGGACGATCCTTGCGGCCGGCCCCCCCTGTTCACTCATCCAAAAATTTGATCCGATTAATCGAGCGCCCCCGGGTGGGACTACAGAACGGCATGGAAGACGGAACGCCTTAAATGATGTGATTCCTATCCTCTGTCTCCTTCTATTCTTCTCACCGGTATGAGAAGTCTTTCCATGCACCGCTGGGGGTGGTTATTAGAAGATTCTCGCAATGGGTTTCTCGTGGGGACAGAAGAGTTGGTGGGGTTTTTGACACCTTCGAGGAGGCTCGAAAAAGCTCCGGAATTGGACCGTCAAACTCCCCCCACTAATCAACATGGGGGTGAGTAGTTAGTCCAGGATATGGTTGGCCGCTAAAGCTTGCGTTAACGCGAGTCAGGGGGAGGGCCGCTATTGACGGGCTGCAACATGCATTAACGGCTTCGTCATATGTCACCGTTGTAGGAGGAAGATGCCGGGACGGGTGGGTGTGGTAATTCGAGCCGGTACTAAAACTGTAAGAGCTACACCGCATTCTGGTGGTGAGTTAGGAACTTTCTTCCACTTGAGTCTGTGGGAGTAACTCACTCCGATGCATCCATTTCCAATTATCACGAACCGGGAAGTCTTTTAATTCCCCAAAATTCCTTTACCTACCACAATCGTCCTTTTTTCACGAAAAAAGAAAAGACGACTGAGGGCACCGACTGACGGGCTAAAGTGCCAAAAAAAAAATCATGTCGACAACATGTCTGGTACGTTTTCCCCATGTTTTTCATCTCTTTACCCCAGGTCGCCACCCTCCCCGAGATTATGTTACCCCAGATTTCGTTTAAGCAGCCATCATCTGGAGATATGAAGCGTAATCGTCTGGAGAATGGTTGCTGACTGATCCGGGGTTGATTTCTGCGGACGTGGAAGAAGGGGGTTTGAATGCGGGATGAACATATCTTTTCGGAAATTCAGACCTCATTCAGCGATACCCACACTTCCCCCACGCCGCAGAGCCCCAACATTGATCAAACAGACTTGCAAAAGACTGCATCTCAAATGCGCGTGGGCCTCAGATGACGCCGCTCCCGCTGGCTTGCTGACCTCTCGGGCCGACCACTCATGTATTCGATGCAAAGCAACTGGCAAGAATTGCATCCCGGCCCCCGCTATTCGGTTCAAGCATTCTACCGAGTAAGATCCGCTCGCCGGCTGGCACCTCCGTGACCGACGTGCGACTTTCCCAATGTAGCGTTTGGGAGATGAGGCATAGTCGAGACCCATTTCGCGTTATCGTCAAGTCGCTGTGACGAGGACTGGGCAATGCGTTATTTGCGGGAACCATTTGCTGATCTTTTTTTCTTTGTTTATCGTCAGGGCGCCCAGGGCTTCCGATTGTACGTGGGTTCGTTACCCGCGGCGTTGTAAGTGCCCGCAACTTTCCGTATGGTTGACTCATGCCACACGTATGTTGAAAATTTCGGGGACGATCTGCTTCATTTCGCACATCCCGTGTTGTAATTTGTAGAATATTGACCAATTCTTTTGATAGTCCACTTTGTCGATGAGACACAGGAACTAGAAGCGTTGTATTGGACCGATGATGGAAGCCCGCCTTATGCGAGATATTCCAATCAACCATCCCCAGAACTGCACGCTCATAGACCAGACCCTGCTGCGGACTCTGAGAACCATCCAGCACATCAACCTATACAAGAGCCACGACGAGCCTTGACAATAAGCCCTCACAGCCGTCCAATCTCAACTCCAGCAACAAGCTGGAAAGAAGTACCGACACCAATATCTCTGGCTCCAACTTACATTCCAATACCGCCGGGCTCAGTACTCGGCTTAGCCAATTATGGACATCACGGGGATGCCGTCTTTCCATTTACCCAGCCTCACGAGGTGCGGTTGATGAAATACTACTTGGAATACATGTGTACTTGGGTCAGTCCTCTCGAGTGTCAAATCTTGTGTGCTTGTAATAACATGTGCAACCCGTAGTTTGATCTTTGTGATGCCCGCCGCCATTTCGCCATCGTCGTCCCCCAAAGGGCAATAACCTGCCCGACCCTACTCAACGCAATATTCGCACTCTCATCGCGCCATCTCAGCTTAAACGGCCAATACGATCCGTATGCCTCGGACCGCTACCACCAAGAATGCCTCAAACATCTGACCACAATCTCCAATGACTCCTCCGCCCTGACGAATGACGACCTCCTCGCTGCTACGATTCTCCTCCGCACACTGGAAGAACTTGACGTGCCCATTTTAGGCACTGACCACGAAGGCCACCTCCTGGGTATCCAGCTCTTCATGAACAACCAGAACACTGCCTCAACACCGCCGAGCCCCTTGAGACAGGCTTCGTTCTGGGTGGGCTTGAGACAGGAGATCACGATGGCGTTCGCTACGCAGAGGCCGATCAAGGTGAAGCTGGACCTCTTGTTCATCGACCGTTCATTCTCGCCTTCGGACGATGATTGTTGGGCGAACAGGATTGTGGTACACTGCGCCGAAGTGGTGCAGTTTTGCTTCGGAGAGGTTGAGAATCGCAGCAGGGAGTACCAGAGACTAGTTGAGTATGACCGCAACTGGCTGAGAGCAAGGCCGGTGTCCTGGCTGCCTATTGCGTACAGCGAGCCGGATCCTTCAGCGAATGAGGTGTTTCCCCAAATACTTTACATCAACCATGCCGTCGGTAAGCTATTAAACTATCTAGAAAGTCGAGTCTCACTCGATTGACACGTATTAGTGATAGGCAATGTACACGGAGCTCTTGCGCGGGCACTACTAATGTGTCACGACGAGAGCATCCCGCGGATAGGCCCTGCTCGAAAGCTAGCCAGGCAAAAGCTAGACGTAAGTTACGCGCAAATCACACAACCCAACACGACCCTAACCAAGACGACAGAACGATATCAGGATGCAAATCAGGGAGTTATGCGGCACGGCTCTGTCAAACAGGGACACTATCCCAGCCATGTTCACAGCTAGCATGGGCGTGACCGCCTGCGGAGACAGATTCACAGACCGCGCGGAGCAAAAGGCTCTGTTGGACATCTTGGTGAAGACGGACGTAGAACACATGTGGCCGACGGGCTCTGCGCTGTCCCATCTGAAGAGGGCATGGGGTTGGGGAGACGACTGCTGAGATTCGACAACTCCACCTAGCTTCTTACAGAGCAATACCACGTACCCGTATTCCGCGTGATTTATTGTTGTTTCATTATCGCCAAGTCTAGACCAGTGACGAACTTGTAAAATAGACTGAGTAATAGCCAAAAACCCCGTTGACGAATAATTTCGCAGACAATATAATGACACATGACGAGCAAATACGATTCGACAACGTCGGTGAGACTAACCCCAACTTCCCCAAACTGCCGAACCCCAGAAACATCCCCAGACCACATCCCACATCCTACATCCCACATCACCAGATGGGGCGAGAGGGGAAAGTTCCAGTTGAGCGGATCTAACCCCGTGCGGAGAAAGGGATCAAGATAGATTAGGCCAGATGCAGTGCCGGCCACAAAGTAAGTATCCTGTGACATGTACACGTTAATCTAAGAAAGAGCTTGAGCTTGTTTTAGGGCCAGTTGGATGGATGTTGGGGTAAAACCGTCGTCATCCATGGATAAAGAAAAAAAAACGTCGGACAAAATTACTCTGTCTTCCCATCTTGGACCGGGGCAACTTACCCCGTTAACACCATCAACCAATCCACGAATTCGCTTTGCACATCTTCCAAACCCCCACCTACCTCTTCCACCGTAAACGGAAACTAGGCCAAGAAGAAAGGGTCTTAGACAGGCTCATACCAAGTTTCACCATCATTCATTTTGAGCCTCTCCAACTCCACGCCTCCAAATGCCCCCTTCCAAGTTCCCTCCGCGACCGCGAAACCGTGTATGTGATTTTTTTTTTTTTTGCGGGTTCCTGAATAATGCGCTTCTGATTACCATAGGTCAATCCAAGACCACGAGGATGGGAAAAAAGCGCAGCTCTTCGCTGGCGTCAGTGGCGGCGCCCCACGAATAGACCACTTACATCGGGAATCGGATTCCGACGGGAAACCGACCCCCGGGGGGGAAACCAAAGGACGGTGAGACTTGCATAATTAAAAAAAAAAAAATAGTAATCGAAACGGTATATAAACCGCCGGCACGCTTTCCTCTGTTCGTCACTGCGATTTCGTCGAGTTCTGCAGTTTTACTGGGAGTCATTACAGTCGTTTCCCATCTTTCCCATTCCTCGTCGTGATACCCTTCTGTCTTGTCTGTCCGGCTCAGATTCTGACGTCGTGTTCCTGAGAATAAAACAATTCAAGACGCACATCTCATCTAGTTTCCCAAACCTTTCAGAACCAGTTCAAAAATGTCAACACGGAAGCTCCAAGTAGGCGTCGCCGGCCTCGGACGCATGGGTAAGCGTCACGCCCTCAACTTCCACCAAAACGTCCCCCGCGCAACCCTCGCCGCCGTCTCCTCCCCAGACGAAGCAGAGCGCCAATGGGCCGCCGAGAACCTCGCGCCGCACGGCGTCGCGGTTTACGAGTCGTACGACGACATGGTCGCGCACAAGGGCCTTGAGGCGGTCTGCGTCGCGTCTGCCACGGCGGTACACGCCGAGCAGGCCATCAAGGCCATTGAGGCGGGGAAGCATGTGCTTTGCGAGAAGCCTCTCGGCACAACAGTTGAAGTTGTAAGTAATCGATCGAGCAATACGGCAAATCCATCTCTCATGGGTCGCATGAAAAAAAGTTTGTAATGGCTAATGAAAGAATCTCAGTCTCAAACAGTAGTCGATGCGGCCGCGCAACGTCCCGATCTCAAGGTCATGTGCGGCTTCTCTCGCCGCTTCGACGCTTCCTACCGCGACGCCTACAACAAGATGCAACAAGGCCTCATCGGTCGGCCCGCCGTCCTTCGGAGCCAGACATGCGACGTGCTCGACCCGACGGGGTTCTTCGTTGCGTACGCGCAGTTCTCAGGCGGCATCTTTGTAGACTGCAGCATTCACGACATCGACCTCGCACTATGGTTCTTCGATGAAGAAAAGTCAAAGGTGAAGTCGGTACACGCGATCGGTATCACCGCCGTGGAACCTGATCTGCGCAAGCACAACGACCGCGACAACGCCGTGGGCACCGTTGAGTTTTACGACGGACGCATCGCGTACCTGTATGCCTCGCGCATGATGGCTGCTGGCCAGGAGGATTCGACCGAGATTATCGGCACCAAGGGCAAGCTGACAGTGAACATCCTGCCGGCGGAGAACCACGTGCGGATTTACCAGCCCGGAGGCATCAGACAGGAGCTGCCCCAGAACTACTGGGGTCGGTTCAAGGCGGCTTTTACAACTGAGGCTATTGAGTTCACCGAAAGCGTGTTGGAGGATAAGCCGGTCCCAGTCAAGCTGACTTCCGCCGTTGCGGCCGTCAAGATTGGTGCGGCACTGCAGGAGTCCATGATTAGCAGCAAGAAGATTTGGTTCGACGAGAGTGGCAACCGAACAGATAGAGCTCAGTTGTAGTTGGAAATACCAATATGAGTTATGACAACGGATGCAGGTACCATTTCTGGAACTGACCAAAAGTGGCCTATTTTTACTTGCTCATGTCCATCTTGTCTCATTCTGCCTATTCTGCTAGTCCATCTTTGTGTTTGGAGCAGTGGTCGAATTACAGACAGGATTGCTAACGTTAGATAGTCTCATCAGCTGAGTCGATCTCAGAACTTGTCTACTACCTCCCCTGCAGCATCAGACCCAGAACATCCAACTCCATATGCCCTATGTACCTCCTGGTGCATTAGTCTTACCAAACGGACAAATTATGTGTGAGTCGTGCTCATTATCTCCATAATTTCTTGAAAACAACACGTTGAAATCTCAGCAGTGTTTCCCTTGTTTCGTACATTATCACCTCGCTGGTTTGGTGCGTCTAGACATAGCCGAAATCACCGAAACTGCTGCAGACGGCCTATCGGTAGAACGACTGATTTGACATTCGTATGACATCTGTATTTAAGAAGTCTTACACTCAATAGTAAGTGCGTTTGAATTGTCGGCGCTGGGAAGCTTCTGAGCATTCTGCAGACTAGGTCAGCAACCAGGATGCATATCAAACATCCGCACAGATTACGGGAACGATTGAAAAGGTATATGCGCACCACCAAAACTCAAGTGATCTAGAAGACTCATTGTGTTTCTTGACTATCAGTCGGTCTTTTTTGACTTCACTGTCGGTCTTCGAGCCGACCACAACCGCATCCATGCGGGGTGATGAATCATGCTCTAGCTGTGACTGATCGTCGGGCATGGTACGGGGTTGAGCATGGTTCAATGCGTTGTCGACCTTTGAGCCCAGTTCTAACTCGTTGATGGTGTTCGTCACAACGCAATCATCCTTCTTTGGGGGAGAGCACTGGAACTCGAAAGTGTCAACCAGCACTGTGGCTGGCTGCTCAAGTCTGGTACCGTAGAATTCATAGGCTGGCGAGCAACCTTCACGACCAAAAGCGGCTGAACTGACCTCGCTTTCGCATTCTATGTCGATAAGGGTTCCTGACTGATAGCATTTGGTCTGGTCTGTTTTCTTAAAAGCTAGACCGCCGTCTTCCGTGGATGGATTGACCGAGGCTTCTATCCTCTGCTTATTGGGAGAATGTTTGCGAGAAGCACAGCTGTCTTCTTCGAAGTGAAAGTTGAAAGCCTTCGAATCTTCATTAGGCAGTCGGCATTAGCAAACTTCTGGAATGGGAAGCCCAGTCCGGTGCACCACAACACCTGACAGCTGTATAAACCAGTTGAGAGAACGGCGAGCTTACCTAGCGCTTGTCTGAAGTAAGAGGTGGCGAAAGTAGTCGACTGGGCATCGGCCTTTTTGAACAGCGGCGAAAAGAAGGGAGGCTCATTACTTCGAGGACAGCCCTTGTCGACACCCATGGAAGTCTTGGGTGTTTCTGGTAGTAGCAAATCAATTTCTGATTGTACTTTCGTGAAATCAACTTTGAGCTTTTTTATTTCTTCAACAGCGGCTCCCAAAGTTTGGAAGCAGAACGGGTGATGCTCTTTCAAAAGCTTGCTGAATTGTTGCTGTCGCAATAGCATGTCGAGATGAGGAGCAAAGGCCTTTTGCAATTCTTGGTTGATTGTCTTCCAAGACTCGCTCTCTTCGCGGATAATGATTTCAGTCGCAGTAAAAACATCATCCAAAAGGTCCATCCGAGTTGCGAGAATGGTTCCCATCCGGTTGCCGACACAAGACGCCACCATATTCCCTAATGTTGGAATATCGAGTGATGCCGAAACATCGTAAATTGCCAGAAGTTCGAGAACATCGGTTTTGACAAACGGGACCTTGTCTGTAATGTATTAATATAGTTCGAAAGCATCAAGCCGCTGTCGTGGGAAATGGTACCTCCGACATAGAGAAAATGGAGCGTGGTCTCCAGAGCCGGCACTGTGTAGGAGTGCTCCTTCAACGTGATCTTTTTGAAGCCATTCTCCTGTATTTCAGGCACTTTAGCCCGGATTCCGAAGATTTTGCCAAGGAAGTCAAGGGGAACGACGCACTTTCTTCGCCTGGCTCATCATCAAGTCGACTTGGCCACTTTGTCCGGCAATGACGTCCTCGTGGAGCTCCCACTTTGCAACACCCATGCCCAGATGGACATCAGCGCCAACTTTTGTCTCCCATAGGCTGGAAAAGGGTCAGTGAACAATTTAAAAGTGCAGGCCAAGAATTTCGTACGAGGCATTGTCGAATTTTTGCATTTTGTGGTAACCGCAAGAATAATTTGTGTCGGTGATCTGAGAGTTTTTGGTGGATTGGGAGGCGTTGTCGGCCAAAGCAGTGGGTGAGTCCGGGAGTTGTAAGATGAAGAAAATAACTGGGGGAAAGATAATGGCAGGTGGGTATGTGGAGGTCGGAAGGTGAAGAGGTGAAGAGGTAAAGAGGTGTGAGAGCAGGCGCCTGTCAGACAGAAGGAAGGCGCGAGTCGGACTTTTTCTTCCGTGGCAGCTGTTGTGGAAGTAGCTTTGGACATGGAAACTGCCAACCCGTATCAAGTGAAAGTTTCAACCAGCAGTGTCTTGATCTTGATAGTCAAGGATAATATCTACCCGGTTTGACTTGCATCTTAGACCCTTAAGCTCTCGAATCGGTTGTTGTAAATGTAGTATTCACTAGCTTTAATTTCTTCTCTTAGCCACTACAATCTCTTGACCATGTTTCTGAAATATAACAAACAACTCTAGCCGCCATAGCTCACTCCATCAGCCTCCTAGAGAGAGTGTCTCCACATCCATAGCATCAAAAACATCATCGTCTTCATATGTAGCATTATCTTCAATTTCAGAGTTGCCAGTACCGGTCTCTGTGACATGATTCTCTCCATCATGAAGTGCTGACATGCGCTCGATGAATTCAGCTTGAAGACGCTTCAAGTAGCTCAGTAGCGTCTCATCATCCATATCAGATTGGTGTGCTTGCTTCAGTTGCGCATGTAAGTTGAGGATCAGCTTGCGTTCACTGATGATCTTTCTTGCTTTCGAGCTCTGCTGGTTTCTCAACCGTTTTTCTCGGATGGAAAGAGAAACATGCTCTGCTACCTCTAGAAATCTTTGTGGGAACCCCATAGCCTTTGCAAGGGTGATACCGTACAGGATCTGGTCCACTTTGCCAGACTCAACCTTGTATGTCATGGTCAATTTTGGATTTCCATTTTCCGTGGTTGACATATCGCTTGCGAGATGCAGATTCAGCACTCCCGGACGGTCATTGAGAACGTCGGCTGTGGCATGTTAGCTGTTCCTCACTGAAACTTCTGGAATACATTCTCGTACCTAGTTCCGCAAAATGTGTGGTGAACCAAACCAACGCTCGACTTTGGACTAGGGCTTCTGCCATAGCTATTGCAATGCCGAGTCCATCTTGGGTGCTGGTGCTTCGACCAAGCTCGTCAATAATGACCATACTCTTATTGTTGACATTGCTGCAAAGACTCAGCCCAAGAACTATTCCTATCGGAGTGTACCAACCGTAGAATGAAAGCCATCTCCCGCATTTCCAGAGAAAAGGAAGACAGGTTAGATTCCATCCTGTCATCGATTGATACTCGGGCAAAGATACTGTGGATAATGGGAAAGTTGGCGCTTTTTGCCGGTACAAAGCATCCGATCTGCGCCATGATCTGAAGCATTGCGATGCTCTTTATGTAGATGGTTTTGCCACTCATGTTGCAGCCGGTAATAACTTGAAAACGGTAGTCATCGGATGCGTAATAGTCGTTGGGGACGCATTCTTCTTTCAACATCTTCAGCCAGTTAGCTGGCCACCCAAGGACAGAAAAAAAAAAGAAAGAAAAAAAGAAAAAACTGTCGCCTCCGTACCTTATCTAAGATTGGATGTCTTGCGGCCTCCAGGGCTAGTGTATCCGAGATGCAGGGCCGTACCCAATCGTAGATTGAACTGGCTTGAGCGAAGGAGGCCAACATATCTAGGAGAGCAATTGACTCACACATGCGATACAGCGGGGCAATTTGGGTCCTAATGCTGTCTGTGAGATCCTGAATGATTTGGTCACTCTGCATGATGACTTCAGAGGTAGAGTCGGTGATCCGCTGATTAAGTTGTTTGAGACGTATGGTTGTGCATTCGATGGTACCTTTTCGAGTAGTTCGATTGACCAGAATAGCAGGGATCGAGCGATCTTCAAAATCCACTTCACGAACACGAAGGCTGTAGCCACGTCTGGAGTCATATTGGATTTTGGCTTCAATGCCATATTCCTCTAGAAACTGTCAGAGATGAACGGATGTGGACCTAGAAGAGAGAGAAGATGAACCATAAAGTTGAGAAACGTGCTTGTGGACTTCCTCAGTGTTTTCTTTGTAGGTCTGCCTAGCAACATCCAACAGACCGTTCACACCAGACTGAGAGCTGCCCAGTTAGATATAAGATTCATGCCCCAAGAAGTGAGAAAGGAGGAATACCTTGACGGCAAATGTTCTTTGGTTTCTTTGATCAAGAGCGCGCTTGGAATATGAAACATCCTGATGTATGGTCTGATATATCATATCTCTGACAGGGGTGTAAAAATGAGGGCGGAGAAGTTGTAGAATCTTCAGCAAAAGAGGTGATGTGGCCGAACTCAGAGCCTCGTATAAGTTGGGCACTGCATCCACAAAGGTCTTGACCTTGAGGATGTTGTTCATGAGAGACTCCGTGCCGGCTACTGTCGGTTGACGTGGTACGATGACAAGCTTTGGAGGGTCAGCTAGGAATATTACAAAAGCAATCAAAGTCAAGAACCTGGGTCAACATCCTTTCGACGTCAGGAAAAGCTATAAGAGCTACAACAGGTCAGAACATGGCGGTACTTAGTACACACGTTACATACCTTTTCTGACCTCGATGAATATGTCTTGGCACTGTAGAAGCTCCTCCACTGCGTCATATCTGGGATCAATGAATAGCTCCTTTAGTGTGGAAGGCTGAAGGAGGTTGCTCCGAAGTAACCGGGCGCCCATTGGCGTGCGAGTCTGTTTGAGGAGTCCGAGGAGACTGTCTTTTGACCGAGGGTTGCCCAAGTTTTGAAGGATTTCAATGGAGATGATGGTGGACACGTCAATCATCATTGTATCTTCGCACGGCTGGTACCTTACACGAAGGGAATTAGGGAAGATCCGCAACGAATATTGAGTCTCTAAAAAGCTTATGGCCTACGAGATGTTAGCATGTTGCGTATGTACTTGATGGAGGTACCTACGGCTGCAAACGAGCAAGTGGCATAATAGCTTCCATTGAGAGCAACTTTGATAGCCGCTGCATCCTCCCGGAATGCACATGCATCGATGCGGTCTATTCCTTCCATTTCTGACCAGTAGCGTCGATCAAAGGGAGCAATCTTTATTCCGGGCATGTTCTCCTCAACATGGCTGTACAGTCGCGATTTAGGATTCGGTGGGCAGCTTGAAGCAACGATCAAGATGATGGAGGGTTCCAATATCTGAAGCTTATGGATTGTCCGCGTAAAGAACTTGCTGTCGGAAATCTGGCTAAGAATGACCTCGCCGGTGGAAGAGTTGATAGATGCCATCCCGACAGATGGAGTAACTCCACGAGCCTCACTCAGAGCGCATACGATCTTGTGGTTCTCGCTATCTGGCAGAGATAAGCGTGTCGTACGGCTGGTTTGAGACGTGCCTGGCCGACTGACAAAGGAGTATTGTGAGGGCTCCTGAGGGGTTTGAGTGCTCTGACTTGACGTATCATCGTAATCGTAGCTTGAGGTTGGTTCAGTAGTGGATGTAATCTCCACAGGAGAGGAGGCTTGTGGGGTGATGGTCAAATATGTGGCCCTACTCGGGTTGGAACGAATGCTTTTGAGACCTTGGGTCGGCGTACAGAAGTATGGGGAAGACTCTCTGGAAATATTGGGCGTATAAGTCTGTGTTGTACGAAACGACGCCACAGATCTTCTAGAACTCGCAGTTGGTGGCTGCTTATCCATCTTGAATTGCAGAGTGTCGAAGTCGTTAATCAGAACCTGTGGTCAAGAGAATGAGGGAATTCAGAAGTCGAAGAAGGAGGAATAATGTCCTAAGAGCATCACGTGTAGATACCTCTTATCAAGAAGAGTAATTATCAATAATTGGGAACTCACGAACAAACACCTTAGAACCTGCCCGACTTACACGGCTCACAGGCCGGGGATGTCCCAGACCAGTCAATCTAGAAGTGGGGGTGGAGCCACAAGCACAAGCCACCCTAGAGCACAGACCACGTGAGGAGACACCAGCCACCAATGTGATGTCTTGGATGACTTGCAGTGGAGCAACTTCGTCAGCCCGGTACACGTCTGGAAGAGTTTGCACAGGCTCCCAACCCAATCCACACAGCTTTTGGCGTAGACCCAAACCGCGTCGCAACGCGACAACCCTTCGATATTGAAAGGACCCCATCTCAACCCGATCGACCCGATTGCGGGTGAAGCTATCAAGACTTTTATTGCCGTCCGAGCTCAGGCCGATCGTCGCCTGTCGGTCGCTCAACATGTTCGGAATACTGGGTGCCGTCAATGTTGACAGCAACACCAAGACCTACTCCTCTTTTGAGGACCTCTTCGCAGCGCTTAAGGCGCGAATGCAGAAGGATGGTTACAAGGTTGTCAAATCGCGCACCCATCGCAACAAGGTCGGCGGCACCTACGAAAAGGGCAGCGAGGTCGTGCGATGTGATCTCGTGTGCGACCGCGGCGGCCAGCCGTACAAGTGCACCGCGACCCAGCTCAAAACCACCACTAAGAAAACGGATTGCCCATGGAAGGCCAAGGCTGTCAATCGCAAAACCATGGGCGCATGGCTCTTGACCATTATTTGCGACGAGCACAACCATGAGCCCAGAACGCCTGATCCGCCGACGGACGAAGAGGATGCTGATGCTGAGGGAGATGCCGATGTCCAGGATACATCAGCCAGTGCGTTCCGCCTGCCGTTGCTGCGTTATGTCACCCTCGTCTAACACTGATCTGTAGTAGTGCCAGAGCAGGACAATTCTATCCCAACGCCAGATCCCATGACATCGGCTGCCCTTGCCGTAGCCGGCGTCTCTAGTTCACAGATGCGACTTACCGGCGATACCTTTCACAACTTCAAGGCAGAATATCGTAAAATGACCAAACCGGAGCGTATCGGCGTTCTCGCCCAGCTGCAGCTGCGAGTTGCAGCGCTCTACGCCATCGAGAACGAGGATTTGCAGAGACAAGAGCGACAGGCGAGGCAGGAGAGGAAACACCAAGAGATCGAGGATACCCGTCGCAAGTCGCAGAGCTCGCAGCAAACACAGCAACCACTTCAACAGGCGCAAGGGCAACCGCAACAGCAGCAGCAGCAACAACAACAACAACATCACCCACAAGCACAGCAGCATCAACCGCAGCACCAAACTCACCAACCACATCAGCAACACCAACAGCCACAGGCCCAGAATCATACCCATAATCACAATCACACTCATACCCATAACCATAATCACAACCGGGCTGCCCAGCAGCAGATGAATCAGATGTCTCGGGACAGCATGGCGGGGATGCAGAAACACCCGTTCGAGCAATCGGGCCACGACGAGCACGCACAGTACCGTGATCGTCAGGCTGAGGTGGGCAACCGCCACCAAAACTTCATGAACATGGCTCGCGAGCACATGGGTAATGCCGTGCAGCAGACGCCGGTCCAGCAAACGCCGATCCCAGTGCCACAGTTCGGCATGCAGCCCACGCCTGGGCCCAATTCAGCCAATGTGTTCAGACATTACAGCGGCACGCCGACGAACAACACCGGAGCGCCAGCTGGCGGAGGTACGCCGGCGACAGGTCAACAGAAACGACGGGGAAGGCCGAAGAAGTCGGGCATGGATCAACAAAGTCTCGATGCGAGTCTGCACATGGGCAGGTGACGAAAGGATTGAGTAGGAAAAGTTCTTGGTATGTAATAACAAGGGAAAAAAAACCTGAGTGAATATTTTGGGATCACCGGACGGAGGATTCGACGGAGGAGTCTGGGGCGTTTATAAGGAGAACAACAAAGCCGGACCGGACATGGACAGGGCTTTCCTTTTCGAGTATATTACTTTTCTTATCCTCGCGGGAAAAGCACATTTTGGGATGGGGCCACGCAGGGATTTTGGTCCGGAGTCAGTATGTCGCTTCTTGTAACAGCCGGGGGGGAAAAAGGAGAGGGCGAGAGAGAGAGGCCCTGTGTGGTAGTATCGACACCCGCCCGCCTTAACAGAGATTTGCTCTGTGCCCCACCCGGTCCAGATAGCGGTGACCTTTCAAAAAGGAAAAAAAGTTTTAGTGGGGACAAGCCGCAACAACGGACGAGATCTCCCCGACGTCCCTTTCAAAATTTCTGCCCCACCATCCCGCATCGCCAATTCTCGAAATCTTTCACCACCAAATCTGTAAAGCGGTCAACACAACAATAGACTTCAGATATGGCGACGGTAGTACCCCCGCCGTCGAAGCGCCAGAAGCGCGAGACTCTTGCTAGGACGCAAACGCAGCAAGATGTCACAGCCATTGCGCCAGGTCTTGAGGGATCTTTCAAGGCTCGTTTTATTGATGGCGACGGTCAGCAGCTCGCAGAGGTAATTGAGGTGCCTCTCGCCGATGCGTCCGAAAAGAACCTCACTCTTCTTCTCAATACTTTGATGGGAAAGGTATGTTATCCTGTTCTATCTTCTTTTGTTTGAATCAATCATGCCTGACAAACCCACAGGAAAGAGAAGAATTCCTCCCCTACAAATTCCGCATCCACATCCCCGATACCGATATTATTGTCGACACCTACCCTTCTAACCTCCTCGAACTCCTCCGAAGCCATGGCGTTGCAAACCCATTCGAGACAACAATCACCCTCTCGGCGGAGCCACAGGCCGTCTTCAAGGTCCAGGCCGTGACCCGCATGGCACACAAGATTCCCGGTCACGGTGAAGCCATCCTCGCAGCGCAATTCAGCCCAGAGACTAGCAAGCGTCTGGCTACAGGCTCAGGCGACAAGACGGCAAGGATATGGGACACGGAGACGGGAACACCCAAGTATACGCTTGCGGGACACACCGGCTGGGTTCTCTGTGTGGCCTGGTCCGCCGACGGAAAGCGTCTGGCGACTGGAAGCATGGATAAGTCAGTCCGTCTCTGGGACCCTATTAAGGGTGTCGCCGTCGGTCAGCCTCTTACAGGACACGCGAAGTGGGTTACCAACATTGCTTGGGAGCCCTTCCACCTCTGGCGTGACGGTACACCCCGCCTCGCATCCGCCAGCAAAGACGCCACTGTCCGCGTCTGGGTCGTCAACAGTGGTAGGACAGAGCACGTTCTCTCCGGCCACAAGTCGAGCGTCAGCTGCGTGAAGTGGGGAGGTACAGGATTGATTTACACAGCCAGTCACGACAAGACAGTCAAGGTATGGGACGCCGTCAAGGGAACTCTGGTGCATACCCTCTCATCGCACGCGCATTGGGTCAATCACCTTGCGCTGTCTACGGAGTTCGCGCTGAGGACTGGCTTCTTCGACCACACGCCTACACCGGACACGGAGGAGGGCAAGCGGGAGAAGGCAAAGGAGAGGTTCGAAAAGGCGGCCAAAATACAGGGCAAGGTCGCCGAGCGACTGGTGTCTGCCAGTGACGATTTCACAATGTACCTCTGGGACCCCTCCCAGGGCACGAAGCCCGTGGCGAGAATGCTGGGCCACCAGAAGCAGGTGAACCACGTCACCTTTTCTCCCGACGGCACGCTGATTGCTAGCGCGGGCTGGGATAACCACACCAAGCTCTGGAGCGCGCGGGACGGTAAGTTTATCAACACGCTGCGCGGCCACGTCGCGCCGGTGTACCAGTGCGCCTTCTCCGCCGACTCCCGCCTGCTCGTCACAGCATCGAGGGATACCACGCTCAAGGTGTGGTCGATGGCGACGCACAAGCTTGCGGTGGATCTGCCGGGCCACCAGGACGAGGTGTACGCCGTAGACTGGAGCCCGAGGGATGGCGGACGTGTGGGCAGTGGTGGAAAGGACAAGGCCGTCCGGCTGTGGTGCAACTGATGGGATGGATTGCATGCGTCGTTCGGTTCTGTTTGGGTCCCGGTTTTTATTTTCGGCATCTAGAATATACGGATTCATACAAAGAGAATATACCCCTTCTTTTCCGGCCGCCCTTTGTTATCGGATCTTGGAGCCGTTCCTTGCATTAACTTGACATGATTTCCACGGGACAATTCGGCCCCACGTCTGTTGAGTTTTGTGATGACTACGACGTACACTACGTAAACTATGCAGGTTAAGACTCAATCATGCTACGCATGCCGCTTTTGGTCTGGACGTGGTCGAGCCCGCTTATCTACCTCTCTGCACGGTCGATCCACGGGACCAACCATCTGGACCACTTCCCATCACGCACGAACTGCGGGGGCTATATGTTCGTTCGGTCAAGGGAGGAGACCTGGCGGATACTGCGGAGACATGCCTTGGGAGAGCGCTACGGACTTCTACATGTGGCCGGGGGGGTAAAGGCAGACAAGGAAGATTGGGGGAGGGGGAAAATGACTGGCAGGAAACGGGTGAGACTCGCAGGTTGCTTGATTGATTCAGCTGCATTGCGGCACAGAATGCTACATGCAGAGAGAGAGAGAGAGAGAGAGAGCTTAGCTTGGCCCTTGTCATGGCGTGACAAATTGTGGGAGGAGGAGAATCAGCAGGAATATCGAGCATCAGGCATAGCCGAGGTGAGCATTAATCGAGAAAAAAAAAAAAAAAAGAGCCGATTAGAACCGATCCTGTGGCGTTCAAACAGCCAAGCTAGGATTACATGCTTCCAAGACATCATTCTGCTTTTTTTTTTTTTTTTTTTTTCTTCTTTTTTACTTCTTGACTGTTGTACGTGACTGATGAGTACTATGTAATTAAGTGGACAAATAGACCGGTTGTCTCCCGGTCCGGGATACGCAAACCCCGCCCGGAACGCGGGGCCCCACTCCACGGACCAGCGGAGTTATATCGGGGGCCTGGGCTCGCGGCATTGTCGGGTGAGGCAAATGAACGGATAAGCTTAGCTCGTATCAGGTGCTCCTCGGCGCAAGTCACATCATCATCTCATTCCCCACGGCCAAGCAACCCACCCCCCAAAGAATATGGAGTTCTCCACGATGGCGACGGTCATAATCTCTTGCTTCTGGGGTGACTGGGGGGCACATAGTCGCATAGTATAGGATTATAGTCACTCTTCAACCATGAGACACCGGGCCGGGTGGGGTCCAAGCGGCCATCACTTACTACGTATAATCACAACACCCTACCACGTAGTAGACACTTTTCAGTACAATCACGCCCACTTACGTCCGCGTACCTGGAGCAGTTCACAAGCGGCCGAACAAGAACTGATCGTCTCCCACGTTGGTCCGATCCTTCACAGAAGTCGCCGATCCCAGAGGGTTCCCAATGGTGTGTGGCTCCGTGCTGCACCAGCGGGAAGGGGGGGATATGCCTCATGGGATTTGGAGCTCGGTTATCCCCCCCTTCCTCTGGACGCGCGCCGACGAATTGATGGACACCAAGGGTAGGTATCTATCTGTAGACTTCGCAGGAGGCTCAAAGGGGAGTCTGAGGCGAGTGATTTTGTTTTTTGGTCGATTTGCCCTGAGGGGCAAGCTGCAAGAACGAAATCCTGCGGGGGGAGGATAAGCATGTGGTGTTCCATTTTCTTTTCTGCAACGGATCGTTGGGGCGGGCGTTGTTTGTCCGTTAACCCCAAATCATCTCCACGAATGCACTCTGTACCCCCTCCCTATCCGTATTCTTCCAGGTTTCCCCGAATAGCACTCTTGTCCATCGGGCTATCATCATTTCGACCTTTTGCCCCCGGGAGATGGGGGGGAGATCTCCTGTTTTCGGCTAGAAAATCCGCTCCAGCGGCTGGGGGAGCTGTTGTCCACGTTGCACTCTCGACACTGGGCCACCCCGTTGTTTCGCATGGCATTGGCACATAACGATACCAGCACGACGACGGAACAACGGGACCGGGCCGCCCCTAGTTAAGCGGTTCAGTTCAGTTCAGTTGAGTTCTATCCAGGCGAGGGCTAGGTAGCCCGAGTAGAGGGCCGCTCGCGCGCACTCTGGCCGTCTGGGCCGGACGGCCGGGCGCTAAAGGGGATGGATCTCCTGGCACGGTTAACAGCTTTCGTCTGTTTTTCATTCAGTGGAAACAGGCCGACGTCGAGCCGTCGAGCCTAGATCGGTAATCTTGGAGAAGACGGGACAGAATCAGGAGGACGGCAGCCCCTCTCTCGGTCGCTCGCTCGCTCGCTGGCGCGCATTTTTAGCAGGGTTGCTGCTGCTGCTGCTGCTGCTGCTGCTGCTGCTGCTGCATTACAAGAGATCCCATTTGCGAACTAGACCTGAATGAAAGAAGCTGGGAAACGTGAGCCTGGGGTGTGGGTGAGCAGGGCCATGTCTTGGGGCGGGGGAAATTCTGTCATTTATGACTGTCGTTTTTTTCTTCTTCTTTTTCCGTTGTCCGAGGGGGTGGGCCACATGCAAATCGCCTGGTTTGCTTTTTGTTACCATTTTTGTTTCTTTTTATCTGGCTCTATCTTGGGGCCCTCCAGTTGTGGCCGGAGCAAGGTGCATATCACAGCCTGGCAAAGGGCGGGCTGTCTGTGCCTTGGTTTTGGTGAAATATGCTATTTTCTGACGCCTGTTTACAACACCCTGAAAGGAGGCTGTTTGCTGCTTCGTCTGTTTCTACCACCCTGTCTGACATTTAGCCTATGGAAGCCGCAAGGGCTGAGCGAAGCCCACTGCACCATCGGGAGATATCGGGCGCGTGCCGTTGGGGCGGTTTGACGAGATGTGAACCTCGATCAGCGAGGGACGTTGGGGGAGATTGAGATTGAGACTTGAGACTTGAGGAAAAATAATGAAGGAGAAAAAAAAAAAAAAACGCTGGATGCCTGTCTGGTCTGCTACAAGGATGCAACGCCAACGCGGCTAGGGGTTCGACGGTTTGGAAGGCAGATGGTGGCTCGGACTGGGGGGCGGTTCCCGTTGCAGTGTGTGGAGAGGAAAAAGCATGGGCACGGGTATAGGAGAATGGATCTGGGTCTGTGGATTATCCCGTCTGGATGATATGCGCGGTTTGGAGATGGCCCACGGGGTTGATGTGAAAGGTTTGACTGGAGGGAAAGATTTCCATCAGAGTCCAGATCTGTAAATCTGTGGTATTCGGGATTGATTGGGCCGTGTTGGCGGTGCAGCAGCAGGCAGATATCAGAGTCACAGCCCGTTGCGGCCGCGAGGTGAGGCATTTCCTTTTGGTCGCGATGCCCAACGAAAGCCCTCCTGAGTGAGGATGACGAACATGGTAAGGGTTGGGCGCAACCTTTTTTTTGCGTTTTTTTGCCGTTTGTCTATCCCGATCTACATACAGTCCGTGTACCTCACTACCAGGCGACCGTGTTAATCGCCGAGATGCGCGACTGGAAAGGGGGGGGGGGGGGGGGGGGGGGGAGATGGATCCCTGGGAGGCGCGTGATCATCTGCGAGGTTCATCATTACCACCAGTCAAACTCACTTGAGGGCTGAGATGACTGCACATATCGTGAACGAGGGGTCAAGGATGAGATTCGACGGACCACCCGCCGAGGCCTCCAAACCAGTCAATCATGGAGGCGCCATTAACTGGAGCGGCAGCATTGCCCCCCTTCATCTTCATTGCCCAGACCCCAGAGCTGCCCAGGGATGGAAGATACGCGTTCAGGCGTTGATGCGGGCCACCACCCTCTGGGACTTTTCTTTCTGATACTACAGAGTGCTACTGAATGGTCAGCCCCTCACCCCCCCATTCGGCCGGGTTGAAGGAAGGACGATGAGAGTGACGCGCGACGAGGATTCTCCGTTTGGGAGAGGTGCAGCAAGCACATGTCGACGGAGGCGGCTTTGAAAATGCAGGGGGGTGTAATGATAGGGCGGCGACGGGCCAAGAAAGAAAACCATGGAGGTGGTGTTGGTGGTGGTGGTGGTGGCCCCCTTGGAGAATTTCTTCATCAAGATATGCGGCTGCGACCATCAGAGAGAGAGAGCGAACTTTCCCCGTTCGCCGCCGAATGACGAGACAAGGCGGCAGAGATGGAACAGAGAGATGAACAGAGACCGAAGAGGCCCTTGTCTGCCACTTTCGCTTCTGACGATGTTGCTGCCGAGCCCACCCCCTCCCGTTGGAGTGGATGAAAAGATGGATGGAATACTGGGCCGAACTGGCCGGGTGATTAATTGACGTCTTTTGCGTGATGGAGCCGTGATGGAGAACTGTATGTTTTCTTTCAGGGGGGGGGGGGGGGGGGGGGGGGAGCGTCTCCAGTGAGACGGAGTCATCAGACGGGCAAAATTCTCCATCGTTACAACCAGGGGATCCTCTTTTTCTCTCTCTCTTCTTCTTCCATTTTCTCCAGCAAAGCTGTCATAGGCTCAGGTATCATATACTACCTTATGGTACATATAAACGGGAAGCTAAAAAAGTGAAAGACGGAACAGAAGAACGACGTGGAACATTGGGCTCCAAACCGCATACCAATAGACCCGGCCAGAGCCGATGTTTCTGCCAGTGATGTTTTAGGGAGTGAGTGCCCATGTAAGGTGTTTGGAAAGGTTGCTTTGGCCTCGCATTCAAACTCGGGAAGCTTCATTTTCTGCAGAAACGCTGCGCGGATTCCCAAGGTGGGTTGAGTTAAGCAGCAAAAGCAAGCTCCACATCTGGCCCATTGAACCGGCCAATGCACCTGACCCAAACTTCAAGGTTGCAAACTGACTGGAGCTTGGGCCCGAGAGAGCGAGAGAGATAGAGAGAGACATGGAATGGAACAGACGAAGCGAGGGGGGAAGACTACATGGATTGACTTTGGGGATCGGCGTTGCGCCAGGCCCAATGCGAACTGCTTTAGGCGGGGGACAAGCTCTCGGGACAGTGCCGCCGAGTGAGAAGAATTACTACTAGAAGCCGTCTTTTTGTGGACAGCGGTTTGATGTTGGGTTGCTATGCTATGTACGGGGTAGCATCGTGTTGGACAGCGTACGTTGTAATTGGCATGTAGCTTTCATCCTGTCATCTGTAGCAGAGCAAACTTGGGTTCGCCAACAGGTGATCAGGAGCTTTGCATTCTTGCGGACGCCGTCGAGCGGTGCCACGAGGGAAAAAAAAGATTGTTCTGCAACGGCAGTTATCGAGAAATGATATTCCCTGGTAATGACCGGATTGCCTATTCGTCAAGGAATGCGTCGGCAGCGGGCGGCAAACAATGGGTCACGGAATCTCATGGCACGGTGTGGCTCACTGGCTGGCTGGCTGGCTGGATCATCGGGAAGGGTTCGTTCGTCAGAGAGGCGTGTCCTCTGGCGTGTGGTCGCCTATGTGGAGGCCACGCAGCGGACGACGAGTGGACGATGTTGGGCCCCCCTGCGCTGCGCTGCTGGGGGAGGAGGTTTTTGGCTCTCACCTTGGGGAGTCAATGCAAGGCGAGTCAGGCAAGGCCGAGGCAAGGTAAGGCAAGGTAAGGTGTATGAGGTGCATATGCAGAGTAGATGGGTTTGGATGCGCAGCAGAGCAGAGAAAGACATGCGTTGCGTGGTAGGCGGCAATCTGACAGGAGGGGACGCGCTGGCATGGTGGTATCGCCGAACCATTGGAGTACCTGGTGAGAAAAGACCGATGGACGTGCTGAATCTCGTCGGGCGAAAAGGTCGAGGTGGTGGTGGTCGTCGTGGTGTTAGTGGTGGCTGTGATTTGTGGTGGTGATGGTGATGATGACGAGAAAAGGGTTGGTGGTTGTGTGTGTGTGTATGTTTGTTTTAGTAGTAGTCTTTTCCGGTTTCCCCTCAGCCTGGCCCGAAAGGGGGTAAGATGAGAGAGAGGGAGGGGAGCTTTTGTGAGAAGAGCTAATGACAGCAACCGATCGAGGGTGCCAGGTGATGCTGTAGCTCATGGAGGCTATTCCCACACGTGCTTGGCCATGGCATTCAGCTCATTCAGCCATCCGATGGCCGTTGGACGACTTCCTTTGGGTCAAGATGCCCCTTTGCCAGATTATCAGTGGCTTGCACGGGCGAATGAGCCGCCACAATGTGACGAGGCAGGATGTGATATGCAAGGCAGAGGCGGACAGACAGACAGACAGGCAGGCCTACATCGTCTACACGCGGCCGCCATCCGACTGAGCTTAGATGAGGCGGACGGGATGAGGTAACGATGAGCAAACGGCATTCGATGTTTGCGTACATGCACCCACAGTCGAGATGGGACAGTGACAATGGGTTTACAGTCTGCATGTATCGCCAACTGATGGAGCCTGGACCGGGCCTGTCTGACTGAGCCAGCCCCAGATTTCAAAGCTTGGACTGAATGAGTCCTTTTAGTCACAAATGAGAGAATTTGACCACATGCAGGGTGAAGACAAAGTCAAACAACGAAATTGTGAGTGAGAGGGAGAGAGAGAGAGTTGCACGGGACGGCTCATGTCGGCCAAGGAAGGACGAGATATTATTAGTCCATCATCAATCACATTAGGGTTTGCAACTCTGTAGTAGTAGTGTCTCTACGGATATACCATGGATGGACTGGCAAACTATGAATCCCGTCCATCCATCAGCCACCACCAGCCAAACATCGTAGGCCTACACTGCTATGGCTACTACGGAGTATGTACACTGAAGTCTCCTTCGTCCAGTGGTTCCCAAACAACCCTGTCTAGTTTTGGGGTGGTCTGGTCTGGTCGTCTGGTGCACCAAGTTGCGATGCGATGTCATCCCTGTTGGCCCAAGACCCAAGTCTCAGCGGCACGGACGCCTCTTAGCGATACGTACCAAGTGAGCTTTTTTTTCTTCTTCTTCGTCTGCTTCCTCCAAAGATCTTCTTCCAATTCATCCCGCATGCACAGCCAAGAGGGTGGTGAGGGGCCTAACGAGGTAGGATTCAGTCGTTGCTGGTGTCGCTTTCGCGTTGCTTTTGCTCGGGATGGTACATTGGCACCACGCTGGGACGATGGGAAAGATACAAAGTTACCAAAGTCACAAAGATACTTGCGGGAGTACGGATACTACGTACACTGTCGACATGGTTTATTTTGTTTGATGAGCGACTTGCGATTTTGGCTTTTCCCAAGACGAGACGACGGCCAGGCCAGAACGAGCCCCAGCCCCAATCGCCAGCCAGTGAGGTCCCCTTGTCCCAAGCTTCTTATGCTCTCCGCCCTGTTCCCCAGGAACTTGCTGTTGTTGTTGCTGCATGGCGTGGTGTTTGTAGTAGGTTTTTTGCTTGAAGAGGGAAATTGGGAAGGGAAAGTCGGGATTCCGTACCGTTCACGGCCCCCGTCCCATCTCACCACAGATATGACAATAAGCCAGCTAACCTAGCCAGCCGCCGTCGTTCTGAGTGGTATGTAAGCTTGGTGGTGGGACAGACATACTACTACGTACAGAGAGAGAGAGACTCATGGGTGCTGGCCCGTCACCTCGTCTCATTCATCGATTGCTGCATGCCCATCCCATATCATTCATTACCTGGTAACCCCCCGTAGAGGGCAGAGGGAATTCCAGGACCGACTCCCTCCTCCCAGTTAAAAGTCGCATCCCATCCCGATCTTCGATTCCCTCCCGTTCCTCGTCCTCTTGCTCCTTGTTCCCCCCACATACATACATACATCCAGACTAGGTCTCTGGCCACCTTATTTTTCCTTGATTTATGCTCCTTGAAGGCAAAAACACATCACACACACGCATCATCACCAAAGAGGCTCTCGTTTCTTGAGCTCTCGACGGACCAAAACCTCCTGAACCTAAGGCCTGAGCCTGTCTGTCCAGCGGCCGACTCCGCCATTACCAAACTACGCACATACCCCCCCCTGGACACGAACCCAGCATCACAGGGCGGTCCCCTGCAACTTGGTGGCTATCGCATCCTGCGTCGCCGGGCCTACCTGTATCGCATCGCTTTGGTCCATTGGGAGCATTTTGACTACCTATAACCCCCGGACGTCAGCTCCGTTCTGCCCCGTCGGGTTCCGTCACATTGCCTGTTCCCGGGCTGCAGCTCCCGGTCTCCAGCCAGCAGCGCGGCAACGTGGTGTACCCTGCTTTGGGCGCCAACTTAAAACGACAACAGGGCTACGTAGTAGAGAGAGAGACAAGGAAGTAAAGAAAAAAAGACGGGAGGCAGAAGAAGAAGAAAAAAACACGAATGTGCTGGTGACCAAACACGAAACAGAAGCAAGAAGCCGATCATTCATTCACTCTCACCAACAACAGTCGATCCGGCAAGTCATCTATCAATCATATCTCGCCCCCCTCCCAAGGATTTCATTCCGTGTCCTGTCCTATCTATTTGTCCCAACAAGCAACGCCTCCAGGACCAACAAAAAAACGGAATGCCAAAAAAGTAAATAAACGATCGAATCACAAGAAGCTAACCGTTTTGTCGTTCGTCGGCTCGGCTCCCTCACCTCACCCCCCTCTCACTCATATCCGTCTACTCTCCCGCTCTCACTCAAAAAAAAAAATAAAGTCCACCCCCATCGTCAGCCTCCGTCTTCCGGTTCCGTTTATTGGGCGGGTGCATTAGGCGACCAGCGGTGCATTAGCTCCCAATTTGACGCCGCGGATACGTAACTGGGATCGCAATTACGTCAGTGACGACGCTGCAAATACCGGAATAACGGTACGTGTGTTTCCAGCTCTCTGTTTGGTCTATTTTGTTCCTTTCACTTCGGCTACACTAGGCTGGGAGGGGCCACATGTATGTACAAATGTTATGTACGTGTGTGTGTGTCTAGACCGGCCTTCTGTCCCACGATGCCGTCACTGTGAAGGCACCCTGTAATTGCGTGTAATTCCTGACCATTTTTGACTGTATTTTTTGTTATTATTTTATTTGTTTTTGCTAAGTCTTTTACTGTTTTTTCATATTCCGTTCACATTTTTTCATTATTTCTGTTGTATTTCTTATATACAACCATCACTGTAAACTCACCCCCATATCCCCAAACTCATCATCAACATGACATATTGAGGCTGTATTTCGAGATCAGCAGTCTCTTTATTTTGCCCATATTCCATCCACTTCTTCTTCTGGGGGCCTCCCAGCCAAGAAAACCCAACGCCCAGGCCCCCCCTCCACCTTTAGCCCCCTCCTGTAACCCCCCCGATCCCACCTCACAAACCCTCATCCATTCACTTTTTGTCTGTGACCAGAGGTGGTGGTTGCTTCAGCGTGCAGCTTCAGTGTAGCTAAAACCCCCCTCGTTCACTGTTTCCCCTTCCCACACACCCCCCAAGAAGATCCACTTTGGAATATTCTCGAGAAAACATTACCAGAAAAAGCCGAGAAGGAAAAGAAAAAGAAGGAAAAAAAAAAAAAAAAAGGCATCACGAGAAACAAACCCCCTCCACATTCTCTCTCACACTCTCTCTCCCCTCCCTCTATTCTCACTCAAACCCCTCCCCCTTCCCTTTCCGATCGATCTCTCGCGTCCGCATCGACCGTCATCCAGTCATTTCTTCGTTTCTCTACCGTGACGCATGCACGCTGCGCCCACCTCTTTTATTTTCTTACCTCTTCCGCAATTACGCAAGGCTTAGACTGGCTTTCACACCCCAGAAAAAAAAAATTAATAATTGTTGGCACCGGAGAAAAAGCTCAAGAAGCTGACGAGACAGGCTTCATTCAGCCCAGAGACCTGAGACAAACATAAATCCAATCACACCCCCCTTCGCCACCTCTCACATAGACAACCTTACACAGCCGGTTCACTCCTCTCAGTCTCACTCTCTCTCACACTCTTCTCACCTTTCAAGCCACACGCCATATCCTCGTCGTCATATACTACGGTATACCTCTACTCCTATACTATACTTACTTTTCTCCAATACCCTCTCAACCACACCCCAGTCTTTTGGTTCGCTCGCCCTTGACACCGGCGATCCCTCCCCAATCTCGAATAAACCGCCGTAGCTCACACACACACACACACACACACACATACACACACACACCCACCCCCATATATTCCCTCCACATGTGCTGCTAGCACTTTAAACAGCTGCTGCTAATAGCTCCGCCCCGACCTCCTCCTCTGGTTTGGTTCCGTTTACATCTTCTTTTCACCTTTTAATATCTATCCCGTCTCAACCACAAACTGCCCACCACTCTTGTGGGCTACTCTTCACCAAACACAAATCAATAAACAACCAGAGGGCTAGCCGTTAGCCAGACTGCCCACCATGACGGTCTTTATCGCGTCACTGTGAGTTAACATCCTATTCCGTCCCATTGCTGGGAAAGTTTTTTTTTCTTTTTTTTTTCCCCTTATGCTCCCTCCCGAAAGTCGCTTTGATTGGCAACTCCAGATGGAAGCTCTGGAAGCTCTGGGCCTGGGATGAACCCCTCCTAAGATCCATAGAGAGAGGGGAGAGGAGGGGTTGGAGGGGCGCAAAATCTTGAACCACCTCCATTGTCTACCACGACACCCAATTCCTCTGCCCTCAATCCATCATCGCCTTGCCATTTGAGGCTTTCATCTGACTTCTGCGATTCTCTAGATTCCTCCCTAAAACCGTCCACTTCGCCCTGCCTGGCACTCCATCCCGCGCAGACCCTCTCCGTCGCACAAAAACCGATAAACGCCCCGAAGTCGATCGTCAACCAAGTCTATTCAACCCCATCCGCGACATTACTCCCCCAATCACCCCGACCGACGAGACAAACGACAAGGAACTCTTCACAAACGAGGATGGTTTCCGTATACAATTCCCCGAGGAGGAGCGCAAGCTCGGAGCTCCCGTAGACAAGGGTTCTCCCAAATGGGGTGCCCGGGCAACCCAGCCCAAATCTCGAGCGAGCTCCCCGCCGCCCGCCATCATCGCCGAACACAGCCGCACACTCGAGAAGGCTAGGGAACTCGGTCGCCAGGGCGTAACGCAGCCCCGTCCTCTCGCTAGAAGCGACAGCCACGATCGCGTCTTCGCCCACGCCAACTGGCGCATTATGAATGCCGACCAGGGCAACGGCGGCCTTCGCAACGCCGCCGAGGCCGCCGCCCGCGACGGCAAGCTCGGAGAATACACCTGGGTTGGCACTCTCGGCATGCCCACCGATGCCCTCGAGGGCACCCAGCAGAAGCAGGATATCGAGGACGCCCTCGCCACCGAGCATGACATGCTGACTGTCTTTTGCTCCGACAAGGACTTTGACGGTCACTACTCGCACTTTTGCAAACAGATCCTGTGGCCAGTCTTCCACTACCAGATCCCCGATAACCCCAAGAGCAAAGCCTTCGAGGACCACTCGTGGAAGTACTACGTCAATGTGAACCAGGCCTTCGCCGACAAGATCATCAAGAACTGGAAGCGCGGAGACGTCATCTGGGTCCACGACTACCACCTTCTGCTCGTCCCCGGCATGGTCCGCAAGAAGCTGCCTGACGCAAAGATTGGCTTCTTCTTGCACGTCGCCTTCCCCTCCTCTGAGGTCTTCCGCTGCTTGGCCGTGCGCAAGCAGCTGCTCGAGGGCATGCTCGGTGCCAACCTCATCGGCTTCCAGATCCACGAGTACACCCGCCACTTCCTCCAGACTTGCAGCAGGCTGTTGAACGTGGAGGCTACCACCGACGGTCTCCAGCTGGAGGACCGCTTCGTCGATGTCGTGAACCTGCCCATTGGCATTGACCCCGTCAACCTCAGCGAGCACCGCATGGACGCCGACGTGAAGAAGTGGATGGACATCATGAAGGAGCGCTACCGCGGCAAGAAGCTCATCGTTGCCCGCGACAAGCTCGACCACGTCCGTGGTGTCCGCCAGAAGCTTCTGTCATACGAGCTGTTCCTCAACAAGAACCCTGAATGGCGCGACAAGATCGTGCTCATCCAGGTCGCTCTCTCTAGCAGCGAGAAGTCTGACTTGGACGCGACTGTTAGCGACATCGTGACCCGCGTCAACTCCTCGTGGGCCAACCTGGCCTACCAGCCTGTTGTCTACCTGAAGCAGGACATTGACTACCCTCAGTACCTGGCTTTGCTCACCATGGCTGATGCCCTGATGATCACCAGCCAGCGTGAGGGCATGAACTTGACCTCCCACGAGTACCTCTTCTGCCAGGACGGCGAGGTGTTCCCCGAGAAGAAGCACGGCTCTTTGATTCTTTCCGAATTCACCGGCACCGCCTCGCTGTTTGGCGGCAACGAGCTCTCTGTTAACCCCTGGGACTACCGCCAGTGCGCCGACGCCATCAAGAAGGCTCTCGAGATGCCCGACGACGAGAAGGACCGCCGCTGGAAAGCATTGTACTCGGCCGTCATGCACCACACCGGCTCCCACTGGTTCACCGAGTTCCTGTCCCGCCTGGACCGCGTATACGACGAGCAGCACAAGCGCGACCAGACATCCGTCCCGCGTCTCAACATCAACGCTCTCGCCCAGCGATACCGCCGCAGCGAGCGCCGTCTCTTTATCCTCGACTACGAGGGCACCTTGGTGAGCTGGGGACCGATGAACCAGATTATTCCCGTCAGCCCTCAGGTAAGTTACTACTTACTCTCTTACCATAGTTATATAACGAAAACTAACATGGCCAGCGCACTCTTGATGTTCTCAACGACCTTCTGCTCGACGAGCGCAACACCGTCTACATCATGTCTGGCCGCCGCCCCGAGGAGCTCGACCGCCTGTTCCGCCGCGTGCCCAACCTGGGTCTCATCGCCGAGAACGGCTGCTTCCTCAAGGACTGCGGCCGCAGCAACTGGACCGAGATGGCCGACAGGGATCAGATCAACAGCTGGAAGGAGTCCGTCAAGTCCATCATGACCTACTACCTCGAACGCACCCCCGGTGCCGAAATCGAGGAGCGCCGCTGCAGTCTCATCTTCCACTACAAGAGCGCCGAGGACTACGAGTCCGCCGCCCGCCAGGCCTCCGACTGCGCCAGCCACATCAACGACGCGTGCGAGGAGCAGCGCGTCCACGCCATCCCTCTCGACGGTTCCATCGTCGTGGAGCCCATCGACTGGACCAAGAGCACAGCCGCCGAGAAGATCTTTGACGACCTGCGCATCCACATGGCCCCCGACGCCGAGCACAAGAGCCCCGTCGACTTCCTCATGGTCGTTGGCGACGGTCGCGAGGATGAGAAGGTCTTTAAGTGGGCCAACGCCCTCGGCGACGAGAAGGTGGTCAAGGATGTTGCGACTGTCAGCTTGCATAGCCGCAACACCGAGGCCGGTGCCACCCTCACGCAGGGTGTAAGCGGTAAGTAGCCCACCTCCGACGACATCAGCAATTTGCTAACGATACTCAGGTGTCCTGCTCGCTCTTCAGAAGCTCGCTTCAGTTTGAGAGGCCGGGGAGGAAGGCACTTGAGGAACGCCGGCGCTGTGACAGCGCAACTTTGAGCCGCTGGTGTCGGCGCATCAATGGGGCAGATTTTGAATTGTTCTTGACCTGGCCGTAACACCGGGCAAATGATACCACAGTGGGTTAGCAGCATTAGGGTGGAACAAGACTTAAGGGACTTTGCGAAGGCGTACAAAACCGGGCATGGGATTTCTTTTTTTTTTTTTTCCTTTTTTTTGGTTTTTATTATTATCTGGTCTACTGACGCGAAAGCGCGAAATCTGGGAAACGATGACGAAACTGCATTGGGAAACACATGCATCAATATGCATTGGGGGGCGACCTCCGTGATGGGGAAACATCTCATTAATGTCTTTTTTCTTATTTTTTTATTTTTTTCCTGCTCTCCTACTTTCTTACGCTTCTTCTCTTGCGTCGCCCTGCATCCTGTCTTTTTTCTCTTTTCAGTACCACACACGTACAGAAATACGTGTGGCACATCTCACGAGTAACGCTTTGCCTGGTTTTTGTTTCCTCTGCGAAACTTGAAAGAAGTGGAAAGCTTGTGACTTTTGCCAGTGACAACAAAACTGAACGTCTGAGAACTCCTTTTTTTTTTTTTTGCTCGTATGAGTATAAAAATCCCCCTCTACTCTTGCTGTATTCATACCATTTTTGATGTTGTGTTTTGTTCTTCCGTTTTTTCTTTACTTTTGTTTCTGCATTAGGCGTGCAAGCAAAGTATGCCTCTTTTTTTTTTTTCGGGGATGTCGTTTTGGTATCTCCCGTGTATTTGTATATATTGAGGACCGTGTCAAGATAGATTAGGCATAGGTTAGATTCGGTAGCGGATACCACTGCATCATGCATTCCATGTTTTGGGGTACCTTTTGGTGATTGATGTTTTTTGTTGAGTTATTTGAGTTACAGACGACGACGTGAAGTGACTGGCAAACGGTAAAAAAGACACCAATCCCCCCCAATCGTCTCTGTACTAGCATCCGCAAGACGTCATACACATCTGTCCGTAACCCGCTATAACCCGCCAGTGGCCATACTTGGATGCGGGGGTCACGATCGACTGAGCGCTTGTGGCTTAGCCCTGAATTCCGAATCGCCCATTCAGTGGTTATGAACGAGAGGTATGGCGACCGCATTTGGTAACCCGACGGGAACTAAGGACGCCCGACAGATTTAGCGTTGAACTGGCTGTACGCTTATTAGACGGAGTTCGTTGGGCTAAAGTTGTAGGTGAGGTGGGAGAAAAAGATGAAGACGGTCATAAGGATTCACTACCTGAATTTAGCTGCTTACGATACTGATGGTGGGTAGGTCTATTTTTTCCTAATATCTGTTTTGAGATTTAGTAACATAGCCAACGTGAGGCATGTTTTTAAGGTGCGAAGCTCTCACACCTTGACGGGATGCTCCAGCTGAGGTGTATAATAAATCAGCATAGATATCATTGAGATAGCAGAGATGCTTTCCTATAACCTCTCTCTAAAGCCTAACGTTTAGTTTTCTTCAAACCATTGTCTCCCAGTCCTCGGAGCCTCGTCGTCCCCTCCGATGTATTGCATCAAGATACTCAAACACCAGAGTACTCTTTTTACAGCCGCTATCTCATCGCGCTTAAGCAGGGCTAACTTTAAGCATCAGATTAATAGCATATTACGCGTAGATTTGAATGTTATCTAGCCTCCATTAACCAAGGTGGACATCTTGCAGGGCCTTGTATATCTTGATCCACATCACTACTGGCACATCACCGTCGTCCTACCCGATACAGATAATATTTCAAACAGGTCACTGGCCTCCCCGAAGAAGCCCAACACACGTGTGTTTCTTTTACAACGAACGTTATCTATACAACCCGTACACTCTCGAATTCATGAATTTTGGAGGTGATACTATACACTTATCAACTGCGTTGAAACCCCGGCTGCTCATATGGGTTCGGCATTCGTAGAAACGCACTTACGGAGCGGTTTGAAGGCATTCACTACTAATGAATCATTAAGGTAGTATATAATGAAAAGGACGGAAAGTTTTTCCGTTCTAAATTTGAAACTCACAAGCGATCGTAGCTTCCCAGTCTCAATGTCAGGTTGCTGTGACAGGGCACCAGAGTTACGCAGTGGGAACCGCGCTATAGGCGGGTCAGTTCGATAACAAATTGTATACTGGCTGTTGCTCTGTAGACTGATAGTACCTCTAGTAATAATGACTAGAGGAGTTTTGGTCTGTTTGGTGGCTGGTGAGTAGCAGGATACATGGCAGAGGGGGAATATACACAAGCTTATCCCAAGGACTCCGTCCCTCACATAAACACCTCTTCCACCTATCCTACTCAGCTGAATTACCTTCGCCACCGACATCAACCAGTTTAAAGACACAATTTTGACGTCAAACTGCTGGTCTTGACAACTGGCTGAATTCGATTGCTTTTTGTGATATACTTTCTGCTCTGGAGAGTTGAAGAAAAGCTGACTTGCGTATTGCAAACCATTCTACGTAAGAGTAAGACGAAACGCTTACAAGGCGTGGCGTTATTCTAAAATATCAGAAATCTGGTCAACCAGAGAATTCCGAAAGAAAGTTACCAAGGTAGCCAACAATTTTACAAACTTGCCACCAGCCACCAAGAAAACAAAAGTTCACAAAACGTTAAAGCCTTAGGAGACGCTTTCTGCCTTTTCCAAGACCCGCTCCAACTCAAACTCATCAATCTCCTTTCTCACACCTCTATACATCTTAAACATTGTCATCGCTTTCACAAATATCTACTTCTCATCAGAAATATCACACTGCAAAGTCCGAAATCATATAAACTGTTCGAATCCTGCTCAACCTCAAACTCCGGCGCCTCTATAGTTACACCTTCTAACCGTAAACCTCAACCTGTCAATCATCGACCGGTGTATGTCACATTGCAAAGCCTGGAGAAACAATGCTATCAAAAATCATTGCAGTATTGAAGGACTTACCCGGAGAATTAGTACATCATATTCTGGGACACATAGCAACTCCCAAGGAGGGCTATGCGCTAGCGCCCTGTGCCACCGTCAGCGACAAATGGCAACAAGTGGTCGAATCGTTGTCGTTCACAGAGGTGACCATTCATCTGACGAATGCCAGCATCCTGTCCGGCGAAACCACCCCTCAAACGCTAGCCAACATCATTTCGGGCACTCGGCTACGGTCCTTAAGAAAGCTTCGCCTCATCATCGATTTCGATCCCTTGAGCTTCACCTCTGTAACTGATTCACTGCAACGTCGAATGAAGCTGGGCAGCGATTTCGTTGATGTGGTTGACGGTTTTGTTGATACCATGAACAGTTGGAAGCGCGAAGCATTGTTCGACCTCGAGATCCATGAAGAACAGTCGTGTGGTCACCACCTCAATCACTTCGGAAGTGATTTTGTTCATGGGCCCCGACGATCCATCCAATGCGTCCGTTCCATCCGGCTCATGGAGTACAACTGTGACAGATGCCGCTGTTGTTCTTACCGTGGACTCTTGTCGTATCTCTGCACCGCCATGTCGGGCTCAGGCAGTTTGGATGGAATAACATACGAGTACCAAGAGCGGGTCCCACGTAACCGCGCAATACACTACGAGCGCTGGGACTTTCTGCCATTGGGGTTGAAATCTCTCACCATTATCAACAATGAGCAGTCAGGCGATGAGCGTGAAATCGTGCTTGCGCATTCGGCTCTCAACAGATCTCTGATGAATATTAGCTGCCAGCTGAAGACCCTTCGCGTATCACATTCCTTGGACGTGGTCTCTCTATTTCTTTCATGCGCCATATCAACTGGACTTAATGCAAGGTGGCATCATCTCCAACATATTTCCATGACATGCGCAGCTCTGGGGTTGAATGGGGAAATTCTGGAAATGGAAATGACCTTGCTGGCCAAAGCCGTTCAGCAAATGCCTAGCATAAAGAAAATAGAGCTGTGGTCTGCCAAAACTAAGGACCAGAGCTACTTCAGCTACACTGTCGACGGGAGGGATGCACGTGCTGTATGGGAGATGAGCTGGGATTTTCGGGTGTCTGAAGCTCTCGCTGATGCGTGGAGCCTTACAGCCAGACAAGACACATGGCGTGACTTAACAATAGAGGTCCGCAGGTTTGTGCCTGATGATGGGGGAGAACGTGAGCCTTTAGCTGCCAGTGCCTTTTCAGGGGAACGTCTTTATTCTGCTGACGACTGCCGAAAACCGAGATTTGGCATACCTTATAGCAACCAATTTGAGTATTCGTATGAGTACGAGGTATGGGGTTGAATTAAGACAAGTCGTTAGAGGAGTTGCACAAGCGATCACTTAGTTGGCTGATTTCGCCATCGCTTATGCGGTATCTGGAAACGAACATGAGTTGTAATTGGTGTAGAGATGGAAAATTAGGAAACCATTAAGGATAATCATTATCTTCCAATCCATGCCCTTTCGGCTTGCTTAGGAAGTTAGTCAGATGTGTTTGCGTTATCCCCTTAGCCAGGTCATCCAAGCTAGACATAGCTTCTCTTCACAACGATCTTTCTGTATGGAACTCGGGCAATGCCACATTCCATCCTGGAAGCCAACTGGAACAATCTAGGCTTGGGAATCTCATTTTATACTATTAACATAATCACCATCTTCAATATTCCCCGAAATGGAAAGTTGCCTGCTGAATCCATGCACCCGACTTGCCCCCGACTGCCAACTTGAACCCAACCGTCGAAGAGGATTGTGTTTGGCTGTTGATATTTCCAGCTGCATGATATAGAGACTTGGCTCATTCCTTCTGCAACAGTTCTCCTCTAAAGTAGGACACACTACCCTGACGGCGAGCCGCAATCCCATGTCACAGAGACTCGGCCTCTGGGCATTCACATTCAGCCGAAATCCGAGCCAAAATGTCAGTCATTTTTGAAGCTGTATTTCTTACGTTTTCTTGGAAATCACGAGCAAAAACTTCGAATGTAAAAGCCTAACGACTGCCGCATTGCGCACTCAAGCATACGATGCGCGCCTGTATTGCCTCGTCTTCTCACCTCTCGGATTCGCGGGCACTTTTCGTTAAATGGGGGTTTAGATGTTTTTTTTTACGTCAATTCAGCTCCTCTAGCTATGATCGTGCTCTCAGAGTCCGTGGTACCGGCAATTAAACCGAGATGTGGCATGTATCAGTAATAAGACTTCCCAGACATTGGCTCGATTATTAGATCACTACCTACCTTGGGAACACATACTACATCGACCAAGGGATAATCATGTTCATGCGTTCAGTTTCTTATTTACCTGCCATCTGCCAAGCCAACTCGTCAATAGTACGCTCGAGTCTGTCCATTCCCGAAGCAGCGTGTTATGGCATCCAAGATAGAATGAAATTTAGCCTGCTGTTGGCATTCAGATGATCAGCATCAATGAAGGCCGTTCGCTTGCTGTCGCACGAAGTTTTGCCAAGGTGCCTAGAATTGGATTATCCTCGCCGAGGCTTGGGACCAGCCAGCAATGACGTCGGAGGTATGCAGCCTGAGCCGTTCTTGATCATGTATTCGAAAGAAAGATGTTAAAAGCCCCGACAGGGCTGTGGAGCCCATAAGTGCCACCATGGACATCTCGTCTATTCACCCAACTCAGAAGTCGCGTTGCTACCTGGGAAACACGTATCGCAGCCAGCAGTTCTGAATTTCGCTTCAATACACAGCCCAGCAAATTTCTCAAAACCCACGTTGTATTTTCACCTCCCAATAATGCGACAGTCGGAACGTGCTGACTCTCCAATCGACAACATTGATCTTGAAGCCAAGAGATCAAGAGGGGAGCAACACGGGGAGAAATATTGGAACAAAGCCAGGCTCAAGCGCAGTATCGGCGGAATCGTTTGCATGGGTGCAGCAGCAGGCATTACAGTAGGTGTCTGCCGTGCCGTTGGCAAGATATGAATTTCCAGAATAGTACAGTGATGCTCAAATAATGCTGTGGTAAACAGGTCGGAGGCTAACTTTGCTCGTTGGTTAGGTGGATCTGTGAACGTATTTTTGGAGTTAAGGTATAATGTGTGGGATGTAGGGTAATGTAAGGGTGATGTGAACTGCGACAATCTAGTCTTCGCTCAAGGTGGTAATCAAGAGAGTGAGCTTTTTATGCAAAACTCGTTGTATGTGCATTCATTGTTGTATGTTGGGACAAACAACAAAATTATATCTCACCACACTCCCGATTCAGGGTCAACTTAGCAGTCCTCATACCAAAGTGAACCGTCCGGAATAAAAAAGTGTGTGACGCCACATCCCCTTCACCATCCCCTTCGCTCGAAACTTTTTCTCCCCTTTCTTATCACCCTTCGGCGTAGTCCTACCGCAGTCTTCCACTACCCATGAGGCACTGAGGCCCCTTGCCTTTGGCCTCGGAATGGATTCAAGATATGCTTGGAAAGGTGTAATAATATGTGTCCCTTGCGCATCACTTCCGCCAAGGTCAAATACCGCCCTCCGGTTGAGAAATTCGGAAACGTCAACTTGAGCGGCTAATCTTAGAGAATAATATTCAATGGGAACCAAATCGGGGACTGAGCCCAGGGGGCTGGAGCTTTCCCTGGCCTTACCCTTATCGCCAGCTGCTGAGTTTCCGATACCCAAAGATTTCGGGCCATCTAGGAATTTTTCTTTGATTTCCGGCATCAATTTCGCAAACAAGGAAGCCTGTAGAAGTTGATCGCTGTGGCTTTGCTTCGACAGCTGGGAAGTCCCATCTTGCAGCATCTTTAACACGGATAGAACGTGTAGGCCCGAGCTATCGCCCAGCGCCGACATGTTATGAGATCGCAATGCAGTGACTAAGCCGTTTGTTGATGCAGGCTTCTTTTTCCACCACGATGTGCGGGAAGACGGCTTGTCTTGTCCAAAGGGAAGGGCTCCCTCGTTAATTGGCTGTGCAAGCCACAGTCCGCCGCTCTGCATTATGCGATCGATGATCCAGGACTGATGTGGCATTCCACCAATGACCCAACTCATCCAGAACATCTTTCCTCTGTTTTCTGCACTGATGTTGCGGGGTATCTGGAGGACTGACTCAACGACGTTCTGCGTCGAGGTGTCGGAGTGATCAACGCCGAATTTGGGATCCGAGACTGAGTTGAAAATGGCATCGGCGACTTGTATCATGCCTTTTGCTTTGAGTAGTATGATTATCTCAAAGAATATGTGTGTGGTAGCTTTACGCCGCGCATCGGGAGATGCACCGTCCTGCTTTACTTGCTGCCAGCTGTCGGAGTATTTCGTTTGGATCGGTTCGAGCCTAACGAACTCGTTCACCTCCCAAAGAATCCCTAGAAGTGACAGCCCCCCTGAGGAGAGTTTGTATGGTGTTGGAACCTCTGCGACAGCTGTATTGGACGCCGGCGTCAAAGAGGCGGATTCAAGAAGGTGTAGACCTTGCGTCAGGGAATGAACCCAGCTGAAGTCAGATTCCTGCTTGGAGGGGAACGCTTGGTGCTATTATCAGATTGATGAATCACAGAATATTATCAAGTTTTTCTGACTTACCTATAGAATGGCTTGACGGAACATTGTACATTTCCGGCAGTAGAAGCGAAAGGTCTCCGTTGATGATTGCAAGGCTAAGGAGACAATGCGACAGGTTGCGTCCTGATTTCTCCAGCTCTGTCGTATTTAGTCGTTTTTCATAGCCACAGATATTAGCTAGAATGGCAATCCGGTCAGCCACGCGAAACAGGTCTCGCCTTTTCAAGAACGCCAATGCAGTGGCAGCGTCGCATCCCTTTCTCTCCCAAAAGTCGCCAAGAGATAGCCGGAAAAGTGTATCGATAGACCGAGGATAGAAGAATCTGATATCGTCAAAGAACTTTGCCTGCCATGAGCCTTTTTCGGCCGTCATTATGTCGCGGGGGAAGTGAGGTAAAACATAGTACTCAAGAGCGTCTTGGATCATATGGAGAGAGACGGCCAGCTCGGTGAGGGACTTTTCGTGGCAAACAAACCACCACCCGCTTACGTCAACCGGTTCGACACGCGGGAAGAGTAAGAGCATTCGGTCGGATGCTATGAAGGCTTCTTGAAGAACCCATGCCCGCGTGTTCCATCTATCGTATACTAATCCGTACACTGCCTCGACTAGGTCTTCCATGAACTCCTCAGGGGGTAGAGGAGGTCCTTTACGAACGGGCCGAGGGCCTCGGCGATTGTTTTCTTGTTTCCCTTTGGCGCTGAGTTCTGCGTCTAACAAGAAGGCATTGAGATGGCGCTGCTCCCATTTGATACTCATGAGTCCGATACAGGTGTGTGCTTTTTGATAGACAAGGTCCATGGATTGAATGCTCAATTCTTTCTCCGTTGGGTTGTCCTGTTCAATGCATTCCTGCGTATAGTTAGAGATTGACTTCAATTCTCTTCTTAGTGAGGAAGAATACCTGGTCGATCCAGATCATACGGAATCCGTTTTCTCTTGCAAAACGTACAACGCGATCGATGGTTGCCCGCGAGGCTCTCACAGGGCGCCGAGTCCCATTCTCTTCGATAACCGTGTATGGCTGAGCCTTGTCTTTGTCCTCACTTTCGTCATCCTCCTGGCTCGACCAGCAGTAAGACACGGCGACGAAATGCTTGCAATTGACCGCAATCCCATCCACACACTCAACCTTGGCTCTCCGGATCCGAAATGTTGAGATGTCGCCAGTGTTCGGAAACAGGGGAATATGACGGCAGCCATCGCAAGTCAGGTCTTCAACGTGAACACATGGATTCGAGTAGCTCTGTAGTTTCCGTTCCCAAGTCTCCAGCTCCTTGGGAGTTAACCGGATGTTGGCGTGGATAGCACATTTGTGGCCTGAAGGAAGCGGGACTCCCTGGGCGCAGCGTTGACATTGTCCTGATTTCGACACAGGAGTTTTTCTGGTAGTCGAGACGTCGGTGCCATCGTCAAAAGTCAGAAATCGGAGATTTTTTGCCCATAACAAGGCATTCTCTCGTGGCCCTGAGTGCTGGAGTATCCCGTCAATCTCGGACGCAAACGCAGGCCCAAAGCCAGCAGGGATTTCGCCGCGGCGTCGGATATCATCCTCCATTGTATACTGCCTTTTTGGAGAACAATTTACAGTAGATATGGTCAAAATCCTGGGTAATGTAATCAGTAAGTTTGGCTCTTGAAGTTGGGGATAATTTTCACTTGGGAGGTTTTCCTCCTTGAGATGCTGACTTGCATATCACCCTGCAGGGATCCACGGCGCTATTGCTTCCTTATTTTACTGCACCAGTTGTCACAAATACAGTGGCCCAATCGCGTTGAGGAGTAACATAGTCCTTCCTAGGCAGCAGCTGCAGGTTCAGGCGGCCTTGATTAATGAGGAAGGAGGCGACAGCGTGCTTTGATGTGCCTATTCAGCTGTGTTGGACTGGTGAACTATATTTATCACTCGTATCGCTTGATTTTATATACTTAGTATCTAGCATTTATCATGATTGTGTTCGCCTTACCATCTTTTGATCATTTTCATAGATGAAAATATGGCAATGCCGCCAATTGGTTTTTCCCTACGGCAACGCTCCAGCTTAGACTCGGACTCTTTAACCAGTTCTTATGGCGATTACCAAGACTTCCATTTACTATAGGACCCGTCGCTCCAGCGATTTTGATGACAGGGACTTCGATACCGCTGAAAACGGGCAGTCAAAGGTGATCAAGAGTTCTAACGCAAGAGCCGCGAACATCCGTGGGAAGAATAAACACAGTGTCAGTCGATGTACCTAGATGATGATAAGCCCATTCTCAATTTCGATCTGTAAGACGGCTCTTTAATTAGAAAAATGGCCTACCAAGTTTGCTCCAGAGAATGAAACCCAGAAGAGAACAGGAGATTGACGTCCGCTTGTCGTGCTCTGATCTCTGCCATGGTCCATGTAGTCAATCTATCATATAAGAAAATTGGGTTGTTCTCGGTGCCTGGCAGTATAACCAATATTGTCTGGCTGATTAGGTGTTTAGGATTGTTCTATATTGAATGCATAAATGATGTTCGATGGAATAATGATGTATTTGATAAGCTTGTACTGCCTCGCGACTACAAGCAGATGTTAAGAACCTTTATCGAAGCGCAATATCTTCATCTTGAAATTTTGACAACATCATCAAAGTCAAGGACGGACTGCTTAATGAATATCGCGCGCTGGCATTTGAAATGACCTTGTTATGAAAGCTGTCAGGACGGCTATGTTCCTGACCTCTAGAGACAAGCCACTGTTGGGTATGACAGATACAGACTGTCTTGCAAATCAAAAGAGGAAAATCGGACAATGGAATTGTGTCAGAGATGACGATGTCGAGATTTCATAGACGTATGCTGGCGTGAAACATAAGCAAACCAAATATAATCGCTAGTGTATGCAGAACAGGGCATAGTTATTCTTCTCAGGAAAGAAACTTGAAACAGAGTATGTGCAGGTAGATCCTTAGTTGCGAGTTAGTTTTGCTGCCAGAAAAGCGTCAAGACTAATCCTTGACACCAATAAGTATCCATTTCATAGCTTTTCAGACCTTTACACATACCTACTGCAATAGGTTCATTGCATATTAGAGGAAGACAGTTAAAAATATTGATTGAATGTCGTAGTATTGAACAATAAAAAAACTTTGCATTAATGGATATCGTAAACTAGATGCTGATGAAAAGAGCACCGCCAACAACGCCGGAAGTGACAAGAATTGTTAATATAGCCGCCCCGGCCTTGTCTGCAGTAGTAATCTTCGAAAAGGTAGGCTCCTTTGACCCTGACCCATCGTCACTCTTGCCTCCATTTGGATTACCCGTAGAGTTACCACCAGTGTTAGCGGTGACAGGCCCGTCTGCTGAGCGAACGAGGTTATACATGATTGCCTGCAAAGATGTCATTTGCGGTCCCACACCGACCAAGCCATCAAAGGAATCTTTCAGCCAGGAGAAGCCACAGGCAGTGCCTGGATGTCCTTTGAAACCATCAGCGGGAGACCCCGAACAGCCTACAGCTGCCTTCTTTCCAGTCGACAACAATAGCTTGTTGATGGAATCCGAAGTATAAGGAGCGACCTGTGACGTGGCCGCCAGCCATCGGGCGAGATATCCCTTGAAACTTTGTGCATCCTGACTGCATTGTGCTGTCGGTTCACAATACGCCTCGTAAATAACTTCGTTCTGGACAAATGCTTTGTTGACGTCTTCGAGCATAGCGTCAACGCGGGTTTTCCATGTATCGCTTTCGGTGACGTTGTACATCACGGCGGCTCCGTAAAGAAAGATGCCGGCATTGTAAGACCATTTTGTGCTGTCCGTCGAGCTGGGGCATTTGCCTTCGAAATGAACTCCGTCCAAGATCTCATGCTCGGCCGTGATTAAGCCGACGTCGGTTTGCCAGTCCCAAATCTTTTCAGCCCAATCAGAGTAGGTATTGTTGCCAGTATATCGAGCTAGGCGTGCGGCAACGTTGAAGAAGCACCCGTTGGAGATGGAGTTCTTGTAATCGAAACCGGCATTCCAGGTGAAAATCTGCCATCGCACTCCTCCGCCGCAGTTCTCTGTGTCCCAGCGACTGACGTACTCATTGAAGACAGCTTGCACTAAGGCAAGCCATTGCGGTTCGCCTTCTGGGGGGTTAGGGTACTTATGCTCTGCTGCCGACATCGCCGCCATTGCCCAAAACCCTTGATCATCATTTCCTTCCGTCAAAGTCTGGTTCTGAGGCATGTAGTCATCATCGTCGCCGGCTTGGTGAATCAGTGCTTGCGTAGTAATGGCGTTGTATGAATCATCCCCCGTGAGCCACCAATAGTCAACCAATGTACCAAACATGGCTCCAGCCTCCCACCCTGGCGTATGTTAGTGGAAAGCCCAAGGCAACATGTGCGGTGACAACAACTTACAGTAGTATGGGTCTGGTAGGTTTCCTGGAGTATCACCAGTGTTATTTCCCGTATAGTATTTTACTAGGCCGTAGGCGACTGTGCCCGCAGCAGTTTTTATCGATTCTGACAAAAGTTAGCTAAACTACAGGAAATAACTACCACCTGGACTCACCGTCATCTTCCCATGTAACATCAATGGCATTGGTAGCAACCGCCAAGGTCAAGCCTACGGTCAATGACGGGTGTGTTAGTCTCATCTTGCCTGGCCAACACAGAGACTATGTGAATCGGGATAGTAGGAAGATTGAATCGATAACGATTCTTGGAAGCCTTGGCATCGACAACATTTGAAGCCGCCAGGCCCGCCAAGATGAGCGGAAAGGCCAACAGGTTAAAAGGCGCCGTCCACGGGCTGTGCACACCCGGGTCCAGTTTCAATTTTCCGCCTCTCCACAGCTGACGTTGGTAACCCACTGCATGATCGCGGACCCAACTTACAAAGGGGTCAACCATATTCACTGCCGCCTCAGAATTCCATCCTTTGGTCCTGAAATTCGGTACAATCTAAAGTTTTGGAGTTGTTCTGATGAAGCCTGACAAGCCTGACGCAGACGCACGCCTAATAAGTCAAGTACACAAAGTGTGAGTCCGAACCGGAGTCCTCGCCTTCTTAACTCCGCGACAACTTGGGGATACGGACAACTTCGGGCATGTGATGCATTTCCCAAATGATTTTTCGGTGCAAAGTACATCATAAACAGGCATGTAACATTGAATTGTTGATCAAACGTACCAACGAAGCTGGGAACGCGTGGACCGTCGACACAAACCACGCTTTCTTGGATGCACGAAAGCAAACGCCGGCCCAGTCGGTATTAGCTTGCTGCGGGTGGTGGGGTGATCTCCGTTTCGATGACGATCCGCCCCTATCCCATCGAGGCCAATAGCAGCCGTGACTGAGACTCTTGAATGCATCGAGCTGGGTCCATCCGGATTCTTAGCGGGAGATGTTGTGGAATTCTTGTGGAGACCTTTCCCACTGACGCGTCTCATCCGAGGATGGGATGGAACAACAGACGGCCAACATCCGGCAGGGCAGACACATGAATTGATATCACCACACCCGAGTCAGCCTGATGCATATCTGGCCTGTGCACAATTGGCCCGATTGTAGGTGGAGACTATGTTTTGCCGTTAGTAAAAGCAGGAGATGGAATTATAGAACTTCTTCAATTTGAGCGCAGGAGGGTAAACTGAGGAATAAGAGAGTGGTCATGAACAAACTTCTCCCTAGATCAATACCTAGATACCCAGGTAGTAACAATGATGCCATGAGAGAAGTAATCTGCGTAGGCCGTTTATTTTTGTCTGGTTTTTTTTTTTTTTTTTTTCTTTTTTCCTGTTCCAACTCGATCGCTGTTGTGGAGGGTGGTCGTTAAAATGAGAGATCCCATATATCTATTTTGAGCATCGTTGCGGCTGGACAAGCCCTTATAATAGTCCACCGCGAATCAAGTGCTCAATGAATGTATATGTTGCTTTCAAGTGGATATAGGGGTGCTGGCATTAACTTGTCGCATTACCCCATCGGGAACAAGGTCCAACACTATCTCCTATCCAGGGTCATCGTATTTTTGTTGATAGGGTAATAATATCAGCTATCAGTTTGGCTCAAGTCCCCTTAAAAAGTGCAACCCATGGGGCTGCCTTTAGTTTGCACAGATTCTAGTATAAGACGGCGGACGATCGTGCTCCATCTAAGCAACACAATAACATTACACTCCACTCTTGTCCCTGAGTTTTCGAATCTGGGTCCAACAGGGGCCATGCCATACTTGCCCTTTTGAGATGTGATATACTGGGCCTTTGTCTCTCAGAAAAAGGCTCTGCGGAGATATCAGTCTTTAGTCAGCTGAACCTATTCCTACAACACGACGGATGATCTTAAGACCAGTCTGGATGCCAGATCCTTAAGTGATCTTGTGAATCAAAGATTCGATATCAATTTTCTGGTTGTGGCAGCGCTATCGATAACTTACGAAAGGAAGATTTCCATTCTCCAAACAACGACGAAGATGGAGAAGAGGGTTGCAAGCGGTTTGTTTTCTAGAACGAAACAGGATCTGGGATACTTCGCAATAAAGCAAAGCAGAAAGGAAACATCCAGCTGGTCGTCTTCTCAGCAATGACTCAACAATTTCACGAGGTTTGTCTAAGTATTTTTAAAACTAAATGATAAGCCAGGGTACACAAAATATCTATTACACCCAAGACTCATCTCTTGACCACACAATTGTGTTCGCCCCCTAGCCAAACAAACGAACTGGGGCAAAAACGGGCGATTTTTGAACTTGATCTTCTGAAACCGCGGTTGGTTTCTTTTCAAAAAGTTCCAAGATAGCCTTGTTGTTTAACGCAGCAGCAACATCCAACGCGGTTCTCTGATTGTTATCCTCTGCCGCAACATCCACGCCTTTCCTCATGAGAAACTGGAATCTCTTTTCCCGCTTTTTAGGCACTGGCCTTGATCCAGACTTATCCGCGGCAACAATGTGTAATAATGTTTCCCCGGTATTGTTAACCGCTTTGAAATCTACGCCGCTTTGTTCCAAGAACTGGAAAAAAGGCGCTTCAAGTCCATCATTTATGAGATTGCGCCGGGCCTCTTCACTTTTTGAGGAGGGTCCAAAGTCAAAAAGGGGTTTCGTGGATGGGTCGAAATGCTGAGCAACATATTGAAAACCACCATGGCGGAAGAAAGCGAACGCAGGTGTCTCGCCCTTGGAATTGCGCGCATTGACATCTACGCCCGTAGCCACGAGCCGTTCGAATAACTTGCGGCGGTTCCCCCCCACCGTACCATCGATAGATGCTTTCCACTGGCTTGTCAAAAGCAGGTGAAGCGTCGTGTTTCCCTCTCCATCGCGAAGTTGTGGATCTGCACCTGAATCGAGCAAGACTTCAATCTCATCCAAAGGTGCTGAGGTCTCAGAACCGAGCCGTAGAATGGCCAGATGAAGCGGCGCTATGCCATTATCACATACGCTATTAACAAGTTCCGGGGCGTGGGTGGCAAACCACTTTACCGGCTTCGCGATCGAGTGATTTCCAGGGCTAAGAAGATGATGAAGGGCGTTCTCACCGCTGTAGTCACGCACACGAACATCGGCGCCACGATTGATCAGAATCTGTAGGGTGGAAAGTATAAAGTCGTCCGCGTCGTTGGGGATTTCAGATCGTCGACCAAAAGCTGAAATTTTGGTGCCGCATATTTCTAACAACAATGTCTTGCCAGAACCGTCGCGAAGTTCCAGGTCCAGCGATGGGCATTCAGAGAATAACCAACCGATACGGCCCAGACTGGATATGTGGCTAATGACTGATTTCTTTCCAAATTCTGCGGCGTATTGTGCGTTTGGATCTGCGCCATAGCGAAGCAATATGCGAGCCATCTTTTCGTATATGTCGTGGTCAGCGTTCTGGTCTCGGAATTTGTAGTCCAGATGCGCAACGTAATGTAATGGATACATTTCTGAGGCCGACGGATTCCTCTGAGACGCAAATGGGTTGGATGCTCCTCTTTCAAATGGATTGGATCCTTTTCCTCCAAAGGCGTTTGTACCTGCAGCGAAGGGATTAGACCCTCCTCCAAAGGCATTTGTACCTGCACCGACGGGATTGGACCCTCCTCCAAAAGCTGTGAATGCTCCTCCTCCAGCAGCAGTTGAACTTCCTCCAAAAGGATTATGTCCTCCTACGTCCCCTCCAAAAAAATTGTTACCTTGCTTCTGTTCTATGGTCTGCTGCACGTTGGGGTCAGCGCCAGTAGATAGCAGTGCCTCGAGCAACCCGGGATCCTTATTGTCAATAGCGGCAATCAACGCCGAGGAAGACACAATGGCTCCATTTTGAAGCAAGAACTTGGTCAACTTCGTATCTCCAGCCACGCGTGAGAGGCAAGATTTGCCCTTATCGTCCACTGAGTTGACGTCTGCACCAAGCTCTATGAGTTTTTCGACAAGGCGCCTGTTGAAAGTGATCGACCCAACGCGCTCGAGAGCAGCGTTCAAGGGCGTCAGGCCGTTTCCGTCACGAATCTCTATATCGGCGCCTTTTTGTACGAGATACGGAAGTGCCACCGAGGTTTGCCACCAAAAGCCACCTCGCACCAGGATGTGTAAAGCACCCTCCCCAATGGAAAAACCACCCAGCCGTCTTCTTGAGTTCAGATTGACCCCGACAGATTCAACAAGAACACGTATGACATCCATGTTCGGCTCTTCGCGATCGCAAGCCTCGATTAGAAGTGGCTGGACCCGATAGTTTCCCCTGTCGTATTGGCTGCACCAGTCTTGTTGTTCAAACTTTTGAGCAACCTCCAACGTAGCAAGGCGGGCAAGGTTGATATCATCGCCTGATGATACCAGACGATGGAGTACGGTTTCGGCTTTTTCGTCAACCTTCAAGCAGTCCATCTTCATCCATTTCTCCGCTGCCACTTCAGGAGTCCTTATTTCCAGTAGTGCCTGGGCCCGCAGAGCGTCAAGAGGCCGCGCTGGCTTAGTCTCGGAAGGGGAATCGCGGAGTTTTTCTATGAGTGCAAGACAGGAGGCAACAGCTGGGTCATTGTTACGGTAAGGTTCCACAAACTGAAATGCTGCTCGAGCATTCAGAAGACACTCAACAGTGAAATGGAAATTCTCTTGCGCTGCGTGTGTAATCGCTTGGTCAATGATCTCTGCTTTGCCGCTCTTGAAGTGCATAAGAACCTTTATGATCTCATGCAATCCTTCAGAATAGAGGGCCGTAGTTCCAAATGCCCAACCTTCGTTTTGAGTCAGCTTAGGCGGACTCCTGTCTGTAATCGTGACGCTGCCACAGTCAGGTCCAGAGTTGTATTCACGTCTGACTAGTCGATTCTGCTTATCCTCGAAGTGAGCGCAGCCTTCCCAAGCGGAGCCTTCATACTGATCCACCCATACTTCAGCTCCAGCTTGGATTAGCAACTTGACAATTTGCACCCTGCCTGATGCACATGCATAGTACAAGGGAGTTTTGCCCGAGGCATCTCGAACGTTGATTGTCCGAATAAAGTTGCCGGTATCAGACTGCATTTTCAACGCTTCCAGGAGCATTCCCACAATATTAGACTGCCCATAACGTGCAGCAAGATGCAAAGCAGTCAAGCTCTCACTGGTCGCATTGAACGGGTCTGCACCAGTTTGTAGTAATCTCCATGTTTGCCATTCAGAGAAGGTGGCGGCCAAGTGAAGAGCCGTCACTCCGCGATTGTCGGCGTAATCGACATTCTGTTGGAGTGCGAGAACGTAGTTGAATACCGTTACCTCATCCCTATCAGTAGATCTGTTGTGGAGACTGAAGTATCCAGGCCTGAAGCTACTGACAACATGAAGAGGCGTGCGGCCGATATAATTCGGTTGTTCTGGGCTGACTCCCATGTCTATGAACTTCTCGAATAGAGTTGGCGGATGGGTGGATTTTCCAAAGCTGTATTTGCAGTAACGAGGGAGAGCCACATGCCACAGCGTGTTGCCTTCGTTGTCGGTTTGGAGAGGATCAACCCCATGGGAAACCAAAAACTTGACGAAATCAACATCACTTCCATCGCCGGAGACGTAAGCATGAAGCAATGTTTGTCCTTTCGAGTCGGTTGTGTTTAAGAGAGCACCAGCAGCCATCATGGTCTGGCATGCTTCTCTTTGAGCGAGACTGTCTGATGAGGCTCGAATCATCTTGTATAAAGGCGTCTGGCCTTCATTATCTTTCAGCTCCAGATCGGCGCCCAGTTGGATAAGATCTGCGAGAATGTGCTGGTCAACACTTTCCAATTTTGATCTCGGAAACATGCTATTAACACCCTGACCAAGTAGATGCAGCAGCGTTTGGCCAGAGTTATTGCGAAGGTTGATGTCAGCACCAGAAGCCACAAGGCGATGAAGCAGATTTCTTTGCTCGGTGCTAAATTGTCGGTTCCTTAGGACATAATGTATGGCTCCGTTGCCTTTATCATCTGTCTCTAACAAATCGGCACCAAATTCGACCAACTGAAGGGCTTTGTCAATAATTCCCTTCTCCAGGGCTGAAAGCAGTGGGGTGCAACCACCTGGCTTAGCCTTAAGTGTCGTATCTGCATTTGCGTGTTCCAGGAGAAGCTGAATGATGTCGTGGTTTTCAGACAGATGTAGCAGAGTTTCTCCAAACCTGTTGACTGCATTGGGATCCGCACCAGCATCTAGCAGAAGACGTACCAAGACTGGATCTGTCGCCAAATGCAGTGCAGTGCAGCCGTCAAAGTCCAACTGGTGTATGTTGACTCCAGCCCTAATCAATAACTCAAAGCATTCTACGGCCGCCTGCGTATCTGTTTCGTTCTTGACCCTTTTGCCTGATACCAAATCGAACAGAGCAGTTTGCCCCTTTGGAACGTCCGAATCCTGGTTTCCATCTCTTCTTAAAATGTTAGGGTCTGCACCTGCCTCAAGCAGTAACTTGACCATTTGGGGGTTCTGCGTGCTGCAAGCAACGAAGAGAGCCGTAACGCCGCAGTAGTGTCGCTGCGAGTTCACATTCACCAAAGGGTTTTCTAGTATCTTCTCAAGCAGGACGGCCCTATTACGACTGACTGCGCAATGAAATGCATAGTTAATCATTTTAGAGGTCTTGAAATAGGGCAGAAAAACGATTGCCACTTCCTCGTGGCCGTAGTTGCATGCGTAGTCAAACGCATTCGACCTGGTTTCTCCTCCAGGTATGTGAAATGTACCCTCGGCTTCCGCCTTCTTAGCCAGCGGATCTGCCCCAGCCTCGAGAAGTTTGACTGCGATTCCTTTGTGGTTATGCATGGCAGCATAGTGCAAGGCGGTATAGCCCCTTCTGTCCACGGCGTCCAGGTTTTTGCTGTGCTGCATAAGTAATTTGACCAAATCTTCATATCCATGGCTCGCAGCCAAGGGCAATGACGAGGCTATTTCCTTGTCTTTATCGGTCTGGTAGGCTCCAGGTTGCTTCAGCAGTCTCTTTGTATACTCCGTGAGACCTAGAATGATAGAAGTCAAGAAAGGGGTGGTTTCAGATGCTCTTGTAAGCAATCCAGACAGATATGCCCATTTCGACAACGTCTCTCCAGTGAGAAAACTGTCCAACATATTGTTAACTTGCGTTTGGTCAAAGCCAACCGAAGCCGCCTTTCTGACATGTATATACCAATTCGAAAGAGCGTATCGGAGGAAAGGCGTCGAAAGCCATCGTTGATTCATGTCCATCGAGTTGCGTTCATATTCGTCACTGTTGAAACTCCTCAGGCGGACTTGAACCTCATCTAGGCAGCCAGATTGGAGATAGGAGAGACAGCAAATGGCGAGGCTATTGTGCGTTGACCCAAAATCAAGAATAGGGTAGCCCTGTGCATCTGGTTCCCTAGTTGACCCATTCAAGAATTCGGTGAGGGAGTGATGCACAACGCAAATTGTTTCGTTTGGCATAATCTCCAGGAGTGGCCCGCATGCAGCGCGGACAAGGTCTTTAGTCTCTCGCAGGCTAGGCTTGTCTTCAGATTGCGTCGTAACGCTCAGCATTTCGGCAATTTCGAGCAGTCGAAGGGGTCGGCTGGCATGAGTAACCCACTGAAGGATTAGAAGCTGGGTGTCATTGGGAACTCCCGACCTCTCAGCATGCTGACGGAGTAGGTCATTGTACATGACGTTGAGATCGGCAGGCAATTCTCGAAGAACTTCCTGAATGTTTGCTCCCGGTCGAAGAAAGGCGTCTATTGCCAGTTTCGCATACAGAAAGAGACCATTTGCTCTGCCAGGGACAGCTTTTTGAATGGCGACATGTTCTTCCTTGGGAATTGAAGACGTGGATAGTCTGCTTTGGACATAACTAGCGATATCAATGTCGACCAAGTCTTCTTCGAGCCGGATGTTGAGGGCCTTGGCCATTCTGAGAGGTCTTTCAACGCTAGGCACAGGTCGGCTGGTAATAATAACTTTGAACTCTGAAGGTCGCCATTGGCTAAGTGTAGCCAAAGACTGTAGGAATTGATCCGCGTGTTCCCCTTGGTCCATCTCGTCTAATGCATCAACTACACAGTAAGCCTTGGGGAGATGGGAGAGAGCAGTTCGTAGATAGCTCCAGATGTCAGAGAACGATAGACTCTCCAAAGACCGTTTCTCTTTTAGCAATTCTTTCAGTTTCAGTTGTAGCGGCGGGCTGTAATTCAAAATCTGTGCCAGCCAGTCGCGCAAAGCTGCCGTCGGACTATGATTGGCGTCGATAATCTGGCGAAAGAAGAAGTACAGGACCAGGACGCTCTCTTGAGCCAGAGAATGGACCAAGGTAGCCGCAAACACTGATTTACCCGACCCAGGGATGCCTATTTTGTCATGAATTAGATTCAAGGAAACTCCATAACTGATCACACATAGTCAAACCTCGGATCCATAGTAATCCATTTTGGTAACTGTCGTGCCATTCACGATAAGTGTCTGACGATAAAAGCCATTGGCCGGTGCCAGCAACATGTGAAGACAGATGTTTCTTGAATTCGCTACTCTTGTCATCGTAGCTGGTAGGTTGCAACCATTTGCGTATTTCGCTGAGTGTTTCTGGGGATTGGGGAAGGATGTTGTCCTCGTTATAGTCGCTCACGTCGTCTCTACTCAGTACAACTGGCTCGTCGTCCTCTGGCGCCTTCGACTTAGCTGGTGCAGCAGAGCCGAACATCCCAGCCGAAATCCATGACGCCATGGCTTTTCAAACGTACCACGCCGTTACTGGTGTGTTTGCAAGTTGGTAAGTTCGTTGGATGTTGTGGCGCGAGATTGATAAGTGGATGGGTTCAAGCGGAGTTCTCCTCCGTTTAGGCAGCAAAGCGGCACAGCAAAACTTCCCTCATTTCTTGGCGCATGTGCTGGTTTACCTTCAATGTGTGATTCAACTGCACTTCGTAATCTTTGTTGGTTTCTGGAGCTCGGAAGTAACTTATCATCAAGGGATCCGATGCACTGTGACTGCTACTTCATACAAGAGTTGCAGGGCTTTTAACAGCGCACATAGTGGCGTAATGTGAAAATTGCACCGACTTGCTGTCCGTCAATTTCGCGGTATGAAGCTGAATCACGTAAAATTGTTCGGCGGCATGCCAAGTTGCCCCTCTATCATGGTCAATGCTAGCAGGGGTCTCGGATCCTTAAGGGTTTTTTAGAGGCACTAAATGCTACCAGGCCTAAAAGAGTTAATGGTCGACATGCATGCTATTTACCTGCTATGGGTCTTACTATATTCCGAGATTTTTTTTTCTATTTTCTTTTTTCTTGGGTCCCCAGTCATCACTAGAGGCTGTTGATCCACGCCTCATCATCGTCTCTCGACTAAGGTATTTCAAGGGGTATCTGACTACCTTACTTAGGCTACTGAGTCGTCTGAGTAGGTTGATAATGCTTACTAACGTTCTATTGAGACATGATAATTAAAAGAAAAAAAAAAAAAAAAAAAGAATAAGAGCTTTATCTTTAACGTCCCACACCCACTTCTGGGCACCCCCCACATTTGGGCACCCCATTTACACCAAAAACGCCGTTTTTCGAAATTCTATATTAAACTAACTACTATACTTACTAAGAAAAGAAAATATATATAAACTATGTTAAGTATAATTATAGCCATCTAATTTTTTATAAAGGTTTAAATATAATAATAGTTATAATATAGAAGTTTAAAACTAAAAGCTTTAAAATGTTAGTAGATACTAGTAACTTACTAGTATTCCTTAACATTAGAAAAATATATTTTCGCTTATATATACTTATTTAAAAAATCTAGGAAATTAATATTTATACTTATTAAAAGTATATAATTATATCTAAAAGAGATTTAAAAGTATTACTTTAGTAAATATAGTATAATTAAGGGTTAAAATTCTATAATAGAAACTTTTCTTAAGGGAAATTTTAAAATATTATTCTAAGCTTAAAGAATTTTTTACTAAGTATAAGAATATATAAATCTACTATATCTTACTTAAAAATTCTAATCATATTAGTTAAATATCTCTACCTATTTTATATATTAAGATATAGGCTAGGTAAATTAGTATTATAAATGTTAAACCTTGAATTTATAATACTTATTATCAATAATACTAGTATATAGCTACTTAAGTATTATAATTAAGTCTTAATCTATTTAACATATATTTATTCTCTTTAATAAGTAAAGTATTTAGTTTAATATAGAATTTCGAAAAACGGCGTTTTTGGTGTAAATGGGGTGCCCAAATGTGGGGGGTGCCCAGAAGTGGGTGTGGGACGTTAGTAGAAGAGTTGCTTGTGCCACAGATTCGGTTAAATTTAGGATATTAAGAAAGCATCGCTCGTAGAGATAGTCAGAGTAGCCTTTGCCATTTCAGTTTTGCAAACAATATATTTACCAAGACTGGACCTTTTTTCACAACATCTTATTATCCATCTATAACTTGGACTGCTCCGCAGCTGTCAGCTTACGCAGAGGCGGCCCACCACGACTGCCATCACCCAGTTTGAGCTCCTCTGACTTTCCATCAGACTCTCGCAGTCTCCATTTGTGCCTCAGCTCGCCCGACGCCTTTTCTTCGAAACAGTCGGTAATGTACCTGCCTAGAACAGGGAGAAACTTGAATGCACTGCATTATATGGTCAGCAAGTTGTCTCGTTCGTATTGCACCATTAACTTACTGTCCCGCGCCACCAGTAGCGACAAACAGTCCTTCCATCGAAGGATGGTAATCCATAATGAAATCTCCCTCTGGGGTGTCAGAGTACCAGCACAACCTTCGGTTCGACCATGGCCGCGTCGCGAACTCCGGCGCAAGCTGCTGCACGCCATCACGCAAGCCCTTATCCGCGTCGTCTGGGAGGTATCCGCTTGTCGCGTTGCTTTCGTCCCGCTTCGGCGCCGATATGAACCTCTCCGAAGCCGTCTTTTCTTTGTCACCGACACGAACTTCGGTTGCATATCCGTAACCGTGGCGTGCAAATTTGAGAATGGGGTTCTTTCCCTTCGTAGGCGGGAAGATGAAAACGCCAGTGTTGAAGTTGATTATCACAGGCATATCCTTGAGCCTTTGAGCCTCTTCCTCCGTGAGCTTCATGAAGCCTACAGGTTGACCGGACGCCGAGGTAGCGCTGCTTATGTGCACGATTCGGTTCGTCCAAGCGCCTGTCGCGAGGATGACCTGGTCACCCAAAACTGGTGGTCCTTCAACGACGTTCACGCCAACGACCTTATCCTGCTCTATTTTGAGCGATTCCACGGTACCACGGGCTCCTGAGATGAATTGGACTCCGAGCAAGCTGCATTGCGAAGCCAGCTGTGCTATGGCTCCTTTGGCGTCCGCCCATCCGCCCTTGTGATTGATACACGCTTGGAGACCATCAAAGTTGGCCTGGGCACTGGGGAAGTCTTTTCGGACATGATTGGCATCCTCATAGCTCGTAAGAGTCTGGCCCGTCTTGGCAGCAACCTCTTTCGCCTTGTCAAGCCAGGCGTTGCCCTTCTGGTCCGCTAGCATGACGAAGCCAGACTCGTGATAGTGGTCGGAGTACTCCGTAGTCCAGCCCTGGTATGCCTCGCGGGCCATCTGGCCATAGACGGGATCGGCATAGTCCACGCGGATAATACGCGAGATGTCAACGCTGCTGCCATCCGCAACGGGAGGGAGGAAGCGGTCGAGGACGGTGATGTGACGGTAGCCCCGCTTTTTCAGCTCGAGGGCAGTAGATAAGCCGAAAACACCAGCGCCAACTATGACTATGGGTGCGTCTTTTGAAGCTCTTCTGGAAACCATGTTGGGTTGTATTTGATGGTGTTGTGATTGGGGTGGAGTTTAGTTTTTTCTTCATGGAGGAAGAAATCAAAGGCATGATCGGTCCTCTTTATAGAAGGGAGACCTCGTCAATTGAGTCAGCCATTAGCGTCATCAAACATGCGATAGCCTCTGATTTGTAGGAATATCAGAATGCGCCATATGCATTTCCACTGGGCTGGGTTGTTATCATTCATTGTCCAATCACTATTGTCTCGATCTTGCGGGGAGCCGTTGGCAGTACCAAAGTGGGTACGGAACACGGACCGTACCCACTTCTGAAGGCGGAAAGCCGGGCCATCCATCTAGGTCGGTGCCACACTGAACTCGGCATGACTTGTTCAGGCCTCTGTACCCGATTGCTTGATTTTAACAGGAGTTACATATCTGTAGAAGGCATTTGGCGTTTCGTGATATCATAAGAGAATTGGGTATTTTGATACCATCGGCAAACAGTTTTGCTCACTGATGCATCCTTTCTTTCTCTGATGTCAACCAATATGTTGGTCTCCTAAGATGTGACCCCTTTCCAATTAGCCCTTATCAATCATGAACTTCTGCTCAGTAAGTCAAAATAGCCTACCTCATCAATTGAGCTAGATTTATTTCATAAGACTATATAGATACTTTCCATGGATACCGAAAACGCCCGCAATCTCAAAAAAGTACGACAGGCGGCAACGGTTTCAGTCCGTCATATGCGCAAATAACTATAGAGCATCGTACTTGGCATCACGGCCACGAATCAAGATTCAGCCAGTCGTCAAGAGCCCGGCCATAATCGTTCCCGCCAAAGAATCTATCTGTCTGCTCTCCATGAGGCCCCAGCCCCTCAAAAAACATGTCTTCAAAGGAGGGGCCGATATCTGCTGCGGGCGGCTCAAGGCGTACTTCCTCAGGTACGCTAGTACGTGCCTTTTCCTCACTTGGAGGCCAGACCGCCGCTTCATTCGGCATCGCCTTGTGAGCCGATATGCCTGCCGAGCCAACAAGATCGAATTCAGCGACTCGGTCTGCGGCGCATACTTCCGCAGCATCAGATTTCAGCGTTGGGCCGAACATTGACTGATCCCATCCAGCGTCGGGCCGTACCGCTCTATCATATATCAGGAGGTCCCAGAGAAGCTGACTGTTTATAGAGAAAGACCGGTTGGAGTTGAGGTTGTTTTGTTGGTCTCTTGAGGGTTTCATTACAATGCTGTCCTGCAGGCGTTTTAGGTTGGTGGCCTAGAGCAGGTTAGCCGCGACTGGATTATGAGGCAGTGACAATGTAGACAAACCATATTAGAAACGCATGGCCATATTGCTCCCATTTTCTCCAAAAAGTTCATGCATTTCTGAAACCCCGCCTGCGCTTTCCCGCAAAGGACGGGGTCCTGCACAAAGCTATGCTGCAGATGTATCGTCGCGACGATGACGACGCAGTGAGCCAGCACGGGATCGGAAACTTGTATGCCTTTCTTTTCCAGCACGTCGATGAAGTAAATGACCCAGCCCGCATTCCTATTTATCGCCTCGAATGACTGTTGCATAAAGTTTACGGGAATAGTTTGTCGAAAACTTCGCAATCTCATCGATAGCAAGAACGGGTGGCTGAGTAGACATGGAATCGTCTCGTGGACGAACTGTATGAAGAGGAACGGCATCCACCATTGCCGCCGCGCCTGAATTTCCTCGGGGCTGAAGTCGTCTATCCTGTTGTTTGCAAAACGATACTTGGTTGATGCGTGGCAATCGATGTCATGGTGACTCTGCATGACCATGGAGTAATCTGACCGTGAATCCCAGGGAGGCGGGTCGTCTAATCCGACGCGGTTGGCGGCGTAGGCGCGAGCCATGCGCCAGGTCACGCTGAAGTGTATTGCAAGAGTTGATATGCTTTTGTCGAGTGGCTCTTCGAATTGGTTGTGGGAAAGCTCCGGGGCGATACATGATGCCATCATGCCGAAGGCCTGGCTTGCACTGTGGGAACCTGGAGGGGCACGAAGCAGGTTTGTCGCAGGTATGATGCATCCTTGAAGGTTTTGTAAGGCTACGATGCTTTGGAGGCAATATTTTCGCTCTTGGGCATTTGCTGGATTGTTGGAAGGTGGTATACTATGAGCGAGATGGCTAGCTATACTCAAGTTGACTCCTGACTGTGTCACATTGCCGGCTTTTGTGTAGTTCTGTTAGCGTCAGAAGCAGGTGATGTAACGTAGCTTACTAACATGCAAATTCCACCATGCTAATGAGGCACAGGGACTGTATGGTCGAGAGCTCAACGCGTCCGTCCAAGATACGGTCCATTACAATACGTTTCGATGACCGTGCCTTGGAGATGAGCTGCTGCTCATTCTCGGCGATTAATGAACCTGGAGGAAATCTTAGAGCTAAGGCTTCTAGTACGAGGATCAGCTCTGGATCCCGCGATGAGAGGGATGCCAGGAAATTATCCTCGGCAAAGAGTTTGATAGGTTGACAGTGACACCAAGTCAGATATAGACGCCCCACTTCGGTGAGGTGGGATTCTGTAACAACGGCGATGTTGTTGCTAGATAAAACTGTTAGCAGTTGATTTGAAGTTAATCGTGAGTTACTTGAATCAGGTCAGAGACTAGCATACATGGAGCTTTCTGCGTTAGGCACGGGTGGTTTATCATCGTGCGTAGCGCTCGCAATCTCAGTCATAACATTGGGTTTTGGTAACATGGCACTGCTTGATGAAGGCTGGGTAGGTTGCGGATCAGGACTAGCAAAGATTGAGTAATGTTCCAGCCATGAGCTCAAGGGGGCTTTTAACCTCAAATTCCGGATCAGTCTGTCCATTTTTCCTTCAAGGCTGTGTAGACGATTTTCCTATCTTTCGCGTCAGGTTGGACTTTTGGCAAATCGATGAGATTACGAACCAAATCTCTGGTGTGTTTCGCCTGCTGCGCATCTGCCGCATCGCCAGACGCATTGTAAACGCAAACCTGGCCTAGCCGCTCGCAGTAAGAGCAAACAGGTCTCTCACCCGGGCATTTGGACTTTTTGCGGCTGTTTAGTCGTTTCATTAGGACCGTAGACTTCAGCAGCAAGCCAGGCGACATTCGTACCGGCAGGGTTCACAGGCCTGACGTGCCCGCTTCGCGTAGCGAGCATCATCCATGGCGATGGCCTGGTTTTATCGCCAATACAGTGATTGGATCTCAATAGGATCAGATCGAAATCAATGAGAAAGTCCTGATGCTGCTAGCTAGCTGATGTTACTAGGTAGCTTTTCATTCTATCGAGTCGAATGAGATGGTCTAGCAAGAGCCTTTTCGACCTAATCTTCAAATAATGAAGTATCGAGCCTTCATTTGAAACATTCGAATCCGGAAAAACTGTTCTGTCGGTTTGCTGCTGCTTTAATAGATGTAGGCATTGAGATAAGCGAACGGAAGTGTCTGAGGCACAGGTGAGTTGATGGGCGGCCCTGATGACACATCCAGGCTGAGCGGTGCCCCACCTGCCACAAAAAAGGTCTTGGTACTAGAACCCCGCTAACTCGACAGTCTTTTCAGCACATTTCGACTTTTCCACCTCAGCATTATGAGGCTACAAGTCCTACAACTCCAAGCGACTCAAAGGACATATCTTGCTCAATTAGTTGTGGATGCTACCCTTACACAGCACTATTCAACTATGACAGACTCCAGCTGATCGAGGACAGAAATCATCCTTAGCTGGCTGGCATGGGCTTTATCATGCCTCGGGCTGATTTTGGCCTCACTTACGGTCCGCCTCAATTTATCACCAATTTTATTACGCCGATTCCAGGCTTCCAATTGCCAGGCCTCATAATCAATTCTTTCTGGTTTATTTTACAACAAGACAAGGGGCCGTAGCTCAATGGTAGAGCGCTCCTCTTCCAGGGTTTCTTCTCTTTCGAGATTCATAAGGTAAGTATTTCTGAAGCTCTGCCAGGGGAGAGATGATGCGTTCGATCCCATCCGGTTCCATTCTTTTTGATGTTTGATCCCATTTTGTTGGACGACTGTATCGATTTAGTGTGTGCTCATTGGGTCGGATGTTCCAAGGTTCCCTGATTGTCCAATCACCAACCCAAGCCATATCTTAGACACCGGTCTCGCTCAGGATAACATTCAAGTATGGTCGAGAACCAAAGGAGGAGGTTTGTCATGCCGCAGGCCGATCTTGGTAGGCCCACACGACGGCAGTCAGCGGGCCTCATCGGCGTCTGTTGCTCTGAACCGAAGCCATGCCAATACCGACTCGGCCGGGCCGCCCCGGCCCCACGAACTGCCTAGCCGTGGACATATTTCGTTATCCACACACGTGTAATCTTTAGTACGGCAAAACCGGAATAATCAGTGAAAATCGAGATCCACTGAAGAAATAGAATGCGGACTTCCACAGTACTGAGTGAGCACCCATGCTAGGTAGATTCTGCTCACTCTACTCAACACTAGTGTTCCTGATACATCAAAATGAAGACATCACTCGTACTCTATTCACACACGCCCAAGCTCAACTTTTTTTTATCTGATCTATTCATAAACTCACAATACCACGATACCCCTACAGCCCAACACGAGGATGACAAATGACATCATGCGGGTTGGACCCCTTTTCCATCTCTCTTCCATCTGAGGGTCCTCCGGGAGACGGAGGCTGACAGGGATGCCCCGCCAGCTCAGTCAGCCCATCTTGGCACCCAGCCAATCACAATTGACCAAAATGTACCTGCACACGGCAGAAGCAGGTACCCCGCAGTCCCGAGATCGGCGCCCCTCTAGAGACCTGGAGAGCTGGTATGACTCCCAAATTCTCCTCCGGCCCAGAAAAAATCGGTGCGGGCTATTACGTTTAGAGGAGCTCCCATTATCAGAGCCACAATTCAAAGCATCTTTAACCTCGAACTATCCGACTGAGCCGTTTCAAATCCTCTCAATTGAGTTTTTGATCCATCCCCCGACCGTTCCCTCTCCTCTTACGATACCCCTCAACTTTCGATTCGAACAAAAAAGAGACGATAGTCACGATGGCTGCCTTCCCGCCCCCTCCCGTCAACACCATTGACTGGTCCAACGTCGGCTTCAAAGTCCGCGAAGGTGAGCAGTAGCATTGGCAGCAGCCTCGATCCGTAACTCCAGAGAACATTCGCCGCTGACAGCTGCCCGTTCCATTAGTCAATGGCCACATCGAGTCCACCTACTCCGTGACGACCGGCAAGTGGTCGCCGCTCAAGTTCGTCGCGGACCCCTTCATGCGTATCCACGGCATGGCCCCCGCCCTGAACTACGGCCAGCAAGCCTACGAGGGCCTCAAGGCCTTCCGCGCCCCCGGAGACAACGCCATCACCATCTTCCGCCCCAACAAGAACGCCCTCCGCCTGCAGCACTCCGCCGACGTCGCCTCCATGCCCCGCGTGCCCGAGGAGCTCTTCATCGAGGCCGTCAAGGCCGCCGTCTCCCTCAACGCCGGATACGTCCCGCCCCACGAGACCGGCGCCGCCATGTACATCCGCCCCCAGCTGTACGGCTCGTCCGCTCAGCTCGGCCTGAACCCTCCCGAGGAGTACATCTTTGCCGTCTTCGTCATCCCCACCGGTGTCTACCACGGCTCGCACCCCGTCAAGGCCCTGATCCTGGACGACTTTGACCGTGCGGCGCCCAACGGCACTGGACACGCCAAGGTTGGAGGAAACTACGCCCCCGTGCTGCGCTTCAGCGACCGCGCTCGCAACGAGGGATACGGCATCACGCTGCACCTCGACAGCGTCAAGCACGAGGACATTGACGAGTTCAGCACGAGTGGTTTCATTGGTGCCAAGAAGGAGGGCGACAAGATCACCCTCGTCGTGCCGGATTCCAAGTGCGTCATCGACAGTGTAACGAGCGACAGCATCCAGGAGATTGCCCGCAGCTTCGGCTGGAATGTCGAGAAGAGAGTGGTAAGTCTACGCGAGGGCATCATGCAGGGTCCAAATGGCAGGGCCCCAAATATTCCGTATACTAACATGTCACGTGTGCAGATCAAGTACAGCGAGCTCCCTACCTTTGCCGAGGTCATGGCCGCCGGCACGGCCGCGGCTCTGGTTCCTATCCGCTCCATCACCCGTCGCGTCGACGCGTCGTCGCCTCAGTCCCTGGCGGCCAGCAAGCAGGAGCGCGTGAGCAGCGCCAAGGCGGGCGAGGAGACGGTGACTTACATCCCCGAGAGCCAGGAGGATGCAGGTGAGATCTGCCTCAAGCTTCTGTCGACGCTCAAGGGCATCCAGCTCGGCAAGCTCAAGGATGAGTTCGGCTGGAACAGCCCCGTCAGCGAGGCGGACGGCACTGCGGTCGCGGGAGAGCAAAAGACGAACGGCTCGGCCACGACGGTTGGCCAGATGGATTAAGGGTCCGGCTGGTGTGTAACACTGGGGAAAACCCGTCGGCTGGACTCGCCAATAACGGTATGGTCTAGTTGGGCGGGTGCCGGAATGTGTTTATAAAAAACAAAACAGTAAAAATTGGAAACATAACATAAGCGAATACCTGGCCATGTTTCTCTCTTCTGTGGGGTGCATTATCCACGTCCTTGGCGACATATGGGGGGATGTACAGGCGGTCTTTGCCCGACATTTGGCTCGTATCTTTTTGGTTTGTTGTTTTTGGTAGTTTAATGAGGGTTTGAGTCGAGGGAGTGAACAAGTGAGACTGCGGCACATGGAGCCTAGCCGCGAGACCTGCCGAAGCCGATTAAACATCTGCGAGAATTTCTCCTCGAGATGGAGTCAGAGGGATTTGTCACATCAAAGATATTACTCAAATAAAATGAAGGGCGCGACAAGCTTGTCATCCTCCACTGAGCACATGAGAAAAGGCGATATTCGGCTAGACGAGCGAGCTGGATCCAAAGTGGTAGGTGTGTACTACTACTGCTACGCCTGCTGCTACGGCTGCTACGTGGTGCGTACTATGTACTGAGGGTGGCTATGCCAGAATTACACGGCAGGTGCTCCCCCCAAAAATCTTGGCACTAGGAAAGTGAACATGTCTTGGCGGTCCAATGGGGCCATCTTGCCCAAAAATCTCTCAAGTCTGGGAAAAAAAATAAAAAATTGGAGGCTGCAAAGTTCCGTTTTCTTAGGGCCGATAGTCGAGCTGGGAGAATTTGGTAGTGAAATGGATGCGGCAACCTTGGCGGACGCTAGCAGAAGCTTAGCAGCTCTAAACAAACCAAACACCAGAGGCAGCGACCCACATATGCTCTACGTATCCACTCTAGAACTCCACTTTGAGCTCTGGGGGTAGGCACGGGTGTAGGTTCTTTGAAGGGAAAGAGCTAGCTTCAATGTACCTGCCGTAGACATGGCATGAAGCCTTCCCATTTCCCCTTCCCTTTTTCCAAAGTCTTTTTGCCTTTTTTTCTTTTTATTCCGTATTTTCACTTCCTCTACCTAAAAAGTTCGGACTACACACTGCCGAGAAGCCTCATCCTAGTCCATCTCTTTTGTCATTGTTTTCTCCCTCAAAAAACCCCAGCTAGAGGCAGGGCCCAGCCATCGACCAACGGAAGACGGCAGGCTGCGGCATTATGTTGCGCTTTGGAATAATGACCCGATGAAGCCACACACCCCATCGACCTCTATCTTCCGACGCCCGCAGCTTGGCTCCCTCCCCCCCGCCATGGCATCCTGCAGTTGGTGCTGGCCCAGGGGAAGATGGTGGATGTCTCTCATCCCACATCTTGGCAACACTGCATCCTTGAACGCGTAACCAGTCCCTCGACAAATCCATCATCAGACCGCCTGCGTTAGCCAGTAGGCGCCGTCGAATTCGAGAGAGTACGAGGCTAGGGTTAGTACGCAAGAGACAACAAGACGGATTTCCCGCTTTTATTTTCCGCATCACATTCTGATATCACTCAGCGTTTCGTCCCATCCAATCACTCCCTCCCACTCGACTCGTGGTCTTCCCATCGCCTTGGTCCTCACGAATTCTCTCCATCCCTGTCCAAGCTATCCTTGTCATTCCGGCCAGTAGCAACATCGGCTCGCAGCGGGCGTCCATTCTCACATGGCTCGAATCCTGCGGCCCCTCGCCTACCCGGCATACCTTAATCAGTCCAAGGGAAAATGCCACACGTCTCAACCCTCTGCCACGTCCTTTCCTAACCAAACCCCAACCTGCGCCTGTGACAACCATGTTTCTGTCACAGTGTCTCTGATAGACTACCTGATCCTCGCCTAGATAAGCGTGCATCTGCATGTGCTAGCCACGCAGAAGCCAGGAGCCAAGTAGACCCCAGAAGCTCTGAGGATACAGGAGGGGCTGGATCTCGGAGACCACCGTTACTGGCGCCAGACGGACCCGAACCTTAAGAGCTGTGAAAGAGAGACTGCGCCCGCCACGCCCACCACGCCTCATGGCTGCTTCGCATTTTCCATCCCGCTAGCCTGACCGCCTGGTCCATAATCCCAAGAAGGGCAAGATGAACCAAGATCCCTATGACACCCCCACTCTCAACCCTCTTACCTTGTCTTTGTCTCGAGACACAATCATCGTGAAATTAGGGCAAGGCACCCAATCACGCTGCCCGTGGGCTCCGGCATCCAAAAACTTAAAGAGCCTGACATTCTTCCTCCAGTTTGTAGTGTACACAAATACTTTTCTTCTCACCCTGAGATCCCTTTACCCTTGACTTGTTGCCGCCTTCCTAGACTCCAGGGTTCGCCAATTTGCTATTTTGCCTCTCTTACAACCTCCACGTCGTGCTTTGCGCCGGCGCCCTCTTGGTCCACACATAACTGTATAACCGCCTGGCATGGCTGATCCAACCGCCCCCGCTACTCCCAATACCCCGAGAATCAAGATTGAAGACAATCTCGAAAAGATTGAAAAGGTCAGGTCAGCTTCGACTGTTGACGAATGGGCGCAATGGCAACGTCCTGATATCGGTTCCAGCACTGGTGTTGCCGGTGGTATCTATTATGGTCGTGACTTGACCCGCATCGCTTCGAACCGGCGCAGCTTGTCGCACGGCGTCACCCGGGACTCTACCATTGAGGTTGAAGACAGCGGCGATGACTGGCGCCGTGACGATGGGAGGAAGAAGCAGGTCTTTACGGGGACAACACTGATGTGGTATGTGATGGTGCTTTCTTTGTGGCGAAAAGCTTGCTAATCCCGAGACCGACAGGCTCGCTTACCAGTCGATTGGTGTTATCTATGGTGACATTGGAACCAGGTGAGCAATATTCCACCTGCTTGTGAACTGGATCTTTTTTGACGCATCTAGTCCCCTCTACGTCTTCTCGTCGACCTTTACAGACATCCCTACGAAGAACGATCTAACCCAAGTTCTCTCGCTCATCATCTGGTCCCTCACTCTCATGGTCACCATCAAATACGTTTTCATTGTTCTGCATGCGGATAACGAAGGAGAGGGTGGCACGTTTTCTTGCTACTCCCTCCTTACGCGATATGTGAGTCTTCCATTTCTACTATCCAGCATCACTAGCTGACCAGCCCAGGCCAACATCACCACCGTCGACCCTCGAGAAGAAGCCACGCTTCAAATTGAGCGGTTCAACACACAGGATGTGCGACCGGTGACCCGTGGCATCCGCTCTGTTATTGAGAAGAGCAAGTTCACTCGGGGATTCCTCAAGACCATCGGTGTTCTGGCTGTTTCCATGGTCATTGCCGACGGAATCCTTACCCCAGCACAGTCCGTCCTAGGTGCTATTCAGGGTCTTTCAGTTGTCAAGCCTGACATCAGCACCTCGACTATCGTGGGCACAACGTGTGGCATCCTCGTCCTGCTCTTCCTCATCCAGCCGCTGGGCACTACAAAATTGGCCAGCACATTTGCGCCTATTGTCATCATCTGGCTAGGCTTCAACGGCGCATTCGGCATTTACAACCTTGTCAAGTACGACTACACAGTTCTCAAGGCCTTCAGCCCCTATTACGCGATCCACTTCTTCATGGAGAGGAAGACCGAGGGATGGAGGATGCTCGGTGGTGTTCTGCTGTGTTTCACCGGTGTCGAGGCACTTTTCGCCGACCTGGGTGCTTTCAGCATGCGCGCCGTGCAGATGAGTTGGCTGTTGTGGACATACCCTTGCCTTATTCTCGCTTACAGCGGACAGGCAGCGCACATTGCTGTTTTCCCGGAAAAGTTCACGAACCCCTTCTTCAACACTGTTCCTCCGGGGATGTTGTACCCCAGTCTGATTTTGGCTGTGTTGGCTGCAATCGTTGCATCGCAGGCCATCATCACAGCAACATTCCAAGTATGCTTCCCTCCCTCACTCTTTATACTGTTCTCACTAACATCATCGTAGCTCTCCAGCCAAATCATGAAACTCTCTTACTGCCCCCAGATGAAGGTAGTCCACACCTCCGAGAAATTCCACGGCCAAGTCTACGTCCCCCTGCTCAACTGGCTCCTCATGCTCGGTACCATCCTCGTGACAGCAGTCTATAACAACACGACAAGCCTAGGCCACGCCTACGGCGTCTGCGTTATTTTCGTCACATTCTTCGACACTCTCATGGTAACCCTCGTCGCGATCCTTGTTTGGCGGCTCCCAGTCTGGCTCATCTTCCTTCCCGCCCTCGCATTCGCCACCCTAGACGGCCTATACCTCTCCTCGGCACTCAACAAAGTACCTGACGGTGCGTGGTTTACACTGATGATATCCGCTCTCATGGCAGGCATGTTCCTCCTCTGGCGCTTCGGCAAGGAGAACCAGTGGCGCGCCGAGAAGGAAGACCGTTTCCAGCCCAGCGCGCTGCTGGCCAAGAACCACGATGGCAAGCTTGCGCTGACGCCACGCTGGGGCGGCGATCTCCTCTCGCCCGTCAGCGGTTTCGGCATCTTCTTCGATAAGACGGGTATCCAGACGCCGAGCGTCTTCACGCACTTTGCATCCAAACTCGGCGCTCTCCCTGATGTGGCTGTGTTTTTCCACCTGCACCCCGTCGAGATCCCGTCTGTGCCGGACGCAGAGCGGTACCATATTTCCCGGTTCGCAAACATACCAGGCTGTTACCGCCTTGTCGTCCGCCACGGGTTCATGGATGAAGTCGTGAGCCCCGATCTCGGCGCGTTGATTTACGAGCAGATTAGAAAGTTCGTCGTAAGGCAGGCCGCGGCCAAGGCTGCTGCCGTCAGCGAACAGGAGACTACGACGTCGTCACGGGATGATGCGGAGGGTCCGCCGGAGTTGAGGGATGAGAAGATTGCGGCGGAACTGGCCAAGTTGGATCGGGCATACGCGCATAAAGTACTGTACATAGTGGGTAAGGGACAGATGCATATTCGCACGGGAACGAGTATCGTTAGGAGGATGATGCTGGGGACGTTCCTTTGGATTAGGGATAATACGAGGGCCAAGATTGCGAATCTGAGGCTGGCTATGGAGAGGGTTGTCGAGGTGGGATTTGTCAAGGAAATTTAGAGCGAATATGGGTTTGGAGCTTGAGGTGTGGAGAGTATCTCGTAATTTACATCAAGTTCGTTTCCCATCTTGGGCTGTTTCCGAGTTTCGTGGTTGAAGGTGTTTTGATGTGTAGGTCACATTGGTGATGGTGAGAAGAGAAGGGCTCATTGGGTGCTAAAATTGCAGTGAAGTCTCTTGCCATTGGGGGGTTTGTTGAGTGAGGCTGAGGAGAAAAGGGCTCCTTGGGGGTTAAAATTGCTGTGAAAGTTATCTCATAAGGCTGCCAGTGCTTACATGCTAAGAGGGGAAATATTCTGTAGTCTCAATCGAGACGTTGTTTGGACCATCCAGATAGTCTCTCTTTTTGGTTCCTCCGTTCGCTGATAATCTCACTCATAACGTTCATCTACGCTTAGACTCTTCATTACCTCAAGCCTTTAGGGATCATGCGATTATGCTGACCAAGTGAGATGCGGCCTCGAGATGAGCTAGGGTTGGGAGGTAGAATTGTCATTCTGGACGCCACGAAACTCAGTCAAAACTGGAGTCTCGTTATTGCGTCTACTGATATGAATATGCGACTACTTTTTATCAATACAGCACTGTTGAATTGTCAGCTAGCCCGTAGGTGAGCTAAAGCGCGATGAAGTGCTCAAGGGACTTTGCCAAAACCAGTTACTTTCTACAATGGGCCAAAGTTACGCTACAATAGCCAGCAAGTACGTATCTCTGACTGAATGGTTCAAATGTAGCAATTCTTGGGTTCTTGTGGGACGGAATTTGTTGAAATTTTGCATGACAGCCAGGGTGTGTTGAGTATCCTATCAATGTTGTTTAGCTACGCATTTTTGAACCCGAGGAGCGGCGATCCGTAACCAGCAGCCAAGCGTCTCAAGCTATTTATCTACCATTATGTCTGTTGCTTTGAAATCTAACTGGCACAGAGACATTAATGATCTTTTTTTTTTTTTTTTTCGTTCAACCCATGAGGCTACTCGCCTTCTTTTCCATGTACAATAGGTTAGTATCCCGTAGTTGATAGGAATCTGAGAAATGATAGTTATTTATAGTCTAACAGCGTATAGTCTAACAGCATTCAGTATAATACTATGGCTTTACATCTACTCCACAAGGTTAAAACTCACCACGAATAGGAACCACTATTAAATGACGAGTAAATGACTACTTAGACTCGACGCATAACACATATGTCCGTCCCGACTTCCCCGTGGGGTTGAAACACTTCGTGTCATTGATCTCATCCGAGTCATTCGGACCGTCATTGAAGAGCGGAGGCGGTTCCAGATACCCAAACCGCCGAATAGCACGTCGAATCAAGATCCCAAGCGTTTGGGACATGCCGTTCGCCCGGGTTGCAGTGTGAGTGGGATGGGCTACACTTTCCTCAACCGGATTTCCGTATACGGAAACCCGAGGCTGAGGTAAAGGTGCGCGTGCTCTGATTTCAGCTCGCCCGACATGGGAAAAAAGTACATTGGTTGGCCCGGAATACGCTGTGGGATTCAGGGGAGAGGAAACAGATTGGGGTGATCTGCGGGGTAGAATTCATGGGGGGCCCCCGGAGTCTACTAGTTGAGGCTCGGTGGTTCGGACTGCACCCCGAGCTGCGCACTCTACAGGGCTCATTGGCCAGAACGGTCTAAAATGCTGGTTAACTGAAAGAGTAACGAGAGGCAGCCAACAGACGAGGCCGTGTATCAGCTGTGGCCCGGCTGAAGTTGGTTGTTTGACGAATTCGGATGCGTTTGCAGCACTCTCGTCTCATTGATCATCCGATGAGATGAGCAAGTGGTGGGCATTTGAGATTAAACTCCAGTCAATGCAACGTCGAGCCTTTTGAGAGAAAGTTGATATTTATGGGAAAGACGATCGTTATGTCTATCATAATTGCATAAAATTTAGATATGCTTGAAGAAATTTACTAGTTCACATTTCTAGACAATAGCACTGTGAAGAAAACCGCATGTTATAATTAACAGCTGGGTATGGTATCTAAGGTATGAACTCTAGTTCAAATGTAGTGGTATCTCAACAATGCGTAGAGCCCAACAACAGCTCTATCTAGGAAAGAATTAATGACACTTGGTATTATATCGTGCCCAACATGAGAAAGCCGGCCAAGTGGTCCGGCAAAAGCCATAAATTCGTAGCGATGCTTGTCGCTTTGCTTTGTGGCGTGGCCCCTGGCCGAGCCCGGTTTATTCCCCGCTCAGGGGGGGAGGAGGGGGGGAGGACAACTTTCACAACCATGAAGCGTTTACATCTTCTCCGACTTGACGACGTTCTGCGTCTCCTCGTCCTGGCGGGTCCAGATGCCGCCCTGGGCACTGTTGACGGACTCGCCGCTGCTGCCCTCGCCCCGGTTCTCGCGGGTGGTGGCACGGCCCTCGCCCTCCTTGATGTCGTCGTAGTGGATGAGCAGCTCGCCGTTCTTGCCGTAGCGGCGGGGCTCGACCTCGGCCTGGTGAACGATCTTGAGAGCACCCTTCCAGCTGGTGCCGACCTTGGCGAAGATGGAGTCCATCTCTTCGAGGGAGCGGTAGGCAGTCTCGGGGAAGAAGAAGTAGACGCAGGGAACGATGAAGGCGTTGATAACTGCGAAGATGATGTAGGTCTGGTACTTGATGTTGGCGAAGGCGACGGGGGTGATCATGACAACCTGGTGTTGTTAGAAAAAAAAGTTCATTTGAGCAGTTCCAAGCAAAGGAATTCTTACCATGAAGTTGAAGATCCAGTTGGCGGAAGTGGACAGCGCGTTGGCGGGAGCGCGGATGCGCAGGGGAACAATCTCGGCGGGGTACAGCCAGGTCATTCCGAGCCAGCCAATGGCGAAGAAGGTGTTGAAAACGAAGAGGAAGATGATGGCAATGATGTTGCAAGCCTTGTTGTCGGGCGCGGAGTTGGCACCGGCGAGGATGGCCATGGTCGCGGCTTGACCAACGGCACCGAAAAGCATGAGCTTGCGGCGACCGACTCGCTCGACCAGGAAGACGGCAGGCCACGAGGCAATGAAGTACTCAGTACCGTTCAGAGCAGCCAAAAGATGAGACATGAAGCCGGTCATTCCGAGGTTGGAGTAGATAACAGGAGCGTAGTAGGTAATGAGGTTGATACCGCAAATCTGCTGGAACATCTGGTTGACGTAGGCGATGAGAGTGCGGTGGAAGTTGCGGTGCTTGTCCATGGTGAAAAGATCGGAGAAGCTTCCCTTGGACATTTCCTCGACAGTCTCCTTGATAACCACGTACTCGTTCTTGACATAGTCGTCGTCTTCAGGCAGATCAGCGATGGCGGCAATGACTGTTTTGGCTTCCTCATGGCGGTTCTTCAGAATAAGCCAGCGAGGGGACTCGGGCAAGTTCCAAACAAAGGCAAGAATGAAGATGCAGAAGAAAATCTGCAGAGCCAGAGGGAAACGCCAGGCGACAGAGCCGGGGGCGAAGGACATGCCCAGATCGATCCAGTAGGAAATCATGATACCACCGCTGATGAGAGCACCCTCGATCATGACGAGCTTACCACGCTTGTGAGCACTGCAAGTCTCAGACTGCCATGTAGGTACTGTTGATGTGTTGCCGCCGTTACCGAGACCAGTGATGATACGTCCGATGATGAAGTGTTCCAGAGAGAAAGCAGAGGCCTGAAGAGCAGCACCAATGACCATGACAGCAGTACCGAGAATAATCATGCGCTTGCGACCGAGAGGGTTACCGATGAAGATGGTGATGATGGCGCCGATGAAGCATCCGAGGTTGTAAGAAGCGACAGCGATACCCTGGGTGGTGGCACGGCTGCTAGACTCGGCATCTGAGATGCCAACCTCCTCGGGGTTGATAGTAGGGAACTGTTGCTGGAATGCGGGAAGAGTGAGAATACCACCAGTGACACCCTGGTCTGGAGGAGTTCGGGTCAGTATGATATTCCATGATGAGGGTTTTTGGAGAGAAAGCAAGACACATACCGTATCCGAAGAGCAAGAAATCACATCCGGCAATGATACTGATTGCCCAGTTGAGGCTCTTGCCTCGAAGGCCGAAATAGTTACCCATCTTGAAGACTCTTTTTTTTTTCTTCTTCTTACAGCTGACAGTATCTGAGCGATCAAGTTCAGACAATGTTGCAGGCTGTAGAGGTTGGTCGGCGGAGGAATCCAGATGCTCGGGCTGAAAGACTACAATGTCAGGAGAACATGAATCGAAACGAGACGACGAGCGACGTCCGTCCCTTTTAGATGAATGCGAGTCCTGCCACTCCAGGACAAAGATCGGCAAAAGTCAGCAGCCAGAGATTGAGCTCTCCTGCATCCCACATCACTCAAACAATAACACACATACGACCTACTCGTGCCAGCCTCAGACCCCGGCGTCGTCTGTTTACACCCAACCCAGAACCCCAACTAACCAATCCCCAGCCGTCCCCCAAGGGTCCGCCCCAATTTCCCCCAATCCCCGTACGATCCAAGATCCCTCTGGAGGGTCCCTCCTGGAGTTAGTGGAGGGACCTCTGACCTGGAGGGAGTGAAGGACGCACCCACTTGGGCCCACGAGGGAGGGGTGTGGACAGGCGCAGGGTACAGGAGGAAGGGGGAAGAGGAAAGCTGGATACGGGGGCATGTCGTCAGGTTGGCCAAGACGCCGTCGTGAACGTGATGGGCCCGGCGCGGGCCAATACGGCGCGAGGAAGACAATGAAAGGTTGCAATACGGCCGTCTCACCGCCGTGACGCGCCCGTGGAGACCTTCTGGTGTTCTTCTTTTCGCGGCAGAATTCGGGCAGACCCCGATGCAGTAAGAAAGTTAGCCAGTGCTCTCCGGCCAACATCATTCGTTGCAAGGATGGCGAAGCGGAGATGATGGACTCAAAGGAGGACCCAGAAGAGCCGCAATTCGCACATTATCGGTGGACCTAAAGATGGAGATGTACTGGAGACTACGACGTCATATCCGAAAATTTCTGATAGGAACCGATAAGTAGTGCAGCTGCCGGTACCTTTGGGGCTCCTTTGTGCATGCTGGTATTGGGTGCCATTGTTCCCAGATAGTTACATTTGGTTGGCTCGAGTTCATTTCGATTCCTAGTTTGGGCGTTGTGAACGCCGCCGCCACCCACTTATGCGAGTCAGGGGGCCCTGTGCGAACCCTGCGGCAACCCTAGGCCGAACTGACCCTACATAGAAAGAAGCGCCGAGGCGACGAGGTTTGCCAGTGAGGGAGGATGATAATGTAGCCGCTCTGAGCGCTTGCAGCTGCGGATTCTGATTCCCCCCTCGGGCGAGCGTCTGGTTAACTCTGTTTGGCCCTGCTCAAGATTTAAGTTGGACCCCGTCGTGGGGAACGGCGACAGAACCAGGTTTCAAGTTGAAATACTCGCACGCGATTTGTCAACGTCGGCAGTTGTTGGTGACGAACTTTGACAAGATGAGAGATGGTGGGTGGGGAGTATGACGTATTGGTTCAGACGAAATTAGTCTCGAGAAAGATTCGGTTTGATTGTTATTCTCCGGCCTTGAATCCGTCTGTTTTTTTTGTTGTTTTGTGGATGTTAACAACATGAAGTTGAAATGTTGTTGATCACCAAGAAAAGCTTGACTGACAGCTAAGACTGCTAAGACATTGAGACCCAAATTGCCCAGAAAGACAAGACAATTCGCTGGATACAGCGTACTTGGCCAAATTGCTTGTGTCTGTTTATCCCTTCATAGGGGCTTCATGGGGGGTCTCTATCCTTACACTACCACCTCTCAAGCCCTTTCAGTCTCCAGAATTACTATGCGGCTAACTATGGGGTTAAAGTGGGAATTACCTTCCGATCTATCCAGTCATCGGGATGACGTCGTCTTCAAAGGACGACTTTTTTACCGGATGTCCTAAAGCGGTAATCCGAGCAGGCGCGCGAGGCGAAGGGCCAAGCCAATGGTGAGCTGACTGAAACTCACAATAACTCGATACAGACGCCAGAGCATGCCTTTGATTGGATATGCTTACGGAAAAACAACCGGGCCAGAGCGGTGACAGTTGGGCTTATTCCGCCCGCAGTTCGCCTGCATGAACTGGAGGACCACCCAGTCAAATCTCTCCTTGCTAATCCAAAATGAACTGACTCGGATCCGCTTTGATGTGTTGGTTTGGTGACTTTAGTCTGCGGAAAAAGGTAATGAGGCCGAAGTCTGTGCTTCTTGGCATACAAAAATCTGCATCTTTTGACCATCATCGTATGTCGGCTGACGTATCAAGATGTTCGGCCATCAACCTGCTTCTATTATCTGTGTATTATTACCGCAATTGCTCGGTTTCCACCAATTTTCGTCAAAATAATGAAGCGGCACGGCAGAAGAAACAACCACGCCGATCTTTTTACCAATGACTTGGTTAGACCAAGTCTGTCAAGATGCCAAAGTCCCGGCAGAACGTGGTTTCCATGCTCTCGCTAAGACGCTAATATCCATCGCCAACAAAACAAAACTCGTGTCTTGAAAAGAGATCTTCATCACATCGTATCCTATCGGGCATCGACCGTACACCAAACGAGGCAAGACCCTGAGTCCCTGACTCTTGGACGGTTCTCTGAGCCGGCTTGACTCCACAACTCGGCGAAAGATGCCTGACGCGAGAACAAATTGGGCCCACTAGCAATTCGTACATACACGCATACATCTGCATCTGTAAGTACAGGAGAATGTGACGGGAGGGACTTTGTTTTTGGTGCCTTAGCGAACATGGCAAGCCACCCATCAGAGGATCTCATCACTAGTTTGCTTGCATTTACCAAGTAACACTGCAAAATACGTGTTAATGATGGGAAGTAGGATTGAATCCATGGGATTTACTCCACCATGCCACCGGAAACTTTGCTAAAAATGATTCCAACCTGCACTACTCCAACTCCGTCGTGCCGCCAGGGCCGTTGGCGTGCCGGTGCCGATTTTGCTGTTGGAGGAGGCGGGCAACGGGATGCTAACGCCAAGCAGGATGGACATCGCCGCTCCGGAAAATTCTGCTTCCTCGGCCCCACATCAAGAACCAAGTTTCTTGGATTTCGGTGGAGACCGGGAACCTTGTCAAGAGCCCTAAGATTGCTCCGTGCTTCTGAGGCAGCCAATGCTGGAGTAATCTGGAGATGAGGTGGACGCGAAAAGGGCAAAGTTACGAACTGAGGCCTTAGGCGTGGAAAAAGATGGGTTTCTCCGACACATGAACCTGTGGTCAGGCACGCCCTCACCCCAAGATACTGGAGCCGAGGGCCTCCATCAGGTCAAGAACCACTTTTGAAGCATACGGATACACAAAGGAACCATCATGTGACAAGGTGGCAAGATGTCTAAACTGGCCTCATAAAGCCCCTGGTTCTAACGGGAAATCGTCGGCTCAACACAGTACAATACGTCTTCGATTGAGTAAAAAGGCGCCATCTATATCTGCATCTAGGGCTATGGGGCGAGTATGTACCGCACCAGCGGCGAAGACGTGCTCTTGGGACTTTCTACCGCAAATGACGTCTCATCTGGTCCCCACTTTGTCAGTTTTCGTCTAGACCCGTTGGTGAAGCCTTGGTTTTTGAGACAATGTGATTGTGGCGCCGGATACCTACCGAGATAACAGATACTTGTTTTTGTGATTTGGAAAACTATCTTTACTTGTTTCTTGATAGAGGACAGTGTAAATGCCTCGTGTGTCAGCAACTGGTTAGGTTGGTCTGCGACTTACGCGGGTTTATTGAATCTAGCGTCGACCATTACGTGGAATGACAAAAAACATCTCAGTTTCGCCTCAGGTGTTTTTATCAATTTAAACAAGGACAGAATGTTGTCGTCATCGCGCACTTGATGTTCGGTGGCATAAAACAGCACAGAAGCTGCATCGTTCTTCAACTTTTGATAAGGAATATGTTCCAGTAGTGTGTATGCGGCGACAAATTGATGCACATGGCCAGAACCATAGTTAGTCTTGCTACCAACCGAGTCAATGCTATGATCAGCACCAATGCCCGCTATTCTCCTTTAAAGTAGGTTGATCGAGACCATTCGCAACTCCAGTGAGAACGAACTGACTCCGCTGGCCGGAAGCCCCGGCGGAGTCACGTACCGGCCAAGGCCCGTTGAATAAGGCTCTTGCGGGTCCTCCACACCGACGTCACCGAGCTCTCGTCGGCATCGTGGATCTGTTTTGGGTCTAACGGTTGGTGGAGTGGATCAAATTCAGTTTCGACTTCAAATCTAAGTTGGATATTTCGGTGCCGGCTTTGAATTCTATATGAGAGATCTGGATGTAGATTGTTTTAATTTTATGGGCGGGTGGTGTGTGGTTGAAGTCACTTTCGAATATTAATATCCTCATAGCGTGCTGCGCTTGACACCTAAATACTGCAAATTTTGCTTGATTTTGGCTGCAATATATCATCATATGGTAGAGAAACCATCAAGTGAATATCACAATTTTTTGGTAGCGGCGGACATATAATTGGCACCTGAACCTTGATGTAGCCAAATATTCAACAGATCACCAGGTATACCAAGTGTTATGGAAGCGACTATTTCATCATATGGTTGCTATATATGTTCTTTCCCGGTTCGTCTTAATTCAGTGACGATACTATGGATTCGCTCTGACTAGTGAAAACCTGTGGAAAATTGTATCTAGGAATATCTGTTCAGTCTCTGTACATGCCCCGCGGCGCTTTATTGTGGAATCAGAGGTAGAGTTGCGCGTTGAATGAACGCTTTACTCAGTGCAAGTTTGATGAAGGATGTTTTCCGGTTGAGTCTAAGCCACTGTGGCGTTACGTCGTTACCGGAGGTTTGGCAAAGCCGCATTACAGGAGCTAGTGCTCGTCTATGAACATATTCAATTGTCGTATTATTGCCAGAACTCCTCCCATGATTACCACCAAGAGCAATTATTAAATAATGAATTATCTGCTTCCGTTTTGTCTAATTGCTTTTAGATGGTTTGTAAATACATTGAGAACCATTATCAAAGCTACCTAGAGAGCTCGGACTGCCGACTGTGTAAGTTAACAATCAACACGACATCGCTGGCACGTTTAGAAGATAGGTACGGCTGAGACTTGAGTGATAGGTGTAGATAAAGGCATCGCTTACCTTGGTAGATTACCTTTAAGTACAATGCAAATACCCAAGCTGGCAGGTGAAGATGATAGTGGTTCAGTAAAGGACTTTTTCCACATACAATAGGCAAGTATTTCAAATGAAAGTCAAAAATTGTGGCTTTCCATCTACAGTCCCGCGTCACCGAAGCTGATCCTGGTTCATAGACCCCAGCATACCCAAAACCGAGTCAAGCGCCGAGAAGTTTGATCTACGTTTACGGTTGCAGGAACACTAATCTCCCGTTATGCTCATAAATCGCATCTTTTTACGGGAATTTTTTTTTAAAAAAAAAAGTGGTTGTCTGTATGATCGTGGAGAAGCCACGCAAATCCGTTCTACACTTTTCACCTTTACGACGCCCGTAGTTTACTGTTACAATATATCCCATCACCGAATTCTAACATCAATGTCTTCTGGTAAACACAACCCACCTGAGGGCCATTTCGGAGTCCAAAGTTGCTTTCTAGACAGTTTTATACAAAACATAGAAAATGTGAACTTCGACTCGTTCAACGATGAAGGTGAGCGAATGCAGGCTTTGTCAGCAACACAGGCTCTGTTGGCTCGTCTCGAGTCCCCATGGGATACGACTGTCCGACTCAACATGACTCAGGTATTGCGCCCTTTTCAACAATTCGTTACGTGAGTTTATGTGCCTGGCTAAGAGTAGGACGTGTAGCCAGCTCTCGGTGCGGCTTTGAAAACTGTCAATGACTTGCAGCTATTTCAAAAGTGGCACGAGCATGGGAATGGTTCATTGACCAGTACTCAAGCGGCAGAGATTGTTGGTGGCAAATGCGACGCCCGCCTCCTCTGTGAGCGCCTAAGAACATTACGGCTCAATTCAAAGTGCTGATTATCAAACATCAGATCGGCTATTACGTCTAATGGCAGCAAATCATATCGTGAAAGAAGGACCATTAGGAACATTACAGCCGACACAGTTTAGCATGAGCATAACCGCGCCGGTGTTTCATGGGCTGTTCAATAGCTAGTAAGGCCTGTTTGGCATTATCGTGTGATACATCGTTGACTCGAACTTTTCATAGTTATAACCTTATTCTGCCCATTTACGCCCATCTTCCTCGTTTCTTCGAGAAGACTGGGTACGCGAACCCCGAAGACCCTAGAGCAACAGCGTTCCAGTTTGCCCACGGGTGGGAGGGAGATCTTTGGTCTTACTACACAGCGCATCCTGACGAGCAAGATGAATTCAATACCATCCAGAAAACTATTGCTTCACAGCAGCCAGTATGGACGGATATATTTCCAATTGAAACGCTACTCGATGCGGAACCCGGCACACCGCTTGTAGTAGATGTCGGAGGGGGAACAGGTCATGATCTCATAGTCTTTCATCAAACCGATCCAAAGGTAGCTTCCCAGCTATATCTCGAGGACCTGGAGTCAGTTATTGAGAAGGCGCCTATGCCCACTGGCATTAATAAAGTTGCATACGACTTTTTTACGCCTCAGCCAGTCAAAGGTATGCCAAAATCAAGAAAATGACCGTATAAACTTGATAAAATCTCACTGGTGTCAGGCGCTCGTGCATACTTAATGCATTCTATTCTCCATGATTGGCCGGACGAACTGGCTCGGAAGATATTGGCGGCTCAAAAGGAGGCTATGACACCAGGTTATAGCAGACTTCTGCTCCATGAACACATTGATAACGAGGGTCCTGCAAATCCGCAAACCGCTGCATTTGACATCCAAATGATGGTACTAGTGGGTGGTAGGGAACGCTCCGAGAAGGATTGGCGAGAACTTCTCGAATCAGCTGGCTTCGTTGTCATAAAGATATGGAAGCTGCCTTCTGCAACCCAGAGCATTATCGAAGCGGAAGTACCTGTTTAAGATGGTAGAAGCATGGTTCTCTTATGAGCTAATCGTATGAGAGGTTCGTAGTTGCAGGAACGAGAGCATGGCCCATTTCACTGAATCTCCGAACTTCAAGATCATATCTAGTAGAAGTCACCACGAGTGATTTCAGTTGATATTCGGCTAACCCCACACTTCTTCCTGGAGGGATTGTATGAAACTTTGGATGGACTTGATTGGATCTCGGGTCAGCTAGCTTCTTTCTTATCGGTACTGCTACCCAAATCAAGAACTTTTACGCGATTAGTTACTGGGAGATGCGGGGTCGCGACAAATCAACCAAGTTGACCAACCGTCACGAATTTCCTGTTTGAGGTATATCACTAATGTAGTAGTCGAAGTGTGTTCGCTGCTAATTTGAAGCAGCTCACCTCCGTTGTCCCGCAATGAATTATCTTTGATGTAGCGCCAGCCTAGGAGTTCATAGACAGCCATATTTCCAGTAGAAGAGTCATTAGCTGTCTGCCCAAATAAAAGCTGTTGAATTACATCAAGAAGCAAAAGGGGAAATTTGATAACCGATAGTTTGATCGATATGTAACACGAGCAAACATACTTTATGTGCTGTCCAATAATTCCCGTGGCCTTAATCTCCCCCAGGATGCTCTCTCCGCCACCAACGCACGCTAGGTTCAGCATATCTCCATCTCTCAAAATACCGGTTATCCCTGTTACCCCGCCTTCACAGACACACTCCCGGTATAAGATGCCTTGGTGAGATAGACGTGAGCAGCTGACAGGTAGGCCGAGATGATTGTTGTTATCGGCAGCTAGCTTTTTGCGGCATGGATCTACCGAATCAAGTGAGAGAAGGCTACTCTATAGCAAGCAAACAGGCCAATACGAGCGGTCCAGAACTTGGAATACTAGGCAACTTCTAATGAGACATCCTTGGTGTGAATAAAAGATGGCACACACATACACCTCCAATCTGTATCTTATATAGACCAATACTCACTCGCTAGTTCTTTGACCAATGTAAGCATAAGGCCACTACGTTCTATCAACGCTACAAGCCCTAACACATTCAGTTTTAACCATTATGGCGAAGTCCAATTATGAGTTCCCTCAGCCCGAGTTTGAACCCAAAACAGCGATAACTGCCAGGAGAGCCTCTGGATGTGGCACTTTCAATAGTGTAGTCTCTGGCGATATCGAAAATTTGGAGCAGCTGGGCTATGAGCCATCGAATTTGCACCGAAACCGTTCTACACATACCCTCCTCTTCCAGGCATTCGCCATCTGTTCCATCCCCTACGGTCTAGGCGGCCCCCTTATCAATGCCATTTATGGCGGCGGCCCGTTGTCTCTTTTTGTCGGCTGGATAGTCGTTGCGATTTTTGGTCAATGTGTTGCACTATCTGTGGCCGAACTCGCCTCGCGCTATCCAACCTCTGCTGGTCCATACTACTGGTCGTTTCAAATCGCCTCCAAGGGCAAGACTGCCCTTTCATTCGTGACTGGATGGACTTGGCTGATTGCCAACTGGACTATTACGCTCTCAGTCAACTTCGGCTTTGCCTCTCTCCTTGCCGGAACAATAACGATGATGGAGCCGACTTGGGTAGCCACGTCATGGCAGCTTCTGCTTATTTTTTATAGTCTGTTGCTATTTACTGCACTTGTTGTCATATTCGCAAACCGATGGCTTGCGATGGTTGACACTTGTTGTGCAGCGTTTATCGGGATCACCATCGTCGTCACGTTGGTTGCACTCTCAGTTCAGGCAAAAGCAGGCCGACACAGCATTGACTATGCCCTAGGCCACTACGAAGAGACTTTTTCAGGTTGGGGACATTTCACGTTCTTCATTGGCTTATTGCCATCGGCCTATGTTTTCTGCGCCGTTGGTATGATTTCGGCCATGGCGGAAGAATGCAAAGATCCATCAGTACGGGTACCCAGAGCCATTGGACTTACTGTCCCTATACAAGGAGTGGCCGGGCTTTTCTTCATCTTGCCTATTTGTTTCACCATGGCTCCACTTGACGAGATCATCGCCTCCCCATACGGCCAGGCTTTACCAGTTGTTTTCCTGTCCGCCATGGGAACCAAGGCCGGCGGCCTCGGTCTTATGGTTCTGGTTCTCATCGTCACGATTGGATGCAGTATTAGCATAACCGTGGCTGCATCGCGATGCACATGGGCGTTTGCTCGAGACAACGCCATTCCTGGCTCTCGCTTCTGGTCTCAAGTAGATGCAAAGCTTGGAGTCCCTATCAACGCTGTCATCCTGGTCACAGTAATAGAAATGCTCCTTGGCATCATCAATATTGGAAGCACCTCCGCATTCACAGCATTTGTTTCTGTCGGTGTCATAGCTCTGGAGGTTAGTTATCTTATCCCCATAGTCATCAGTATGGTGCATGGACGCAGGGAAGTAAATCGGGCACGCTACAACTGCGGACCTAAGGTTGGAATGGTGATAAACTGCTTCGCTGTTGCTTGGGTTTCTTTTCAAGCGGTGTTATTTAGCATGCCCACAGCTTTACCGGTCACAACAGTTTCTATGAACTATGCGAGTTTAGTATTTGTTGGATTCGCTGTTTTATCTGCGATATGGTACAGAGTCCATGCCCGTAAAGGTATGTTTATCCACATTTGAGTGAATGAAGTGTGAAACTGACATGACTCTAGTTTACAAGGGCCCTCCAGCAACCGATGGAATTGCAGCATGAAAGGAGGGGGGTAAGGTGCTTGATCCGAAAGGGTCATATGTGTAGCGCTAAAGGGTTTCGAGGGCCAAAAGAAAATTCTCTCAATGTGCGACTATACTTGACGATTTTGTGGCACCCCCGACTCTGCTTAGCATGTTGTAATTCAGTCAACGAGTAACCAATAAAATTGAAGGTCATCCTTTATATATCATGATGCATGAACCAATGGAGTTTTGCAGCCGTCAAAGATCTCCCAGGCTCCGGGTCTGTTTTCTAGCTTTCTCCGCAATTTCTTCGGCAAGTTGAAGCTTTTCGATTATACCGTCGAAGTGAGCTCGTTTCTTCACAGTATCATCGTCTTCTCGTGCGAACCTCTCAACCTCTTCCTCTGTTAAGCCAAAAATCCAGTCTGTTGAGAGGCCCATCAGAGGACCTTCAGCATAAGATATGAAATCCTCGATAATATCGTTTGTTACATATCTGATGAAAGCTTCGATGGATAGCTATACGGCTTGGTCAGCAACATAATAAGATTGAAGTCTGTGACAGGTGGTAAACTTGCCTGGTAATAGACCTTAACGACATCGTGAACGTCACCCACCATGTTGTCTTCCATGGAGTGATGACAGTGGTGGTAAAATGCGCCAAGATGTGCCCTTGGATCGCTTAACTCCCCATCCCTCTTTGGCATTGAACCATAGGCATTGAGTAATCGAATGCTCCGCAAAGTTTGCAGGTTTTGATGGAACCTCACGTCAGTTGTCTGAAGATGAGATTGTCTTTCTCGACGACAGTGCTCCCTTAGTTCCATGAGAGCTTTGTCTTTTGTCTGCCGCTGGAATTGATCCAAAACTTTTGACAGTTCTTCGAAGAGAATCGTTGAATCGCCCGAGTGAGAACAAACGTCTTGAAGAATTTTGTTGGACGCAGTCTCAATACTACTAGCTACTGTAGCGATGTGCTTTTCCGCAATATGTTGCCAGTTTTCCGATTGTTGCTTGTACAATACTTTAATGACCTCCGTGTTGATGAGGCCAGGGAGTTCCGTTGCCTGCCAGAGGCGAAGCTGATTCCGAATCTCTTCAACAAAAGGCTTTTTTGGCCCAGACTGCCCACGCAGTGGCTGAGAAGACTTGTGGCGGGACGGACTTTTCGGTGTATGTTGTACAATAGGAGGGTTATCGGAGTAGTGTTCTGCCATAGCATTTGCGAGCTTCTCTGTTGGTTCAATTTCCTCATCTTCGAATTGGTGGCTGTGGCCGTTATGTCTCATATCTGCTGTAAAGCTTTCGTTGGCTTCGCGCACTATACTTCTCACACGAAGGACCTCCTCTGAGAGTGAGCCTGGGCTCTTGAGAGTTTTGACCGCAACATGATGGTATCTATCAACAACATCTCTGAGGTATTGCTGACGAAGATGGTGGCTTGGTCTGGCGTCGCCGAAATTCCTTCTCGATGCCTGAGCATCGAGGAGAAGCCTCCTGATGGATCCCTGAAGGCTAGGGAAGTTTGCACGTATTCTTGCGCACAGTAGGTTTCCTAGATGCTTCTTGAGCATACTGGAGCCTCTTCGGTCTTCTCGGATCTTCTTCCAAACCGGCTGACTGAAAAGTTGATTCTCGGCTTCTTTGGGGTTGAGCTCATCTCCATCTTTTTCAGCTCGATTTCGCACGACAAACCAGCCACCGTGCATCGTCTTTTCGGCGTGATCACCATTTCCGCTCGCGATATCCACTATCTTTGGTTATAATCAGCATCAAAAACCTGCGAAATCTGCTTACAGTGGGAATAGGGACATTGCATACTTCTGTGGGGTCATGGAGCATGTCACACTTGGTAAAAACTCCAACAAGCCGATTCTTGTCAACAAGACTGGCCGCGAGCTTAAAAATCTCCTGGTTTGATAAATCTGTCACTGCATCGGCCACACAACTGCTAGAGGTTAGCTTATACAGTGAACGTGCCGCTCATTGCCGACTTACATCACAATGTTGGCAGGCTGTCTCATATAACCTTCGACCATCCTTTTGATGCCATGCATTTCACTCTCGTTGACGAGATACGGAAAGGAGAAGATTCCTGGTACATCGAGGATACTGAAGTAAGAGCGTGATGGGCCTGAAAGCTCAATGCGAAGGACTTCAGCTGCAAAGTTTTTCTTTCCAATGCCTTCGCCTGATTTGATGCCCATGTACTTTGTCGATACCTAAGGAACATGTATTTAGAAAAAAAAAGGTCATAAATAGTGCGAGAAAGCACTTACCTCTTCCATGATGTTTTTGAATTCTTCAACGCCAAGGTGATCGCTCACGTAGTTGTAGTCCTCATAGGTGTCATCGAACGGATAATCAAATATGTCTTCGACCTCCGGCTCAGTGATGGTGATCTTGACAACATTGTCACTGCCCGGCGCCGTCCTACGTGATACAATGCGCGTGGCGAATCGAGTGCAACAGCCTTTACCAACTGGAAAAGGAATCTCGGTCAAACTTTGCAGTAGGGATGATTTACCGCTTGATTGGCCTCCAACGATAACCAGCTGTTTCCATTCCAGATGTTCATTAGCAATCATATTTAAGAAGTCAGAGAGCCTACACAGTCTTACCTGGGGTATTTCAAGCTTCCCGCTTACACCAAATGACTGAAGGCGATCAATCGCATCGAAGAGAATCCTACTGCTCTCGCTATCGAAGGGATTCTCTGGGATGTTGTTATTTCGAACTTTCTCGCGATGATTGTCATCACAGCCGGGGGATGGATCCACCGAGCTAGGAAGTGAGCTTGCTTGTGACTCGGTGTCGGAACTATCGTTAGAGTCATCCGCGACATCAGTACCAACGTTCATCTTCTCGAGTTCTGACTGTAGTGCCTGGGGAGAAGGGGGGGATGTTCCAGTGGTGACCATATTGGAACTGTGAATGAAAAGATGATGACAACGCCTCGAGACAAGTTATTATAACGGGATATGAGCTTTGGAATAATTGGGTATGATATTCAATGAAGGTTAATTCGTTGGAGCTTTAATCAATTCAACATGCATTGGAGCACGCACCATTATATAGTTTTGGAATCAACGGCGCATTCACCACACCTCGTTACATTTGATACATCAGGGGTGAATCAATTGTGTGGTGAAAAAAAAAAAAAAAAAGTCATCAATGTAAGCGGCAAGCATTCCCCAATCTGCCTCATTGTTGCTGTCGTTGAACCCGGCACACGTAGCATCTATCAGGTTGAAGCGGGCGCAGCAGTAGCGTAACATGATACCGGGGGCCGCGGAACCAGCCAATACATCACCTGTAAAGAAGGCTATTGGATGTTGTAGTGAGTGTTCTGTTGGTTGGTACGGCCATGAACCAGCCCTAGATGCAGGAGCTACAATGCAGCCAGTGAAGATGAATTGATAAGCACGCGCACTCCAACAGACCCAAGGCAGTGGCACGAAACATACCAAGCCTCCTTCAAATTTCCAGCCTGCTCGTACGGAGCTAAAAACAGCTTGGGAAATGCCGCTTGTTGGACAGAATTGGCAGGTCGTTTTATCTGGGCCTGGTTCAGCCGCAGAACATTCGCCAATGATCGACGCGGGTGAGCCGGAATTATCCTCATCGAGGTAACCAACAGTTCAAAGCCTTGTCTGCTCTTAAAACAAATTCCGACATACAAGCACCATCTAGGAATGTTCTCCGGAATCCAAAACCAAATCTCAAACTGATGTGGAAAGAATAGAAACATTGGCCAGCTAGATCATGACCACCACGTATTCATTCGGTCTCTAACCTACTACATACGAGGCGACCGGTTTTCCCGGCCCCAACGTAGTGAAATATGTACACAGCCTGCCGAATGCTTGTTTGATGTCTGTCTCAGGCCTTCTCTTGATGCCGCGCGGTAACAACCACGCCGGCCTTCTCCCCATCTTCAGTGAACGCCTGGAAGGTATCCTCCGGTTTATAGTTTCCAAACTTGCGTAGGGGAATTCCCTCGTTGAACATTCTGTCGATCTGCTCGAGAGACTTGCCTTTGCATTCCGGAATACAGAACCAGGTGAAAACAAACGCGAGGACTAAGATACCCGCGAAAATGAAGCCCACCTTGGACCCAAGCCCGGCGCCTGGAGTGTATAAAAGGTGAGGGATGCTGAAGTTGACAAGGAAGTTGGCCAGGACATTGACCATGGAAGCTGTTCGTTGAGATGCGTCGCGAAGTCGGAGGGCCGGAATCTCGGTTGTGACGACATAGTTCAGCGGGGCCCAGGCGAAGACGTAGCCGGCCGCAAAGACGGTCAGCATAGCCACGATACTTGTCTTGACAGCGAATGAGGGATCCGAGATGGTGCCGAGAGAGCCCATAGTTACAATAGCTGCAAACTGCCAGACAGCACCGATCATGAGAAGGGGCCTAATGAGAATAGGTTAGCATCAGTCGGCTTGTTATGTTTTACCCAACGGCAATACATACCGTCGCCCCACACGATCATTAAGGTAAAGACCCACGAAAACCATGACAAGGTTAACAATGGCGTTGACGATGGTCATTGTGAAGGGGTTGACAGTTCCGATATCCTTGATGAAGATGGCTCCATATGTAGATGCGAATGCTTGGCCCGTAGCTTGTTGAAGGAAGTTCATGACCATAACCACGGCTGTTCTCTTCAAGTTTACTCCCTTGAACAGTTCCCAATAGTTGCCTTGTTCGACCTCTTGTTTCAATGCGTATTGAAGTGCCGCAAATTGTTCGTCGATCTCGGCGTCTGTGATGGTACCAACTCGGAGTTTCTTAAGCGACAACTGCGCCTCTTCGACTCTATCCTGGATCAAAAGCCATCGAGGTGACTTGGTCAATTGTTAGCAGTAGCTCGATACTGCGGGTTTCAGGAAGAAACACTTACCTCTGGAATAAAGAAGATCAAACACATGACTATAACTGGAATAACGTAGAACAATCCCATGGGTATCCTCCAAGAGGCGTTGCCTTCTAAGGTACTTGTGCCTCTGCAGACAGAGTTGACAATCAAAGTGCCGAACTATTCAGAGTTAATCAGAAGATATTCCCTCCAGTAACAGCTTAGGTACCTACCATAAGACTGAATTGGTAGGATCCGACCGCGAAGCCTCGAATTTCGGATGGCACAATCTCCGACTGGTAAACAGGTACGACAGCCAGTTCCATACCAACATAGATATCTGAAAGATCAGTAAAAGCTCAATAAAACAGAGAAAGCGTTCGGCCTACAGTTGAGAATGCGCGCAGCCATGATCTGCTCCCGAGTACTAGATGTCAAGGCAATCGTTGCGGGAATCACCGCCCAAGCACTCATTCCGAACATGCACCAGCGACGGCCCCAACGGGCACTCACGAGACTGCCGATAACAACACCAGCGGCGAAGCCGATGTAGTTGAGGCTGTTGAAGAGTGACAGCCAACTAGGTGGGATCTTCCACTTTCCGGTGGTAGGATCTTGGTCGCCGAACTGCTGCTGAAAGGCATCCATTGCCTGGGTGGTGGAGTAACCAGCATTGTCGAAGCCATAGTTGAATGTCGAAATGGCCACAACCGTGAAGGCTGCAGCCAGACTTCGGTTGAAGTGTTTGAGGATTCTATTTGGTGCCATGTCGAGAGGCTTCTGCGGGAGTGTTGAGGCGATCCTTGCCCCCTAGACTAGAGTCTCAGGGACGACGTTGAAGATGTATCCCCTGTGCTTTAAGTATTCAGACTCGTTCGTGGGAATGAACCGACTCTTTACTGATATTACGTTACGCCTCCCTTCCTTGTATTGTGGGGTTAACACCCCAGGGACTAGACGCTAATGTAACCTCCACTAATAATAAAAGTCATCCGATCAGAAGAAGACTGACGGCAAGCCAACACATGGTCCAGCGGAGAAGGCTTCCCCAGCTTGGGGCACCCATTGGGGAAGCAATCTAGTGTACGGAGTACAGCGCGAGAACATAGGAGAAAACTCCTGGAGAGAAAAGTGGAGGAACCGAGCCCAGAACGAAAATCTTTCTGCGGGTGAAGGAGTCTAGTGACCATCCACTCGGGTAGCAGACGCTAGACTAGGGCTACCCCGGGCTCGGAACTCGGGGGGAGGTGAAAGAAAGAAAAATAGCCCGGAAATCGGGCGGGACGGAGCACCAACCTAATCCCCCCGACTTCCCATGGAACCGTTCCCCGATCTCATGCATCTTTCACAAACACATGCTCAACAGTAACTGCGGGTAAAAACATGGAGACGTCTACTCCATATCGAGCATCTGGAAGGCCCCGTAAAGGCTTACAGATATGTTTCCAATGCCGAAACCGTAAGGTATGTCTATGCGGAGCACATCGGGGCCACCCTGGTTCAGTGACGGTCTTGTACGGCTAACTGTCAGCCGAGTTAGGTCCGGTGCGACGGCACGGCGGGCGGTTGTGAAAACTGCCGTCGGCTGAAGTTCCACTGCTCGTTCTCGGTACCCGACACGGATCAACTAGTTGATAATAGTGACGGTTCAATTCCACGAAGTGACCCAAGTCACCTGAGACTGGAAAAGCGTCGAGTCCGCAGGGCGTGCGTGCAATGCCGAGATAAGAAAACAAAGTGCTGCGGCACACAACCGATGTGTCGTCGATGCTTATCCAGAGGGGCAGCATGCCAGTACCCTGACTCAGCCACCAACCACAAGTCACTTTCATCAACTGTCGAAACCTCAACCTCACAAGGGCAACCTGCGGCAACAGTACCTAATGACTCAGCTAGCGGTATAATGCATAGAGGCTTATCATCAAGTCGAGAAGTATCAATAGCCTTATCTCCAGCCTCATCTCTCGGCTTGTAAGCTCGACACCCTTTGTTCTTTTGTTGGGGTAATTGGCAAACTGTAGCGCTGACACATTCATTTGGAATAGTGATTTGGTTATAAATAAGACTATCATCAAGCAACACATCGATGCTTTTTTTGACTATGTATATCCAATACCGTGCTATGGCTTTGTTCACAAAGCAACTTTCTGCCAAAGTTGGGCACAGGGCACCTACAACCCGCGGCTATTGAAGTCCATTTGTGGCTTGACTGGACGGTATCTTGCTTCAAGCGATAGCACGCGTCTGCAGCAAAGCACAAGATGGATTCACGAAGCGGAGACGGAACTGTTGATGAGACTTAGCGAGCCTTCAATGTCGGATATCGAGGCACTTATGCTCACGACAATGGATCACATCATTGCCCGGCGCTTCAGCAAGATGCTAGTCTCTGCATGCTTAGCTGCAAGGCTGGCATACATGATGAGACTCAATTATGAAGATGGTCGCCATAGCTTTATCACGCAAGAGCGTCGCAGACGTCTTATGTGGGCTATTTTCACGTTAGACACTATGTATTCGAGCGGGCGAGCTGAGTTTACTGGGTGTTCAAAAGACACCATTCACCTTCAATTGCCTTGCAACGAACGGTCGTTTACTCTGGACATACCCGTAATAACAGAGCCCCTGGCATCAACAGGGGCTCGTGGGTCCTCAGAATTGGGCCTCATGGCGTACAACATCCGAGTTCTCGACATAAGAGACCGTATCCAAAGGTACCCGGGTTCTAATTGTGGTTCTAGTCATGCTGCTAACACCGCCTGAAGATTATCCCACACTATAACACACCACCGAAAGCCTTTACCCGAATGTATAGTACAGTTGACAGGGCTCGCCGACGAACTTGAGAAACTGCGCCGATCTGTACCCCAGCAGTACAATTTCGATAAGAAGAACCTCTTCCTCCGTGCATACACACCTCAAAGAACCCCTTTCGTGATGTTCCATGCATGGTGGCATCAGTGCCACTGTGACATGTACCGATTCACTATACCGGGGTTTCGCGAAGGGCTGCCCGTTGGAGAGCTGCAAACCCTATCACCTGATTACGTCACATACTGCAGAGATCGATGCCTGGAACATGCCCTAGCTGTTGCAGATATCATGGATGCGGTAACAGATATGGGGAAGGACATCTTCATCACCGATCCAGCTCTGGCAATGTGTGCATTTCACTCCGCGCGTGTGATATCACGTCTAGGGTCTCCTCAGTTCTCGCGACTTCCGAGAGCGATGTTGATCTCCAAACTGAAGGCTTGTTCGGATATTCTAGAGATACCTGCAGAGATGTATCCCACAACAAAACTTCTACGTAGCGGTATCTCTGACCTGATCCATGATGCAGAGAGGGACTCGGGTGATACGTCTCCAATAAGGTCAAATTGGGAGACCGAACAGTCTGGGACAGACACTGCCGACTCGGTATCCGCGCGGTCAGCAATCCAGCAAAATGGGGCCATTTCTACTGCAGAGATATACTCCAAGTACAGTGTGACGGACGAGATTAGAAAGCTCAGGTTTCAGCAAGATGGAGAGGATGATATTCAGCGATATCAATCAGGTGAAGTGGATGTCAGGGAGGATGAAGCCGTTACCACGACAACAAAGTCATTTATACTGCCTCAGCCAGTGAAAACTGATGACAACCAGCCGTACATCACAATTTCGCAGGATATGACTGGAACCGAGTTCGGGTTCCCACAAGCTGGGCTGGGGACTACCACAGCAACCTACGATGTGTCAATGACACTTGGGTTCGAACCCAGCTATGGCGACTGTCAACCAGATTTGTTCCTGGACTCATTCATGCCGCTGCAAAACGACTGGAACTTAGCAGATCCTGCATCCTTTTAACAAAATAAAACGAGCATCATGTGTATCTAGACCCCTAACTCTAGCGTTGAAGCTCGAATGTCTAAGAAGGCCAATTGCCGACGACCTTTCCCTGCACTTTGCCTTTTCCGTGCAGCATATTCTGATCTAAAGTCCATTCCAGAAAATGCTCTTGTCCAATTCAAACTTCCCTTCCAAAACATGCTCACCAGAGACAATAGATGCACTATACGAGCCCTTCTCGCAGCACCAACTATTCCTCTTCTCGTCCCAAACCGCTGTGCTACATCTGTCGATAGGAATAACAACAGTTACATTCTCCCCTGACTCTAAGTGCACCTTTTTAAATCCCATCAATGCCCGTGGTGGCCTGGAAAAACGGGACTTGGGTGCCGTAGTAGCATAACCAATGTACAGTCGAATGACCTCAGCACCAGCTCGTTTGCCAGTGTTACTGATACTAACCTGCACTCGTGTTGGACTGACTTGCAGATCAGATATTTGGAAGGTGGTGTAGCTGAGTCCATGACTACAAAAGGCTGTGTTAGCTAGGACTCGGATATTGTTCTTCTTAAAGTATTAAGACTTACCCAAATGGAAACGCGACCTTCATCTTGCGCGCCTCGTACCATTTGTACCCAACGAAAATGTCTTCTGAGTAATGAACCTTGCCATTATCACTGCCAAATCCTAGGAAAGCAGGGTTGTCCTCCAAACGGGCTGGAAAAGTCATTGGGAGCTTTCCGCTGGGGTTAATGCGGCCGAAGACCACGTCTGCAACTGCGTTTCCAGCCTCGTTACCACCGTACCAGCAGTGTATAATTGAGTTCGCATTGTGCCTCCAGGGCATGCTGATAGGGTTTCCTGCCTGAGTGATGATGATGGCGTTGGGCTGCGCAGCCAAAACTGCCGAAATGAGTTCATCAACATGAGGTGGCATGCTCATTGTTTCCCTATCTCTACCTTCTTTCTCCAAGTCGGCCTATTTAGCTGTTAGTAATGTCGTTAGTACACCAGAACGAACGACAATACTTACGTTGAGACCAGCAACCACAAAGGTGTATTTGCATCGCTTGGCCAGAGCGGCAGCCCTTTGAATACCTTCGACAGGGTCGATCTTGCGACATCCACCCAACCTACAGGCACCACCAGGTATAGCCAATTGTGAGCCGCCGGCCACCTTGGAAGTTGACGCACTGCCGGCCTCTACTCGGAGGCAATACCGACGCCCAGCCTCCATCTCATAACTGGCTCGCTTCTCAGCAGAGCCCTTGCCGAAGAACATGCCTCCCGGAGTCTGCACTGTCGAGTTATCAATCACCAACTCATCGTTGATGAATAAGTCGGCAATTCCGTATGTAGCTAGTCCGAATTCGTATGCTCCAGTGTGCTCGGGAACGAAGTAGGCACGCATAGACATGAAAAAGGTTTCTCCCTTTTCAGGATGCCTGTAGTCCATGAGCTGGTATGTTGTGTCAGGAATCGAAACTTGATCAAACGCCTTTCGGTCCTTGACAATGTGCGGTTCATTAAACAGTTCAATGGTGACGCCCGGCTCCCCTGAATCGTTGCAGACAGTTTCTTCTGAAAACGCAGGTAGCAGAATGTGTCCATATACTCCTGGCTCATGGTGAATCTTTGTGCCGGGCGGTAAAGAATCTCGAATGCCTTTCAAGACGGAGCTGGTATAGTAAGGCCGGAGGCTGGCACTCCCTCCACCACAGGCAGCAGGGAGGTCGGCATTGGGTCCGATGACGGCGACTTCATCGCAATCCTCTATACGCAGGGGCAGTAAGCCGGTTATATTCTTCAGTAACACCACGCTCTCTCCTGCCAATCGGCGGTTAAGAATCCGGTCCTCGGGAACGTCTCGTGTAGTCTCTTCACTTCCAACGCGTGCCGCGGATGCATTGTTGACGAACTCGAGAACTTTTTTTACGCGTTCGTCGATTGTGTGTTGGTGCACCTTGCCAGAGAACACAGCAGCCAAGGCTTCTTTCTCACGGTAACGACTTGGTCCAGGCATCTCTATGTCGACACCCGCGTTTAGAGCTGCTTCGCAGGAATAAGTGCCATACCTGGTTTGTTAGCGAGGATCGAGCTACGCTAATGAACCAGATGCGAGTCTTACCAGTCACTCATAATTAGACCGTCAAAGCCCCATTCTTTCCTTAATATGTCTTGTAGAATCTTTGGGTTTTCAGAGACATGCAACCCTTGAACCTTGTTGTAAGAGGACATGAATACTCTTGGATTGCTATCTCGCAGAGCAATCTGAAATGGCATCAGGTAGATCTCACGCAATGCCCTATCGGACATGCACACATCTACTGACATCTTCTCTGTCTCCTGGTCATTTGCAACGAAGTGCTTGAGAGCGGCCAGCGTCCCTCGCGACTGAACACCTCTTATCATGGCGGCTGCAAGCATACCACTCAGATGAGGATCTTCTGAAAAAGACTCAAACCCGCGGCCATTCAAAGGCGACCGAATGATGTTCACCGTCGGGCCCAGCCAGACGTGGGCGCCTTTGGCGTCACACTCCTTGGATAGGAGTTGACCAGCAAGTTCAATCAAATCAGGGTTCCATGTTGCTCCCAAGCCGCTTCCACATGGGACACATAAGGCTGGCACTGGATTGAAGAACCTAGATCCTCGGACGCCATTGGGCCCATCGGTGCATTTGATGGCGGGGACATCATATTGGGGGAGCGGCGTGGAATGCCAGAAATCAGAACCTTGGAGATTTAGTTAAAATCAGATATAGATCAAGAGACTCATGTTTGGGTGAACTACACATACCGGCGAGAAGCGAGACCTTCTCTGCAAGTGTGGCATTTTCCACAACGTGGTCGACGTTGACCAACTTCCGCGGAGGTGGCTGCATGGTTGAATAAGTCATTATCATCTGAGAGCAAAGACTAGAACCGCATGTGAAATATGGCCGAAGTTTTCTCAAAAGAGCATATATCAGCTTCAGAATAGGCGGAGAATCCGGACAGAATTAGGGGCTGATGAGCACAACCTGGTACTCCGGGTGCTCCGCCTCGGATGTCGGCTGTGAAAGGTTCACGGATGTCGCCATAATTGATTTCATTCAGTGGAGCCAACTAAAATAGCACTGTGGAGGGAGGGATGGGATGGACGCAACTTCGAGGCCTGTAATTATACTAGTACAGGAGGATGCGACTTTTCGGCCTGTTCTGAAGCACAGGAGAGGTTAAGCATGCGAGTAATCCAGGTAATACTGCATAATCGAGGCTGGCTAGAAACAGGGGATTTGAGAGTTGGAGCTGGGGCAATGATCAATTCTGGATAAGGTACTAATCCCCAGCCGAGAACGTCAGTTTATTGATATGTAATACAATGTACCCTGACCTAACCAAAAGCTGCTAGGGTGCTCCGGTGACCTCCATTCGCACTGACCGCAGCGCCATTAACCCATCTACCCTCTTCGCTCGCAAGGAACCCGACAATGTAAGCAATGTCTTCCGGCTCTCCGATTCTTGGTGCAGCTGTGATTTCCTCGATCTGCTTCTGGAAAAAGCCGGCGTCGAAGGCGCTCTTGGCTGCCTCAAGAGCATCCGTAGCTGTCGGGCCAACACTCACGCTGTTGAAAGTCATACCTCTCTCTGCGGAAAATTGGTATGCAAAAGATCTCGTGTAACTCTCGAGGGCGGCTTTGGTGGCACCATAAGTCATGATGGGATCCCGATTTCCTAGCTTCCCAGCAATACTGGAAATGTTGATTACACGTCCGCCATACGTTGGTGCATGGGCCATGAAGGCGACAGTCAGACTGACGGGTGAGAACACATTGGCGTGCATCATTACCGCAAAGTCTTCCGGACCGGTCTCGCCAACTGGGGACATGTATTTCACGTCACCCAGTATGGCATTGTTGACCAAAATGTCGATGGTTTTCGTCTCCAAGCCGTCAATGGTTTCGTTGATGACTCTCTGCGCAACGTTGTGATCGGCCATGTTTGCTTGAATCATGATGGCTCGTCGAACACCGAGTTCTTGGCAAGTTTTAATGGTTTCCTCTGCTGCTGCCTTGTTTGCGACGTATGTAATGGCAAGATTGGCTAGACCTTTCTTCGCAAAATGAATTGCAATCCCTCGTCCAATGCCCCGTGATCCTCCGGTAACTATCGCCGTCTTGCCAGTTAAGGACCATGGCTGTGATGAGGATGTCGATTCCGACATGATGAGACTTAGATCCATGTGAGAAGCTTGTATAAAATGAAACAATCAACAGAAATAGAGGAAACTCGCAGACTGGCCTTGATTGGGAAAGCTGACAACGACCTAAGATAAATACCTGCCCTCGCCCTCAGACCACTGATTACAAATAACTGACTGGATCAGATGGTATAAGATTGCGCGCTCGTTCCCACCAGTTACTTATCACCAAACATATTTGAGTTCCAACGTGAGGTCCGTGACACAGATGTTCCGCCAGTCATTTTGAAACTAGCCACAGAGCAAGCAGCACCAGTAGGAATGTTGAGAACTCTGATTTCCCAACCTGCAGCTCTACACTTTGACATTGCCTCATTTCACGTGTTCTCGAATTCTTGTAAAGTACATTGCGTGCTTGGAGTTCAGACAAACTGACACCAAATAGTAGGCGTGGCAATTGTAAAGTCGTGATGATCAACAAACTACAATGGAAAATGAAGCCTTGCTCAAAACAACGTCATTCTACCCTAACCCTTAGCTTAGAAGCACTTTGGTCACCTTCTCCATTCACATCTGTGAATGGTTCATTAGCTTCAGTAATTACTTCGAAAGCTACTAATAATCTGATGAACCTATCACGCAAATGTCAAAAAGGAATTAGTGAATGTTATCAAAGCCCAAAATTTACGTCATTTGACTCGGGTAACGGGAATATCCAAGAACAGGCATATCTTTTACGAGGATCGAAATAGTTAAAGTGACAATGGTGGTTGTGTCTTCCAGTTGCTAATATCCCCCTCTATGCAAACATCGTAGGCTATTTCTTCGTCTGATTAAGACCAAAGCTCGTCAGATGAGGCCAATCTAGCCACTATCCGTCAGTTTAGTATATAGTGCACGAGAGCGATGCGTACTCACCAAATGTGGTCCTCGAGCTATTGAGACGAGTGACCGTGGCTTTTTGACCTACGCTGAGTGACTTGCCTATTGCTGGACCAAAGCAAAATCCATATCGCCCAAATACAGGACTGTACTTGGCGCCCTTGTCGACACGTCGATCTTTGTTTAACTTTTTCCACACTTTTCCACGGTCGTCGATGGCTGTCTTCCCAGTACTGAAGTCGACAGTGATGCTCTGACACCTGTAGCAATTGGCGGTAAGAGGCATCTGGATCCCTCCATTAAAAGATAACTCGCCCCAGAAGTCTTCGGCGAATGGCTCTGATGACCCTCTAACGACGATGTTGGGTCGAAATTTGCTGATGTCCATGCCATAATCACCCTCCAGACGAGACGATACTTGAGCATTTGACTCTTCGGTGACGACAAGATAGTGTGCGATATCGTTGAACACGAGTCGCTCTTCAGGCAAGGCGATAAAAGGGATCAAGGATTGAAGATGTCTCAGGATACCACTCCTTCTGAGTTCTCCTTTGCTGTGCGGTGCCATTGAGCCGAGAACCGCTCGTGACCCGCTACCAATGTAGACAAGCCTAGTTTCGAATCCAAGCCGGTCTGAAAACCAAGAAGACAACTCGTCGCCCATGTCGTATGCTTCAGTCTGGCTGTTGTGAAGACTGACGTCGTACTTGTCGCACCCCTCAGTTGAAGGAAGAAGAGGAAATCGTATCTGATCCTCAGTTTTGACGCCATTCTCTCTCGCAGCTGTACCAACTTCTGTATCACGGCCATGCCAACTCACTACAATCTCGCCATTGTTAGAATTCTCGGCTGTTTCGTCAATGTTGACTGTCGCTTGGAACAGCGCCAGCTGCAGATAATACCCTGCGAGCATTGTCTCGTAAGTCTTCTTTTTTCCATCTTCGCCGTCACGACGAACTCTTTGTAAGGAGAATGTTCGATCTCCGACGAATCCGTATTTCCCTAGACGTGCTTTTTGGATGGCACATCCCCGAAGGCCCTTCACTGGGTAGCAGTAAAGCTGTGTCAAAGTTAAATTAGTCTATCAACGTCCGATACTTTAACGCGAGAATATTTTACCTGTGTAATCTCCAATGAAGTCTGAGATGGTTGATTTAGTCTCATCCACCGGCTGCTCATGATGAGAGTCATGATCAACAAGACGACCACTACAAGAGTGCCGTTACCCGACATCGTTAACAAAGTTGGTGTCGAAGCATTGGTGATGTTGGCAAACGCATCCATATTTTGGTTCTGACAAAAAATTGTAACTTGATAATCACTGTTAATATTTGACAAAGGAAACTTGAAGAGTTATTATCAGGGGCTAGGGCACATTTATTCAGGTAGCTTCGTAGAATATGACCTTTTCACTCAGAGATGAACCCTGAACAAGCCTCGAGATGACAGCACAGGGCATGCGGGGCCATGCATGGAAAAGATCAACTAAACCCTTTACGGAAACTAGATGGACCATTTCTGCAGACTGTGAGGTCTTGTCGAGACACCCCCGACTCGAACCAAGCGCACGGTTTCACTCTTTTCCCCGCATGTTTCCCTCCAGATGCCGAGACTTCAATCGCTTATCATCCGGGGAGGGGTTTGCGGAGTAGGCGGTGACAACCAACTATCTCCAACGACAAACTACCCTCCTTTCTGCCGCTTGTAAAGAGGTTGCGTTCAAAACATTTTGTTTTCATTTCTCTCAGACTAGGCCACAATGGTCACAAACCGCATCAGAGTTGTCGAAGGCTCTTGCTGGCCTTGCAAGAAACGCCGCATCAAGTGCGACCTGACGAAGCCGCGTTGCGTACGTTGTACCAAGATTGGCGCGGACTGCGATTTCAGCACTCGTCGCCTTAAATGGAGCACTCGGCCTACTATCAAAGCCCCAGCCATCTACCAAATCGCTACAAGGGATGAGCAATTGGCATTATCACTTGCGGCTGATGAGAAGCGCGCCCTGGACTACTTCCGTCACCGTCTGTGGCCGATGCTCACGACGGCTCAAGAGCCTTGCGCCGCACCAGTATTGCAGGCTCTTGAGAACCGCGTCGTGTTGTTGGCGACATGTGTTATCGCGGATGCTCATAGAGTCCTTCAAGACGGCCGGAACAGCCGGAACCTTCTTCGGATGAAGCGGTTGGAGTGCCTTGCTGCTGTCCGTGGGGAATTGTGTGGTGCACAGATTGACATGATCGATAAAGAGTCGCTCATGACATTGCTACTGGCAGTGCTTCTCTTGTATTTCCACGACGGCTATCTTGAATGTGCGCAGTCGTCAGCATCGACGTTGAGTCATCATGGCGGTGTGCGGGCGATCGTCGATACCCTCGGCGGCATCAACACAGTACTCAACACCAGTCATGAATCAATCCACATGCTGCTCTCCGAATTTGCATCAACAGATCTTACAACGGTCATGCTAAAAGGGGGCCATCCGGCTTTTCCGCCAGAAATTTGGAACACAATAGACAATCGATCCGTATGGTGGGGAAAAGATATTCTAGGTCGGTCTTCGCTCGCTTCGGTTTTCCACCACACGTCGAGATTAGCTTGGTATCTCGACTCACTTAGTCGTGGAGAGGTCGAACTCTCCATGGCTACTGTTCGCGGTTTCGAGACAGCTCTTTCGCCAACGTACGCCAGGATTATGGATACGAGTGGAGGCGCGAGCGACAGCGACTTTGAATCGAAAGACGAAGCGAATCACGCCTTTACACTGATTCGCGCTTTTCAGCATACGGCTCTTATATACATGTATCGAGCCATATGCGGTTTACCAGTTGGACACTCACTTGTGCAGCAACACGTTCTGCCCTGCTTGGAGTGTATCCTTGATATCAGGCAGCCGGCAAAGGTGCTCAACTGTGTCGTCTTCCCGCTTCTTGTGGCCGGTGCACATGTTCAATCTCCAAGACATCGAAAAGCAGTGCTGGGGCTGGTGCATGTTATTCGTGACGAGATGCGCTTCGCCTCGTTTAATTCTGTCAGCGACGTCTTGACTGGTATCTGGAAAGAAGGTCAGGAGGATGTCACATGGTTCAGCATGTTTTCCGAGTTAGCAGCGGATGCGATTGTACTTTGATTGGTATCGAGATATAGGCTATGTAGTACCCCATCCTTCTCCTGAAAGAGATATCTTACAACATCATACCCATGTTGAGATGCACAGCTTTAGTTTGGGAATACGCGGCGAGGCCTGCTTCTCCCAGCTCACGGCCGATACCGCTCTGCTTGACACCGCCAAATGGAACGCGGATATCAGAATCGTTGGAGCTGTTGATCCAAACCATGCCAGCCTCCAAACGAGCCGCAACGCGATGACCCCTCTCGATATCACGCGTAAACAGCGCAGCTCCAAGGCCATACGACGTGTTGTTAGCCAAGTTGATGGCCTCTTCTTCCGTCTTGAAGGGAGTAATTGCAACAAACGGACCAAAGACTTCCTCTTGGAAGATCTTCATGTCTTTCTTTACGTCAGAAAAGACGGTAGGTTCAATAAAGAAGCCCTTTCCGTCGCCGACATTCTTGACCGGAGCTCCGCCGGTGATGAGCTTGGCTCCTTCATCCTTTCCAGACTGGATGTATCCCAGGATCTTGTCATATTGGGCCTTGGTGATTTGAGGTCCCTGGAAAGTGTCGTCGTCAAAGGGGTTGCCGACCTTATTTTCAAGGCAAATCTTTGTAAAGCGGTCCACGTACTCCTGGTAAACCTCTTCCTGCACCAGGATTCTGGAGGTTGACGTGCAAATCTGACCTTGGTTGCTCATGATTCCAACATGGCCCCATTTGGCGGCTTGGTCCAGGTCAGCATCCTTGAACACCACCAGAGGGGACTTGCCACCGGTCTCCAGGGTAATGTTTTTGAGGTTGACACTGGCACCCTTCATGATCTGCCGACCTGTCGCTGTTGAGCCAGTAAAGGCAATCTTATCGACATCCTCATGGGAGACGAGGGCATTGCCCGCCTCTCTTCCATATCCGTTGACAATGTTGATTACTCCGGGAGGGAAACCGGCCTCTTTGATCAACGTCGCAAAGTACAAGATGGAAAGAGGGGTCTGTTCTGCAGGTTTCAAGACGACCGTGTTTCCGCATGCCAATGCAGGACCAAGTTTCCCTACAATCAGGGCTGTTAATGTGTCCTTACGGTCTCACAAGTAGAGGGGTCTTCCGAGAGCTTACATGCAGCCATCATGACAGGATAGTTCCATGGGATAATCTGACCACACACTCCGATGGGCTGTTTGATCGTGTATGCAAACTTCTGTGGTGTGGTTGGGATGGTCTCGCCGTGAATCTTGTCGGCCCATCCGGCGTAATAGCGGAGGGTGGCAATTGTTTCGGCAAGATCCTCACCAACTGCTACGCTGTAGGGCTTTCCGCCGTTCCATGTCTCAAGAGTGGCAATGGTTTCCTGGTTAGCTTCAACAAGATCGGCCAGCTTGAAAATGAGCTGTCCTCTTTCCGTGTTGGAGATGTCGCCCCAGCCAGGACCGGTGAGGGCGGCGCGGGCGGCTTTGACAGCCTTGTCTACGTCCTCTGCAGAGGCTGCCTCTACTGATGCAATTTCCGACTCATCACTGTTATGAGCGTTAGTTCGCTCTTATTGGTAGCAGAAATACCTCCCATTGACAAGACTGACATACCTGGGGTTGATGGCAGTGATCTTGGAGCCAGAAGTCGACTTTACGAACTCGTTGTTGATGTAAAGGCCGGTAGGAAGAGCGATCTTCGTCCCATTGGGCGCTGTGAGATCAATCGTTGGAGCTGACATATTGGGAATAGTGACCAGATCTAAGCTTGAATAACAGAAGACAGCTATGTCATGTGGGTGTTAAGAACGATGCTTAAATGGCGGAACATTGGAACTGTCAGTTGAGAGAGCTATGCCTGTTAAATCCCCATGATAAAAGATTGGAGCTTGCGCACACCAGTCCAAAACAAACGCCGGTGAATGTCTGACATACCACTTAACCGTCATTGCCGGACCCATCAGTACTACATCACATGGTAATAGATTCTCCCAAAATGGGCAAAAGATTGGGCAACACCGAATGAACGGCCAACACTATCGGGTCAAAGGATCCCATCCCCCGCACTACCCACCCTACGGTGCTGCATTGTCCTGGAAGCCCGGGATCTCTGTGGGAGCTAAAGCATGCGGGGTGATCTCTGACCACAGCTATCCGAATCGGGTAATAAATTGGACCACTTTGGCGGGGTGTCTGAGACACCTGTTGTTGTGGCAAGATACAGGGGCTCATATCTTGTCTGGTAGTTGACAAACCCGACAACTCTATCAGCCAACAGATACATTATTTTCTAATCTGATGCTAGGAATACACCTGAGGTCGATAGAAGGTTCAAGCGTGATCAGCCAAGTGTTAAGATAATTGTATGGTGATCGGCTAACCAGGACTAAGGTAGTCTCATATTGAGTAGACCGCCCTGTTGGATTGGAAACAACTTCTAATGACACAGATACAGACAAGCGTCTCTGCAGCTACATACACGGTTCTGTTCCAGGCATTCAGCATTGATTAACTCGCAATATCGCCCCTCGAGATACCTTAGCTATGTTTGTAAGAGGTTGCGCCTCGTCTTCTGTGCCATCTATCTCATAGGCTATGTTTACGTCCAAAAAGAATTCGCCGGTCTCTGGCACCTCATCCATCATATGCTTTCAAGAAGGAATTGAAGCCTCAACTTCAATCTCTACTTGCATGCCCTCCAGTCCAAGCTTCCCGATCTGAATGCAGGTCCAAATTGGCTTGTGGTTGGGGAAAAGTTTCTTGAAAAGCCCCGTCATGACATCGAAGCTGGAATCCATGTCGAGGTGGTATGAACGGATTGCGTAGATATCGTCGAAGCTCAGGCGGGAGTCAACTGCCTTCAGAGCCTTGAGAACATTGTCGAAAGCGGTGGCGATCTGCTTCTCGAGGTCGGTCGTGATTTTTCCCTGTTCATCCCAACCGCCTTGGCCGGAAGTGCGAACAGTGTTGCCAATCTTGACAGCTTGAGAGTAGTGATACTGCTCGGCGTTGGATTCAGTACCAGGGTAGTTGAAGAATTGAGCGGATGCCATGGTTCAGGATCGCGGCTGGGAGTTTTACAGAGGATATGATGAAGTAGGTGATAGTTGATGGTAAATATCTGCAGAGCTTGAACAAGTTATACCGCCTGAGACTATACCGGTCTCTCCCTACTTATCTACGTAGCTGGTGCAGAGCGGACATCAGCCATTTCATGTTGTCCTCTGCGGGGTCAACTCCAAGTGGGTTGGAAGGGGTGGGCATCCGCGTGCAACCCTGGTAGTTGATCTTCGGACCAGCGAAATATTGGCATCCATTTCGGAATTAGCCAATTCTGTCTGTTCCATATGTTGTGCTACAATGCAGCTTAACATGGAATTCTTAAGGATGGCTTTACGTTATCAATGCCAAGGAGGTCAAGGAAGGGGAAGTGGTCCATATCTTTACTCGAGTGGGAATAGCGCTGTTTTAGCACACAAGGTGATCTGGTTGGGCGAACGCAGGGCGCTAGAGTGCTATACGCAGCATGGCCTAAGTAAGCAGATTCAGCAAGGTGTGCTCTGCAGAGTGCTGCAGTCCAAAAAAAAAAAGAAAAAAAAATGTAACAAGACGATTGTAATAGCACATGTCGGTACTTTATTAACAAAAGCGTCATTGCCAAAAGGATGGCCTTGCTAATTGGGGGAGCCATCTGGGCTGTATTGAAGATATCAGCGTTTTCAAACTCATTATCCCGCACTCAACAGCCGAGATCAAATTTCTTCTTGGTTTGCGTATCTTGATGCAGGGTTAGATATTTAAAGCATTATGGCCGGTATTATGCCTAGTGCAGAGAGACGCTATGCTTTTCGACCATTTTCCAATATGGCTCGGCCGCTCGTCTTCTGAACGATTTCCCAAAATAAATGAAGCTCAAGCCCAAAGCCCACAACGCGAACCCAAGAACAGCGGTTAAAATAAAGCTACTACGAAGTCCAATATTGTTGATCATCGGTACGACGGCGTAACTAAATGCAAAACCTTAATCAGATTAGCTACATGGACTATTCATACCCGTAAAGAAAATAGTTACCCATTGAGTTACGAATCAAGATGACCGATACGAAACCTTCCCCGGCGAACTCCTTGAAGCTGTCGAGGATGTATGTGAATGCCAGGCTCGTTCCTAAAGGAAGGGTAATGGATATGAATCCGAAACCGAATGCAATTCCGATCCAATGAATTTCGTACGATGCTCCAACGCCGTAAAGAATACATCCGACAGGATGTGCCACAATTGCTATAGCACATAACCAAAGACGATATTCCGGCTCCATGACGCCGCCATGCCTGCGAGACATCGTGATGGGCAATCTGTCACTGGCCCATCCAGATATGACGCAGCCAATTGAAACCCCAATAACTGAAGCGAGGTAAAACAGGCCGACGACGTTCGAACTGAAGTTGTAAGGAGGATTGCCAAGAATGAGTGCCAAAGAGCCGCCCACGACATTGTACCATGACAGAATACCGCCGACAAGAACGCCCGAGAACAATACAGTTGGAAAGCGGAGGAGCAGAAAAGGAACAAGAGCATGTTTGAACATGCTCCTCTTCTGTTGGCCCTCATGACCCCATAGCTTAAGCTTTGACAAGAGAATTCCACTGTTGACGGGAGTATGATTCGAATAGGATATGTTGATACTTACTCCAGAATCAGCATTGGTGATATTATCGTTACCAATTTGTTGCGTCGAACACCCCTTTTTTTGACTCGATTGATCGTTATCAAGAACCTGATTGGCAGTTTCAGCGATGCCACTCCGGAGCTCGACAGATTCGATGACATCTGTGTCAACACCGGTTCTGTGGAACATAGTCTCTTCAAATAACAGAAAGGTCGAGATAGTAACACAGCCGCCCAGAATAGATAAAATGTACTGGATCCATCGCCAACCTAAGTTCTCTGCGACGAACCCAGAGGCAACTGGGCAAAGCAGAGCACCGCACCACAGGGTCCAACTATAGATGCCCATGTAGAATCCCCTCTGGTGTACGAAGAAAAGGTCGTCAATGACCACCTCGATTAGAGTCTCCATGGGCGAAGAGACGATGCCCAACATGATTCTGTTGATAAAGAACTCGGTGCGGGAGTGAATGTATGCGGACCACAGGTTAACAAAGGTAGCTAGTAATATGGAAAAAAAGAGAGTCGGGCGTCTGCCATGTTTGAGGGCAAAGTTCTGCGTGATGAGAGTTCCCCATCCGAGGAAAAGATACAATAAGCCGTTGCCGGTGCTCAGGTCAGCCACCGATATTCCCGTGTCCTTTTCGATTTGGAGATAAGCGGGCGATAAACCAGAGATAATGGCGGCTGCGAAGAAACACCATATCATCACGCAGAAGATGTTGAGAGTTTTGCGATTTTGCGTCCATGAGAGAGGATCTTTGGGGTCGCCACTCGGTTGTGGAATAAGCACGATGGTTGATTCTCCATTTTCGTGGTCGGTATCAAGAGTGCCATGTGTGTCAACGAGTTGGACTGTCCCAGGGATCTTGATTGCGTTGTTTGGTGATGCCATTGTTAAATGAAAGTGAGTAAATAAAGGCGACTGCAACTATTGGAATGGTCTGACTCACGTATCAAGAGACACACGCGACATATAAACCAAGGTTCATTCACTTCATAGCCTTCGCGTCCGCTAAGAAATAGTGGTTGATTTGAGAAACCTTTAGGCGAAATATCCTCCAAGACACTGACAATCGATGTCAATCTAGAGACCTCATCCATGCTTGCACTAAACCAGTTTGGGTGAAAAGATTGACCAGTACCAACTGGTCGACTTTTACGAATCGCAGTAAAACTCTAAGCCACTTCTCCCGGTCAAAATTGCTGATCAGTGCTAGCACACGCCCACGTCACAAGCATTTGTGTTTTTGTATAGACCATCCTGGTTATTGAACCAAGCCAGTATAAGGCTTTCCAAAACCGCCATACAATCCACATGACATGGGTTTTAATCTAACTGCTGTGAATGCCGTTTTGCAGCTCAAATGAATTTGGTTGGTTGTTTAATTTCTAGAAGGAGTCTCGGCTCGTAACATGCCGAACCAGGGAGAAAGTGGCTGTGATACTCGAAGTTCCCATGCATAGAGGGAGGGACACCAGTTGCGAATGCGCCTAACTTGGTGACGCCTTACGCCTATTCGACAACGAAGTCAGACTAAGAATGTAATAACATTCAGAAAACCTTCTCCAGTAGATGTTTTAGTGTAAGGTTGATCTTGGAACGATGCAGTCGAGGTAGGCTGGCAATTCAGTGATGGCGGTGGTAGATGCTTTGAATGTCTAACCATGTACCAATCAATGTGCTTGTTAGTAGTAGGAGAAAGCCCGGCAACCGTCAAATCCCATCAGCTCTGAATAAAATCTATTAAATTTAGTTGCGCGCTGAGTGTTGGGGAAGACAGACAGCGAATTATCACAGCACACCGCAATGATGTCCGTTCTCCTGTTTCGAGAGGTGCGAGGCATCGGCGTCTCGGGCTTTCCACAGACAATACAGTACTTTGCTCGTCGGGCAATGCAATTCAACAACGAGGAAGTAAATGGTGGCTTCTATGCACATGATCGCTTTTTAATACAGATAGCTATCATCAAAACCGAGCTCAGACAATACGTAGAGTAGATAATGAAATTTTCTGATTAACAAACGTAACTCGATGTCTGGAACTGTACGAGTCTTCTACATACTCAAGTTGCGAACAAGTAATGGAAGACAATCAAGGTATATACCCTCTGACAGCTGCAGACGGAAATGGGGTGGCAAAAGAAGTCTGGTTATTCAGGCCCAAGACATTCGGAATAGTTACCGTAGAGCTTTAAAACCTTATACACAACGGCACATCTCCGAAACGACCTATGTAATGCTATTAAGAGATAGATTGATTAGATGCTATATGTTGAAATTTATAAAGACAAAAGATCATTCATAGCCGTATTTGACATCTATCAATTCAACCACTGATCTGCGCTTTGCAGCAACCGATATATAACATTCTGCGCATTTTTGAAGTGGCAATTATTTCTCGTACTCGTCTGTTTTTTGAAAACAAAAAAGTTACCATGAGGATGAAACTACTACGAAGGTTCACAAATCAAGATGTCAAGGTAGACAATATGACCAAAGGTAAGTGTCCACCAAAATGTCAATCAAAGAGCCATATCTAAGCATACAGTGTTTCCAGAACTTGCTCTGAAAGAATGGGTGAAAGAACATGCAACAACTGTATCGCGCATTCCTGCGGAATATCTATCGGCTGAAGAAAAACTTAGGAGATCGAGGTCGCCTATAACTACTATTCAAATTGGCTATAAACACCTGATCATAGCGACGCGTAGCCATCTGCGAAGTTCTACAGTACCCAGCTCGATTGAAAACTTCTGTGGCTCGAGAACGAGTCCAATCCAAATCCTTACAGTAACCAACGTTTTCCAAAAGGGAGAAACAGAAAAGATACTTTCGCCTGCATACTGGCCGGGTAATTATCAATGGAGAATGGTCAGCAAGCTTGAAGTTCCGGGCTGGAAGGATGCGGCACATTTGTGCATCTATTTCAGAAATCTGCCTTATCAGTTGAACACCGGAATTGATTGGAACAACGCCCAGAAACTAGTTGACCGACAAAGAATATCACACCGAGGATCCCATTGGAGGTACTATTCAGAGTGGCATAGCAACAAAATGCATGATAACGCATGGCTGGCAACGGTCGAGCTTAAGCATAAAGACACCTATAATCTCCTGAATGAAGACAACCGAAATCTGTTCAAGACTACGAATATTAAGATGTAAGTATTTCGAATTCTTTCGTACATCTGAGGTTTTAACTAACTCGATGACTTCAGCCATCTTATACATCAACGCATGAGCCAATCAACATACAAGGAGGTGGTGAGGTTTGGCCATGGTGTATATGGCAATGACCTTCTAGGACGAAGACTTTCTACGTGGGACGAGAGCCAAGGCCTGCCAGAAGACCTTTTAAAGCTTTTGGAGCCCGTGTTTCCTCGGGAGAAGTACTGAGCGTCATTTTGTTACAAGTTTCCGAGACCATGGAGCTGGGAGCATGAAGCTTAATGTTACGAAAAGCTTTGTGTCAAAGAAGCATATTAATGCTTCATCGGAGACTTGGAATTGATGGTCCGGGGTTCCCCCATAAGTCCAATTTACAATATCTTGCAAAGGCAGCTCTTAGTTGAGCAGAATATGTGGTCTTTTTTGCATAAATCTCGGTCAGCATCTCAGTTCTTATCTGCAGACTGAGCAACTGCCTAGACTGTCTGGAACAAAAGCTAGGCTCTCCCCTATGACTTCTGTATTTTCTGAATTGCTCCAGGTATTCTTCTCCAACACGGAAGTACTCCAGCCTTTAACACAGACAATGTGAATCTTTCACTGGCAATTGCTTGTCTAGTACTTTTGACTTGCCTAGTCTTATCTCGTAAGTGATAAGGTCTAATAAATTACATTGGATTTTGCTCTCCAGATGCAAACTAGCAAATTGTGAATGACAACCAAGTAATATTTATACGAGAATGATGCCATCCGGAAATCAATTTTAACGGCCCGGAGCTAATCCCTGGTGACTTTGAGGAAAACCATTCTGGTGATGCTCAGTCCTAGGGTGATAGGATAGCTTCATCCTGGGCGGTAGTTGTCAAGATGTCAAATCAATATCGATGCCGCCCGTACTAACAGAAGGATGATTTGAAGAACATGAGGTTCTAAAAGCCCGAGAATAAACAAAGCGGCGCCGGGCCGTTCCCAGAAAGTTTCAACGGGAGCTTCGCTGAGACAGACGGGTTATTAACAACCACCGAACTCCTACTTCACTACTTCAAGGGTCCATTGACTTATCATTGTGTCCAATACGATCGATCAGCAAGCTAACTTTCCCCGCGTTGTTTGCTTGAGACACGTCCGAACTTGATGATCCCAAAGAGGCAGATGGGTGGTAGGCCTAAGGGGTATTTGCTCCGAAACAACCGCAAAAGATTGTTCCATGTAGCAATGGAGTTAACGTTCTAAACTCCAGGACCATACAGGCCTTTTGAGCACAGGACCAATCGAAAATCAAGCTTATCTGTTGAGTGCAGATCACGTCATTGTTACCATGGATTGTTAGCCACTTATTCCAGACATGAATGCAATTTGATGTCAACATTGTAGGGAGGTTCCCACATTTGAGGGGCTGACAGACGCTAATCAACAGAGTGCGGGGCATGCTCATCGCCTATCGGTGCTGTCAACCCCGCGCTGTGACCCCTCCTCATGTATGTCGCGATGTCCGAGCCCTACCATAGCAGTCATGACGTTCAGCTGTTGAGGAGTAAGGGGGTTTATCTTCTCCTCCCCCCGCCCGTCAACGTCTATTTGTTCCCAACATAGTGAAGGACCTGTATCAACATTTGCGAGACACCATCTACAAATCCCAATTAAGACAATAAAATGGCTTCTAAAGAACTCCCGGCGCGTCTCAAGGAGTCACTTGAGAACACTAAAGTCGAATACCGCCAGCTTGGAAAATCCGGGCTTCGTGTTTCAGTCCCGATCTTTGGCTGCATGAGCTTTGGCGATCCTCGTACATTGCCGTGGGCTTTGGGAGAGGAAGATGTACGTTCAAGAGAATACCGCTATGACCGGAGAAAACACTAGGTAGCTGACGGCATCTCAGGCACTCCCGCTACTCAAGGCCGCATACGATCGAGGACTCAACACTTGGGATACAGCTAACGTGTATTCTAATGGCGCATCTGAAGTTACAATTGGCAAAGCGTTGAAGAAGTACAACATTCCTCGCGAGAAGGTTGTCATTTTGACGAAATGCTTCTTTGCAGTCGGCGAAGAGCCTGGTAAGCTATGTTAGAAAACCCGGATCATCATACGTCATTTCTAACTATAAGAAACAGAGGCACGCCAGTTCGTGTATCGTGATGAGTTCAACACGGCCAAGGACTACCAGAACCAATTTGGTCTGTCCCGAGGAGCCATCTTCAACCAGGTAGAGGGCTCCTTGAAGAGGCTCGACACTCCTTATATCGATCTTCTCCAAATTCACCGTTTCGACCCCCGAACACCAGTCGAGGAAACAATGAAGGCGCTGCATGACCTAGTCCAGTCTGGCAAGGTTCGATACATTGGTGCAAGCAGCATGTGGGGCACACAGTTCGCCCAAATGCAGTTCGTTGCCGAGAAGAACGGCTGGACCAAGTTTGTCAGCATGCAGAACCAATATAACCTTCTTTACCGTGAGGAAGAGCGCGAAATGAACCGCTTCTGCAATGACACCGGCGTTGGACTTATTCCGTGGGCTCCCCTCTGTAAGTGGACTACCTGTCTTACCCAATACAGAAAAATTGCTAACCATGAACTTACTAAGGCCGGGGTCACCTCGCTCGGCCGCCGGCGGACTTCGGCTCCACTTCACGGAGCAAAGGTGAGAAAGAGGGACAGCCCGGATCGCATGGGACGGTCGAACCGGACATTAGCATCATCAAGCGGGTTGTCGAGATTTCAGAGAAACGCAAATGGCCAATCGCACACGTATCGCTTGCGTGGATCAACAAACGAGTCACTAGTCCAATCATCGGATTCAGTAGTGTCGAGAGGATCGAGCAGGCTATCACAGCAGACGGCAAGGTCCTTACTGATGAGGAGGAGAAGTATCTGGAAGAGCTCTACCAACCGAAGCCCATTTCTGGCCATACGTAATGGATGCTAAGCGAAACAGGGTCCTGCTGGCATTGATAGTAAAGATAGCCCAATCGGAACTTGTTGAGAATCTTCCTCGAGCTGCACTGTTCAGTATGGAGAAATGCAATGTAGGAGCTGTATAAGGTGTTCCTTGCCTCATCCAGTTCGACTTCAATTTACACCACGTTCAAGATTTGAGTATGCATCCAAGCTCCTGTAGCTTACAGCTTTCGTCTCCTCCATGTTCGGGGAGCCGATTACGAACACGCAAGGTCAAAACTGGACCGTGTATTGGCTGAAGCAGTCTCCGTCTGATTTTTCACTCTACCTCGCAACAAGATCCGTTACAGGAGAAGCTTCACCCCCGGATCTGGCGGGCATCAACCTCCCGAGGCCTGACGTCGATGATAACGATTCGTGCAGAGTAAGATCGATTCCACCCCTCTTCTCCTCCCCCGCCCACATTTCTCATTGGGCGAAGGGCTTCGATACATCGTCGCTGGTTTTCTGTCCTTAAACGTTCTCCATCTGAATACTTCGGCGCATGACACCTGCCGGCCCATCATAAAGCGCTAGTTACCCGAGCGTGGGAGGAATCTTGGTCGGGGCAGTAGGACGGCTCGAGCGCACCATGGGATGCTCTAGAATAATATCGCTGCGAACATTCCACTGAGTTTTACTGAGCATCCTCGACCCTTGACAAGTGTCAATATATAGGAACACTTCTGTTTTGGGCTATGCGATGCGAGTCTTCCCCAGCAGTTTCCGAGATCATCGCGATTAGCCGCAGCACGCTACCTAGTTCATCCCAAATCATGGTAAATCTAGCTAAGCGAACTAGGCATAGGCGATTAGATCGTGGTTTCTCGATCATATGATATCACTACGCTTCTCCATCGTTGCCGAGGACCACATTGAGATGCATGAGCTTAACCCAATATATTCAACCCTCATGGCCCGGACCTTTAACCCCTGGGTCTGATCACAACGTCTCAACAACGCCGTGAGAACAGACATCCTCGGGATTCTCCAACTCTTTTTTGCTTTTACAACCGCATCCTAATCATGTTTCCGTCGACGTTGGTCTTCGTCTCCTTAATCGTTCTGGCTTGGGCAGCGCCGCAAGCAAAGAGAGCACAAGCAGGGACCCCGCAAGTAACAATAAAGAGTCCGCAGGCAAAAATCAAGGGATCAACAAAAGGGTTTCTCGGAGCCAAAGCCGGTGAGGTTGAATCTTTCAATGGAATTCCTTTCGCAAAGCCCCCTATCGGGGAATTACGCTTCAAGCCCCCAGTCCGCCTGACCGAGTCCATGGGAGATGTCGATGCAACTACAGAACAACCGAACGCATGCCCGCAGTTTGCCTTGAACAGCGATTTCGGTTCCCCTCTCATCCCTCCAGATCTTCTTGACAAGGTCCTCAATCTTCCTATTCTGAAAAACCTGGCTGTTGGACAAGAGGACTGCCTTACGATAAACGTTCAGCGACCGGCCGGGACGACCGAAAAGGATAAACTACCCGTCATGTATTGGATCTTTGGAGGCGGTTTCGAGCTTGGCAGCACGTCAATGTATAATGGAGCTGGTATTGTTGCGGAAGGCATGACCACAGGCAAGCCGATCATCTTCGTCGCCGTGAACTACCGAGTTGGGGCGTTTGGATTTATGCCCGGGAAAGACCTCATGATGGAGGGGAGTTCCAACGCCGGACTATTGGACCAAAGGATGGGTCTTGAATGGGTTCAAGATAATATTGCGAGCTTCGGGTAGGCTGTCGTTCTGCTGCTCTCTTCTGTCGTGGTGGTGTTAACATTCGGTTCCAGTGGCGACCCAAACAAAGTCACTCTTTGGGGAGAATCGGCTGGCGCCATCTCAATCTTCAGTCAGCTAACACTCAACAACGGCAACATCACTCGCAATGGAAAGGCTCTCTTCCACGGCGCTATCATGAACTCAGGCTCGGCAGTCCCAACGGATCCAATGGATTCGCCCAAGGCCCAGAAGGTCTACGATACGGTCGTGTCCAAGGCTGGCTGTGCCAGTGCCAAAGATCGTCTCAAATGTCTTCGAGACCTCCCCTATGATGTAAGAAGCTCTTGGTCAGCTTATTGAACTTCATACAATTATTAACAAGCTTGAACTAGGATATGAGGAAGGCCGCAAACTCGGTGCCTGGTCTTCTAAGCTTCAACTCGATCGCTCTGTCGTATCTCCCCAGACCAGATGGGAAAAGCATTGTCTCCAGCCCTGAAATATTTGCAACCTCAGGCAAGCTACCAAAAGTCCCATTTATCATTGGCGACCAAGAAGACGAGGGAACACTGTTCGCCCTTTTCACGCCGAATATTTCGACCACTCGAGAAGTAGAAGAATACTTCTCCACCCTCTTCTTCAACAATGCGTCACCCCAGCAAGTCAAAGGCCTTGTTGCAACTTACGCGAACCGTCCTTCTGAAGGGTCACCATTCCGCACAGCCGGCTTCAACAATATATATCCACAGTTCAAGCGCATGGCTGCGATTTTAGGAGACTCTGTTTTCACCTTGACTCGCAGAGCGGTGTTGAATATCTCTCTGGCTGTCCAGCCTGACGTGCCGAACTGGAGCTACCTCGCCAGTTACGATTATGGAACACCAATATTAGGCACATTCCACGGCTCTGATCTCTTGCAAGTTTTCTATGGCATCAAGCCGAATTACGCTGCTTCAGCCACACGAGCGTACTATTTCAATTTCGCGTACAACCTGGACCCTAATGATTCCTCTGGTGGTACAGGTACTGCAAACGTTAAGTTGATTAACTGGCCAAAGTGGAAAGATGGCGCCAAACTGTTGAACATGAGGGCTAACGATGCTGGTTTGATGAATGACGACTTCCGACAGGATAGCTTCAACTTTTTGCTCAACAATGTACAGAGCTTGCGTTTTTAGTTGCTAGCGGGCATTCTGAGGGACGAGGCGGTCTATCACTTTACAGCACCTAGTGAACTTTGAGCTGGGCGCCCATCTTGGACGATTGCTGCAAACAGATACCAATTAGCCTTGACCATCCCCATTATCTTAATTTACTCGCGACGTTGTTCAAGTCTGTAACTGTTCCTGTAGATGTAAAATGATGAGAACAACCACGATTTAAGTTGCTGTGAGATTTTCATCTGATTGTTGCTTGGATGAAATGGTATAGCTCTTACTATGAGACTAATTGGGTTATCTCAGAGTTTCTTTCATTCCATAAAAGTTGTGACGAGTTCATACAGTACCCAATCGGATCGTTTTCCTACGAAACGTTGCCTGCTTACCAGAAGCTCAATTTATTTTTCTCTTTTTTTAGTTGAGGGTATTGGGGTTAGCGCTGGGCTCCTGAAAATATGGTCTTTCGGCTTGCGGAGTAATCCTCAGCATATGTCTCCTCGTTGTCCCTTCCTCGACGCGAAAATCTCTAAGAGCAGAATGCTGCGTGTTCCTGTTGTCGTAAACAACCACATGTCCTGGTTTCCAATGTATCCGCAAGTGCCAATCCTGACCTCTCTCTATGTGATCAAATAGGAAGCCCAACAATGAAGCGCTCTCTTCCTGCTTCATTCCCACAATTTTCTTGGTGTATAACCTATTGACATAGAGCGACAGCTGACGAGTGACAGGATGGATTCGTACAACTGGATGTACTGTTTCTACTGGCTCCCTTATGTAACGATCTCGATGGTCATGCACGGAAGCTTGCGAAAATCCCGAATGGACAGCTTTTAGCCCGTGTAGGAGTGTGCGATAAGTTTCCGACAAAGCGTAGTAAGCTGCTGTGGTGAATAGGTAAAGCGTATCGCCACCAGATGACGGTGTACTTAATGGCAAGAATGTAGTAGTACCCATCCCATTGCTATCTAAAGTTAGTAATGAGGTATCAAGTTCACATGGATGAAACATACATCTCGTAGCTCATGTCGCTGTGCCACTTGACACTCGTGACGTTGTCCTTGATCTCATTGTCAACGGCACCGGCACTACATCACGTCAGCCAAATTCATTCCTCGCAGACTCGGAAGCTTTTGGTGGGCTTACGTGAAGTCGCGGTACACAGGGAGCAGCTCGGGGTAGTCTTTGATCTGACCGCCCATCTGGTGAACGTGGAGAGGCCCGAAGTGTTTTCCATACTCCTTCTGGCGCTCCGGACCAACGTCGGCAAAGTCTTGGTCTCGAAACAGTACTACACCGCGCTCGGCAGCCAGTAAGGCCAACTTGTCCAATTGAGCAGAAGTAAGCTGGCTGAGCTGGATTCCACGAATTTCAGTCCCAATTGCTGGTGTGATCTCTTCGTGTGAGACACCTGGGACATTCAGCAGGTTTTCCTTCCCAGCATCCGCTTTCAGCCCAACATCGACATGGGTAAACTCCTCCAAAGGCGGTTGTGTACCAGGCGTGAAGTGCGGGAGGTAGTCTTGGTATTTGTACTAATACTGGTTTCAGTAACCCATTACAAAAAGAACATTGCTTATCTTACCTTCTCCTGCTCATAGTTGATGGACGTCTCACCACGAAGCTGTAGCTTCTGAGGTTCCGTCGTGGTAGTCTGTACTTGAGTGGCCATATTGATGACTGGGATGGAATTTCAGAATTCTTCATTCCCAAGTTGATTAGACTTATGATTTCCATTTCATATCATTGTTGTAGGTGGATGTTCTCCAAGGAAACAGCGAAATCACGCGATCCCAGGTCGCTTGTTGCGACATCATCCTCACAGATTCGCCATAGCTCTCCAGAGAATCGCATTGGCCAGGTATCTCATTCCTGCACAGCGTTGTCTTTCTCCACGTTTCACTCCTTGAAGATTGCATTTAAATCTCCGAAAACGGGCTTTAATCATAGGATAGACCTGCTTTCATCTCGCAGGAATTACAGATCGTCTGTTTATTTCCGAGGAGCCTTGCAACTCTTGCAACCATTCATCACCTGCCGGCATATTTGCGTGCTCATTATCTGCAGGTCGCGAAGAAGTTCTCCGTTATCGATGCTCACTTGATCGCAAAGATTCAATCGCCCTTTGCTTGTTGGAAAGGCGAATAGGGATTCATCATTGACATGATCCGTGGCGTGCTGCTGGCTTGCAAGCATTTATCTTTATCGGACAGGCATCAAAAGCGATCTATATGAAGATAACTTCTACGGGAATCCAAGATGTCTCGCTCAACAGTCCGGTATCATTTACTGCAATACGACACGATGTCGGAGGGCGACAAGCAACAGATCGGAGTAGAGTCCACAGAGGCTGGGACTGAACCACAGCCCACGGAGTCTTCACCCAACGGAATACTTTCCGCACTCGCGCGCAAGATATGGGGTGATGATACACGGGAGAGAAAATACATTCAGAAGCTAGATAGCTTCCTTTTGTGAGGTTTCCTGTCCTACTTTCTTTTGATCATCGACTTATGCTTGAAACAGCTCCTATGTCCTCCTTGGGTACTTCATCAAGTACCTCGACCAAACCAACTACAGTAATGCATTCGTGAGCGGTATGCAGGAGGAACTAGGGCTCTATGGAAACGAGAGGAACCTTCTCAACACTTATTTTAATGTTGGAATCATCTTGGGCACGATACCAGCTCAGATGATCCAGTTGAAGTGGGTTCGCCCTTCCATATGGATACCCGCTTGTGAACTCGCATGGTCGGCTCTGACCATGGTAATGGCCAGCGCTAAAAATGTGCAAACGGTACGGCATTCATGTCGTTTTTGCAGCCTTTTTGAATGTACTAATCAGTCACAATAGCTCTACGCATTACGTTTTTTCATCGGGTTGTTGGAGTCATGCTCTTTTCCCGGCTTCGCCAGTATTCTTGGCAGTTGGTATGGCAAATCTCAGCTCGCCAAACGGATGGCGTTGTTTGAACAAACTGCAGCCATTGCCGGCATGTTCAGTGGGTACCTTCAAGCAGGTCTTTACACTGGGATGAACGGAACTGCGGGTTTGTCGGGGTGGAGGTGGCTGTTCATCATGGATGGTATGTTGCCTACGTTTCACAAGACTAAAGTCGTTTGACTGAGACTTCCAGGGGTCATCTCAATTCCAATTGCGCTTTACGGATTCTTTGCACTCCCAGACTTGCCGCACAACACGCGAGCCTTCTACCTAAAGAAAGATGTAAGTATACGGTGCTCTGGCTTGATGAATCTGACTAATATCTTGAGAACAGGACAGAGAATACGGAATGGAACGAATCAAAAAGATGGGTCGTAAGCCACCTGTGAAACTGACTCTGAAGGGCATCAAAGATATATATACCTCTTGGCAGCTTTGGGCCTTCATTCTACCCTATCTGATGGTTGCCGAAGCTGGGTCCGGCACTGGCTACTTCAATCTCTACTTGAAGGCTGAGGGCTACAGTGTTGTAAAGACAAACATTCTTCCAACAATAGGCAAGTCGCCGAGTCGCATTAGTTGAGGGCATATACTAACTTCATACCTTCACCTTTAGGAAACGCTATCCAGATTGTTGCAGCCTTTTCAGTAGGCTGGCTGTCGGATGCAACTGAGAGCCGTGTGTTGACTGTTGTGTTTGTGCAAGCCCTAGTCATGGTGTCAAACATAATCTTGTCAATATGGAACGTGCCAAAGGCGGCATTGCTGGCGGCATTCTATTTAAGCTACACTGGCGGTGCGGCGCAACCTATAGTCATCAGCTACGGGCACGAAATCACGCAGTGGAATGCCAACCTTCGACAGCTTCTCGTGGCGACGGGAAACATTTTTACTTATACTTTTAGCGCTTGGATGCCAGGTGAGTTTCTATTTTGTCCATATTCAAGCGACTTGGAGTCGGCCGTGGCTACAAGATGGCGCTGACTGATGAGTTTAGTGGTCTTATTCCCGACTTATGATGCGCCCAAGTACAAGTACGGATATCAGTTTCTCATATTATGTGGCGGCCTCGCTGTGTTGGGCATGTATTTGTTGGATTATTTATACAAGCGGGACATGTAAGTTCAATATGTTGAAGAATCGGTCGCTTGGAGGCTACTAACACTTGAACTCACAAAGCAAACGAAACCCGCACCGGTACGACGTTGATTATGAGACTGAAACCGACCAAGGTACCCAGCAGCGAGGAAGCGAAGATGGGCTGGCACCAGTTCGAAACGGGGCAGGATTGTAAAAACTAATCGTATCAAAGGGTAACTCCGTCGAGCAAAAAGCGAATAGTATTCTGTTGATTCCCGCATACACATTATCATCAAAAACTCCGAAGCATGCTTCCTTGTTAGCGACGATTACGTCACTTGGTTTATTAGGCTGGCTAGATGTTTTGTGGTTAATGGATCCAAACTGGGTGATAAATAGCCATCTGCATGACGTAGAGTCAACCCCGTTGATTACTATTGTGAAAGGTTGAGAATAATTTCAGCGAATTACTAGGTAATTGTGCAACCTCTCTTGTTTACTCCAGTTGCCATATGGCGACAAGGTAGTACTCGGATCCTGATGACATGCCAAGATAGAAAGCAGCCGTCCGAATGAGAAATGCGCCATATATGGCTAAAAAGCACCTTGCTGTGCCGCTCGAAGTCTGACAAGTCCTGGTGCAGCTGAGCAAGAAACATTTATCCGAGAGTAGCGGGAAGGCGCAATTCCTAACTAGAAAAGCCCCTGGAGTCAAATAAGAGCGTCGGATGACGGGCCCGATTAATCGGCAGCTTTCGGAGCGTAATGCTCCATCAACACGTGGCAGGGCCGATTTACGGACCCGCTTCAGGTGCCGCTGCCGGTATCGACCAGGCGGGGCAGGCGACGAACGGCTGGTCTAAGGACTGCTTGTAGTAACAGCTCCAATAGCACTATTGTTGTTATTATAGAGACATGATAAAGTATAGTAAATTTGGGCCAGAACGCTTCAGGAGCATCTTATTTAGGATTCGTTACGCAACGAGGCTACACTGATAACTCCAGAACGTTTCTTAGGCGACGTCATTCCGTGTATTTAACCCTGTAAATGAGAGGGCATCCCACATTATCAAAGCCAAACAATACGCAAATTAGATACACAGAATTTGCCCTGTATTAGTAGTGAGATTGCTCCAGGTGGCCTATGCGCTAGAAATTTCCCCTTCATCGGTGTTAGTCCGCTGTCACATGCGTCATCTGTCCCCTGTAGGTGCATGCTGATTGCTCCCTCCACCATCCCCGCCACCACGGAACGCAGCCAAAGTAGCCCAAGGGAGCACTGCAAGGCAGGGAAAAAAGGAAAGCCAAGAACACCCAAGACTGGGGGACTCACGAGACCTCCGTTTGGATTCTCTGATCTTGCAGACAACAACATTGGAACGAACCAGTAGACGGCATGCGTTGGTTACCATCTCGGGTTACAGGCTCCACAGCAGAACTTACTCTAGCTTCTTATTAGTCGTGTCTTTCTAACGGCCTCGTAGTGTGCAGTGGTCAGGGGAGCATCAGAGACAAATGTTCCCCATAAAAGTCACGCCACTCGACCCCATCCTCCTTGAGCCCATCCCTCCTTTCTCGGGGGCTTCCCTCCAATCCATTTGCTGCGCCAGTAACTCTGAAAGACTCATCCATTTACGGAAGCTCGACTAGGTTGCCGAGCCTGACAAAACCTGACAGCAAATGTTTTCTTCGTCCGCGCAGCCCGAGGTAATGGGGGAGTGCTGGTGTGGACGAAAATTCATAGGGATTGCGCCCACAGTTCCCCCACGTCAGCCATCGTATCTCACCTTTTGTATGGCTGAGTTTCCGTTCCCTCTGCCTTGTGAACCAGGAGTCGTCCAAGCCTGAGCGGCCCCTACACTAGAGAGAACCTTCGGGGGTCCCGCTTTGCCGCCGGCCCGCTGTTGGTGAGGTAATCGGCTGGGGGGGCTTCCCAAATAGGTCTTTCAGGTATCATCCCCGGGTTCCCTCTCTGTGAAATAATTCTACGCCTTTCCCTGCCGTAGCTTTTTCTTCTCCTTCTCCCCCTACTCCTGTATTGTTTTCTTCCTTCATTTTTCCTTCCTACACGCACAAAAGACCAATTTCCTCTCTATCCCTTTTCTCATTTTCCTTTTTTTCAGCGACAGACCAACTGCTTATAGATTTGCCTTCTTCCGTCTCTACATCTAAAAGTGAGTCCCGAGACTGTATTCTCACCCTCATCTTCCGTTCGGGCCGAGATACCCCGCGATTCTCCCAGCTGCTGACCGATGCTGCGGGTTTAGAAGCCCAAGCAAACATACCAAAAGGACGAATACACAAAACGTAAACTAGACTTATATAAACAAGCCGCCACAATGGTCCTCATCACCCGCGCCATCTCCCTCACCAACTTCCTCGTCGCCTCCTCCGCTCTCGGCTTCCAGGTCTTCGTCTTGTACCCATGGCATGAGCAGCTCTCCCGCGATTTCGAGGAGCTCAAGAAGGAGCACCTTCGCGTGCTTGACTACGTCAAGGGTGTCGACGCCGGTCTGAGAAAAGGACAGGGCGGCGCCCCCGCGGGCGAGTCTCTCTTGGAACGCCTGGGCTACAAGCGGTAAGCATCCGTCGAGCTTACCGTTGTAGTCCAGGCTTCGTTTTTCTTTTTGGGGGGTGATTTAAGAGTTGGTCTGTCCTGCCACATTTTATCATTATTTGTACGATTGCATACGATATTCCCACAATGCGAATTCAGCTAGAGCTTATACCCCCAACCAGCAGCTCCGGTTTTCCTGTTCCTTGGTCCTGTGCAATCCTCGTCCTCGTGCTCGGCAGGTGCTCGGCTTGAGATATCTTGTGTTATGGCCTAGTGTTGAGTGACTCCGTTGTAGCTGGTTCCCGTTTCGACAGCGTCTTCGCTACCTGGTAGGTCTTGGCCTGTTCATTGATTCTTGCACCGGTTTTTTGTCATTATCGTGGCTCGGATTGCGTCTAACAACTGGCCGCAACCAAATAAAGCATATGCCGAACCTTATATGTAATCTATGAAGTGCTTCCGATGCGGCGACTACCTACTAGTTTGATTTCGTATGAGGTAGGTCTTGTTCTCAATCCCTAGATTCCCTGAGACGCATTAGTTGCCCTCCGCATGGTGCCCCGTACAGCTTTTGGCCGCTTTGTGATTTCAATATGGAAAATGGAGAGTTCGCATGGAGGTGTCCATGTCTCTTCATAGATAACAACTCTTGATCCCCGGCCGAGATTGCTCAAAGCAGACTTAGCTCTTCGGCAGCTTGGGTGGGTTCGGCAGGGAGGGACTGCTCCACCTACGGTTATTCGCCGGAGCCTGCTCCGATCTGGATCCGCCCGGTACCTGCGACGATAACCGACGGATAAGACCTTCACACGTTGTGTTCATACCCGGTATTCAAACAACTCCAATGCAGCCCTGATGAGCTTGAAGAGGGACTGTTGATTGAAGTTAACTTGTGGTATCATTAACGAACATGTGTATGATCTTATAGCCGAACACGTATGTGCTCATAACACTCAATGCATATGAAGAATTGTGACCTAGGTAAAACGCGATGTTACAGCAGCCATTGACCTGTGAAGCTTAGTTGATGTGCGTTTGTAAATGTGTCAACGATCACTAACCTCAGTATCAGTAACGACAACGTGGACTAGCTGACAACTGCTATCCAACACTGAATCTTGTCAAACCTCCACATTCCAGCCCTGTGCTAATACTACTCACTTCAATTGACGGTTTCCTGAGGGGCTTGGAAGTCCACGGCATGTTGAAATTACCATTGAATGTGAGACCACAACAGTATCGCGGCCAAAGACACCAACCTGGCCTGATTATGCGCAATGGCAGTATCGGGAGAAATCGTAAGAGTTAGCGCTTACAGCACGGCGGCGATGATGTTGCCAGATCTGCTCAAACTCAATCAATGTATTAAAGCTGAGTGCCGCTACCATAATGTAGACAACATTTGACGTTGAGAAGTTTGAGGGCTACAATGTCCAGCCACCAAAAGGGTATCATTAACTCCAAATCCATCTCCGTCTTCATCCTCGAGAGCGAAACCAAAAGGTCCCGCTTCCCACCTCATATTCAAGATTGCCCGACTAATATCTCCTTGCACTCCTTCCGTGTGCAATTGCACATTAAGGCGTTCGCACAGGTGGGCGCGAAGCACATCCAAACCAAAAGACGAAACGTTCGCTCAGACACTACTCTCCGGCTCAGCGGGCCAATTGCAAATCCAAGCAACAGCGAAAATAAGCAGCCACAGTATCAACCAGATGACGTAGCTCCCCGCGTTACCGAGTCCAAAGAATGTGCTAACGAGAATGATTGCATGGATGAACGCGGTGACGAGAAGAAAGATGTCAAAATGCACGCGGTTCTGCAAAAGCCATAAATTAGCAACCGATTCTCAAACCGCCAAGTCGGCAATGTTTCCGAGCAGGAATAAAGCAGATTGGTACTTACAAGCATGATCCCGAGCACCTTGCGACGGCCCTCCGCCTGGCCGATGACCGCAAGACACCAGGCAATAAAGAAGAAGCCCAAAATGGCCAGAATAATACCGATGATCCAGCCGGCTACATTGCCGTGGATGATGTCGCTGGCGATGCTCAGAATGGAGAGGGCCGTTCGTATGCCGAGGATGATGTACATGCAGATGCGCCGCAGCAGCACCGTCTTGTCGGAGGTCTTTAGGCTATAGGCCTCCCACGAGAAGGACCAGCAATTTCGCATGTTGGGGCAATTTCGGTCTTTGAAGCTGCCGCCCTTGGCGGGGGCGGGAGCCGTTTGCTGGTAAGGATCTTGGCTCATCTTGTTTGGTCGTGTTGGCCGGCGTAAGATGTACGGGTAGTTGTGAAGAGGAGCTTACTGCCAAAAGGGAGGGGGGGAGAAGGCGGTCTCGAGCAGAATGGGCCACGATGGGTTGGTGATCTCTTTATATAAGTGCCTCGCCCAAGCGAGATGGCATGTTGAGGGGTGGAGGGGTTTTGTTGGCCCCTTGGACTGTGGATTCTAGGTGAGTTTTGGGATCGAGGTTTCACGACCGGGGGGGGGCTTGCTAGCTGTGGAGGAAACCCGTGGGGCTAGACCTTTGTTTCGCTAGAAGGCCAGAGGCAGGGAGAACAGGAGGGTTTGTCTCTCTCCTTTGCTTTGTTGCTAAGACTTTTACAGACTTTGTTTTTGGAAAGGTGAAGTTTCTGTCTGAAGGGGAACTGTGCTCTCTGGCATTGGGTATGAGTAGCAAGATACAGCAACGAACAGGACAAGGGCTTGAAAGGTCTTAGTCTTTATAAACAAGAACATAGGCAAACACCCAGCCTTGCAGTATTTTACATGCTCATAATTCCCAGAATATCCTGGACTGACATAGCCCAGAAATAGAAATCCTATGTGGCTTGATTGGCAATGCTGAACAGACCGATTACTTCAGCCCCCAACAACACCCACACGAACATGGGTGCCCTCCATGACTTTTAAGCTTAACCTAGCACTGCTCCATCATTCATGGAAAGACGCCAAGTCACTTAAGCCATGATTTATAGCCCAACTCTGGAGAGAACGAGTTCCGGCAACAGGCAACACAAGGAAACGTATAACCACGGAGGCGACACCCTCGAAGGCATGTTTTATTTGTCAATTTCAGCGTGCCGTGGACTTTTATTTCAGGAGGATCCACCTGCCATTTGGCAATTTCAGCCCTGCAAGACTGCGGGGACTCTCGCTAGGCAACGGCTCTCGGCCACTTGTGCCACCTTGGCAGCTGGACATGGTGTTTGCTTCAAGAAAACCAAGGGGTGCCCACACGCTGCTTCAGCCACTTCCTCCATTCCTTTCAACCGGTAGTGGCGCGATATCCTCCGCCTCTTTGAGTCGCATTTCGATTTGTATTGTACAGACTATCTTACAGTTATCAGGTATATATGCTCTGGCTGGACATTTAACGTTTGGGAGTAAGCTGTGGAATGTTGGAAGCGTTGTATCCCCAACTCGAATTGGTCTTGGGGGCGGCGCTTGTTTCGGCTTCCTTTGACTGTTTCTCCGTCTCCATCTTGGTCTTCTGCTTTCTATGGCGTTCTTGGTTCTGAATCTGTCTCTCATTCGACGGTCCTCCAACAAAGCGAACTGTTTGTCCTGTTTTCTGAGAATCTCCCTTTGCTCCATCTTTGGGAAAGCTAGTAGGTCCTCGCGTCTTGGGAGTATTTGATGATCCCTCCTTGTGAGTGCTTGGTTTCGTCTTTTGCAGAACCGTGGACGCCCCATGTTCGCGTGTCTGATCTTTAGATTTCCGAGATTCTGATTCTTTGTTCGTCTGATTCACCCAGTTCTTGTCCTTGCCGCTGAGTGGCTTCTTGTCCGTTGTCTTATCCTGTTGCTTCCCGTTCGACTCTTTCTTGCTTGTCATGGCTTTTGTGTCTGAAAGCTGTGCTGAATCCTTGCCTGTCTGAGAGGCTGTTTTCCCGTCTGTTTTAGCCGTTTCCTGTTTGCCTGCACGAGTCTTCGAACTCTCTTTTTTGCGGGTCAACTCCGCCTCGTTGGAAACTACCGGTTGTTGCCCATGATTCGTCAGAGTTTGAGTACTCTTATTGTCTCCTGGAGCGCTTGACACTTTTCCTTGGACGGCTTTTGGCTTGTCGCCCTTGGGCTCTGTCGATGTCTCGACCTGTTTGGGCTTCGACGCCCTCAACCGACTTGATCTCCTGTTTCCGCGTGCTCTCGACCTTTTCTTCCTCAGGATAGCCGGCCTCTTCTTCTCCAATGGCCTCTTCAGATCAGCCGTCGATTCTTCCTGTTTCGCTGCTGCTGCTGCTTCTGATTTAACCGCCACTTTTCTCTCCCGGCGTTTTATCTGCTTTCTGCTCTCGGGAGAGCCCATCCATGACTTTTGAATCAACCCATCCGACAATGGCTTGCTCTGCTCTGTCGTGTCGTAGACGTCAAGCTTTCTCGCAGCGTATCCCACCACTGCGGCACAGTTTCTGCCGTTGTTCCTCAGGACTGCTGTCCGGCACTCCTTGAGTAGCGTCACTAGCTTTCGGAGAGCAGTTTGGTTTTCCAGCTCCCATTCCGCGCCCTCCTTCATCGCGTCAAACCAGCGTGGCTGAGTGAATCTACCACGCTCGTGTCTGGCAATGATGAGATGGTGTGCTCGGCCGAACCAGGTTTGCGAAATTACTTCATCCGACTCTACTTTCCCGTATTTATCTTTCGCTCTCTTCGTCTTGATTTCCGCAGCGGTAGAAGGCGGCAGCGTCTTGCAACCCTCGCCAGCAGTTTCCACAACCAAGTCTGGCATTTTGACGACTTCCTTATAAGTTGCCCTAGGAACATCATACATGTCAACACCGTATGCGGCATCGACCTGGTTCTGCACAACGCAGTTCAGGTTTCCGAGCCGGTACCGCAAAGCGCGCACATGGCCATCAGTGTCCTCGAGCTCAGGCGGCAGCTTCGTTACGGCTTTTTCAAAATTCAGCCCGTAGCTTGACGTTTTTATGACAGCCCGTGTGTCGCGTTGTGGGCGCAAAATGAAAAGTGTGCCGTTTACCATTTGAAGATTAAAGCGAGTGGACTTTAGTAGATGACCCTGGCAGTAAGAGAGCAACTGGAGAAGGACGCTTCGAGTCGCGACTATGTCCACATCATCGAAGGTGGTGCCTTGTTTCAGAACCTGGGCAGCGAGAAATAATCTTTCAAAGAACTTTGTGGCTCCTTCCGTACCTACAATTACGGGCTGCCCTGTATCTCCCTGATCAAGGGCAACATTGAGTGGCATAGGGACTTCATGGTATATTGGAGCACAACCTGTCAAAAGTAGTCAGCGGTATGATACGGATGAAGTCGAGCTTTGAATCTGAAGATTACCAGGCACTCGTATCGTGAAAGCTTTCTCATTAGTTGGGTCACAATAGTTGTAACTACTGACAACGTCATACTTGCCAGTGTTTCTGACCATCATCGATGCCGGGCGAAGACTTTCAAAGTATATGGACCGGAATGGCTTAGACGAGCCCTTTGCCTGGTTTGCATCAGGGGTTGCGCCGGGGATGTCTTTCCAGAGCCAGACTTTCCGCCGGAGCTTCGTTTCCTCGGAGATCTCACCGCTATCAGGCATATCGCCATCGCCGATTAAACTTCCCACAGGTCGAACCCGTTTTTCTTTGGGTTTTTTTTCCCGCGGTTTTGGAGGGTTGAATCGGGAAAGACTGAGTTGGCGCAATGATTGTTGGATTCTGTTTCGGATCCTATTTTGCCGAAAGTACTCATAAACAGTAGACCAAGAGTTGACGTTATACACAGCCTTTTGGGCTTGGTAAGCTGCTATTCTTCGAGCTCGCTTTTTCTTGATGGCCTTTCTCTTGACCTCTACGATTTTCATGGACTTCATGATATCTTCCTTGGATGGGATAAGCCTAAGGGGCTCCGGCGGCTTGACGGCCACCGGAACCTTGATTGCCAGTTTAACGGGCGTGGGTTTCTCGATCCAAGCCGCAGGGATTGGTGCTTGACTCGGGTGGACTATTGGAGGCCGGGTGGGTGGCCTCCCAAATCTCGATGCCTTCTTTGCCTTGGGTGCAGCCGGCGGCCTGGGGCCAGGCACAGATGCAAAGCCCCTAGCCGTTCGCCATTGACGTAAGCTTTTGACCCACATGGAGCCGGTGCATTTGGGCTGAGTTTTGATTTAAATGTCGAATGTGGTTGAAAACCGCGATATCAAAACGCGTGAGTTGGTGATTTTTGGACAAAACCAACCGAGCCGAACGCGATTTTCGGTAATTCGGAAGGCCAGATATCCCGGATCAGTGGGGCCATTTATAGTGGAGCAGCCCGGGTGGAGACTTCCGACAGTCACGCTAGTATACATTAGTGGTCTGCACAGTCAAGGTATCTCAAAGTGCCCCGGATCCACAATAAGATGTGGCTAAATGAAGCTTTCATTATTTGGGTGAAAAGAGTTCAATCGGTGCTCCGTATTCATCATGTTTTCCCGTGTTCAATTCACTTTCAATTATCTATCATATAGGGTAAGGTGAGTATGTATAGACAAAGTGTAAAACTCCAACCGATGTCAAAACCAACCATGTAAAGAAAAAAAGAAGAAAGAAACCAAAGAAACAAAAAGTCCGAGTTACTCGCTCATATCAAAATCCCAAATCATGCACATAATCCCTTTCGTTTTGTACATGTCCATTCCCATAAAGTCCATTTCACACTATGTTGCAATACATCATGACGAAGTCTTCTCAATCTCCCTCACACCCGACTCTTTTTCAGAGAGCCCATCACTGTCGTGTCTCTGCAGGCTGCCGACTTTGGTCGAGCTAAACTTTCTTGCGGATATCTTCCGCTCGAAAAGGATATCCAGTTCGGCATATGTACGGCCCTTGGGTTCCGGGAGGCGGAAGTAGGACCACACAAAGCAGAGGAAGCAACTTCCGGCCCAGAAGAAGCCGCTCTTGGCACCCCAGTTCCACGCCGACGGGTTCAGCATTTGAGGCGTGAGGATATTGGTCACGATACCCGTGATGTTGTATAGGTTTCTAGCCAGCACCACCGTCTTGGTCTTGAGACGCGTCGAGCTCAACTCCGCGACCAAAGAGTAGCACACCGGTCCAACTGTACAATCGTAGAAGAAGGTGTATACAAGGAGTAGACTACCGATGGCCCACTGAGCGCTGACGTTGGTGCGACCTGCAAGCGAGGCGAAACCGATAGAGCCGAGAATCACCGTCATGGCGAGCTGTCCTGAGAGGTATAGCGTACGGCGGCCGAAACGTTTCATCAGAACCCACGAGAGCATTGTTCCGACAGCACCAATGGCGTACTGGCCCAGAGACATGCTGAAAGAGTTCTCCACAGCCATGCCAGCCTGTTGGAAGAAATAAGTTGAGAAACCCATAAAGGTCGCGCCGCATAATGTTTGGACCGTCCAGGTGCCGCAGACGATTTCGGTCCTGCGAAGATCGATGCCCTTGAAGCAGTCCGCGTAAGTGGTGCCTGCCTGAACGGCTTTCTCGAGTTCGTTGGTGTGCACCATCATCGAGATGGTCTCATCAGGGTTGAAGTCCTGCTGCGCGTTGCGGGAGGTAAGGCGGAGAAGGGCCTGTTTGGCATCCTCGAGACGCTCCTTGCGGACAAGCCACCAAGGGGACTCGGGGGCGAAGAAAATGCCGATAATGAGGGGAATAGGCCACATCCATTGCAGAGCGAATGGAATCTTGTAGCCCCATTTGTCGGTTCGCTCAACCATGGCGCGCAGGACAGCGCTAGCAATCAGCTGGCCAATGACCCAGCAGAGATTAACATAAGTAGTCTTAAGAGGTTTCGTTAGTTGAGGTTATCGTCAGCAATAGAGAGTCCGGAAAGACATACCAAGTAAGCTCGCAGATGTGTAGGGCAGACTTCAGATGCGTATGTGACGGTAATGGTCTGGAAGATACCCCACGGGATACCAATGAGAATCTCTCCTACCAACAGCTGAGGCAACGTCTCCGCGAAAAAGATGATGAAAACGAAAGCAGTAACTCCAATCAGACCACCAATCATGGTCTTACGGTAGCCAAAGTGGTCAGCGATGATACCGTTGATAAAGAGACCCGTAATCTCTCCCGCAAGTGCACCGTTACTGAGACCGGACTGCCAAGCAGAGGTCAGCTGGTACGATCCGTCGGGCTGAAGTTCTCCAAACTTCTTCTGGAAGACCGGGTAGGCGTAGAGGTTGTTGAGGAGGGTCTTGTCGAAGCCCTCCATGATGACAGCGGTGCTGAAGAAAATAGACCAGAACACGGCCTTGGGGTATAGCTTGATGGATTGCATGAGGCCCATGTTGCGCTCCGCCTCGGTGGCGGCAGCGGCTTCGGAGGCGACACCGAGCATGTTGCCGTCCGCAACAGAGGCACGGTGCGTAGTCTCGGGGTCGATATGCATCGGTGAGGATTGCGCCTTGGGCGCAGAAGTGAGGCCGACCATTGTCGCTGCTTCGGCGCGAAGCAAAGTCGCTCTTGGCGGTGATTGTCTAGAAAAAAAGTTCGTAGTGCGACTCCGAGCCCGACGTACCAAAGAGAGAAACGAGCTGATATGCTGAGAAGAGCCAGGTATCCTAAAGCTGAATCTGGCGGTCGATCGCGATGAAGCTGTTGGGGCGGTGGCGTCAAGGCAATGATAAGATGGGACAAACAGCCATCTTATATCTTTCCAAAGTTTCGATAAATCCGCTGTCCTCCACCAAGGGATGGTGATGATGCTCCCTTCAGGAGACGACCGGGTTGTCGTTTGACGTTTGGTGGCCTCTCACTGGTTCGCTCAAATTCATTCGAAAGTGGCGTGGAGGAGCACGCGGGGTGGTGTTGACCTCATGGGCCACTTGTGTCTTAAGTTGCTAAGTTCCTCAATGCAAAAGAAGAAATCCTGCCGGTTCCCTTTCTTTAGTCCAACTTGAAATCCCGGGCACTAGGACGTGAGACATCCACTTTCTCCACGACCCATTGGCTCGCGCGGGGAAGAGATGGCCTGGGATGGATGGTCTGGGGGGGCCACTTCGTGTGTGCGTGTGTGTGTCTGCGGGATGGAATGGAACAGAGAGGACTCTCTGTCACCAAGGAGGATATCACCCGCCTCGTCCAGTTGAAAAAAAGATCTGCTAAAAACTCAAATGGGGGTCGACATTACTGGAGCAAGGCGAGACATGCAGCACAGTCTGGACTCCACGACCGTGTGGTCGGCGTCACCGCGGATATCCCTGCGCCATGTGGCGTTCCTGATGCCTCATCGGGGCGTAGTGCTTTTCCACGCTGGGTAAGGCCTCTGAGGCTGGAAAACTTGATCCATGTTCTTCCAATCACGATCAAGAGAATATTCGGTACAACCACCCACCGGCAATTGGAGCGAAGGATTCTGCGAGATTTTGGTTCCCGGATTGGCCAATGGGGGGTTTACTTGACGTCGCTGAAACCAGGGGCCCTTGCAGATGAACCAGGGTCAGATGGGACAAAAGTTTAAAGGTAGAATTAGATGTTGATACAATATGTGCTCACCTCCTTTTCTTTTTTGCTCTTGGGGCTGTTGAGATCTGACGGATCGACACTGGTGGGAGGGCGGCTACTTTTCTTAGAACCCGGTTGGTACAACATCTTGTCGCCGTGATCTGCCCCAAGACAATAGTGTCTCAGGGAAGCCTCGGCGTATGTCGTAAGAACATGTGGAACTTGACAGTATCAACGAGATATGCGACAGGATTCCAGAGTCTCGAGCATTCTACGCGCGACTGTGTACTTCCCTAGCGGCTGGGGTGTCTGAGACCTTGATTCTATCCTTTCCATGACTCCAGACTGTTGCGGTTCCAGGTCTTCGAAAGCTTAAAGAAACAGTTGGGCCTATCACGAGGACTGGCCCGATCAAACCTGCGATTCAGCACACCACATCGACGCAAGATCAGTTCTCCCCACGGGGTAATCGCTCAGCAGCAAGTGATCCGGGGATAGACGCATAGGTCAACTGAAGCAGAACTTTGAAAGAAAACCTTTATAAGACTTGCTTTCCACTGACAGCATCTTTGTTTTCCTCCTGTTGGTAGTTTGGGTGGGCACTTCCCCGCACTCTGTGAGTAGCTTCAGCCCCCACGACGGTCGCCAAGTCCCGAGAACCGTTGATCCCGTCCCTGTCAGCTCCACTGCCGGGCTTTGGTAAACTAGCCATGCAAGCTCCTCTTTGACCGATTCAAAGTCTGGCCAGTGTCGTAGTTTCTTTTCTAGTCGGATTGTAATCCCTCAAAACCTCAGCCGTCGTCGTATGGCTCTTTCTTCTTGCGGCACCATCATGTGTTACGGGCCTGATATGCCATGATCGATAGCTCGATGCAAGGCCTGTGGAGACATCACCATGTCAGAAAACCCTCAACTTTCAAGAGTCCCGGACCAAGCTCCGGCAATTTTCATGAGTACATTGATCGGCAGAGTCAATATCACTGTTCCGTTGCCGAAGGATCAGTGGAGGCGTTCGCGGAAGCGGCTGTAGGTCGGCCGAGAGACATGATCACGGCCATTCGGGTCTGGACCCCAAACTCAGTCGGAATGCTAAGTCATTGACTTTGGGGAGATCTTAATCATGCAGCTGAACTTTATCGCCAACTGGAAATGGTGATGAACTGAGGTTATGGTAGTCAATTGCTGGGTGATCTAATATTTTTGATAACACATGCACTTTGAATGTTTTAATCGAAGAAGACATGACTTGGGTCTATGAGCTTGTAGTGCGCGTCAACGAACAAACTCTATATAAAAATTGGATCCGTAGGCTGCGCACACATGCCCGACTCCTGCGATTACGCGATTTATGCCTTCTCGTTTGCACAAAGTCTTTTTTCCGAGATATGCAAGTCCAAAAACGCCTTTGATATCAGAGTCCGAGAAAAACGTCAATCACGCTTGAGAAGAATTATTTCAAACAGAAAAAAAAAAAAAAAAAGGCTCTTGTAAAGTTTGTTTTTTATCGTTGCTGTAATTGCGTTGTCTTGGACGAGTCTAATCCGCCAAAATCAGCCAGGCATAACGACACCATCAGCTGGATAAGCACCGCCAACTCGGGCATTGAGGTGACGGGCACTACCAGTTATATAGTCAGAAAACTCGGGTGCAATCGCAATTTTGCAGGAATATGTCGCTCATCTCCTCCTGGCCGCTTTCAAAAGGACAAAACCGCAATTTGATACGTCTGTCAGTCTTTTTGTGACCGTAGAGACAGCACTCTCGTATTCGGATTCATCAATTAGCCAAGAAATCGGCATCCTCGGCGGGCTGATTTCCATTTTAGGCTTGGAAATATGGGTCTCATAGCGATGAACCAACACTCGGAAACGATAGATGGGCCAAAGGCGCGTTCATGGTAGAATGGCATCTTGGGCAGATCTTGTAGGATCATTGAGTCTTTCTCAGTTCGTAATCAATGGGCTTTTGGATGGATGCAGTCATTTCTTAACTCCACAATCCTTTGTTCTTTAGGAGACCAACGAATCATGGTTAACCGACGCGCCCCATACCTGTGCCGCAAAGACTCGCCAGGCGCATTCGTATTCGGATCTGGGGCTATTCAGTAACTGGCTTATCGTTATCGCGTATTCGTTTTGCTCCTTTAGATGCCAATTCGAATTGAGTATATCGTCTAGATCTGAGAGTCGGTTTGCTTTCTTGGAATAGATATAAAAGAGAAGTATCGAATGCAAGTATGTGAGACAAAGGACAATCCAATCTATCTGTTGTGGCAATTGGGTTCATCTGATCAACCTTGAGCTTCATTTCTTTTCAAACCGGCTGAAATTTCTAAAAACGCATCATTCTTTCTAGCACTTCACTTATCAAAATGGTTGAGTATTCTTCCAGCGAAGGCCAGATGCTTCTGGCCCGAGATGCCACCTTTGAGAAGATTCTTCACAAGGGAACGTCGCGGGACAATGTAGGCATGTCGGCGATGCTGAAGAAAGATCATGAAGCTCAGCAAGCAGCCTCGGACGAGTACTTCAAACATTGGGATAACAAGAGTGCTCAGAAGGAGACAAAGGAAGACCGTGATGTAAGTATGTTGGTTCCCTGATGATTAAGTGGTAGGCTAACTCGCCTTTCATCAAGGCCAGAACTGCAGACTACGAATCTTTGACAAGACAGTAAGTTATTAAACATTGCCTTTTCACGTCTCAGCCACGTTCTGACAGTATTTCTTAAAGATATTACAACCTCGCAACCGATTTTTACGAGTACGGTTTCGGAGAAAGCTTTCACTTCTCCCGGGCAGCCATAGCCGAAAACTTCAAGCAGAGCATCATTAGACACGAACACTACTTGGCGAAAGCGATAAATATCAAGACGGGCATGAAGGTCTTGGATGTTGGCTGCGGTGTCGGTGGACCGGCTCGTGAGATTGCCAAATTCACGGGGGCTTACATCACCGGCATCAACATCAACGAATACCAAGTAGAAAGAGCAACCCGCTACGCCAAGAAACAAGGCATGCAAAACCAGCTTCAATACGTACAAGCGGATTTCATGGTAAGTTGGTTGTGAACCGATAAATGGCATAAACACTTCGTCTAACGGTGGCCGTAGAAAATCCCTTTCGAAGACAATACCTTTGACGCAGTTTATGCGATCGAAGCCACAGTCCACGCTCCCTCCCTCGAAGCAGTCTACTCCGAGATCTACCGCGTCCTCAAGCCTGGCGGTGTTTTCGGCGTATACGAATGGGTCATGACCGAGTCCTACGACAACGACAATCTCTCCCATCGTAAGACCCGCATCGAAATTGAGCAGGGCGACGGTATTGCCAACATGGTCAAGGCCTCCGAGGCGGTGCGCGCTTTCGAGGCCGCTGGCTTCGAGATTCTGGAGCATGAAGATATGGCAGAGCGGCCGGATCCCATTCCGTGGTACTGGACCCTTGATGCCGGCAGCTGGCGACACGCGCAGACGATGGGCGATTTGTTTTACACTTTCCGCATGACTGGGCTGGGAAGGATGGCGACGCATTACTTCCTGAAGGCTATGGAAACATTCAAGCTCGCGCCGCCGGGTGTGATGAAGATGTCGGATAGTCTGTGCGTGGCGGCGGATGCGTTGGTATTAGGCGGGAAGGAAAAGATTTTTACGCCCATGTATCTCATGGTCGGACGGAAATCTGAGAAGACGGAGTGATGGAATGACTCCTGTTTGCGAAATAATTATAATAATAAAGGATAATTGTATTAATCAGGATGTAAGGTACTGCTGCAATGGTGAGAATACGAGCTTAAAAGGTTGGCACAGAGGCCACCTGCCGAACGCCTATAACCTGGGCTGAGAAGTAGCAGTTTCGGTTCCACACGTGATGGCTTTCCCGGGAAACTTGTCTCGATCCAACCTCACTTTTGCTATAACTATACGACTACGTTGTCACCCCCGGAGTCCATCATTCACCCTGTTTTGTTTACTATTCACTTTGCGGGCATTCCTATAGAAATAACAGGAACAGAGGCAACAGAGACGTTTATAAACTTTAGTCAGGCTCAACACTTCCATTACTTCGCTAGAGATCATCACCACCATAACTAACAACGACAAAACGAGATACCCTCTGCAGCAAGAGCAAAAGTAATGGACGAACAGGGAATCGAACCCTGGACCACTCACATGCTAAGCGAGTATTATACCACTAAACCATTCGCCCATTGGATGATTTCGCCCGGACTTGAACCGGAGACCTTCAGTGTGTTAGACTGACGTGATAACCAACTACACCACGAAACCATTGATTGTTGAAAGTCCAAGCGGAGGTTCGATATATGCTGGAATGGTGTGGTGTGGTGGGAAATTTGAGTCGTGAAGCGAGAGGAAAAAACCCTTATGTGGGGCCGTTCCGGACCTGGGCACCGTTAAATCGGTGGGTCGGCCGGGACTCTCGGCCGATATTCGGATATGCTTCTTTCACAAGATGAGTGATCACAACGTTGCTAGCGAGGATGCGGCTTTCATCATGAGCAATTTCCTTCACCCGACAGCCGCCCTCCATAAGTGAAGGTTTTGACAGCTTAACAACGTGGTTCACGGAATAACACGACCATTGCTCCGTGTGGCGTCGTTGCCCATGTAGGGAAATAACTCAGAAAGATCTAGCCCGACCGCGCGATCTATGGGTTCACCAATGCAGGTTCGGGTGGTCACTCCATCTAATCTACAGGCTGCTGTGGCTTCAGTGCCTCGCCGACCACACCAACCACACCAATAATCATGACATGGGTGCATCTTTACTAAAGACGGAATGAGGGGTAAGGTGTCTAGTCCCTTAATCAACTCAGCTGTCAATCTGCTACATATGTATTCAGCCGTGACGCGTATCTGCAAGGTTTGTTCAAGAAGCCTGGCTTTCAACTTCTCCCTCCATAACACGTCGAATTTGAGTCTTCACCGAGGACCTGGGTGTTATTTTGACTTCCGGGAGTGCTCGACTGTCTCCATGAGCTTATTCTCACTGACCCAACCAACAGCAGCAATGCATAAACATCGGACCCATCTACCCCAGTTTGCGACATCAAAGTGCCTTTGCCGACCAAAGGAGTGTCTCCCCCGCAGCCAACCCATTCGCCTAAGTGCTTGGAAGAAGCCAATCGCTCCTCCTGCATGTCCCATCACCCCCCATCCCACTCTGTAGATGTACAACCATCAAAGCTACCCAAACAACGTGAATCCCACGCGGAATTCCCTCCATTTCGCTTGGAAGCTGGATCGCTCACCTTGGCTGCCTTGCATCACTCCTGCACCAACTGATTTCTGTATCTGGTCAATTTTCCCCCCGTCGCCCATCGTGGTCCGGACCTGCAAATTTCCACCACTCCCAGAGAAGCCTCATTCTTAGCCGTCTCTTGGCGCAGCACTCCCCAACTACATGGTTGGGCCAAGGGGTCCTGGTCCGGCATGTTGGACGATAATCATTGGCGATGTCCACGGTGAGGTGGACAGGGTTCTCCGCATGGAGCCATTGGAAATGCTCATGACGTGAAAAACAGAGCTGGTGATGTGGTTGAGATTTTGCGAGCTTGGGATCCAGCAAGGTCGGCTGTAAGCATCCTGCGGTGTCGTGGTCCTCATGTATAAGTAGTGTCTCCGGAAGTGGTCACTTCTTTTTGCTTTTCCTAGAAAATCATCCCTTAAGCTATTCTCTTGGGTGGTTCCAACTCCCACCAGCTTCTACCTGTCATTGAATCCATTTGTTCTAGCCATTGTCATTATACCATCGGCCACAATGAGATTCAACGCCCCAGCTTTCCTCAGCGTTTTCGCAAGCGTCGCTACAGCCAACCCCCTTGACTGGTTTGGCATCGCCTCCTGGGATGTGGAAGGGTTTGCCAAAGACAACCCGCTCGGTAAGACCACGGGAGGCAAAGGTGGCCCAACCGTGACCGTGACGAGCGTCCCGGAGCTCCAGACTGCTGTCACGGGAGCTGACCCAAAGACTATCGTCCTGAAGGGCGAGTTTGTCCTTCCGGCTCGTCTCAAGGTCGGCTCTAACAAGAGCCTTGTCGGGTACAAGACGACAGCGCACATCACCGGCAAGGGCGTTGACGTCTTCAACTCGACCAATGTTATCCTGCAAAATCTCAAGATCAGCCATATCCTTGACAATGACTGCATCACTATCCGCAATTCCACAAGGGTCTGGGTTGACCACAATGAATTCACTTCAGACATTACCAAGGGACCTGACTTTTACGTGAGTTCCTCGTCTCACCGTGCAACAATTTGACGCAAGAAATACTAAGCATGTGGTATAGGACGGCCAGGTTGACATCATCCGCGCCTCGGACTGGGTCACCGTCTCCTGGAACTACTTCCACGACCACTGGAAGTCCTCTCTCGTCGGCAACGACGCCACCTTCCGCGACCTCGACTCCGGCCACCTGCACGTTAGCTACCACCACAACTACTGGAAGAACATGGGCACGCGTGGACCTGCTGGACGTTTCGGCCACCAGCACATCTACAACAACTTGTATGAGGACTTCCTCTACCAAGCCATCCATTCGCGCTCCGACAACCAGGTTCTCGTCGAAGGCAACGTCTTCCGCGGAAACACGCGCGAAGCTCTCAGCACGTACGGGCTTGTTATTCCCGATGACTCCCCAAACACTTGCACCTGCGGTGATGAGGAATTGGATGGGTTTGCCAACCTTGGTGCCCGTAAGTTAACCTCCATAACTAATACTGTAGAAGGGCATTGCTAATGATGGCACAACAGGTAACGACTGGGGCAAGGCTGGCGTCAACATTACCCGGAAGGGCGACTTTTACAAGGCCCCCTACAAGTTCAAGCTTACCCCTCTCCCTCTTCTTGCGCCCATCATCAAGCTTGGTGCTGGAATCGGAAGGATTTAGAGTTTAGTATGAGCGAAGATAACTTCAACTACTCCTTAATCTAGTAATTAATATTGTGTTGCAACTCCTGCAAGCTATCAATTGACTCGCGATCCCCATGTTTTGAATTTGCTGGACTCCCCGAGGGAGATCACCCAAGCCTTGGCAGGTACATTGAAAATGGAGAGGGTGTCCGGATGGCAAGCCATATGCAGAATCATCTTGGCAGCACGCGACACCCATTTTGTTTTTTACTTCAGCAATGGTGATGGGGTAATGTTAGCTAAGCGCCCTTTTCTTCAAGTGTCTGCAAAAGGATACACAATAGGTTAAGTGTCGCACAATCTGCATCAAAACCATTGCATGCGATGTCAAAACGCGAGGGTTTTCTTCATACTCTTCAAGTACGAGAACAAAATCCAAAATAAAACATTATCAATTACATCTATACTATGAAATTAAGTCTAAGTGCCTGTTGCACACTCGTTGATCTGTGCCTCATCGACCGCACATCCCCCATCTAACCTCTCATCTTCAGACGGACATCCTGCAATAATATTAATTAATGTACATTCAAAGGTCCCGTCGCTTTATATTCCTGATGTCAAATCAAGCATGAACATAGGACTTGAGAGCCGGCTCGGCGATGAGCTTAGGAAGATACGCCAGCAGCCGGATAGCAGAAGGAACGATGGCACCGGCAGTAGCAACACCATCCTCCAGCGAAAGACCAGGGGCAATAAAGTCCTTGCACACCTCATTGAGATTGATCCTGCTAACCTGGGCAGGGCTCTTGTTCTGGAGCGCATCCTTGATCAGGGCAGCCGTCAAGGGGTTGAAAAGCACAGTCGCGTGGCCGTAGAGGCTGCCAGCGGGGCGGCCAGCACAGACGGACTGGACCTCAATGTTGTTCACACCGACACGGCGGGCATCATTGAGGTAAGCGGAGGCAGTAGTACCTGCTTGTGGCTGGACGACCTCGTCGAGGAGTGCCGAGTAAAAGGTTGTCGTGGGAACGTAGGCATCGGCTCCGCCGCGGGCACGGAGAGTCTGGATGAAGAGCGAGGTGTACTGTTGCTGAATTACGGATGGGCTGCAAGGGGCGTTTAGAGCACCCGAGCCCGGCGACAAGCAGAGAACGTTGGCCAGGACGGTGCCGTGGAAATCGGGCGAGACGGGGAAGAAGTTGGACACGGCGCTGCGAGTGGACGGCCAGAACGTGAATGCCCACTGCGTGTCGAGGCCACCCTGAGACCAGCTGATGATGGACGCGTTCTGGTTGCTGATGCCGGTGATGTAGTTGATGGCGTATGCGACGAACTCCGAGTTCACCTGGGCATCAGCCAGGAGGGCATCGGGTATGTTTAGCAAGACGGGGTCGGCGTACGGGACATTGGTGAGGAGCTTGAGCAGGTTGGCGCTGAAGGTCTCGCCAGCGTAGACACCCGTGCCGGGAATGAAAATAACTGGGGGTTTTTGGCCGTACGTAAACGTCTTGGGAATGAAAATGGCCTGGCGGAGCTGCTGCTCGGTCAAAGTATAAGGAGCGTCGGCTGAGTTCTTCTTGGGATAGACGGGATTCGCCGGGTTCAGTGGATTCACGTTGTTGGACGAGTCAATAGAGTTGATCGGCGCAAGCAGCTTGTTGGCGATGCTTGCCAGGTTCAGATTTCCGAGGAGGCCGCCTTCTCCGAGAAGACCCCTGAATCCAGGGAGCACACCGGATGGAACAATGTTGAGGTTAATTTGCTTTTTGATGTTGCCGTAAAAGTCTCCGGATCCGCCCTGATTCGTGTTCCATATCGAGCCCAATTTCGATTGGAGGTCCGCAGCATCAAGAACTTGGGCTCCGCCAGAAGGCTGCGTGTTTAAGATACCGGATAGAAGTTGAACATAGTTTGTTGGGAGAGTAAGAAGCTGAGTAACGCCGTCGAGCAGACCAGCAGGAGCGGAGTCGGCAGAACCAATAAGAAGCCCAACAAGGGCGGTTTGAAGAAGAGGTGAACGCATTTTGATAAACAAGAGAATGCCAGAAGGCGAGACAGTTGGTTGATGTGAAAAGAGAGAGGGTAGGGCTGGGGGTTATAAGAGGGAGATTGGGATCTGCGAGGAAGCGGTCGAGTTGGGCCAAGAAAATATTCCGAGACAATAGATCCAGTGGATTCTTATATCCTTAAACGGTAAGACAAGGGAAACAATGCCAATGGACCGAAATAAACGGTTGCCGTGTGCCACAACGTGGTCGGCAACGTGTCGGCAGCATCGACATTCGGCCTCCCTATCCGCGCTCTGCCGCGGCCTTCTGCAGATCATGAGTTATTACTGGAATTGGAAAGGCGTTGTGAACGCTCTTTTCGTGACGGACTCGATGATCCACGGCCTAGAACCCCTGCACGTCGATCTGGCGGGCGGGGAAACAAATTGGAACACGGTATTCTCGGAGGCATTGCACGTCGTATTGATTTTAGGGTTTGGTAGTGTAAGCAACTGTTACTGTAATAGGAAACGTTGACAGTCTAGCGTAGGAGACGAGCTGTCTCCCTTGCATGGCGCCGTGCTCGAGCAGTTCACCTCCCCGGCCGAGTCCAATCATGGAGTCTCACAGCGCGGCCGATGCCGAATGTGGAATCCAATTTACAAATGCCGCCTTGTGAAAGAAGAGCGTTTACTACGCTTGTTAAGTTTGCAGAAGCGCCACAAACGGGCGCCGAAGGGAACTTATCCGCAGCCTTCACTTTAGCCAAGAACAAAGACTATGTGCGTCATTCATCTGCCTCGGTATAATCTTCAGGTATTCGGTTTATTGCTCATTACTCATCATCTATACTCTTTCTCCTAGGGGTACTAATGGGAATAGCCGGATTTGTCTGCAATCCCCCGTTGCCCTCAGCTTCTTGGCAATCCAAAATTCAAGCTACCTCGATATGCTCACGGATGCGGGTAAACACGCGGCACACAGGCGTTTTGGCGTCTAGCTTGGACAATGAGCGGGATTCGTGATTAGGAGTTTACGGGGTAATTAGGCCAGAGAAGAGCCCTATGACAAACAAAGGCATTGACTAATTGTCACCACGTTTTCAACACAGCCTCGAAGATTTCCCAAACTGGAAGTGCTTGCAATGTGCGATCCAGGTTTCGGACCGATGTCAGGTGGACGCATCGTCCGCTCAGGTTCAAAGTGGCCTGGCAGATCATTCACGCACAAGGGCATTATGCCATGTGATTACAAGGAAAGTGAGAGAAAAAAAGAGAGGAGGTCAAAGTCTTTAAACTCACAGTAGCCTCGGGCTCATTAAATTCCGGCTCGGCCCGGAATGACGGACCACTACCGCTCAAGCATCACTAAAGCTGATATAGCAACGGCACGTTCGCACTCGGCTTTGAGAGGGTTCAGTTGAGTATCTTTGTTTCTTGTGGCATGGAGGTCTCCAAGTGTGTTGTAGAGGAAAAAGAGCACATTATCGGTCCGAATGATATCACGTTCGGCTCTCAGTCACTGCTCGGTGAAATGTCCCTCCCGGACCGTTCTGTCCCTCTCTCAAGCCCGCTATCAGGCCAGAGCTGATGTGCCAGAAAGCCAGAGACAGTGAACCCAACATTGTCTTGTAGTCCTAGGCGTGTAGGCGTGGCAGGTAGTCTCCTCGAGCAACTGGTTACGGCAGCGATGGTCTGAAGGGATGAAGTAGGGACGGACAAGGTAGCATTTCGGGATCTCGTGATCACCGTCACAGTAGTTGTAAGAAGATGTCATCTCGGGTTTCACGCAAGCAGTCTTGGGTTCCTCGCGAGATAAGGTGGTCTTGATTTATCATCTAGTCCTCGTCCTAGGCAAGGGTGTCAATAGTACCGACAACCTTATTCTGCGTAGGCTACTTTGCATTTTCTGAATAATCACACTTAAACATGCTGGGAAGCTAGTTTCTGAAGAAATTTTAATACTAGTCTTACCGAGATTCTCAACAAGGATAACGGAGACTTCTCAAGAGATTATAAGGACGTATTTCTTAGGCATCTACTACAGCGTAAATGTGTTACTATCGTTTTACTAGCTGGTGTTGAAAAGCCTACTAATTACTGCTTCGCTAGCAGTGATAAAAAGGCTATAGTATGACGGGGTAGGTCAATTGTCGGTGGGATAGACGTGAAAACCACACAACGCCACATAAGGACTGCTGACCGCCACCTGCACTCTCCGTCGCGGGCCCGCGAGAGTGACTCACTATTTGGAACCAAACTCTGAACGCCATGATGAATACGAGAGGATATTCGTCATATATACATCATGGAATTGGGTTTAACATGCCTTTCTTTCTCAGTAGTGAAGCGACCTCTATGGTGGACTTTATATGGATCCTCTCTGTTTAGTCACGCGCGAGTATCCGTTTAAACATGACATGATTTCTGTTTTCTACGCCGTCTGTGTCTCTCTGTCTGATCAGGTTTATGGAGGTTTCATCACATCCTTTTATAAGTTTCTTGCGAGACTTCCCCCTATTAACTCAACAATACAAAGTGAAGAACAAAATTTCCACCATTCTAACCCCTGACCGGTACTAACAGGTAACTTTACAGTCTTTACTATATTATTTTATGTCTATAGATTTAGGAGGGTAGGGAAAGTTAGCATCGATATATCTCTTAAAACCTTAGGTACGGAGGAGGGAAGTACCTAGCGATATTAGTATTCTAGATAACCTGGTTTTAAGCTCCGTTTCGATGGGAAGGCCTAACTAGTATTTCTTGAAGTCTTTACGCACTTTGGTATAAAAGTAAAGGCAATATCTGAAAGATCGGATAGGAATGATAAGTCGCTCGAAGTACCTAGGTGGGTAGCTACTGGCGATAGCTTAGAGCAGTTAAGGTATTAAGTAAAAAACCTCTAGGAGTATAACACTACTCTTCTCAATAAGAGAAGGTCTCATATAGACTTTCCGCAAGTGATTCATCCGACCCAAGAGTTCCCTCTAATGCCTGCTCCTTGAATAGGTACACTCATGGGGCCAGTCAGACATGATAATCTAGAACAACGCGTGTGTCCATACGTCTGGATTCACTGCTGACGCAGATCTGGAATCTGTTTCCGCAATTGTTACATTGGTAGCCTGATCTTTCATACATCGTTATGCCTGGTCCTGTTCCTCCACGCCCTTAGGAAACAACTAGGTATACACTTGGGAAGTCGAGAAAACCGCAGGTATTGTTTACGAAACATGTTTTATCCAATATCAAAATTCTGGAGCTTCTTATTACCTCTCTCGACATCTGTCCACTAGAAAACTGCCGTTCTATAATTGACAATATATCGAGCAATGCAATGGATATTGTAAAACACCCCAAAATACGCACTGCGATTTGAGAATGTCAGAGATGAATATCCTCCCTCACCTTGGGGTCCCGCCTGAGTTCTTCACTCAATACCGGAACCTATGGCACAGTAAAAGCACAGAATCAAAAATACGATCGACATGGGAATATTGCTGTTGTTTTGCACAATAGTCTTCTGGCTCATGGATGTCTAGTAGGCCGGTGGCGTTGGGAAGTTTCAACGGGCCGTTGCACTACTATATTTTGGGCAGTCTGAACTCGGCAGCATTCTGCCTCAGTGCCAAGTGGGTTTCCCGCCAGGCTAGTGGTCTAAAGAGGGTGAAAACTCAGGCATGCCCCATAGTTTCGCATAACATGTACTTGATCCTGCCTAGGTACTAGGTAACGTCGCACACCCACTTCTCGCACACCCCCACATTTCGCACACCCATAAATCGCTCATGTAGAATTTTACCCTCTTCAACATTCTTTAATATCTTCACCACTTTTACAGCGATTATTATAATTCTTTGAATAGTTACTCTTATACGCTTAATGGGCCAGTATACGGAAACAGAAGTCAATCAAGCTCTCAATGCAGTTGCAAGTGGGCAGAGTGTCCGAAAGGCAGCTCATGATGCTGGAATTCCACCATCAACCCTCCAGTCTCGATTAAAGGGTTCACAGGCAAGAAATGTAGCTTTCTCTAGCTTCCAGAAGCTATCTCCAGCACAGGAAAGTCACTTAGCTGAATGGGTGCGTATCCAGGCGGCGTTAGGGCTGCCGCCAACACATCAACAACTCAAGGAATTTGCCCAGCGAATCCTAGACATCAGAGGCACTACCCAGCCACTTGGGAGAAACTGGATTCAGTTCTTTATTAAGAGAAATCCATCAATCAAGGTTCATAGAGCTAGAGCCATCGATTCTAAGCGTGTCAATGGGGCCTCAACTAATGTAATCAGGCAATGGTTTCAACAACTCGCCCTTCCAGAGATCAAGGCGATCAAACCACATCATCGCTATAACATGGATGAAACTGGTATCCTAGAAGGCAGAGGATCAAATGGCTTAGTACTGGGATCATCAGAAAGCTCATCAATGCGAAAAAAACAGCCTGGGTCTCGGGCTTGGACAACTATGCTTGAGTGTGTCTCTGCAACTGGTCAGGCGCTTCCTCCACTTGTTATTTATCGAGGGAAATCGGTTCAACAACAATGGTTTCCTCTTGATATCCATAAACGTGATATTTACAGTGGTTGGAAGTTCACAGCAACTGAGAATGGCTGGACTTCAGACTCTACAGCTGTGGAATGGCTTGAGAACATCTTTATCCCTCTGACTAAGCCTGATCATCCCTCTGAGCAGAGACTATTGATCCTAGACGGTCATGGCAGTCATGAAACAACAGAATTTATGTATCTCTGTTATAAACACAAGATATATCTCCTTTTCCTACCGCCACATACATCCCACGTTCTCCAACCTCTAGACCAAGCAGTCTTTGGGCCTCTCAAGGCGACCTATCGAAAAGAGCTTGGATACCTCATTCAACACAACGATTCTACAGTTGTAGGCAAACGGAACTTTCTTACCTGCTATGGAAAAGCACGCCAGATGGCATTTTCAAGCAAGAATATCAGAAGCGGCTGGAAAGCAACAGGACTATGGCCCATTTCGATAGCTCGACCGCTCATGAGCCCTCT